AACTTCGTCGCCATCGGCACCATGGACCCGGACATTGAGGTCTGGGATCTCGACACCATTGATAGCCTGTACCCCAACGCCATCCTGGGCCAGGCCGGCGAGGGCGCCGAGGACAAGAAGAAGAAAAAGAAGAAGAAGGCCAAGAAGGCCAACGACGAGTACCACGTCGACGCCGTCCTCGCTCTCGCCGCCAACAGGAAACACAGGAACCTGCTGGCCTCTGCCTCGGCCGACAAGACGGTCAAGCTTTGGGACCTGCACACGGCCAAGTGCGCCAAGTCGTACTCCTACCACACGGACAAGGTGTGCTCCCTCGCGTGGCACTCGGTCGAGTCCACCGTGCTGCTCAGTGGCAGCTACGACAGGACGGTCGTTGCCGCCGACATGAGAGCCCCCGAGGCCAAGGCGCCCAGGTGGGGTGTCGAGAGCGACGTCGAGAACATCCGGTGGGACCCCCACGACCCCAACTACTTCTACGTGTCTACGGAGAACGGAATTGTTCACTTCCACGATGTTCGTAATGCGCCGGCAACGCCCGAGGCGACCAAGGCTGTGTGGACGCTGCAGGCGCACGACGAGTCCGTTTCTTCATTCGACATCAACCCTGTTGTGCCCGGCTTCATGGCCACCGGATCAACTGACAAGACGGTTAAGTTGTGGAACATCCAGGCCAGCGGCCCGTCCATGGTTATTTCCCGCAACTTGGACGTCGGCAAGGTGTTTTCGACGCAGTTCGCGCCCGATCCCGAGGTCGCATTTAGACTCGCCGTTGCCGGCAGCCGTGGAACCATGCACGTTTGGGATACCAGCACCAACGCCGCAGTTCGGCATGCATTCGCTGAGCGCGTCCCCCAGAAGCCGGAAGGCGTCGAGGAGGACCGTCTCGTTGGTGTTCTGGATGATGACAGCAGCTCTAGCGAGGACGAGGGCGACGGCGAGGACGGCGAGCAGGACGGCGCTGACTCGATGGACGAGGATGAGGACTAAGGTGAAGAAGGCATACCATCATGTGGGTGCTCCACATGTATTGCCAGGCACAGCCTGCAAGCCGCCTGGTTGAAGATGACCCAAGAGAAACTCCCGTGGGCTGGGCCAGATGAATCGAAACAGCAGACCGAGTATCTCACCGGCGCCAGCCCAGGCGGCGGGAGGCCCCAATCACCAGGACGATGGTGACGATCCTGGGGCGGCGCCGTCGAGGGCGGGGGCAGTAGGACGGGCTAGAGGGTTCCGTGCTGGAGGGCAACATTCGAGTCGGGGTAATTAGTCTCAAACCATCCGAGGTTGGATACCGTCGTTAAAAGAGCAAGCAGCATAGACCACATCAGTTTCGTAGCGACAGGTAGCCAAGACTGTCAAATCATGGACTCAAACTGGAAACTGAATCGTGAGGAACCGTTCGTCAGAGACCGGTATATGTGAGTTTGTTAAAAACAAGTGAAACCCTGACTGTGCGGGCCGCCAACGTCGTTGTTGAACCGGCTGCTACCGTTGTGGTGAAGTGCTTCAGAGGGTCAAGGAGTGCTAAATCAGAATTGACATGTGGTGTAGGCACGGGACATTGGGTCACGGCAGCAGCCTGACAGATTCATGCGCACACCTGATGAAGGGGGTGACGTGGGTCAATATCAGATGTGGGACAAGCACGAAGGCGGGGGGGGCATCGCTCGAGGTCGACAGCGGTCTGTTCTCGCGTGTAATTCTTGTTGATACTGCTCGAGCGCCGAACGGGGTTCAGGTTGCAGCAGAAGCTGGGATGATGAGAAACTCATCGATGTGTGATTCTGAGTCGGTTGAGTTTTGGGGGGGGTTGGGTTTATTTTTGTTTATCTTAGCATCCACAGTCCCGGGCATCCTGCAAGCCAAGCTGCAAGAAACAGACAGACAAACGGAAAACAAAAGTCAGTTCCGGATCGACTTGGTTTCCACACCACCACTGGGCGGTTCCCCTGGGCGGTTCCCCTGGAAGATGCACAAGGGAAACGGAGCGCTGTGGAGGTGATGAACGAGTGAAATCACAGAGCACCAGCATGGATGCGCCGCTTGCGCAGGCACGCAAGGCACGCGGCGCCACTGGGATGGGATGGCGCAGGATGAAACAGTGAAACTTCAGGGGGGTCTGCCAACGGGCGAGGATGGCGGATGGAACACCTAGCCAATGACGCCTCGAGACGCAAGCTGCCCTCTGAAAATAGCGCGAACAGCCAGGAACCAGCGGCAACGAGCCCTCTCTTTGGCTACTGGGCTTTTTACCTGACGCTCATCTTGACTCCAAGAGGCGTCTACTCCAGTCACTGGTCCAACACCGAAGAAACCCACAAAGACATCATCGCCTAGCCCTTCATTTTCTCCGTCCGCGGCGCATCACACCACACTGTATCTCTACAGGGGTGAGATCTTTTCCCGGAGAAACCTGGCAGGTCGACGGTATTTCACGGCTCGGCCATCTTGGATCGCACAATCTTCTTCTAGGATGTAAATGAGTCGGGGCCCCGACGGGGCCTTTGAGTCGGGCGAAATGCCGGTGTACAGCCAGCTGTGAAGAGGATTGTCCCCGTCTCGAGATGCTGTCCTGATGGTGGCGTCGGTGGGAGACTCAGACCTGAGCAACTACACAACTGCCTGCCAGCCATGTCAGATTCCTTGAAGAAGGTATATTTGCTTTTGGTCGAGTTTCGCTTCCTTTTGTGTGCCGGTCAGTAGTTCGCTCGCACGCACTGTTATGGTCCATCCAGGGCAACGCGGCGGAAAAGACATGGCTGTCGCAGCCCAACACATGTACTGTACAGGTACGCCCCAGTGAGGTACATATGCGAACGCAAAGGTTGTTGTATGTGGTGTGTAGTGTCTCGACTATGTCAGTCTGAAGGTGTGCCCTAGAGAGGGGGATCCAATCAAGAGGATGGGCACGACAGCAACGGGTTGCGTGATGAGCTGTCAATAGGTAGGGAGCGAGTGACGCGCCGGACTGGTCTCGGCTCTGCTGGTCTGACGATGTCGGCCATTTTCCCCCTAGGAGGCAGATCATCACATCCGCTGTTTCCCCCTTGGGTGGCGGCTCAACAGGATTCAATGGCGGTTTGGGCTCGCGGTTTACACCGATCCAAGTCACATCCTAACGTTCGAGTCGTGCCGCTTTCCAAGTGTTTCTTGGCGGATGGGCGGCGGTTGTCACGCTGCAAGCCCTGCAGACGCATGGTTACATCTCTTCCCAGATGGATGGGTGGAGGGAGGGTCGTGGACGGCCCCGATCCCCGGAGTGAGTGAGTGACTGGTTGGCTGGCAAGGGGGAAATGAGTGGAGGGGACGGCCACAAGCACTCGAAAAAGAAGGGCGACTGACGACGGCAGAGACGGCCAGAAGAGAAAAAAAAAAAAGGTCGATGCAGTGTGGAAAAGACGTGGGAGAAAGGCGAGAAAGGACCAGGGGTTCGTGACGAATAGTAGCTGTCATTGGTGCAGAGGCTATCTTCTTTGGTCCATAGCGTTAAAAAGGTGGGACGCAGCAAAGTCGCGCGAACACACTGTGAGGGCCCAGGGGGCCATCCCCTCTTCCGGTCACCAAGGCCCCACCGTCAGCAGGGGGCAAGCGAAAAGGAAAGACGGCAAGGATGGCGCCAGGGCAGCTCTTTCCAAGTGGCAGTCTCCAGTCGTTGGCTCCAGTCCCTGCGAGGGAAAGCGTGGACAACCAACCAGAATGGGCGATAGGGCAATCAAAGAGCGACATGCCCCAGGTCCCAAAGCACCAGGACCCAGGGGGGCCCATTCATTCGTTTTTTTTTTGGGCCAGCAGCCAGGCAGGCCCGGCCCAGGGCAGGAAAAGGCAAGGAAGGCAAAGAGGAGAACGAGCCAGAGCTAGCTAGGAGCAGATCGCCTCGCCTCGCCGCGCCTGGCCTCGCACTTGCAATGCGGTACTAATTACTGTATATACGTAGTAGTATTATGGGTTGCTCTAGTGCTACTACCTACCTTACTGTGTGTGCCTGCTGTTCAACCGTCACCGACGAGTATTATTACTCAGTGTCCCTCCCACTCACGCCCTTGCCCACGCGCCCTCTTCTCTCCTTCCCTCTCCTTCAACCTTTTTCAATCCCAATATCGGAAGAAGGACCCAAACCTTCCCTTTCCTTTCCTTTCCATCAACGCATCATCGCTCCCTTTGTGTTGTGTCCTTCTATTCTTTGCGGTCTCATCATCTCTCCCTCTCTTACCAAGAAACTCGAGATACTGGAACCATTGTGCGTCGCGGGCTCGAACCTTTTTAAAGCAAAGAAAACCCACAGCGCAGCTATTACTACTACTCTTACTGCCATACCATCATCACTCCTTGAACATACCGCGCGACACGTTGACCGTTCTCCACCGGCTGGCTATTACTGCACTGAACCGTCCATCTTTACATGCAAACGACGCTTTGATCAACCCGCGTTGATCTGTTTTACTCACAGTCATTTCATCGACTCGAACCGACCAAGTCACAAGACGACTCACTTTCCTTTGCAACCTGCACCTACCTCATCCAGATCGACGCCGAACCACCGCCACCCGTACAAAGTACAAGTACCTCCAGGACTGGACTCCTCAACCTACAGTGTTTCGCACATAGCAACACAACGCAACCTGCGCAGGATAATCTGTCACGTCGTCATCTAATCATCTGTCTTGTTTCGTCTCAACACTACCGTGGACAGTCAAACGCACAAGCACACCGTCACGCTTGACCACCAAACCGTTCTCGGCGGACACTGCTACCGATCGCCCCCATCTCACCTCCTCGGCATTACTTTCCTGCTGCCCGCCTCACCTGCCACAAAAAGGTCACAGGTCCAATCACTTATATTACCACCGTCTGCCGCTCTTCGCACTTTATCGCTGCACACTAGGCTCTCCCTCCTGGACCAGGCGCTCGCATTCCACAACTGGACTCAAGCTCGCCTACTCTGACCTCGACACCTCGACTACAGTCAAAAGCCAGCCCAGAGATTCTCGTTGGCCGCCAATATGTCGTCTCTCTCTCGGGCCTTCACCACCCGTCGGGTGAAGAACAGCATCGACCTTTCCGACGCCGCACGGGGGAAGGAGCGCAGCACCGTTCTGCAGCGAAGCAAGACTACCAAGGGCCAGCCCGTCGTCAGGCACAAGATCTCTGCGCCCATGGAGCTCGTTCATACTACCAACATGCTGTCATACAACGCCCCCGATATTCTACCCCGAACCGGAACCGATACCTCCAGCAACTCGTCGAGGAAGTCGTCAGATGAGGACTCGGAAAGCGCCAAGTCGGCCGCCTCTTCTCCCCCGACCAGCCCCGATGTTGCGCCTCACGAACTGTCCAAGGAGCCGAACCACCTGTCCTGCTATTTCGTCGCGCCAGGTTCAGCCATCAACTCATCCACCATCCCCGACGTTCCTGTCCTTCCCACCATTCCCAAGCGTGCGCCCACGCACACGAAGCAGGCTTCATATGACGCCGTCGCCCGCCAGCGTTCCCTCTCGCAAATGTCCAAGGCCTCAGACAAGACGGTTTCCTCCAAGGCCAGCATGACATTCTCCTCAAGGGCCTCGTCTGGCTCTAGCGCAGCCTCCACAATGTCTCACCACTCAGTCGCACCCGCGCTCAAGACCCCCGTACCGCCAATGCCTACGCCTGCATTCCAGCACCAGCCGAGACAAGAGAAGGTTGCCGAATCGCACCCCTTCGGCCGCGAACTGGCCCAGGTCACAGAGATCGCCGAGGAGTTTGGCATCAAGGACGATGTCATGTATGAAGAGGAGCGCGCTCTCAAGGCCGAGGGCCTCTGCAAGTTCGCCGCAGAGGACTACCTGTCCGAAGTCCAAAGCCTCGTCACCAGCTTTTTCACCGACAGCCACACAGCCCAACGCTCGATGGCTGCCGCATGGATCTGATGCACCTGAACCGCCTGCTCGGTGCGCCTTGAGACTCTTCTTTGTACATAATTGGAAGAAGCAAAATTTCAACCGGACCTACGACCTCGGCCTTGCTTTAGGGGAGAGGATGAAAATGAAACATTAACTGGCTCGGAGGAGAACCAACCCGGACCGCGCGGATAGATTCTGTGCGAAGGGAGAGGCATTGCTCTGTTTGGGAATATTTACGCCCAGCTACATACTGGATAATTGGCGTTTCTGTGTATATACTTTTGAATGACGTGGAAGATATCCCCCCTATAGTGCCTAGTACAAAGGCACCTAACAAAATGGCTATTGACTCAACCGGCTGGTGCCCTTTCTGTTTCTGATTTTCCTTGGGCCTCGTTTTTCTGATTATGTTTCCATCTGGTTCATGTATGTGGTCCGTGGTGGTTGACCCAGAGTTTGCCTATGCATCACCCCAGCCCGTGCGCGCCTACCTTATTTTATCTTGAGATTTATCTACACTTCGTCGGAGCAGCAACGACAAGCACCAGTCTCGACTACAAGCTCACACAGGCTGGCGAGGGAACGGTGTGTGAATATGACGCACAGCCCGCAAATACCAGGCGGGCCAACGAACGAGCTCGCCTAAAACCTCGCGCGTGCTCTAGGAAAGGTTTAGCCCGACGGCACCAGGCCGAGCCCATCGAAAACAGCGTCGCCGGGGCTCAGCCTCTGCCGGACGCTTGAGCCGAAACCAGGGCTTTCCGAGTCGTTAGTGTCCGGTGACTGCGCCAACTGCTTCTTTGTCTGGATTGCTTCTGACAAAGCCACACAGAGCTAGCCCGGGGGAGCATCTTGGTCGTGACGCAGCCGGGAGAGCCTTGTTGCTGGGTGCTGTTGGACTGGCGCATCTGCGCAAAGTGGTATTTGTGATTACGGGCCGGGGACAGCGATGCAGTGGGATTGGGTGTATCAGATCACCGGCTTTGCCATCTTGATCGCGGAAGGATCGTCGGCGGTCGTCGTGGGGAGGAAGGATTTGCGGCAACACGGGGGGTTCGCGATTTTGTGTGGCCCAGATCCCTAACGCACATCATCTCTCGTTATGCCCGGCTATCTGTGCCGGCTGATTGCGAGGTTTGCTTGTGCCCAAAGCGATGCCACGCCGGTGATCAGTTCCGCTCAACGAGGTCATCATCTTCTTCATCGCGGGTAAGGGATCCGAAGGGTGATTCATGATGAAGCGACGGAAACGACATACAGGCATGCGGACATAGGTGGGAGCGGAAGGATACCTCCCGCTTGGTGTGCATGACGGAAGCAGTCCGGGATGGGGGCAGCCAATCTAGCCGATTGACGACTGCGACATCGACCCCATGTGACGGCTTCTTGGGTCGAAGTGGCTTTCCTCGGTGGTTGGCGCTTTGCATGCTTTTTCCCGATCTTGTCACCACGCGGGCATCTTCAGCAGGGCATGCGTGTTTCTGTCTCTCGGCTGATGCAGTGTCGGTGGTAAGAGGTTCCCGTCATGTGCTCGTCGTCTCCTGGGCAGCGCCGCAGAACCCATCACGGCCGAGACATGGTGTTTCCTGCGCCCTGATACTCGGAAAAGGAAACACTGGGCGGACGCAAGAACGTAGCCGGGACGACTGCCATGCACTGTGAACTGCGAAGTGCAAAGTGGGAAAAGGAAAGGGACGTCAACCGCAAACGATTTCATTTACATGAGAAAGTGGGGTCTGAGCCGGCGGTGGGATTGGAGGAACGGTTATATTTCCCACGGTCCGATGTCAAACTCAACTTTCTTCTCCCCATTGGGTGTCTTTTTTTTTTTTCAATTTGGCCGCTCATCAAAGACGCGCGGGCAACTCGAATCAACGGAGAAACACTCCCCAGCCACCGAAACCCAAATCCCACATCATCCAGGCCGCAAACGTTCGGTATTGGAGGCAGTGTAGGAAAGTGAAGTTGATGGCGGCGGTGCTCCGCGTCCCCACGCCGAAATTTCGTTTGATCTGCCTCCGGGATGCCTGGTCCACGCATGAACAATGCTTCTAGCAAGCGAGAGAAGACGGTGGGGACTGCAGCTGCCGATCCCCGCGAGGGCGGGACGGCCGCGGGCAGGGCGGATGTTTGATCGGAGGTCGGGGTTCTGAGGGGGGCGGGAAATTTTGGGGGCTGCCTTCATGTGCAGAATTTCCTTATTCTCGTCGCATCCCCCTTTCTTGTACCGTTCCTGCCGGCTTCTCGGAAGCATGCCTCGTCAATGCGATGCTGCTTCCCCCCCCCCCAGAACCTCGGAGATTTGACGGCGCATTACAGTGATCAGATGCGGGATCGGCGGGATGTCGGCAGGTTATTGACTCCTTGCCATAAGGGAGATGGGCGTGTGTCGGGGACGAGGTACGATCGAGAGGGCTATAGAGCCCAGAAGCGTGTAAGTGTTCACTGGCCGCCATCGTTTTTGGCCTTGTCCCAGAGCGTGGCACTGCGTTCGAAAAGCCAAGCACAACACGCAAACTTTCTTCTGCCGTTCATCGCATCTCGTGTTCTGGACCATCGCCCCCCAGTTATTGATCGCGCAAACGGTGCCGCGGGGCGTCGTGCACGGCGGGGATCTCCCTCTGCGGGAACGCACCGTGTCCAAGAGAGGAGCCACGCTCGCATGCGCGCGCCTGCGCATGGAAAATCCCAAATTGCCGGGAACGGGGGGATGACCAAACTTTGGGCCCGGTGTTTCGGGGACCCAAATACACGGCGCCCTCGCCGCCGAGACCCGGAGGGTTCGGAGCGTGACGCTCGGTACCTGAGCCCGCGCGATGACGTTGGAAGCGAGTATCGGCGCAGCGAGATACGAGAAACCCAAATAGAGAGGAGCGAAAGTCAATCACTATTAGGGGTAGCAATTCAATGTCAAACGGTGCCAAAATGCGGTTCCGGCTTTCCACGTTCAACCCAATCAGCCTCCTGAACCAGGTCCCCAGGTATGGCGGGAGCAGGTGTCGTGCCCTTTTAACGTTCTGCCATGCGCCGGTGGCACTACCCAAATGCTTTGCTGGGTCCCGTCAAATACAGCGTGGCATGTTCAGTTGTTTGACCCGCACTGCAGGGTGCTAGAGCCAAAGATTAAACCATCCCGGCAGGGGCCTGTGTTTCGATTTGGTTGATTTCGGCCTGCGGCTCCATCAGCAGTCTGTCGAGTCTGCATACGTTGCGCCGGTACTGAAACCCACCGCTTCTGCTTCTTCGCTGGGGGCGCGTTTCCAGGGTCCGCAAAAGCTCCGACCTCCCGAAGAGCGCTCGGCACGTCCGATGCCTGCCACACTTTCTCTTGCCGTGCTCTCTTCATACTTGACGCCTAGCTGCTGCTCTCTGGACTGCTGCGCTGCGTCGAGCGGGTGCATTGTGACGACAAGCTGAAGCCAAGACCATCGATTGTGCCAGTCACACTGGTGTTGGTCGACTTTCCATCTTGTTGTCCCAGCCAGGTATGGATGTCTTCTTGTCCCGCACGGTGTTCTCTGTAGAGCTTGTCCGATATGAACTGGCATCCGCGGAACCGCGTTTCCCTTTGTATAGGAGAAAATCAGACAGAGACTTGTTTTGTTGTCTGGAAAGGACCCGAGAACATGATGACGGTCTATGCCGTGACTCTTCCTCCTCCGAATACCGTTTGAAATCGATACTTCACCCGCACTCACGTGGTGGACAGGCTTCAGTCTGATACTGTTTGGCAACCCACGTGCTTTCGTAGTCTCGTTTACGGGGTGCGTAAGAATATGCTAATATCGATTATCATCATCAACGTTTGGGCATGGGCACAATGTTTACTAAATGCGATGCCAAACGGTGTAAGTCGAGGGGTGGTTTCAGAGCGGTCGCCCAAGGAGGAACTTTGTGCATCGAAATCCGGAAGCCTAGATGTGCCCCACGAGTACACGAACTACCACGACAGCCCCATGCCAGATCCTGGTGAGTCTTTTCTTGATCTTGTGGAGTCGTTCTGAACTCAATGCGATTCCGGCCCGCTGGATACGGTATGTCGAGGGATCCAGATGCTAAAGATGTGAGCTCTTCTTTTCCTTTTTCAACTTGGTGTTAGTCGCGGTGTTTCCTTAGGATTTAATATAGCTCCAAACACTGCAGCGAAGACTAACAGAACTTGGGGTGTAATGTTAGAGATCAAGTTCGGGGTCGGCTTCGGGAAGCCGAGGGCAGCCTTGTCCCAGCCCTATGACTATGGTGTGCTGGCGTCCGTCGCCCATTAAACCCATGATACTGGCTCTCTCTCTTAGAATAAATGAGAAACACTCTGCAGGAGCGGCTAGTGCGCCGAGGAAAGGTTACAAGGATGCCTTACAGGATTGACGGTTGTGCTGATCGCGAGGCCAGACATTGACAGTAGCTGTCAACAACCGCAGGGGAGCTGCTCCGTCAACAACCCAGGCGAGTCTAACAAGGTCTTCGTTTTACTGTTTACTTAGTGAATTAGTGAAAACTTGTTTAGGCGCCGATATTCAGTAAAATGGTAGGGGATGATAAGTTGCGGCGAGGTCAGTAGTCATGGTGGGACTGAACACCAAGATGAAGTGGCATGTCCGATCAACCCGAATATTCACAAAACATTATCCTTTGGTGTCTCCGAATCGCCGCTTGACTATGAACATATCCTCTTCATCATTATCGAGGCTGAAGGGTGTTGAGAATAGCCATGCCAACATATCAGTCACATGCGAAGAAAATTCACATCATAGTTCTGTGCATAGTTTCTGCGGTAGGTTGCACAGAGAAAAGGTACGTAGAGAAAGGAAGGAACTCCAGACTATTGAAGTTTTCGAAATATAAAGAAATCGACTCTGGCCTCAATCGGCGAGGACCGCCATTGGCATCCCCTGTGTGATAGCAGCCTATGCCAGGATGATAATCATGCAGCCTGGAATCGATGGCATAACGGACGATGGGGCGCTGTACTGGACTTCAGCCAACCGAAAAGGTCATGTTTTAGCACGGAATCCAGTTGAGGGGTAGAAAAAGATCCAGCGATCGTCGGCAGAAAGGGACTTTGGTTCTGGTGTGTCTGCTCGGAAGTTGGATTAGACGACATTGAAGCCTCGGCAAGTGACCATGTGAATAGAGTGGCTGCGGGAGGTTGATAGTGGGTCAAGTCCGACGGGAAGGACTTCAGCGGGTGACAATTGCTGATTGGTCTCAGCCACGATCTCCGCCAGACCATACTTCCCCATCGGTGTCAACGGCCACAGCACGCCACAGGCGCCAGCCAGGGGATAAGCTCTGGAACGTGATGGTCCCCTGCAGCTGCGTTGATGGGAGCTGTGCGCCAGGCTCAGCTTCGTTTCGTTTTGTTTCACCACCACTCGAGGAGCTCGACGATGTCGCCCTTCCCCTTCTTCCCTCGACAAACACGAAGGTGAATGGACGGCCAATGGCACGCATATCGCTCCTCAGATTCCCGAACAAGCTGCGCCGGCGCGTACGCAGGAATCGAATGGCCACCCTGCTGGCCCTCCTCGCCCTGGTCGTCCTCCTGGTCGTGCCCTTCTACATCATCTACAAGCCCCGGCGTCTCTCATCAACTACTTCGCCCGACGATGGCCCGACGTTCTCTGGCAGGTCTCGACGGATAAGAAGATTATCGGCCTGACGATCGACGATGCACCATCCCAGCATACCTCCGAGATCCTGAAGGTCCTCAAAGAGAACGACGCCCACGCCACCTTCTTCCTCATCGGATCGCAAATGGACGGCCGCGAAGCAGACATGGATGCGATCATTGAGTCTGGAAGCGAGCTGGGAAATCATGCCATGCACGACGAAGCTTCGCGATCCCTACCCGACGGACAACTGGAGTCGGAGATATTCGAGGTTTACCGGAAGATCAAGGTCGCATACGAGTACCAGGATAAACCCCTGGTGGCCAGCTACTTCCGACCGGGCTCGGGCTTCTTCAACGACAAGATGCGGCGACTGGTCGACAAGATGGGATACAGGATGGTCTTGGGCAGCGTATATCCGCACGACGCTCAGATCAGCTCTTGGCGGATGAACGCCAATCACATTCTAAGCATGGCCCGGCCCGGTGCCATCATTATCTGCCACGACAGGAGGAGCTGGACCGTTCCCATGCTGCGAAAGGTCATTCCAGAACTCAAACGACGCGGCTACAGGATCATGAACTTGACGGAGTTGCTGAAGGAAGTCGACACGGACAGATGAGCCTTTCGTCATTCCACAGTTTGTCGTTCATTACATGGAGATTACATGGCGACATTACAAAATACTCTACTGCACTTGCACCTACCCGCGGGCCCCGCCTCGATCTCGATGGCGTCCATGAGAGTCATGTGAAGGGTATCGGCAACCGTGAACGGTGTGCGTATCTACGGCCGGAGCTGGTCTCGGCTGCAGCATCGAATCGCTGAGAATGCGAGCACCATATTCGCGTCACTACACCCGGGATGTACGCGGCGCAAACCCGTGTTTTCTTGAGGCAGCATGGCCAGGGCAAAGACTTTACCCACCTGGTCCAGACCTCTCATACACAAAGCGTCGGGTTTCAGCATGATCGAGGGTCGCGAAATCGCGGCTTCGTGGACTGATGAGGCATGGCTTCCTTTCTGCTGTTTTAGCGAGGCAACACAAAGAAAATGTGCTACAAGACTGCGGCGCCACCAAGTGAGACCCCTAAGAAGAGCTGAGATGGGTGGTACACGGATCAGATGGAGGTGTACGCAGAGTATTGACCACGGTGCAGACAAGGAGGATTGTTGTACGATGGGGGCTATTGATTACATGCTGGTATCCGTGAGGGAGTCGGAAATGAAAGCGCCACATGTGTTTTACAGAGTCTGAATTCCAATGTATGCCCAAGAAGGGCCCATCCGAGTACCAGTATTTTCCCACGCAGGTAGCCGTTGATCCATGGGAAAATGGAGCATAAACGCCTAGTCTCATCTATACCTCTGGGACAGAAGCAATGGCGTGTGTGGTTGTCTATCAATAAACCGCTAGAGCCCGATCCATCGGTCAACTGCGATACAAGATTCTGCAGATACCACATCTCATCACACCAGAGGAGCATTGCAAGCGGTCTCCAGTGTCTACTTCGCCAAGACTGGTCTAAGTAGCAGCGTTGAAGTCTTGTTGGATAAAAATTGATGAATGGTCTTACGCAATGTGTGGTGATTACAACCTGTACGACCCCGAAGCCATACCCTCGGAAAACTTACCAAACAGCACCAGATATTTTTGGCTACCAAGAAGGACACGACCTGAGGGAGCCGAAAAGCTTGCAGAATGTGTTAGACACTTCAGTTGGAAGCATGATTTATGTAGACGGAGAAGGATATCGGATCAGATCCTCGGACTCAATATTAAGTGAGCCGCTCAGCTGATCTCTGTTTTTCGTGAGGAGCAGTACTTGTGTCGCGTCAACGACGTGATGAAGACCAGGTACATGGCTTACATGCTGAAAGCAAATGAGAGGCCTCCAAAGGAGAGGTTGGCATCCACAAGACCAAGAAATAACGTAAAATGGTAACTCTATGAGGTGTAACAACTGGAAGCGGAGGGGAAAAAAACAAAAGCCTAGGTATGCAGTGAGAAACTCGAGTTGCGACCTTGCAAAATTCTTCAACCTAATCAATTCTGGATTTCATCATCAAGTTCATGTCAAAGGATAGGGCGCTGTACCTCAAGACCACTGGGCTTTTGGGGCTTGTTTGAGAAGAACGGAGGGCAGGTTGGGCATAAAGGGACCGAAAGCACTCTCTCTCCTTCCTGTTCATGTCCCCTGGATGTTTTTCACGTCATGTCCCATCCCATCTACTTCTTTGTTTTCCCCCTTCCTCATCAGACGGTTCTGACTTGTCTGAGGGTTCTACCGGTCTCCATCATAGTTTCCACCAAAGACTCAGGCTTGCCGTCGTCCCATAATGCTTCTCAGACTGGCAAGATTTAGACGAAACTTCACTCTCAAGCTGTCTCGTTTGCATGAATGGAGTCTGGACGAACGTCTCGACGCCAGGATGTGCGTCGACCAACATCTCCTCTATTCTGGTCTTTCTGGCCGAGCCAACCCGCATGAAGAAAACGCGTCAGATACGACCGCCGACACAATGAGCTCAAAGACTCAGAAAACTCACGTCATAACCGAAGCCCTGAAGGGGGAGACCATCCATGTCCCAAACCTTTATGACATTTTGAAGGGATGGCCGATCAAGGCCAACGTCAACTACGAGCGCCTCATCCCTGTCGTTGAAGACGCTTTTGAGCAGCAAGTCCAGCGCAATTTGTACTTTCAAAGAAGAAGGAAACTTGACTGACTTTATCCTCTACGGTTAGTCTCGTCAAGCCGTCCAAACTGCGAGAGAATTACCGGAAGGCGGATTATGCTCGCTTCGTCAGTCTGTAAGCGGCGCCCTTTTGCTATAATCTTTAGACCACTGATCCCATATTCGCAGGTACTACCCTCATCCAGAATGGGAACAAGTTCGGACCTTGGCTCTCTATATCGTCTGGTTGTTCTGCTGGGACGACGCCATCGACCAGCAGGGAACCGGCGAGTTGAGCAACGACATCCTCCGTGCCAAGGCATATCGCGACAGCACCATCAAGCTGCTTGAGTATGTCCTCGACCTTGCGCCCAAGGCCGGATCAGACATCGAGTTAGACAAAGCAAATGTCGAGTTGAAGGTGATCGGAGACGAACTGAAAAAGGCCTACTCTCATGGTGAGGCTCGACACCCCTGAATATTGGAGCCATGGCTGACCCTTGAACAGAGCAGAGGCAGATCTTCATGAACCAGATGCGGCGCTACATCAACAACTGCCACGAAGAACAGATGATGCGTCTGCAGGGCACTCTTCCCGGTATCAAGTCGTACTCAGAGCTTCGCCATGGCACGGCCGCGGTCTGGACTCTGTGCGCTCTCATCGAGTCAGTCGCCCGAGAACATGAAGTCTTCGGACCCTATTAATGAGTGTAGCAGGTTTGGTCTATCAGATAACATTCCAGAGCACATTCGATACATGGGACAAATCCAAACCATATGGTCTGAGACAAGCAGGGCTATTTGGATGTAAAGTCACCCTTTTTTCTGCTTAGCAGTACGGCGGCTGACCAACTGACAATTTATAGCACGAATGATATACTTTCCCTCCGCAAGGAAATTGTACGTGTCCCTCTTTCCCTTGTTATCCATCCCATTATCCTACGTACTGACGCACACGAATAGCCCAAGGAAGGCAACGAGAGCATTGTGAACGCCATTCCCATCCTCATGAAGCATGGGGGTAAGTCCCCTCAGCAGGCCGTCGACGCTCTTCTCGCTGAGCTGGTCACCTCCGTGGCAGCTTTTGAGGCTGCTGCCATCACTTTAGAGGAGGCGGTAGGTGAAGAGAGACGGGGGATGATGAAGACCTACTGCGACGCCTGCCGTTGCATGGTCACGGGATCCATACAGTTCTCGTAAGTGCTTATTCTCAACGGTAAGAATGCACCAACTGACTCACTTCGACAGACTCGAATCATCCCGCTACAAGCTGGAGGGCTGCCTGAACGAAGACGGCTCCCTGGATATCTTGTTATAAGATGAGATGGGGATAGGGGCTTAACAAAGATTCGGAAAGGCGGAAAGTTGTTGGATAGATACCCCGTGCGGCGACCGACGTTGGCTGAGCTGCGCTTGCTTTGATTGAGCTTCAGCTTGATTTCCGCTTGGCCCCTTTGTCGAAAGCAAATATTTACGACGACGGAATAAACAGACGCTGGCTCAAGGGGCTTTCGTGAGTTCGAAAGAACGAATGAGGCCCTCGCCATGCATAGATAACTAAGGACTGGCATGGCCCCTGATACATCACCTCTCAAAGTCTATTGTTTCCAGCTAAAATGAGACCAGGTGCCATGTCAGCTGCTTGCAAAGCCCGAAGAACAATAACAGCAACTGCCACTCTTCTTCAAACCTTGAAAGGTCTCTGATCTATCAGCCTGCAATACTCTACCAAGTAGCCATCCTTTGGGGAACTTCAAAGACACGGCGTCACTGAGCAGACAGGCAGCCCTCAGACCCTCTTCTTCTTCTCCTCCGCCAACTCCTTGAAACCCTGCACAAGATCGTCCCTCAGGTCCTCCCACCCCTCAACGCCGACGCTGACCCTCAGCAGCCTCTTATCGCAGCTGCTGTCGCTCATCGCACGCCACTCAATCAGACTTTCGACGCCGCCTAGCGAGGTCGCGTGGTGGAAAAGAGCCATCTTGCTCGGCAGCCTCTTGGCGTCCTCGGCGTCCTTTAAGAGGATCGCAAACACGGGGCCGAACCCGCCCGGCATCTGCTTCGCCAGCCACCCCTTGCCGTCTGCCAGGTCCTCCTTCTGCAGGCTCGCGTGCACGACCTTGTCGACGACGCTGCCCACGGCGCCCGCGGGGTCGCGCCGGATCTCCTCGTCGAGCCAGCGGGCGAGCGCCGTCGCCGAGCGGGACTGCCTCTCCACGCGCAGCTCCAGCGTCCGCATCGACCGCACGCCCAGCCAGCCCTCCATGCTCCCCATCACGCCGCCGATGAAGCACCGCTCCTGGAACAGGCTCGGCACCCACTTGTCCGCGTGCTTCGGGTGGACGGCCAGCACGCCGCACAGCATGTCCGAGTGGCCGCCAAAGTACTTGGTCCCGGAGTGCATCACCACGTCGGCGCCGAGCTGGAACGGGTCCTGCAGCGGCGGCGGCGCAAACGTCGCGTCCACCGTGAGGTATGCCCCCTTGCGCTCTGCGACCTCTTTGAAGTAGGCCAGGTTCCGCGCCTCGCCTGTCGGGTTCAGCGGCGTCTCGACATGCAGCACGTCGCCGGCCTCGAGCTGCTCCAGCGACGCCTCGTCGAGCTCGAGCTGCTTCAGCCCGTTGAGCTTGGTCAGGATCTTGATGACGCCGTGGCAGCCGTGGTAACCCTCGCCGATGGCGACGCGCTTCGGGTTCAGGTGGACGAGCATGGCGTGGAAGGCCGACAGGCCCGAGGAGTAGGTCAGCGAGGGCCCGCCGAGGACCGAGGTGAGGATGGCCTCGAAGCGGGTCGTGTTCGGGGTCGTGTAGCGCGAGTAGACGTGTGAGTCGCCCGGGGCCTTGGGCTGTTGAGGGGGTCAGCATCTGAATTGGCACAACCTCGACTCTCTCTCTCGCTCTCCCCCTTCTCTTTCTCTCACTCTCTCTCTCACTCTCTCACACACATACACGTCGGCTCCTTCACGACAACATGAAACGCAGAGCGAGAGAGACTGAGCAGCAGGAAACTTACATCCACATTGTCCCCTGGCCGCAGCTCGTCCGGGTTGCTGTTGTACTTGAACGTCGTGGAGACGTGCATGGCCGGCGCGACGGCGCGGTGGGCGCTGATGCCGTCGTCGGCGTGAACGGTGCGCGTGGCGAATGACAGCTTGCTGACGCCGGACGACAGATCCGAGCCGCCGGCGGCCCCAGTTCCGGAGGAGGCCGGGGTGCCGTTCGTGGGATGTCTCCAGCCATTGCGTGGGAACGTGGGCGGGGTTTCTTTCTTTACTTTCCTTTCTGAACTTTCTTTTCTCTTAGATGAGGGGGGGTGACTGTTATGTTGCAGCCAGACCTGAGGTTTCACCGGATGAACAGGGCGGAGGTCTATCTAATGTTTGGAGAGGGTCCCGAGGTATTAATCCCAAAAGGAAACGGGAAAAAATGAAGAGTCATCGACGTCCGGCTTGGATGGTGATGAGAGCGGCGGGCCGGCGGAAAGAACCCCTCTGCCCCTCCATTACGTATCCGAAGGTGGGGTCGCAAGCAAACCCCGAAGATGGGTCCTGGTGCGATGAATGCATGATAGCTCGCAATCTTTTTGATCTCATGTCAATGAGCGGCCTGGCGATTGGAACGTGCCGCCGGGAATGTCTCCGCCAGACCTCCGGTATTCGGATTCTTAATTCCTTAGATTCCCAATCACTTTCAAGGCCAAGACGTTACTTGTATTCACTTCAAATACTATTGCCACTTACCCAAGGGTCTTTCCACCAACCCAGCGACGGCACAGCAGCGAAGTGGTGTCAAAACGGTTATCATTATCATTAGGGAGCTTGTTTCTAGACGCCTGGTCTCAAAGCTCCGCCCTTTAGGCCTACTTACAGCCACCCGTATATGCATAATGCGGCTAGGTCCAGTGAGGGTCTGGGTTGTTAGCCCTAGTTCTAACCATTTCATAGCGAATGCGTCCCGTACATAGAGACATAGCCCAGCCAGTAACGCCAAATCCCATGCCGTCGAGGGCTCGCACCGGCTGGTTGAATACACAAAATGAGAACGAAAGCCAGGCGCACGATCAGTGGACTTCAGTTGTTTCAACTGACGCTGCCGACTTGGGTCGCTCGATGGTGCCCAACTCTGAACCTTGCCCACTCTGACCACGCTTCCTTCCTGCGCCCGACAGGAACCGCGTGACACTTGAGTTAGGCGAGTTGGCGCTCGGCTCTTTGTGGTCAGAGTCACCGAAGCGCGAAAACAAGCCGCGCATGCGGCTGGGTTGGTGTTGCTGGTGCTTCTGGTCGTCCAAGCCCACGTCCTCAAAGCCCTCCTCGGCGGTGGGCAGGTCCCGGTCGGCTCGCCTGTCAATCGCGGATCGAGGTAGTCGGGGGTAACGGGCTGAATCGAGACTCTGGCGTGCCGGGAAGTCGCCTTGGGGAATGGGGGACCGTGCTGTGATATCCTGCAGCGCAAATGCGGTCAGTGATGGCGCCAAATCGAGCAGCGTTGGCTTGGCGACAAAGTTCAACATACAAATGATCGCCTGTACGAATCGAAAGATTCTCTCGAAATGGAGAAGTGCTCGATCTCGCCGCTGTCATTGCGGGTGTCTGTCGAGTTGCGACCCGAGCCGAGGTACTTGCGCGGCCACAAGGCCTTTTCTTCGGTTGGGGATGGCTGCGCACATGCGTTAGCAAATGTCTCAAGAAACGATGGAGGTGGTCGGGAGGGTGCATACCGGCAGGTAGACTCCACTGTCGTTCACGACTGTAACGCAGATAAACAATCAGTCAATTGGTCTCATGATGGTCACAATTCGGGATGTGTGGTGAGGTGATGCGTGGGGGCGGGCGTTTGGGCGGAAGCGCCTACCACTCATTTTGTATTCGCCGTTGTCCTGGCTCTTGGAGCTTCTTATGCTCAGCGAAGATGAGGCCTTGGAACCCACAGTGTCCTGCTTCTCAAATCCGGGATGCGACGGTTTATGGTCGTCCGGTCGCATGTTCTCATCCCCGACTGAGGCGTGAATGGCATGGCCCGGACGGCGGGCAAAGGGGTTGCGAATAGGCATGGCGGAGGATGGTGGGAAAGCGGAATCGTCGGGTTGTCTGGTTTTCGAGGTGCAATGTTCAACGTCAAGCAATAGTGTAAGAGGTTGAAGCCAGGCGAGGATGCAAGCTCGGTAGGGGTATACAGAGAGAAAAATTGACCAGTGTTGTTTTGGGTCGTGTTGGAGTTTCGAGGTTGATGCTGGAACCGTTTGACAAAGAACCCGATCAGTGGAGCCAGAGGGCGGGGGTAGGGTAGGCGGGATGGCGATGAACTATATGGCAATCTTAACCGTATCGTTGGTCGGGTCGAGGTTTGCTGATCTCGCTCCAGTGCTGTTTGAGTCGTTGCAGTGTGCCAGGGTCCGGTCTTGGGTTAACCGTCAGATGGTGGCTTGGATGCGCAACGCCTGGATGGATTGGGTCTGGAGTCTGGGCGAAGGATGGGCGCAGGAGGATAGGTGAGGCGCAAGGTAGATGGAGACGGGGACTGGAGAATGTGGGTGCCGCTGTTGTAAGTTGAGGACGTAAGAGGGACGCGAGAGATTGGACGCAAGAGGTGCTGAATCGAGGGAGACGGCAGAGAGATGTCAGCTAAAGTACGTTTGAGGCAATCTCATCGGGCGGGAATCTGCAGGTTTTGGGCTGTGCTTGCACTCCCCTTCCCTCCCCTTGTCCCTGCCATGTCTTTCCCTTCCCGCCCCGCGCCAACACCACGGCCACACTTGCTTCCTTTCCTTGTGCCACCGCTTCCTACCCATCTGCCTAGGTACGCATCCACAGCAATATGTACGGATACACGCTACTGCCCCTCGGGGACTAGATGCAAGGGGGCACTTCAGACTTGCAAGTGACGAATGACCCTCTTGCAGCTGCATCTATTGGATCATGAGGTGGTGAGGTGAGGGGCCGGCTTTCGCTGAGGGGAGACATTCCGGACCGGACCTGACCTTGCCATCATCTTCAGAGCCGAGTGGGAACTTGGAGTTTAGGGGACCTGGTTGGGTCCGAGGTCCCTAAACCATGGAGGTGTGCAACATGCACATGTTTCCCATCATCGACTTTGCTCTGCAGATCAGCACCAGGACCCAACGTCACACCCAACATCGCAGCAGCGTCCTCGCGGCCATGCCCATCAGTGGGGGCAAACGACAGGGAGAGAGCAGATGATTCCGACGAGAATTGAGTTTTTGATGGCTACAGGTACACTACAGTGACGGGACGGGGATTCGGAAACCCGGGAAACTTGGAACGAACCACGAAACTACCCGGGGCCCCGAGGAAAACATACCTGGGTCACGTTTAAACATCAAGCTCGGTGGACGACCGGCCGCACCGAACCGGTTGTGAAGCCCTCGTAGGACAGGGGACCTTGGTTGATGACATGTGTCTGTCTGTCCCATATTTCCCTGCCCATGTCACTCGTGCCCTTCAGCCGCCACCAGATGATGATTCCAAGCTTTCTCTGGATTACTGAGCACGGGTACTTGGGATGCCACCTTGATTACAGCAGCGCACGAGGTACCTCATACCGTTCTGTGGGCTTGGGTTCTCCTTCCATCGGCAACTTGGCAGGGTGCCCTCCCTTCTGGAAACTTTGACGAGATGGGGTGACACTTGCCGTCATCCACCTTGTCCGGCCCAAACTTCAGCGCCATGTCCCCACCGCAGCCTGCCCTGATTATCCTTGTGCTCCTTCGTGGTTACAGCGGTTAAATGGACCCACCACTCAGAGCGCGCGCATCGTTGAGTAGGCCGAGACTTCTTCCAAATCTGGGCAGAAAAGGGCCACCTCTGATCGGTCACAAGTGTCGACTCTGGGGCCCCCCAAGGCACATCGGCGGTCCCTCCATTCTCACGAACACGGTACTGAACAACCACCCGCGTACCTCCATCTACAGTGCGAATGCTGACGAGCTTGCACATGTGGATGGTGCGCCCCGGATGTCCCGGCACCACGGCCGCAGAGGATACTTCCCAATGATCGGCGTGCCGATTTTTCCTTGTCCTGCCACCGCCCTCGGCGGACCTGCATCTTGTCCGTCTAACCGTCCCTGATTGACCGCATCGGAACGTAATGCGCAGAACGCGTCTGCCCGATACATGACGCCTTGCCCAGGCTAGGTGCGATCCAGACGGATCATCGACTTTCCGAACGGGGAACGGGTTCGGTCGTCGCCGTGGTCGGAGAACGCCCGACCTGTTCTCCACCACCACCGCTCGCTCACCTTGACCTCCAAACTGATGCTTCCAGCGAAGTCGGCCGTTTGGTTTTGCGAGTGCTGCAAGTGCACGTGATGGATTTCGGTCTATTGCCGGCCAGCACTGCTTACCGAGTCGTTGGCACGTCGTGCTAGTGTACCAGCCCGGAGGACGATAGGAATACAGATGCTCGAACTGAATTGACATTTGTTGCGACTCTCGATCAACCACGAGTGGAAGGTGAGTGACTCGGTTAAGACGATGACCAAGATGGGTGAGCGTCTATCAGGAAAACATCGAAGACATTCTCGCCCTCTTAAGTAGGCCATCGGGCTCTGAGGGGTGCAGCCATTATTTTCCAGGACCCAACATCCGCATGCGGAATACACTCCCCATGGCCTCACCACCAATTCTCAAGATCGCCTCATCGTTGGATCTTCTCTCCCAAGACTCACCGGACTGTCGCCCTTGCTGGTCAGAGTCGCTCTCGCGCTTGATAACAGGACGGGGAAAGGCTTGAGTCAGCCGGCGTGGGAGATATTTGCAATTCTTCAAATGCAAGAGGTGCCCGGGCAGGTCTAGGCCCATGTGCCGTGTTCCGTGTTTCGATATCGCAAGCCGGATCGGGTCATTGTCGAAAGCTGCTGTGCGTGGTGGTCGCAGTCTGGTTGGTATCCGGGAACATGGGCACACCAAAACGGTCCGAGTCGCACCTATCAACGAAGCAGCTAACGGCCGAGACTTTCCCCCCAGCTCTAGACATCGGCGATGAGCGGAAAAGGTCAACATTGCGCTGCGACAAATACTCGAAGCCTAGACTTGGTTAGGTAGACCAGCCCTGCCGCCTACATTTCGTGGCCATCGTCAGCAAAGAACTGCTAGTGTTGTGAAGCTCACCATCAAGGCCGGATCGGGCCAGGTCTACCACGCCTATCTCGGAACACTTCTTTGTTGCGAAGCGATCGCCAGAACATCCTCCGATACCAAAAATGTTGTTCAGATGCCACGTCGCGCTTCACACGGGATAGCTTTCGCCGCTGGCTAGGCGCCTGCGCGACGCCTTTGTCTTCGAGATCGATCCTACGACATTGCCATCCCTACCGAAATCATTGCCATTGGCGTCTGATCTGTTTCCCATCTGTCAAGTTGTGTCTAACAAAGCTCCCACTTCAACTTGACCCATGACGAGACCGCGGCTCGGTTCTACATTTTTGATCGACGTGCATAAACAAAGGAAGCCGTGAACTCGACAGGAAGTCTCTAAGATTTGTGGGAAACGTTGAACTTGGGGTGTATCGGCGGGCATGTTCGTTACTTATGCGCAAGCTACAGTTTCACAGGTTGAGGAGGTGTCATGTATCGCTGCACTCAAGTTGTCTTGACCCTGACTATGCGACATTTGAGCTACCATCGGTGTCACAATAACCACAACCAACAGGCGCGTCACGACTGGCGCCTCGATCAAAGGGTTACGGATCAACAACCCCAAACATGATGCGGTTTTACTCTGTCAGTTGCTCACGGCAGACATTTGCGTTGTTGTCGTGTCTAGCCCCCTTTGATATAGTACTAGACTTGGCAGTCTCCCGTCCCAGCACCCGTCATTTTGACAATTTTCAATAATGTTTCTCAGAAAATACGGTCGAAGAGTGTTCAGGCGCCGAGTATATGCCAAGATTTACATAATGCTGAGACGCATGTAATTTCGAATGTCTGTGAGAAGGCAACCAAGTCCGCGCCTAGCAACCCGCATTGACACCAAGCGTCTACACAACCCACCTTTCTGGGGCCTTCAACCTCGACAGCTCGTCGCCGGGCTCAACGGGTTGATGTCTGTTCTCGCCATCCCTTGGTGTTGGACCTCGTTGCGGTGCACTAGGCCGGCACCATACTCGCCAAGGTACCTAGGAAAAGAAGCACATGAAATGATCAGCACTCGAGCGTCCGAGCAGATCGTCCGAGCAGATCGGACGATGAGGGTTTGCTGCACAGCGTTAAATGTTGTCACAAGGAGGTTGAAGCTAAAACACGTCCTTTCGCCGCTCAAGTCGCACTCGATCCCACGGTTCCCGTCGCTTGCCAAGACCACTGGTCGTTTTCAGGTCGATATCGCCTTGGCTCCACCCGCGATGCGATGCTATGTATGCGAAGCAAAGCAAAGCACATACTCTTTCGCATACCAACTGCAACGTGCGGGAGCAAAGACGAAAGATCAGCACGCAAGTGGGATCTCCAGGGGCAGCGCGACTGAAGGGGCCCGTAACCCACCGAGGCGGTGCATCACATCAAATCCGTTCCTGCGTCGCGCTCCCGCTACCTTTATCGGACGAAAGCCGGAAGCAACGGTCTGAAAGTACTGTATCAACAGAACGCAGCGCAGCAGACGTCGAAAGGATCAAATTTGATGAAACCAGAAAGCATGCGCCAACTTTGGAATGCTAGAGGCCATGTCTACGACGTCGAGAAAGGGCACGGAGATTCTGGGCAGGCAACGAACCACGCCAAACAGTACAAGAACGTGGCAGAAAGTGGCTTGATTGCTGCCGCAAACATGCAGCAGAACACAGTCGAGGTGGATGAGGACCAGGGCGAGACAACAGCTTGTCCAGGGTTCCGTCCCGGTCTGGAAATCAGGTGTGGCTTGCCTTCCGCCCATCCTTCGGTGGTAAGCGGGCAGGGCTAAGGTAACCCGCGCCGTACCTTGCATTCCGCAAACGGCCATTGGGACCACTGCCATCGTCTAGCTCCTGTGTCCATCGTCAATCCCCCGCAACTCTCTTTCAGAGGTAGCGTCAAGCTACGGATTCGCACTTTCAATTTTTGCAAAAGCAGGCCTTTCCGTGCCAGTCGGCCACTGTGCCCGGCCGAACCCAAGCATTCTGACATGGCGGCAATGCAAGAGCAAGGCTGTTGACTGAGCGAGAGCCTCCCCAAACCGCCGTCGACTAAACGCAAACAGGTCTAGTAACTTGTCGCGATCCGCGACATGGGGGTCTGAGTGAAAGAGCAAGGATGACCCAGACTGATGCCCTGCGCCGGGCATGGTGAGTGCGGGAGCTGCGCTCGGGAAACCTCACGAGCTCGTTCCTACCACACCGACCTGTACTCTCCTTTGGGTGGTCATCGACGGACATGGCTGTACTCACTCACTCGGGCGCGTCCTCGGCCGGCGCTGTCGTCTACCAAGCACTCCACCGCCCTCCCATCTCCACTTGGGCGATGGAGGACGACCAGCCACTGACACCCTCTGCCCGAGACGGACGCCGGCTCCCACTCTCGTCAGTCTAGTCCTAGTCCAGTGGCTCATCGAGGTCCAGGCCTAGGCCTCCAATGAGCTCGTCCGGGACAATTGGAAAGAAGCGTGTTATGTTTGCTGTTACTATCCGTGTGTGCCCTGCTTCGTACAAAACCTGCCAGCATCCGTCCGACCACTGGAGACAGGATCTTGCACCACATACATGTTTTCGTTCCCTTCACCGCCGAGAGCCCTTTGACGCCTCTTATATTCATTCACCATTGGATGTTTCGATTCGAGGCCACTTTCATTCGCGTCCTGTGTAACTAATACTCGACCTCGTCGCCGATCTCTCACAGACTGCCTAACCTCTTCACATTACCTTCGACCAACACTGATATTTCCGCACTACACCGCGGCAGAACGACAACCGTAACAATCTTTCATTCTAACGGTTTCGACACATTATCTTGTGAATACCACCTTTGTGGTCGCGCTGATATCTCGCCACTGATACCGTCCGTCCCAGCTGCTACTCGCCGCATTCGAACAAAGAGACCCAAACCAGTCCGATTGCAGAACAATACGACTTCACGCCTCAGGGCAAGGACTGGTTTCAGTCCAAGAAGGCCTTCCGTTCGCCTGTTTCCCCAGTTCAAGAAGAGAGCTGTGCTCCACCCCAAAGCAACTTGCCTTGACTGCTTTTCATCTGATAGCACACACCTTCCTTATCCGCCTACTCGGACTCTGAGCACGCTCCACCAGCACACAACAACACGCTTTCTCATCACCACCCACTCACTCTTTCAAGATGGGTAGGGTTTTCGTTGACTGGGAGCTGTGGCAGCAGATGACTTTCGTAAGCCACCTTGATCAAACGTACATGGACATGACTAACAACCACTTAGGTCCTAGCCTGCGCTATCGGCGTCGTCTTCATTATCGGTTTCGCCAAGCTATGGTGGACGAATCGGTACATCGCGAAGCTTGAAATCATCGACGCCGAGAAAAGAGCACACGTTGCAGAGCTCGAATCAACCGGCCTACCGCCACCTCCGCGAAAGCAATCCGAGATCCCTTTCGGCGTCCGCGCCATCCAGTCTGGTATCGAGGTTGACGGGATTTGGATCTCTCGCCCCAACACGCCGGCCACCGAATCACCTCCCAACTCAGCCAGGGCCAAGGGCAAGTATGTTTCGATGGGTCCAGTCTCGCCTACCTCTACAATCTCCGACCCCTTCGGTTCTCCGACATCGTCTCGTGGCGGCATCGGTCCCCAGACATATCGCCCCAAGTCGGCCCACAACCCTGTAACGAGCAGAGCCGACGCCCTGAGCCAGCTTGAGGGCAAGCCTCAGAATGCCCCGTCCTACAGCACGTACCAGCCCCAAGGCGCAAAGGCGATCTCCGAGGCCTCAGACGAGACTGGAAGCCCTGTCAGCCCTGTCGACCGCTCTTCCTACAACGGCATCGACGTCCGAGTGCCCATCCGCGCTTCCCCCGTCAACCGTCACCTGAACAACGTCCGCAGCGTCAAAGGAGGCAACCCGCAGCCCACGACCGGCAACGGTGTCCGCGCCTTCAGCGGCAGCCTTCAGAACCCCAAGGACGGCAAAGGATATTCTACCACTTCTCAAGCCTCGTCCGCTGCTGGCGACTTCTCCGACCCATTTGCGACCCCTCTGGAGTCTCGGTCGCCGGTTCCCAGCGCTGACCAAGGTCTTCTGCCCTCCCAGCAGGGTCCTCACGTGAAATTTGCGACCGACGAGTATATTGCCAGCCAGCGTTACCCTAGTGACGGCAGCAGCGGTACCAGCGGAAGCAGCAGTAGTCACCACTCTTAGGGGCTGTCAGCGCCGACGGCAAGCCAACAAGGCTTTCGGCGGAAATCAGAGCAGGTTGCGAGCAGCATTGGATAGGGAAGCGATTTTTCCAGGTTTTTTTCCGCGAGTTTCCCACACGTTGGAGATTAATATCATAAACTGTATCATTAGCAAAACTGCCGCAATGGTGGCGGCAGGAAGGAAAGTAAAGGAATAACGGCATGCTTTCTTTCTCGTGGCCATGCAAAGATGGCACACGAAGGCGTTTAGGCTTTTGAAAAGAACAAAACCCGGACGATGAGACTTGCAAGATCTCTCGTCGCCCCTCCCCCCCAAAATCGGAGTGGGTATAACTATCTTTAAACACACACACAACAACAATCATATAGAAAGAATCAGAAAGAATTTTCACATCATCGGATGCTCAAATGATTTCCGCCCGAATTTGGACTCTGCAGGCAAACACCTAAAAGAATCCGAAGGGCACCTGCCTACGGCGAGAGAGGGGGGGGAAGAGAAACGTCATCCGCTAGTGGTGCTCGGATCCCACCTCTGCGCTCCGGCCTTCGGCATCCGCCCGCGATTTCGGTACCGGCGCCGGTTATGTGAGTTCGAAACCCCGCCACCTTACCAACTCCCCGCATCGCGTCTGCCCCACACATTAGACATGGGCGTGCTGGAGGAAGGAAGAGAGAAGGGACTTGGCTACCATAAACGGCCGCTACGACTTGCTCTTTGGGGGAGTTTCTTTCTTGTTCATACATAATATCGCTCAAATCACATCATCTCGGATCATCTTTGCCCACGCCGGCGAAGCTCGTTCCTGAACACGTACACCAGGCAGGTGGTCTTTGCACATCACTGCCCAACTGCATCCCACAACTGGAGGCAAGCACACCTAGGAAAGAAACACGAGCATACGGCAACCATGTCTCCCACGACCCTCCACCAGGGCGCGACAAAGGGCTTCGCCGACGCCGCCACCTACGACGCCTACCGGCCCTCGTACACGCCCGAGGCCACCCAGAAGTTCCTCTCGCACCTGCGCCTCGCCGACGTCCCGCACGCGCGGGTCCTGGATCTCGCGGCGGGAACGGGTAAGATGACAGAGGTGCTGGCGGCGCGGCACGAGGGGTTCGAGGTCGTGGCCGTCGAGCCGCACGAGGGCATGCGCGCGGAGCTCGAGAAGAAGGGACTGCGCGGGGTCGAGGTCAAGGACGGCTTTGCGGCGAAGTTGCCGCTGGACGAGGAGTGGGGCGATGGTGCTGTTGTTGCGCAGGTGAGTTTTTGTTTTGTGTTTATTTTTCAATTAGGTTTTTTTTCTCGGTCTTCGTGACGTTCAAGGGGGTTTGGTTTGAGAGCGGGAGGGGCATGTGCTGGAAATGGTGGGTGGATGATGACGGGAAGGATGCTAACTTACCTGTCTTCTGAACAGGCTTTTCACTGGTGAGTTGCATGCTGTGATATAGATGCGATCGAACGTGGCTCACGCTGGAACACAGGTTCGCGACGCCAGAGTCTCTGAAAGAAATCCACCGCGTCCTGAAGCCGACTGCTGTGCTGGGCATGATCTGGAACATTGAAGACTGTGAGTTTCCATCTCCACCCCCTCGCCCGGCACCAGCAACCCGCAACACTCATGTTAAGACGACTGACGCGACTGACACGAACCAGACAACAAGCCGAAGCACTGGAAAGCCAGCACGCCCTGGGAGAACGCGCTTAACGAGCTCGTCTTCAGCCTCGGCTCTGACGGCCAGCCGCGCTTCCGCGACTTCGTCTGGAAGGACGTGTTCGACAACCAGCTCGACTCGAACCCGCTGCGCGCCGTCAAGGACATCGTGTTCGAGGGAGGGAGAAAGATGCCCCTGTTTTCGGTGCCCGTCGGCGAGGAGAAGGTGCCCTTCACGGTCTGGCTGACGCCCGAGGCCCTGTGGAACCGGCTGCGGACGCTGAGCCAGATCGCCGTGCTGGAGGACGAGGCGGCGAGGGCGTTCAAGCAGCGATTCGATGCGATCTTGGCGGGGGAGAGCGTGGAGAAGAACGAGAAGGGGGAGGTTGCGCTGCATGGAGCTACGTACTTCGCGTGGACCTCGAGGTTGTAGGCGAGGGAGTGAGCATCAGGAGTCGTTTGATGGTGCGTTTACCTTGTTGAGGGCAGTGGCATGTGAGCATTTGGTGGAATTGAGGGTATATTTTGTTTTTGCTTTTCATAGATCTTTTGCTGATAAAGCACCTCGACGAGCACAATGTTCGAGGGCGCCTTTGCCCCGAGCCCGAGTCCCCTTATCGATCCATGGTTGACATGTCCATCCGTCGTCGCCTAAGAGTCTGCAGAAATGTACATGACTACGAGATGCGTCAGCACTCAAATATGCATGAACGAGATGTATGATTGACTCACCGTTGTTTCCTCTCACGAACGCGTCGCCGTACGACCGCCTCTTGGCGCCGTTGACGTACTCCTCCGTCTTCTCTAGCGCGATGTTCATGTAGCCATCGACGGACTGCAGTTCACCTGCGATGGCATCACGTCAGCGCGGGCTCATCAAACACGGCCAGGCTTCTCATTCTGTCCCAAACCCCGATGTGACAGAGTACTTTCGGCTCACTCACCCTTGTAGACGACGCCCGAGTTGAGCTTCACGGTGACGGGGTTGCCGATGATGTCGCCAAGGAAGCTGGAGGGGTCCTTGCCCTCGCCCTGGCTGATGTTTCCGTTCTCCATTGCGGTCGCTTGTGTGTGGTGTAGTGAGTTACGGGTGGTTGTCGGTGCTCTCGGCTGCTCAGTCGTGGTGAGATGAGTCGTGGGGTTGATGTGAGTGAGGCTGGCGCGGACGTCAAACGGGGTGATGATGTTCGCAGAATTGCTGGCAGCTGGCGACGATGGCCGCCCGTGTGGAGCCGACCGCAAAGAAAAGGGTACTTGCCGACAAGTACCTTGCCTTGGACTCGCGCTGAGGGCTGTTACTACAGACTCCCTGGGGCGGACTGGCAAGCCCTGGACCATCCCCCTGAGTCTAGCTTTTCCAGGATGGTTCGCACTGTAAGGCTACCCGAGCGGTGCACACCCCACCGCCGAGCAGCGTACAGGGCGAACCACCTGCGCCAGGCTTCCCGGTGGGGTCCAGTAATTCAATCTTTGCTCTCACCACGGAAACAATGCTCTTCCCCAGGACCCCAACCCAACCAACATATGCGCGTATGAGGACGCCTTCCCTCCCTTCCACTCCGTCGCGCTGTTCGTGATGACTCTGTCCGTTGCCTCGTTTTCTCGGGCATAGCCTCCGGTGCTTCCCCTTTGTGGTCTGACAATTAGTCTTCCCACCCAACGGCTATAAAACCGGTCTCTGCATGGAAACGTTCCGTTGGTCCCATCATCCCCGTGTTAACCTTCTTTTCAGCCACGCCACCCCTGCAACCCTCATCGCAGCGCAGAGCGACAACCCAGAATTTTCCATACTTCTGCTCAGCGTACAAAAAGGCACACCACCCCGAGAGAGACATGGCCGACGCAGCAAAGCCCAAGAGGCGTCTCCCTTTCAAACCCACTGCCCTGCGCCAAAAGTCAGACCCGAAACCAGCGCCCAAGGACAATAACGAAGATGACGACGATGGCCTCAGCCTGTTCAAACGCTCCGCCGAGTTTTTCCCCGTTGCGGTGGCGGAGCAGGAACGGCGCATGAAGCGAAAACAGGCAGAGAGAGAGAGGAGCTCGCAAGCGCGGTCGCCAGACGACGAGACGAAGCCGACGCCTAAGGCCAGCGAGGGGCCTGGCAGGAGGCACGACGAGGAGGCTAGGTACGGACTTTCCCTCTCCCCAGGACTTTGATGTTGTATCTTGAACGACGCTGACATGGCTCCAACCAGGGAGCCCGGCACGCCTCCTTCGAAACGCTCGCGAACTAGCGACGAGTCGCCCGAGTCGAGAATCAAACCCTCCCAAACCACCCGCCGAGACGGCACCGAGACGCCCTCTAAGCGCATGACCCGTGCCGCGGCATCGCGGACGCCGCGGAAGCAGGAGGTCATACCGACGAAACCCGTCATCTCGATCGACGATAGCGACGACGATCCCGATGAGGAGGACGAGGATCGGCCAGGGGACGACGACGACGACATCTATGAGGCCTCGCCGATACGCAAACCCAGGCGCCGGCGGCAAACTTCGGAGCCCGCGGTCTCGCCCTTGGTCATTGATGACGACGACCCATTTGCCGAAGGAGGACAAGGCCAAGACGCTCCCGCGCCCGAAGAAGAAGAAGAAGACGACGAGTTCAAGGAATACGTCCAGCGCGCAATGGAGCGCAAAAAGGCGCTCGAGCAGGAGGCCAACCAGACCGTCAACGTCTTCGTCACGTCCGACATCCCGGGGACCAGGGAGAAGCAGTTCCGCTTCACGCTCGTCAAGCCCCTCAAGGTCCTCCGCAACGCCTGGATTGACGTCCAGGATGGCCGCGTCGACCTCCCGCGCGCCGAGCTCGAGAGCGTCTTCCTCACGTGGCGCGGGCACGAGCTGTACGACTGGACGACGCTGCATAGCCTCGACCTCGCCGCCACGTTCCGTAAGCACGGAGGCGGCGGCGGGGATGCGTCCGAGGGGTTCCGCGACGACTGGACCAACGTGCACATGCAGATGTGGACACGCGAGCTATGGGAGGAGCACGAGCGGCAAGAAGCCCGGAGGCGGCGGCATGACCTCGGGGAGTACTCTGACGACGAGGGGGCAGGGGATGGCGGGAACGAGGTTGGCACGCCCGCCGCCGAGCAGGAGGCCGAGAAGAAGATCAAGGTGCTGCTCAAGACCAAGACGGACGAGCCGCTCAAGACGTCGGTGCGGCCGTCGACGACCATCGGCACCATCATGGAGCTGTTCCGCAAGATGCGCGGGCTGGCGGCCGACGCGCCCATCTCGCTCATGTTTGACGGCGACGAGCTCGAGGAGGACATGACGGTCGAGGACGCTGATATCGGCGACATGGAGACGATCGAGGTCTACATACGATGAGGACCCCCGTCGTTCTCTTGAAAGTTTTGTCGGAACAGGGGCGATGCCCTGGGGCGAAAGAGAATGGTGGGAAGCAGGAGAAGCCACGACTGGAGGCATCGAGGAAATGGGAGGGAGAGGTGGGATTTATTCGAGATACCCGGGGAGTTCCGAGCAGTCTTTATTTTTTTGTTTTCGTTTCATGGGAGGCGAGCTACAGGAAACATGGCGGTAGCATTGGATTCAAAAAGTTCTGGGCCCGGGCCGATGTGTGTATTTTCAGTCCTGGGGTTCCCCCTTTTCGTCTTTCGGGTCACCATGCCCGCAACTCACATAAACTCCCTAAGGATCAGCATTGAGCACGACGTTTGTCTGCCATTGAATCATTCGTTCAATCTGTGCCTGTATAATTATTACACTTCATGGTTCTCTGACAAAGAAATAGTTCCGAATCGCGTTAGAGAAAAACATACCCCAGCACCCACCACATCAAGGACCTCAAGCCCGTAAACACCTCCGTCATTCAGGCCTCCCCAACCACGCAACAACCTGATTGATCCTTCATCTCCCACAAATGCCCAGTACACGCCTAGGCCCTTCAGTCGTGCCTCTCGCCACAGCCAGGACACTCATCTTTGCTCTTGTCCTCCGGGAATGACCACGCGCGCCAGGTGTCGCCCGTCCGCGTTCTGGACGCAAAGTCCTCCTTGTCTTTCTTACCGGCATCCTTCTCCTCCGGGTCCGCGTCCTCGTCCTGCCGCGCCGTAATGCTGAAATAGCGAGCCGCGCTGTACTTTTCGCCCAGCCGCTTTGCGACGTCGTTGGCCTCGTTGAGGGAGACGAGGCGGCGCCTGTCCGGGTGCCGGTCGAGGACACCGCGGACGCCTTCCCAGACTTTTTGTTTCTCAGACAGCTTGGCCGAGTCAATCTGGTCATCCTTCCCATCGTCGTCCTTCTTGACAAAGGATTCGGTGGACTTGTCGACGTAGGCGGAGATAGCGCTGCTGTATTTGTTGTAGTAGTTGTTGTAGTTGTTGCTGTTGTTGAGCATCATGAGGCTCGGCGCGGTAAACTTTTCGCTGGTGAAGTTCTCGCGGGCAACCTCCGCAGGCGTGCGACCGACGGCATTCTCACGGTAGAGCAGCTTAGGCTTGTATCGGGCAAGAGCCTCAGTCATGACCTTGTCGCTGTGCATGACGGCAGTATGGAGGGGCGTGTCGCCTGCGCCGTTAAGCATCTCGAGTTCGGTGCCCTGGGAGAACTTGAGAAGCAAGTCTAATATGTCAAGGATCTGCTTATTGTTGCCGTACTTCTTCCTCGAGTAGTTGTTCCCCGACATGCAGACCGCAGTAATCCATGAATGCAACGGCGTCGTCCCGCTTTCGTGGATATTGTTGCGCTGCTGGCACAGGTGTTTGATGATGCCGGAGTCAACGAGGTCCAGGAGAGGGCCAAGGCGACAGGCTTTCGGCATTCCCTGCAGCGCGGCGTGTATTATGTTCTCCCCAGAGTTGTTGCGTGTCATCTGGTTTGCTCCGGCCTTAATAAGGGTCTTTGCGAACTCGAGTCTACCGAAGTAGAAGGCCAGCCAGAGGGGCGTGTCCCCAAGAGTCGACTTGTATTCGAGGGAATTGGGGCACGCCTGGACGAGATACTTGATGACATCGTTGGTCTTTTCTGTTGGGGGACCCATGACAGCACAATGGAGAACAAGCTCATCTGGTTTCGCGTTAGGACTCGATCAGGTACAGGGGCGGAGAAAGACTTACTTTGGATGCCCAGCCATTTGGAGATGGCTCGGTCGAAGCCGCCAGGGGCTTGGCTGAGGTGCTTTAGCCTCGGGTCGTCGCGCGCCGTTTTCGACTTCCCAAACTCCAAGTAGTGCCGGTGAGGGGCATCGCCGAGGAACCATTCCACACTCTCGATGTTACCCGCATAGGCAGCGTGAAGAAGGGGCGGTGTCTTCACTCCGGTGGACCGAACCACCGTGTTTCGTCCCGCCGTCGCCCAGTCCTTTCTATGATGCGGGTCAGCACATTGTTGGATCAATTCGATGAGCAGCTACTTACCTCTTCTTGCCGTAGACCGTAAGACCCTGGTAGTACTTAGGCTTCCGCTTCATCTCAACGCCGCTCTTCTTAACCAAGTCGTCGAGCGGGATTCCAGCACCAGTTCGACTGATGATCTCCGCAAGAGCTGCAGTCTTCCCGTTGTGGACAGCCCAAACAAAGTCGCTCTCAGGGAAAGAGAACCGCCCACCCGTCTCCTCCTCATCGGGCACTCCGTCGACAAGCTTCTGGCCAGCAAAATGGCTAGCCATATCAAGAAGCGTCTTCAGCCCAGCATGATCATCTTGTTGCAGAACGAACTTGAACAAGGTCTGGTTAGATTCCTTACAACTCCTGGCCTTGCCGTCCTCAACTTTGAAGGTGTGGACATTCCAGGCCAGGAACTCCAAGGGCTTGACGGTAGACTTGACTTGCATTGAAACCTGGCCTATGTTCTCGATCGTGAACTTCTTGTCGACGATTTCAGAGATGATCTTGGGGTCGTCGATGGAGTCAGCATCGCTCTCGTACGTCTCGTCGTCTTCTTCATCGTCGGAGTGGCCATTGTCCAATTTGTATCGTGTCGCCTCCTGATCCTCAGGTGAGTACTGGGCCATTACAATCTCCAGGATGGCCGAGGCAACGTCGTGGTGACCTCTGAGGTAAGCCAACGAGAACGGCGTGTTATCTTTACTGTCGCTCACGGCTATCTTCAGCGGCGGCTCCTTCGGGTCTTTGCCCCAAGCCTGAAGTGTCAACGATTTGATCTTCTCGGCGTCGCCGGACCAAGCAGCCTCGAAGCTGTTGTAAAGTTAGCATATTGACCAAATTATTCCAGTCGTACTGTGTACTTACAGCTCCAAGTAAGCAGAATTCCTAACATCAGTGATATCAGTGACACCTCGGAAGGAGAATACATAGCCGTAGTCGTGAGACTTTTTCTGCTCTGATGCATGGCTGTTCGAGGTGTTTATGTCGGAAAACTTGATATCAGGGTACAAATCTTGGAATGTCTTGCCTCCTTTCGCGACGATGGTCTTCTCCAGCTTCTCAAGGGACGTAATGAGTTCCTTGATGGCTTCCATCTTCTCGGTAGCGCCTTTGAGCTCGTCGTGCTTCTTCTTTGCCTCTTCGTAACTTTCTTGCTGCCTCTTGTAGTTGATCTTACGCCAGTGGATATTTTCCGACACCTGCCAGTGTTGGTAAGACCCTTCTTCGTAATTTTGAAGAAACTCGTCCATCCCTAAAGGTAATTCTGGCTTTGATGCTGTAAACTTCTCACCCTTGTAGAGTTGAAGCTGTTCCAGCTGGTGCCGGACAAGATCAAGGGCTGTTTGACCCTGGTAGCACGACCGATGGTGCTCAAACGCGATCGCGCGATAAGAGTTCGTTGTGAGTGTGTTAGGATCCGCCCCCTTTTCAATCAGGTTTAGGGCCACTTCAGGCTCAGAGCAACTCTGGATAGCCATAATCAAGGGCTGCTCGGTGTTGAATTTGAACTGACTCTTGTTCTCCTCGTATGAACCAAGCCTGTCGGATGCCTTGGAAAACCTGGCTGCCTTCAACCACGTATCAAACTCGATTTGGGGGTTGGCGCCAGCCTCGAGTAACTTGAGAACAAGAATCGAATCACTGTTCTCAATCGCGGTATGAATAGGCGCAATTGCTACGGGATTCCAGTGGTTGCTGCCAAAGACCATGTGGTTGAGAGCAGTCTTGAGGCCAACTTTGTCGTTCTCCCACAATGTGTCAACCATTTCCTGGTTGCCATTCTTGACGTACCGATGGAAAGCGGTGCAACCATTCATGTCAGCTTGGGATGAGCTGGCGCCAAGCTTCATCAAGAGAATGGCCATTGACTTGGCCTTTTCAATAGGAAGCGATAGCGCAAGTACCAGCGTCAAGATAGCCGCTGTAGGCTGCTTGTCTGAGTCGAGGAATTTGACGGGGAGAAGGGCATCGCTGCCGTAATCGCAAAGAACCTTGACAGCATCCTCATGTCCTTCGGAAATGGCAAGGTGGAGAGGCGAGCAGGGCACGTCCCAAGCCACGACATCGATCTTGTAGAAGTCGGGTTCATCGGTCGACTCTTCCAGGACAAGATCTTCCTTACTCTTCTCGTTGTCGTTCTTGACATTGACGAACGACCCAGTGGCAATCGAGGTTGCATCTGCCTCGGTGTTGCCCGCGTCTACCATCTCAATATCGGAAGCTTCATCCGACTTGTCATCGTCCTCTGCATCCATGTCTTCGTCGTCTTGCTTATGTATCGCCCGAGAGGCAGAACCCTCCTGTAACTTAGTCTGGATTGCTTTGCGGCGGCGATCAGCCTTTTCCTCTTCCTCTTCCTCGTTGGTAACGCTCTTGTCCATTAGGATCTTGATCATGTCGGAATTCCCGCGCTCGGCTGCGAGATGCAGCGCCGTCCTGCCGTCGGCAAGGCGGGCAGTCAGACGAGACCCATGGTCGACGAGACAGCGCACGACTTCGGGTGTGGAGCTGATCACCGCCAGATGAAGAGGCGTGCGTCCAGTGTAGTCTCGCTTGTTAGGATCAGCGCCCTCCTGGGACAGCCAGTCGTGAACCTCATCGACATCGCCATCGACAATGCTCTGGCACAGGCGAGCAGTGTTTCCGACGTATGCCATGTCGGTCCAGTCATCCTCGGTCAGGGGGTTGAAGGATCCAATCTGTTGACGGCCAGGGTCGTCAATCAGGAAGGAAACCTTGCCGGAGATGTAGATCTCGCCCTCCTTCTCGTCCGCCTCGACCTCTTCGGGTGTAACAGGCTTTGGGCAGCAGCCGCAGCAGTCCTCAATGACGTCTTCGACGCGACCGAAGAATGCGGGATGCCGGTGGAGATACACCTCTCTCTGCTCCGGCTGGTTCCACTCGGCGTTCAGAACTGACAGAGTTGTTAGTGCGAGCGTGAAATTTGATTGCTGAGATACTCACGCAGATCCCGTGTATAGCAAAGCTTTTCAATCTTCTTTGCATGAAAGCTGTTTTGGTCAGTAGAGAAAATCAGCAGAAGGTGGATTTCAACGTACTGCTGACCGTAGGGAACAGTGAAGGTATGGTAGTTGGAGACATCATTCTCGTCAACCCAATCCGCAACTTCGTCCTCATAGTTGTCTTTGATGTTTCCATACAAGCGGTGGGGATTGAAGCGGTTCGTTGCCGGACGGCCTCTCTCTGCTCTTCTGTTGTTGAGGTACGTATCCCGGACAGACTGCGTGGGAAGTCGTTCAAGGACTAAAAGCCTTGCAAGACCGAGCGTTCTCTGGAAGCTGCGTTCGAAGATGGTGGGATCGATACGGCTACGCTCAAGCTCTGGCCAGTAGATTTCGAAGTTACGGTGACTGTACTTGGAAAGGCGGTTCTCGTAGGAAGGACTTCGGCGAGTGAGGTCGATTTGATTAACTTGGGTGATGAAACTTCCCAGAGCTCTGGGTGTGACCCAGACCTGCTTCCCGTCATAGGCGCCACCCGCTGCGTCAATATCAAACCCGGTGAGGATTTCCCCCACAGACCTGAAGGATAGTGTTAGTCTTTATCTTTACATATGTCGTTAGGTTCCTCTTAGTAAACCATCCGCTTACTTGTATACACGCAGGACAATCTGCAATTCTGGTTAGTAATTGGAGCGGTTGCAGGATAAATATAGAGCTTACCTGGATGTGGCGGGTAGGGTACTGAGAAGCAATGGTAATGGCATATTTCGTGCGTACGACCGTGACCTCATTCAGGATGGCATCGCGGACCGAAGTCTCAATGTCCTTGATCTTCTCGATGGCCTCCTCGTGGGTAAGACCGTACAAAAACAGATCAACGTCAGACGCTGGGCAGAACTTCTCATGGTAGTATCCGCGAAGTTTGCGTTTGGAGGTGTTGAACTCGGACGGAACTGGCAGAAGGGTGTTGATGACTGATGATCCGGCAGCAACGACGTTATCCCAGTTCATGTCAACGAGGGCCGACTCAGAGAAGACGTTAAAGTTCTTCTGGAACTCCTTGATGCCGGAGACCACAGCAGGGGAACCGTTGGCACGGCGCTTGTTGTCTGGGAGGGCCATGATATAGCGGTCTTTCTCCTCCTGAGTCTCGGCGGCCAGGAATCGAGCGCGAGTCTTGATGTTCTTAGTATCCTCAGTGAAGAGGGGCAAGAGGTTAATGTGCGGGTCGCTGAGGGCGGGATTTTTGCGGTCCTGGGCGAAGACGGATCGAAGCTGGGCTTCATACTTGCGGTAAGGCTCCAAGATCTCGACCATCTTCTTCTCCGGGTGGTTGTGGATGTAGTTGATCAGCTCCCCGTGAGGGGCTGGCAACTCCTGAAGCTCTGGGACGGACATTTTTGGTAAGCTCTAGGGCAGTTATCCAGTTGTTTCTCAGACAATGGGACTCTAGGGCAGCGAGTGTTGTAGAAGCACTCCCCAGCGAAAGAGGACAACTGGTCTGCTGGCAGTCTGGATGAGTCGACTTGTTGATTTTGAGGTTGGAAACAAGGAGCTCGAGGATGTCACCCCTTGAGGTGGGGTAACGATGGAGCTATGTTAACCGGCAGGAAGGAGCAAACAACAGACAATAGGCTAGGATCAATTGACAGACAACAAGACAATAACAGAGGTGGAACTCGATATGGACACGGGAGAGAAGAGTGTTGAGAAGAGGCAAAGGGGAATTGAAGCTATCTTATACCATTTCGAAGGTATCCGGGCCAGCTCAAGTCTTCACCGGTAGTTTCCCGTTTGCTTCTAAAAAAGAGGGGATAGGATGCAGGCAGAGCTATGTCAGATGCCAAGTACCTTTCCCCTTGCTTCAACCGACATAGGTACTCGGGCTAAGCACTACAAATGCGTATAATACATGTACCTCGTCTACCAAAGCTGAAGCGGAAAGCGGCAGGAGGCTACATCCAAGGGCTGGTATGCCAAGACTCCATGGCCGAACGGGAATCGCTGACCCGCAGGAAAATCGCCGAGTGGCGTGTCGCCCAGGCAGGAGGCGCGCTGGAAACGAGAGAAAAGAGAAAGTAGACACGATGCAGGGGGGCGTGCTGCCTAAATCGCGCCAGTGTTCGACACGAAGTCCAGTGACCTTTGGGGGCGTCCCCACTCTTTCCTCCCGCCGCTGGCCGTCACAGCCCGCTGTTGCCTGCCTGGTGTAATTTCATACTCGACTCAACCCCGATTCGAGACTCATAAACGACATCCGAGGCCGGCTGGAGCCTGGATGTTGTATGAGATCGTCCAAAATATCACAAAAACTCCTGGATTCCACTCTTCGCGATGGTACGGGTCGACTTCATGTTGTGCAATAATTTCCGGGTCTGTACGTGATCCGTTGGACTTTTGCCACTGCTTCGCTAGGCAGAACCGCGTTCTAGAATCACTCATTATCTCAACGCATGTGTCGGAAAACTGATGCAAGCAAGGAGACTTCTCGGAGTCAAAGGAGAGGAGCATCTAGAAAACGGATGAGCTTCAGCTCCTAGTCCTTTCGGGATGTCAATTGGCCTGGCAATCGCTGCCGATATTCAGTGCTCTTGCTTGCCTTCTGAGGCTGCTACCTGTGACCGACTTCGACATTATCACGCGGGTCGTAGTATAAGAGCATGTTTGGGTCGAGGCTAGTCCAGTTCCATAATAGGATCGTCATCCTGGTGAACTCCGGTCAATTTTGATATGCGCTCACGACTTTAGCGGAAGACGGAGACAGAGGTTTAGGCCTGTTTGCTAATTTGATATCTGACACCATCCATTGGTCAACGTGAGAAAGACTATTTCACGATAAGATCAAACGGCGCTTATAGGAGTGTAGAGGCGCAAAACCACAGACGGTTACACTCGGGCGGCCCTAGGATTGAAATGAATCCAAGTGATTTCCCTTTTCTATACATGCCTTCGATGCATGTGCCAGTACGACCACTGGCTGAGAGTGGGATCCAGGTAAACCTTCCTACTCAATTGAGTAGACCTGCTGGCACGCGGTAGGTTTCGTAATCTTCGATGGCTTTCATAGTAGTTTTTATTCTTATTCTTATGCCAAGTCTTCTTCCATGGGGGTTTTTTGTTTTTTGTTTTTTTTGGATAAGGTGGAAAATATGACGAGCCTTTGTTAAAAATGCAAGTGGTAAAAAGCGTGCTGGTCGGCACTTAAATCACCGACACAATGGCCACTGCATCTCGAGCTGTCCAGCATCAATGACCCGATGAACCAGTGGTGTCGTCTTTTCATGACGAACTAAGCGAAAATTGTCTTCGAATTGGAAATAAACAAATTTTTATTGCTCTAGATTATACTTGTAACAACGCCATAATGGGCCGCGAGCCCGTCTCTCGTCCCCATCTCACTCCAGCTTACCGGCATCGGGCAGATTGCAGGATTGATAGCTCGGCGCCGCTCATCGTCTAACCAAAAAGTCCTTCTCGTCCTCGATGAGATCCCGCTCCTCCTGGTCAAGTTTGACGACCTTGGCCGACCTCGGACCCTCGTCGATATCTTTGAGCAGCTTCTTTAGCGCGTCCTCATCACCCTGCGCCTCGCCCTCAACCTATGTGTCGCGGACCTGTTAGTCATTACACCCTCTCGAAAACCGTAGGAATACACCCGTCGATTTTCGAAACGTGGATCGCAGGGATCGCGACCAGTGCATGCAAACCCACCTTGTTGTTATCCGTGTTGCGACACCATCCCGTGAGACCATATTCGGTCGCTCTCTTCTGAGTGAAGTAGCTATTCCATCACAAAACAATCAGTCTTTACTCAATTCCAACTCTTTCCTAATTGGCCTTCGTTCCCCCGTGAGACCGAACAAAAGTCGTGCAGGGTAGGTATCACGAACCGGAATCCGACGCCTGCGTGTGACGTCAGCGTGTGGAAAAATGACCACCCCTCCTCGTTCTTATCCAGACCGAGATAAAAGCTCGGAGCTCATGTGGAGGAGAAACACGAGGGGTTCACGTACCTTGTACTTGGCCGCCATGAGCCAAAAAGTATATCTTTATCTCATCAGAAACGGCTCAAACTCGACCGAGAGTGGGGAGCAGCATACTCTCTTCACCATCATGTTCCTGGTTTTGGTTTTTTATAAGCAGATGTTGGGTTGCAGTGCTGAGAGGTGGAATGCAGGGAGGTCAAAAGTAGCTCGGAGCTTCCCCTCGAGCTCGAGGTTTCGAGAGCCAAAAAAAGCGGGAACATCTTCTGATGGGAAGTGGGGGTTCTACGTTGTGGCCACGCACCGATGACATGCCAGGACCCCTGCCAGTACTTCCTCGCGCATAACGCTATCGATAGGCTAAACATCGGGGGCTCGTTCGCATCCGAATCCTCGGGCGAATTTGCGATACTACGCTGTGCCTCACATCGTTTTGCACGTCTATCCATCTGTCCTCACGCGCAACAACATCCAACAACTCTGATCGACAATAACCCACAGTAAAGCCAAAACACCGGTGTCATAATACACGTTTCGCGCGCTGTTGCGCACCGACTTGGAGATGACGTCCCCAAGCGATTCGACACCAGCCGTCGACCAGGCCCCGATCCTCTTCCGCGCAAACAAGAAGCGCAAAGCAGGCCTCCGCCAGCGCGTCGCATCACCAGACGACACCGCCGTAGCCTCCTCTTCCTCATCAGCTCCGAATAAACCATCTACGAACCAACCAGAAGTTGCTGTGCCGACGACATCCGACTTTGACGCAGCCCCCGCCGCCGACGAAGAGACCGAATCCCATATCCCCCCGCCCTCCGCCATCGGTCACGCAAGCGCCTCAATGGCGTAGGCTTCTCCGCGCGCGGAAGCACGACAACCGCAGCAGCCTCGACAGATGATGCGGATCCCTTGTCCATAACATCATCGTCACGCGCGCTGGTGCCCGCCGCAGCATCCCCTCCAGACGATGAACCCCTCATCGCGAAGCGCTTCGCACCGCAGACGGGCACAGCTGCCGCCACCGTCGTCAATAAACACATGTAAGTACCATCATTTTCCGTCCCCGGGGGTTGAGGACGAGGGTCTCAGGTCCACACCCCCGGCGCCGTTGGCCAGAGGCTGATCAAGCAAGGATGGAATACATAGAATCCCACCTCTCTAACCGTAAAACCCTCGCCGCGCAACCCACGACAAACCCACCGCCACCCGTGTCGACGGCATCACAAGTATCCGCATCCGCGTCCACCTCCGCACCGCCGCCCGCCGCCGACTCCGACCTAAAGAATCACCCCATCATGCAGGGCAAGCTCATGGAAGTTGACCTTGGCGACGAGGTCCGCGCCCGCAACCAGGCCATGACCGAAAAGGCCGCCCGCCGCCTTCTCGGCGAAGTCGACGGGGTGGATGCCGACAACCCAGACGGCCGACGGGCGAAGAAGCCCCGCTTGGGGAGGGACGGCAAGCCCTGGCGTCCTCGGAACCGCCGCAACAGCGACGATATCAAGCGGGACCAGCTCGTCGAGGAGATTCTGCGGGAGAATAGGCGTAGGTTTCCCCGTTCTCTGTCTACCCCAAAACCCCCTCCATATCTCCCCTTTACGTCCGAGTCGCTGCGACAGCTTGCTAACAAAAAACACCAGTCGATGTCTACGACGTGCCCAAGACTCAGCAGCCCCAATATGAGGGCGACGGCGATGCGGACGATCGAATCGCCGAAGAGTTCCGGCGCGAGTTCATGGACGCTATGGTTCAGCGCCAACAGAAGAAGAAAACGGCCGCGGCGCCGGCCCGCGCCGGGGCTCGCAAGGCGGACGAGGAAGTGCTTAAGGGCCCGAAGTTGGGAGGCAGTCGCAACGCCAGAGCCGCCATGCGCGACTTGCTTCTCAAGAAGGAAAAGGAGAAGGAATCACGAAGATGACGAAAAATGACCATATTCAGAGTCGGAAGAGACAATCAACACATTTGACGATACCCATGTTAGTAAAGAAGTAAAGCTACTAGAAATGATCGAATTTCATAACTGGCATCTATAAACCATGTGACTACTCCTGGAAAAAAGATAGTTTGCCAATACCCACCCAAATTGATAAAAGAGAAGAGGTCATGAAAACGTGCTAGCCAACCCTTGATCCTGTAGCCCTTTTGATATCCCGTGTTAAAGCCCAGAAGAAGTAATGAAAAGGATAATGGAGCAAATGGAGTCTCGGTCACTCCTATCCCACAAGACTGTCATAGTTCACTCATCCCTAAAATAGTAAAGAATGTGTAGGAACCGGCTCGTGAAAAGCTCTCTGTCTAAGCTCTCGCGAAGTTGCAACGCCGGGGTATTAAACGATGCCGTGAATCCTCATGTCAAGCTTGATGCTCTGTATGCGTGTTGGTTCCCAAGACGCCAAGTGTGTGTTTGTGTGTGATGTCAAATGCAATATGCAGCCCCAAATTCAAGACATTTGTGCGTAACGTTTTCATGACGGTCGATGAGAAGGAGACGATCACCGTATATCAAGCTGGAATGGCTTGAACCGGCCGCCGATTGTTGCGCAACGGGGGCACTTGCGACGGGCCCCCTGCTCTGCCATGAGAACGTCGACGCACGCCTGGCACAGGCCGCAGATGCATTCTGTGCAGGCGTACGAATCTTTGAGCAGTGAGACGCTCTGACAGGCTGCGCAATAGATTTGAGTATTCTGAGAGGAATAACTCGGCGAAGAATCCGATAGACCTCGTGACTCGATGTGGAAGTTCTCCCCGCTTTCACCGCTTTCAACCGACGGGAATGGGTCAATCGTGTCCTGGCTGTAGGATGGCGGGGTCAAGGCTTGCTGCAGCGGCGAAGCTTGGTAGCTTCCTCCAGTTGCTGCTTGGAATCCATGGTGTTGTTGAAACGGAGGCAACGAAGCCCTGTGAATGGAAACTGGTGATTGAGGCATCTTGATGCGAGTCAGCACGAGCAATCTTAAGTATCATTTTGAGAGGTCTTACTGGAGTCCTGTCCTCATCGATATCGCCGGCGGCAGATGCAGCCTGGTCGGCGGCGTCGATGAGATCTTCCCATCTCTTCCCATAGTCTGCAGAAGGTTCAGCCGATAACGCCTTACGGTCATTGTTACCTGGTCTAAGTCGTTCGTCGTTCTGGATGCGTCGTAGCCAGTCTGCTGCCGATCCGCGAGACTTTTGTTTCTTGTGGTGTGCCTCTCTGCCTCTCTTGGTGACAGACTGTTTTCTTGGTCGCGCGGGTCCCACGGGTCGCTGGATTGGCGGCAGGGTTGAAGAACGACCAGGGGGCGAATTTGCTAGAATCGACGGGAGGATGTCCCGCGGCCTGCTCGAGTTCATAGCCGGGAACGGCTCGCTAGTAATGTCGTTATTTGACAAGTGCAACGGCGGCAGTTCAATTGATGTCCTGGGGATTCGACGTCCTTCGCTGTCGGAATGCCAGCCCTGGTCGGAAGTAGGGTTGATTAGCCATATTTCCATACTGACAATCGACGGCTTTTCAACTCACCATTTCGGACTCCCATTCAGGTTCGACCTTGTGACCATGCAACTGAGCCAACGCAGCGGCAGCACTGGCAGCGGGAAGCATGGAGCCAACGGCGTGATCTTCCATGGCGCGGGGCGTCCCCGGGTTGCTGTTGTCGTACATGTGGCGGTCATGATTGAAGCCTTGAAGATGGTCAATCTTTGAGGGGAAGCCCTGGATTGAGAGGGACGAACCCTGAGGAACAGAAGTCGCGCTTGGCTGCATCGGTGGGCGTTCAGACGGAGGGGTATTGATCATTAGTAGGAAGCTTTCCTCGGTCGCTGGAAGCTTCGAAATGTAGTGCTCTGGATGGGCTCGACGGATATGCTCTTGCATGGAACGATATCGTTTTTCCTGCGGTTTAAAAAAGAGTGTCAGAGGAGCCCTGGTTTTTTTTCTTTCTCTCGGTCGGGTGGGTTTGGCTGTCGTAATCAAAGCTCTACGCTGGAGTCACAGAATGTGCATACGCCCGGTGCTTGTGGCGGAGTAGACGTCGTGAAGACAAGACCAATGCAGTAATGCAGGCAACACTTACACCGATGCATCTCTTCCTACAGCTAGACCCATCCTGGTTTCGCAGAGGACACACGACTTCATTGTTGGAGTCGGTGATTGAGAAGGAAGACGTGAGAGAAGATCTGGGCGGCATCTTGACCCCACCATGCGCTTGAAGGCTGGTATCGATACTGAGCGGGGTGAGGTGCGATAAGTGCGGCAGTAGTGTATCGCGAAGCGGAAGCGAGGTCAATTGAATGCGACTCGACGTGGTGAAGCTTGACCATTTGACGGTTCGACGAAAGGCTGTGAAACTCGGTGAGCAGCGGTTTAGAGCTTTGGAAGCTCTCGTCTCTCTGCAATCAGGCGTGTTACAAAGAGTGTTTCGAAGAACAAGGTGTAGTGGAGGGGGAGGAAAGGACGGGGAGGAAGAGGAAGAGAAGGAACCTGATTTTGGGGGCCAGAAGGGAAGTTGACCGAAAGCAGTAAGTAGCGGTAATGGGGGAGAGAGGTACACTCGACAGGCTAGGTAGGGGTGTGGCTCGGTCTGGTGGGTAATGAAGTACCCAGCCAGGACAGGTCCAGGTCAAGTCAGGACAGGACAGGACAGGGCTAGCTACCTTGCGTAGCACACGCAGCCCAGCGAGGAGGAAGAGACTTGGTAGGCCTGCCTAGTCACCTATGCTGGGTAGGGCATGGGATGGGATGGGGATGAGAGGAGTACTATTATGAGGTACGGATCATGTCAAGTGGGCGAGCAAGGAGGAGCTTGGATCTGGCAAGCCGCCCTTGTCTCCGACCTTGGGCCGTGGAGTAGCGAATCGATCAAGAGGGTGGGAGCAAGAGCTGCTGACGAACGCAGCTCGAAGACCCATTTACATCATGCCCAATGACCAGCTATGAGAGCTACCTTTCACCGAGAGTGCTGCAATAATAATTGAGTTGCGCGCGCGTGCGCTCGTACCTGTTTGTTCTGTGTCTGTCCCGTGCCTGAACCGAGGCTGCCCCTGAGCTTACTTTGCTTGTACTATAGATGGGGTGAAAGATGCACATAGAGAGTGACAATAGCAGTCGCGGATAGGGAGGTGACGACGGGGCGAGCGAGGGATGTACGGGAAGACGAGGAGCAAGGAAGTGAGTGGTAGGTAGGTCTTAGGAGCGACTGAAGTGAACAGCTGACAAGCTATAAGCTGAGACTTGGGTATTCGTTGCAAGGTTAGGTGAACCTACGGACCAAGCCCACCTTGAGATTGGTGTGGCAAGACGGTGTCAAAGTCACTCTTCCTTCAAGTGTAAGTTGCGACTAAAGTGGGCAACAGACGGTCGGTTGCTGTTGATGGCAAGACCGCTGCGCCGGCGGTTTGGTCGGTGCAATGATGCGGTGGTGTAAGTGGCTGGCCAAGCAGAGACGAGAGATGCTTTGAAGCTTCATCACCACCAGCTTCGCTGTTAGCCGGGCAACTTTATCACGTACAGCAGCGCCGGCTCGTCGCCGAGGCCGAGCTTTCCATGAATCCTGCCTCAAACCTGAAAAGAAGGCCGGTGGGCTAAACGCATTGCCCGAGAGACGAGTAACAAGATGTTTCCTCTCGAGTCAGTCATTCGCCTCTTCTCTTTGTTCGATGACAAGATTGCAGCACGAGGTGCCTGACTTGGCCGAGAATGGCGGTAACCAGCTGAGAAGCACGCCCGTGGGAGCACTTTGGTTCAGGTCTGGTGCTTGGATGCTTCGGCACACCACACACACACATGGCTGACCATTTTGGTGCTTATTCGAGGTACAAGACGGCGGCGGCGTTGTCATCTTCCAATAGCAGCCCAGCAATCCGTGAGCTCGGGGTCAGCAATGGCAAGGTCTGTTCCACTAGGTGAGCCAAGGAAGGGAAGAGAGAAAAAAAAAAAAGTCGGCAGGTCGACCCGCCGGGGAGGTCCAGGGCCAGGCAATTGGTTGACGTCGATTGACAACATGAATGACTCGATCGAGAACGGAGTGTGTCTGGTGGGTTGGCACGTTGGGTTGGTTGATCCCAGGGTCAAAGGGAAGGAAGAAGGAGGACGATAAAGGAGGGGCGTGAATGCAAGCAAGACGGATACTAGTCACGGCAGGCCAAAGAGTGTACAGAAGAGAGGCACAAGAGGCAGGAGGATCGCAGAGCACGACAGGGAAGCAACGGAAGAAGAGGGGTGGAAGGGGAGGAGGAAGAGGAGGGGAGGGGAAAGGGGACGACACTGGAGCAAGTGCAAGGCAAGCAACAAGAGGAAGGAAGGAAGGGGGGAGGGGTGAGCAGAACAATGGAAGGCAGAAAGTGGGGCGCGCCTGCTTTGCTCTTTCTTTTCGGAGCTTGCGAGTGGTTGGAAGAGAAAAGAGGCCCTTGCCGCATTGCAGGGGAGCTCTTGATTCTGCCTTTTTGCCTCTGTCATTGTCACTGTCTCCATCTCTCTCTTTGGGCCGTCTCCCGCCTTACCTTTCTGACCGCCCGCCCCGGCTTGTTGTGTCCGAACTTCATACTTTTCGGGACCATGTCTGCTCGGCTCATCTCAGCTCAGCTCTGCTGCTACTGCTTCTGCTGCTGCTTCAGGCTTCCTATCTCCAATCGTTTGGCTTTGACTTACTGCGCTGCCGTGTCTTGCGTCTGCTGTGGCTCCTGTCGCTTGCATATGCCCATCTCTCCTCCCTTCGTCCTCACCTGCGTCTGCGTTCCGCTAGCGACAGAACAGCGGAGCTGGACCCCTGGCTCAGTTGTCACCTCCACTGGTCGGACGTGGTCCTGGCCTCGGTCGACATCTGCCTGCGACTGGATCCCCGCTGCTGGTCGTCACGTTGGACATCCCGGCCGACGGGTAGGGGGCCTGGGATGCTGGGTAAGCACAGCAAGTAAGGTAGCTCGCACGATGGCACTTCTCCGTAGGAGCGGGTAGTAGCTTTGTGCACAAGGTAAGGCAAGGTACCTTAAGCGAGGCGTAGCCCTCTATCCTTCTTTTCGCTGCTTCGTTCCGCCGCCGTGGCCAAGCTCGACCTCGACCTCGCGCATGAATTGGTTGAATGCCTTGGGTAAGGTAGTTGCCTGCTTGCTTGCTTGGCCTGACCGGTGTTGAGCTAAATTAACCGCGCCGTGATGGCATTGCCACGGCAAGATGAGAAGGTCCAGACCAAATCTCCGGGATAAAAGCGATGAACGGTCCTCAGCAAGGAAAGGCATGATCGGGGCGGCCGTTGGGCATTGAGAAGAGGAACACGGACCAGCAGCACGAGGTTGGTTTCCTTGTGTGTTGCTTGCAGTCCGCAGCTGTTGTCGGGTCGGCACCAGGCAGCCCGAAGCACGAAGCACGGCGCCCACCGCATGCAGGGCCCTTGCTTTGCCTTGACAAGTCGATGCCATTTTTTGCAGAGGTGAACCTTGGAGCTGCAGCAGCCCGTAGTGTCTGTAGCGTCTGCAGCGCCTCCAAGGCACGCACCAGTGGAGACTTCATCCCCGACCCGTGGCCATTGGCGCCGAATCGTCTGTTCCACAAGCGGAGAGGAAGGCGGGTTTGACGGGGTGGAGACCCAGAGGCAGGGGACGACACTGGAGGGCGAGGGCGTGATGCGTGGATGTGGATCACGATGTGGGTGCGGATGTAAGTGGATAGCTTTGTGGTATTGACGGAGTGTTAGGGTGGCTACAGTACCAGGTGCAGAACAGTTGCTTCAAGGGTTTTTTCTTTCCCTTTTTTCTTTTTTTCTTGCTTCCCCTTCATCTGGTTTCCCCTTCCCTTGCAATGCTCCTGCTACCCACGTATGTTGAGATGCTAGGATTCCGCAGGGCCCTAGGGGCTCTTCAGCACGTCAACCTGCCTCTTTCTCTTAAGCTACCCTGCTCACCCAGAAGTAGCCGTGTCTATCACGCGGGAGAAGCAACACGTCCTGCCCCATCTAGGTTAGATACTCGAACTTGAAATGTACCTGCCTACCTTCTCTCCGAGCTTTGCTCTTGTGTACTTTGCTCTCGATTCTTCATCTTCTGCTCCTCGGATTGGGTGGTGAGCACAGCTAAGGCAAAGCCAGTACGTACCGGATGTGCCAGGGAAGGTCCCCACTTTCGGCACGAAGGACCCTCCAGTTCCTTCGCGTTCAGTCTTCACCTCGGCCTATCACCACTCGGCAGATATGAATGCGATGCAGCGGAAAGAGATGGGGAAAACCTGGAAAAGGGAGACAGGGAAAAGGAGAAGAAAAAAAAATTCGCAACTCCCAAGCGGCCCGTCTCCAGAACTAGACACCGAAGGTCTGCACCAAATCAAAAACTGCAGTTAGAGCCGCCCCACCTTATCCCTTGCTCTCCAAGCCAACCTCTTTGGAAATAAGCCAAAGCTGCCATTGACAACCCGAAACCACGGCTTTTCACCGAGGCGGCATCTGCTCAAAGAACACAGCTCCAGTCCGAGCCCCGAGCCTTGTTCAGATACCGCCCTTGCGCCCCCATCTCTCTTGGCTTCTCTCTCTCAAGTTTTGTCAAGTCTCCTCTCATTGAGTTTACCACAACAGATCGTGTCTCACCTCACTCGAATAGGCCTATGGGTCGTCAACATGGCACTGCGGATATTAACTAGTCAGCGCTGAGAAGCCCCGGAATCAACGAACTGACGAGCTGCTCAACGACCAATCAATTGCACTCTCTTTCCAGCTCTCAAGTTTTTTTTGTTCTCTTTTTGCCACTTCACCCCCTGGACCCCTGACCGACCGATGGGTTCGAGGGGAGGATGGCAGACAACACTCGCAGAAAAAGCGGATATCTATCAACAGCCGTCCTCCTCGAGCACAAAAGTGACATCACCCTGCTTTGGCCGGGATTATGCGTCCTTCTGCCCTTTGTCTTCGTCGACTTCTTCAACGATGAAGCTACGATTGGCTTCTGGGTCTGTCGGACATCAATTTCGACTCATCTATGTCTATGGCTACGAACACAGAGTCATTCGGTTGTTTGATGCAGTAGATACGCATACCATGTAAGCATCTCGAAGTACGGACAAAATCGAGACCCTCAAATCGGACCAAGCTGGGGGGTCCGTCTCGTGACGGCCCACGGAACGTTACACAAACGCCTCCCCTAGACCGCTGACGGCCACGCTGCTGAGGTAGGTACTTTCGCTGCCTCGCCTGAGGTACCTTGCCGCAGCAGTCCAAATGGTTTCACGAAATGCCGAGATGGCCCAGAAGGAGACCAACCTCACCGAGAGTAATGAGTTTTACCTTGGCGTGGTCAAAAAGAAATGAAGAAAGCGGTGAATCAACCCCGCCTTTCTGCCCTCTTTGCCGCCTGCCCGGAGTCTGGGGCCTAAGAGACAGGCCTGCGAGCTCATGCTGCACCGTGTCGCGACACGCCCACTGTCACCACCCACCCATTTTGTCTAGCTCCTCCTCACTGGAGCAGGATGGAAAAGGGTGTGGGGGATAAGCTCCAGAACGAGAGCTCAACCGCTGCTGATAAGAGACCACCAACCAGAAGCCAGGAGCAGCTTTGACGATAAAGCTCCTCCAAGGGTTCTAGCGTAGCAACTTTGCCTTCCAGCCGAACCTTCAAAAGCTTCGTTTTCACAGCCATGTCAGGCAGAGGTTATTGGGTGAACTGTCGCTGTTCAATCCTGTTTACTACCCCTCGAGTTTCCAAACAACTTATTCCAACCGAACTGCAACACGAACTTGCAAAAAGACTTGCTTGCGAATGACCCGCTCTAGACACACTCCCAACGGAGGCTTGCTCCGCCTGATTAATCGTGTGCTTCGATTCAGTAGCCCTCGCTAGTCTTTGACACCACGAAAACTGGCCCGGCATGTTTAGTAATGGCGCATTTGGTCCACGAGCCGCCGTAAAGAACGCTTTCCACCGTGCTTTCGCTTTCTGGGTTCTCTGGCAGCCATGGCTAATGAGTACAAGGAAGCGAGGCGAGTTAAAATGGAAAGGGGGGTTTGCTCTCGTGTCTGTCACATGCTGGCTTCGTTTTCCCAATCACCCCACTAGCTTCTCGACCACCAGACAACCGTCTTCTAGGCTCTAATTCCACCTTGGCTCCCTGTCTTCCGAGACATGGCGGTCAATCAAGAGACTGTCTTATCGGAGACACCGTCTGCGTCTGCGACTGTTGTGGTAGCCTTGCAACCTCGTCATTGTCGCCGCATCCAAGGGGCTTGGCCAAGCCTCAGGGATGACCGGCGCCCGACTGCAAGTTGAAGGAACTGCGTCAACTTCGGATGCAAGCACTGTGCTTTGTCTGTCTTTGGAGGCACACGAAACACAGTGCAAGAGGGGCAACACTTCAAACAGCCTCCCACACCTCCAAACTCATACTCGACTCACTCGTCTCGTTCCCTGAGGCACAGGATAGCCCTGACTGCGTCCGACCTGCAATTGGGGGCCGGTCCAAACGAGTTGGGGAACGAACTATGAGGTAGTTCGGCAACGCGTGAGTCCTCCACGTGAACAGACTTTCATGGTTATCGCCCACCCGTGCTCATTGAACCGAGACTCGGCGCTGAGAACGAGTGCGTCCCCTGGTTGCGGACGAAGCTCTGCTTCGACGTCATGAAGCTCTGTTTTAACCACCGACTGCAGAGCAAGACATACTTCCACCGCCATTGTTATCTGTTGCCTCGAATGGGTTTGTTGCTGCAAATCACTACCGGCGACATCAGTGTTTTCAGTCCAGACAGCTCGCCAGGCACATGATACAATGGGTCATCCCTTGCCTCGTTAGGGGGGCAGCCGGAACCGCTAGAGCCGCTGCAGCCGGCTGTCAGTCTTGCATGAGTGGCACAACAACAAGCAAGACTTTGTCGACAATTTACTACTGACTTTACAATCTTTCATGACTGGCGGCCAGCTGCCATCTTATTAACTGGTAAGTGCACTCGGCTCGTTAAACCCGCCCCAGGTTTTTGTTGTTAATATCATCCGAGGTTCGCTTCCTCCAATCACAGCCATCCATCTTCAGAATCCCAAACAGACTTGTCACAGATCCTCGTTGATCAGCCCCTTGAGGCGTGGTGCACAGACGTTCGAGACGCATCTTGGTTACCAAGAAACTCAAGATGAATTTGTGAATGCTTCGGCGCGCACCGGTGGCCCCTCAGCCAGTGATGGACGAAAGGAACAAGGGGCCGCCGACGAAGCTTCGCGTGACTGGTCTGGGCTGACGAGGTTGTCTCCTCGGAACCTGCAAGGGACGCAGCCCAAGTTTCTAGACCAAATTGTGGCCCAGCCTCTAGAGTTTCAGCCTCCGACCTTGACCCAACTTGGCAGCCTCTTTTGCGGATTTTTGCCGAGTGTCCGCCTGGAAAGGTCGTCATATTATCATCGGTCGGGCTCTCGGGAGTCTGAGCACTTCGCGTTCACCTGCCCTTAGGGCTGTTGATCTGTTGAAAGATCCGACCGCGATGCTCTGGCCTCCTTGTCGGCGCGGTCGTGGCCCATAGGATTGGCGTTACAGGGGCTACGTTTCTAATCTTGTCTAGGCAAAGTTTCCTGAACTCGCGTCGCGTTGCCCTGAAGGCCTCATTCACGTCCAGTCGTTCACAGTAGCATATCCCCAAAAATGCGTGCCGACGCGTCCCTTGGGCCCGGCTATTGCCATCATCATGGGACATGTCCAACTGTCGTGCCTTCTTGTCCCTCCATGACCGTGTTCTGGCAGGAGCAGGATATAGCTCTGCGCCAATCTGCGACTCATCATTGTGCGGTTGGCTGCTTATATTGTCTTATACATTTCCCCCTCATTGATGAGTCGAGCCATGGCGTTGACTGTGAAGCAGCTCAATGCTGATGCCTCGTTCCTACTAACCTTTGAACCCATCGTCCCCGAGTCAATACCGGGTATCACTGCAAGGCCGTTCCGGATCCTGATGGATCCATGGATCACAGGACCATCCACCATATTCCATTCCATACTCTCAACCGCGACCCATAAAGAGTGTCCATGCGTTTGTTCTCTACAACACCTGCCTGAACCCGACCTTGTCATCATAAGCCAGCACAAGAGCGACCACTGCAACGAAGCAACACTCCGGCAGCTGCCCGCCAGCGGGACAAGAACGCTGATATTGGCGGAACCCGCAGCGGCCAAGGTGATCCGGAGCTGGAAGTACTTCGACAAGGACAAGGTGCACACCATTCCGCGATGGGAGGATCCGCAGGCAACTAGGAAGCAGTCGGTGATTAGGGTGAAAGTGCCTCCGTTCTTGCCCGGCGGCGAAGCTGGCGAGGTGACGATCGCCTTCATCCCACAACGCAGAGACTTCAAGGGCTTACATGCCGCCGTTGGAATCACGTACCGGCCACCACCGACGTGGCCAAGGTTCACCCACCTCCTGACGCCTCCGGAGACGCCCGTCTCGCAGCAGTCCCGCCTCGTCACGCCCCATATCACGATGACGTCCCAACAAAGGTCCAGAAATGCGCCCACGTACCTCAGTCTCCCGACGCCCCCCGAGACACCAAGCAGCAGGTCCTTATGCTCCGTCCGCTCCGCCACCTCCGTCTCGCCGGCTCCGGACGCCCGCGACAGAGCCGTCTCCGTCATCTTCTCGCCACACGGCATCTCGTACCGTTGTCTCGAAAACTACGCCAACACCCATTTGAAGGCCGAAGCGGCGCTGCCTCTAACAGCCCTCTTGCACTGCTTCGACACAGTGTCGATTCCGTGGTGGCTCGGCGGGAACATCTCGGCAGGTATGCCGGCGGGCCAGGAGACGGCGGCGGCGTTAGGGGCCAAGGCATGGGTCAGCACACACGACGGTGACAAGGATGTGAAGGGGCTGGTGACCAAGATGCTGAAGACGAAGAGGTACACACAGAAGCAGGTTGCCGCCCCGGCATCGTCTGGTCAGAGGCGTGTTGACAGGTACGGTCGTCGGGGGAAGCGTGGTGGCGATGAGAAGGAGGGCAAGAGAACCGAGGTGCTTGTCCTCGGAGTAGGCGAGGAGGTTGCAATGACTGGCGAGGGCGTTTGGAATGTCGAGTCCGGGGCGCAGGTGCTACCCCCTTCTAGAGGATTGCCCGAGCTTGAGAGGAAACTGAAGGGCCGGGCGAGGGGGCGGGGGTTGGCGCCGGTTGACACGACGGCCAAATATGGTCCTCGGCGATGAACCTGGTGGTTTTTTTTTTGGTTTTTTTTTGTTATTTTGCCCTTCCACTTGATGATCTACGGCCTGAACACTTGCCCGCGTCTGTCACTTGTTTGATAGAGGTTCTGGTAAGTCGGAGCACGATTGGCATGGAAATACCCTTGGAAACGAAAAGCGTATGGGATGAGCAACCTAGAGCGTATTGTAGCGCATGTCGATGGGGTTTGAAAATGGGGACCGGAAAAGGGAGCTCGGATGGCTTCTCTTCTCGTCAAAAAGACCGGCGATGTCTGCCCAGGATGGCAGCATGTTCTGGCGTTTGGGCTATGGTTGATATCTTGGACGTAGTGATTGGCACATACCAATAAGGCTAGGTTGACCTGACAAGTCAAACCAGGTGGCCAGACCTCTGAACAATACCATCAATGAAGATCCTCCTACAAAGAGAGACATGTCCCTTTGATTCCCGCCATTGTCATCCCTTTCTTGTTTATTGTTTTCTTTGGACTATGGTGGAAGATGCAGGCCATACAGCGAGCAAAGGAGTCCCAACCCGCGTGCTTTGCTACAGGGTCTCGTCCATGCTCTGTTTCCTTCCCCGTCCGATTGGTTTATTGTGCTGAATGATATAGATATGGAACTCGGCACCCTGCCCATAGGCTTACTACACAGATCCACATCCACACCGCCATCAGGTCCATTGAGGCCGCATGTTGCTTATATGCTAACTAATATGCGCGAGTCTCACAAGCTGCGTTTGCGTCTGAGCTGAGCTTGGAACCACCCTTATATTACGCCTCTCTCTCTCTCTCTCTCTCTCTCTCAAAGCTAGAAGCGCTTCTTCCCACGCCTTCAGGTCTTATCATCACGTCTTGATGACCCTCCTCGAAGGCCACATCGTGCATGAACGATTCTGTACGCACTCTCAATGCCCTTTGGCATTCGTGTTGACTGTACGCTACTTGTGGTTTCCTCGGGGCTGGGGGAGAGTGGCCCGACCTACGGCTTGCCAGCACAGTCTGCATCTGTCCTGAGGCCTTCTGGTGGGTGCAGCAGAACCACGTACCGAGTTTCGCTTTGTATTTGATCAAATAGCAACAGCGGCGTGCGGCACTGCGATTTTGTCTATGTCTCTGGTCTTGATGCCATGAATCGATATGGGGTTGGCTTGACAAATTTTCGTTATCCGTCACATTCCCTCTTTGTCCTTGATGTATTTCACTGCCGAATATAAAAGCTTTCGTCATGTGGGCGTTTGCTTGCCACAGTCGTCCAAGCTTACTGTTTGTGTCTTTTGCCCTCCTTTCCCTGCTGAGCCTGTATCTGCATCCCACTTCCTGGAGCTATTGAACTTGGGCCTGATATGAGCACCTGACAACCAGTAAAGCTTTCCCCCAGCTTAACGTTCCTTCCACGGGAGCGGAGCCAGCGAGTGTTAAGCTTTGTGCCTGGGGTGACCACAGAGGAACACTGACGATTCGGCGTTACGGTCGAGGTATGCATGTTTCGTCACAGCTCTCTGGATGCTTCTGTCGTCAATCACACCGGTTTATTTCTCCTAGTTCTTTCGTTGACAAATGCGGATAACCAAGCGGAAATGCCTGCGCGCAGGCATCGTGGGTGATCTTGCCGTCCTGAACGGCCTCGTGTACGTCGAAACCCACCCCAAGCACAATGGCCAGATCCACGGCCTTCCTCTCGAAAAGCCCGTTGGCCTTCGAGATGACCGCAGCCTGGGGCTTGACACTCCATCATCCCTTGGCGGCGCCGTCTTCGGTCCCGGCGTGTCGGTTGTAAGCTCCAGGACGGCAAAGTCACGAGACATTAACAGTGCCAAACACCCCGGGAGCAGCTCTTTACATCCCTGCCTTACTCCTGTCGTGACAGATATGCTTCCCAAAAGTCGCTGACCGGTGTAACATGCCGCATCGGAATTGGCGTGGTTGCACCACGCTTCAACGCAGACACATGCATGAGGCGTTGAACAAGTGCCGCCATGCCGACCAGCCCAAAACAGTAGACTCGATGTGAAACCATTGTGAACTGCGAAAATAGCGAGCAAAAGGTGAGACGTTTGTATACTTTGGTATCTGGTACTGCCCTTGGGCTTTGCGTCTCTTGGTGTGTGTGCATACATATACGAGCACGATGGCTGCGAGGGCCGTCACCGACGGCATTGCATTGTCTCACTATGCTGTGAAGACTAGGGGTTAAACCGCCCTCGAAACCCTGAGGTTTTGGCTGGCAGAATAAGTCGACCTAGGCAACATTCAGAACCGAGACATACCATCATCATGGTTACATCTGTACATCAAGCTTCGAAGCCAATTCACATCAACCATTGGCGCACCTGACAGCGAACGGAGAAGCTTCCAAACTTTGCTATTTCCAGATGGAATTCCCTCCTATGCGATCCAGATACTATAAGACGGCCCATTGTGGACAGGGTGCCATTTTCCTATACCAAAGATACCTCCCTCCATTACCTGCACCCATTCCACCCAGGGTATCTAAAATTTCCCATGCAAAACGAGGCATGCCTCTCACTGCAGAGACGCGCATCTCCGAGTATGCTTCCGCTTCTTCATTCCAACTCAGCTAACTTTAAGCGTTGTGGATCCTTCATTCCTTCTGTCAGTTTATGCACCCAGCTGTACACTCATATAAGACCCACTCCAAGACCACTGCTACCTTATGCCTAAATCTCTTTCTGCCCCAATTCTACTTGAGCTGCTTGAGAATCTCTGTCAGGAAGTCCTCAAAGCTAAGGGTGATGTAACCGTCCCTATCGTCGTCATACTTCTTGAACACATCCGTCATGCGCTTGAGTGAGATGCAGGCCTGGACAAAGAGGTCAAAGGACATGACGCCCTCGCCGCGCTTGTCGTACGTGCGGAAGAGGAGCTCGACGAAGCCAGGGCTCAGGCGGTAGCGAAAGGCGACCAGGGCGTTGCTGAACTCGGGGAGCGAGATGTTGCCAGAGCGGTCAGCGTCGAAGCGGTCGAAGAGAGTACGCCACGAGGCGAGGAAGGACCAGAGACCGCAGAACTCGGCGAAACCGATGGTACCGCTACGATCCGAGTCGAACATACGGATCATCATGCGCACTGTCTGCTGGTCGAAAGCGGTCCAGTCACCGTTGACGAGGGCGGTCGACAGTTCGCGCTCGGAAAGCTGACCAGTACCTGCGGGGACCCTGTTAGTCGGCGGTTCTTGCGCAGTGACAAGAGCAGCGGCACCTACCATCCTTATCGACAGCTCTGAAGAGAGGCAATAGGGTAGGGTCAGAGCCGTCGGCAGAGGCTTCGGGGGCAGGAGACGGGGGCGGTCTCGAGTTGGGAGGAGGGCGGTGGTGGGCGGTCGGGCGCGGGCCGCCCGTAGGGGGAGGAGAGCTGACGCCGTACATGGCGTTGGGGTTCTGCCGGTGGTCGTTGCGAGGGTCGGGACGGTAGTAGTCGTCACGGGGGACTGGCGGAGGAGGCTTGCTCTCGTAACGGGGTTGGGATGCAGGCAGTTGGGAAGGCTTCGGTGCAGCACCGCCCTTCTGTGATGGGAGAGTCAGTTTATCTGCGGATGGACGGTCCATTGTTGCGCGCAGGAGGCCGATGGGATGATATGGAAGTTGGGGAGGCGCCAAGTGACCCGGAGGCCGAGGACGGTAGGTAACTTACCTGCTCGGGTTCCGCAAACCTGAGAGGGGTTAGCACTGCGGGGCAAAACAAATTGGGCGAGGGGCTAGGAGGACTCGTGAAACGTACCTTGGAAGTTCGTCGGGGTTGTAGGGTCTGTTGTACGCCATTGTGACTTTAACGCGAAAGGAGAGCGATCGTCCGAGGGGAGAGGAGGAAACCGTTCTTTGGAGACGACTCGATTGCGCGGCTCCTGGATTATATGAAGTCGCTGAGGTGGGGGATTACTGTGGGCTGAAGAGAGAGGGGGGGGAGCCGCAGTAGCTATGTACTAGTGAAGGCAGAAAAAGCGAGGATAGACAGGGGACCACGACTCAACGTCAGGCGGCAGTCGGCACGCTAGGCAAGAGAGGTAGTAGGGCTGCTGGGCTGGTCCACGCGGGTATGTGTGTTAGGCTGCGGCGGAGGCTGTGGAAGTGCCAATCGGGCTCGGAGCTCAACGTGATAAGCAGAGAGGGGGGTTCAGCCGCACGCTCCGGTGTGTGAAGTGAGGCTTAGGCTGAGCGAGCTTTTGCTTTGCTGGTGTAATGTTGTTTGTCGTCGGTTCGAGGCAGGACGAGGCTTTCTTTCCTTGGAGAGGGGGGAGGGTGATGGCAGGGTGGATGGACGAGAGGCTTATCTGGCCTTGGAATACCGCTCGGTAAACGGACCGGGGCAACTTTTGGGGCGCAGGATGGCACGGGCGGCAACAACGCAGGGAAGCAACGTCGAAGAAGGCCTCGGTGTACGAGTCGGGGCGTTTGGGCGCTGCGTCTCGTGTATTGCGTCTTGCGTCAAGAGGGTGAGGAGAAAGGATGTGTGATGCGCAAAAAGGTGTAACGGCAGCGGATGCTAGTTGGGCTGCACCCTAAGAGAGTGCGAAGATGGCAAAAATGAAACCAAAGACGGGATGGGATGAACCGGCGATTGTCCACAGTCGGCCTACGAGGTGGGTGTCTGTGATATTGATATTCTGGGAATGCGAGCTTCAAAAAAAAACCCCGCCAGGAAAAGAGTCTCACCCAAGGAAGTCGTATGGAAACTCGGCGAGGCAAGAAAAAAGTTAAAGTTGGGTATCGACTATGCAATCCTACAAGGCAATATTGACGCCAGACTTCTTGGGCCTTCTTTCCTGCTCTTCGGGACCCAGACGCAAGCAAGTCACAAGGCAGCCAGGAAAGGGGGACCGGGAAGTGGAAAGCGTACTGGGTCCGGAACCCTCACCCTGATCTTGTCAGTAGTTGTCTTGACAGTCGGGCAATGAGTGAGCCTGGTTTGGCAACCCCACCACACCATCTATTCCGTTGTGAGTAAAAGTCGACGCGGCACCGGGGGAATTGTGAGCTGTCAATTCAGGAAATAGGTACCTCGACAACTTGGTGTGGAGGACACATGTTGCTCATGCTACAGTAACGGTTTGCCAATCGAATGGACCGGGCAGCCCCCGTCAAGAGCTTGCCCGTAAGGCTCAGGTGTGGAAATAGCACTAGCATTCATCCCAGCACCATCAATATACGCGCTTAGCGTCAGTTCGTACTATGTACGGTATACGTATCTTCAACAGTGACATGCGTCGGTAGGCCCTCGATTCGGCACGATGTATCCACTCAATGCCCCCAAGGGGTCCCAAGGGGTGTTTCCTTCGTCTCGGAACCGGGTATTTGATACGGTTGCAGATACAGATCGCGAAGTGGAAAGGGTCCTGAGCACTTTATTTCAGCCCGGAACCGCTGCAGTGGTCCAGCATCGCTTCTTTCCACCCACCGCCTTACTGACTGACAGTCTTACTCACTCCCTCGCGCCTGATCATCAGACACAGCACGTTGGAACATTGGACCATGTGTTAGACCAGTATGTATCTACCACAGGGAGACCCATCCATCCAACCATACATTATTCATTCATTCATTCACTCAACACACACACACACACCTGCTCGCCGGGCCGGACGGCATGACATCGTTAATATGAGGTGGTCGACTAGTCGTCATGGTATCCCCGTTAAGCTTATTTTGTCAAGGCCAATTCGACTTGCCAACACACCTGACATGATCCGGCCAGTGGGCAGACGCCGTTTTTAACCTCGAGGGTAACTCTTCTTCGCATGTGTGCTTTAGTAGACAGAAACATATCGGACGGACATCTCGTCTTTTTTCGTCGTGTGAAGCGTGAGCGTGGACAGTACCCAGCCGTACCACCCCAACGCCCTTCCTTGCCAGCGTCTCTCCTCACCTCTCCTCCCTCCCCTCCAGTCCCGCCCCACAACAGCCCCGGCACCAACGCCCCTCCCCAGAACGCCGAGCCTCGAGCACGGGACGCCGGCAAGCGGGATTGCGTATGCTTTCCAGCTTTTGCAGATTCGCGGCCCTCAACTCGTCTCTTGCCCAACCTTCTCGAACACACCGAACTTTTCTCCCTCCGTTCCCCGTCCGCCTCTCTCTCCCCTCTTCATTGTATGTACGCTGATCCATTTTCTCTTCTCAAGCGAACCCCCCGGAACATTTCAGATTACACATCCCTTCCCCCTTTGTCTTTTCCGTCTGCTCCGTTTTTGACTCTTCCTCCACCATCACCACCACCCCCTCCTCGTATCTTTCCTTTTCCTTTTTCTCTTCTCCAGTTCCTGAAAGATTGTCTACCTGTTAATGGTCAGCATGTGCGCATGCGTTTTTCTGGGAGCCCTCACATCACGACAATTCAACCGTTGCGGTTTGCCGCTCTCGGATGTCACTGACGGCTCTCACAACGTTTGACCATCTCGCAGCCAGGCAAGTGCCTAAGAGATCCAAGATGGGTCACCGAGCTGTTTCTACTGCTTCCAGTGTCTCGTGAAGGCCGCACGCGAGTTAGACCACATCAGGACTAATTTGCTTGATATTCCTTTCCAGATTTCGAGAAGATTGTGTGTACCAGACGCAAACCTCCCTGCTCTCGCTCTGAACCAGACGGAAAGTCAGCAACTCGGCTGTCAGTCACTTTTCATATCCTCACGTCTGTCACACCTCCCTCGCGTGGGCACTGTCTCCGAAATCCCGCCGAACTTACGACATCCGGCATGGCCGACAATGACCTCTCGACTAACGGCGAGTTCTGGCTTTACGGTTATGGGTACGTCCTCGATCCCTCGAGATCTCCGATCCCTGTCGGTCTCGCTCTCGGTCGATTCTTGTCCTTCACCTTCTTCCACCCTCCCGCACACATCCCTGCTGCGGACAAGCCTTACGCATGTCGGTCCTAACGTTACAAACCCCGTTCTTCAGGAGTTTGATATGGAAGCCTCCGCCACACTTCGGTTAGCCTCATCTCCCTTCCGCCCCCCTTACCTCCCCTCTCTAGCCATCATCCGAGCTGCCGGCTGATCTTTGTCATCTTACACCCCGCAGATAGGAGAATCCCTGGTTGGGTGACAGGATATGTCCGTCGCTTTTGGCAAGTTCGTCTTCCATTTCCCTTCCCCCCTGCCGCACTCGTCCTACCCGGCCCCACGGGACGTGAGGCTTTCTCCTCGCCTTAGCGCCCGCTGTCACCAATGCTTATTTGCACTACATGTTCTGCTCTCGTCCGATCTCACTTCATCTTACTGACTCCTCTCTAGGCAAGGTAATCATCTCATCCCAACAGGTCCATGACGTGCTTGCTCTCTGTCCTCGAGACATCTAACCCCATCATCAGTCAAGATCACAGAGGCACACCCGAGGCCCCGGGTCGTGTCGTCACTCTCATCGAACGTTCGTTCTGGGAACAGCTGACCGACCACCACGACTCAGCTCCTGACCGTGTATGGGGCGTCGCCTACCGCATCAAGGCTGACAAGGTCGCCGAGGTCAAGGACTACCTCGACATCCGCGAGATCAACGGCTACACCATCCACTACGCCCCATTCTACCCGGCTGACGGCTCTGAGCCCATTCGTACTCTTGTGTACATTGGCACTCCGGACAACGACCAGTTTGTCGGTCCTCAGGATCCCCAGGCTCTCGCTGCTCACATTCGCAAGAGCCGCGGTCCGAGTGGACTGAACATCGACTACCTCCTCGGCCTTGAGAAAGCCCTGGACGAGCTGAGCCCCGAGAGCGGTGACGTTCACATTACTGACCTCTCCGACCGAGTCCGGGCCATCATCGCCGCCGAGCATGAGGGTTCCGGTGATGTGGCTTCGTTTCAACCGCTCCCGCCATCCGCTGTCAGCAACAACTCTCAGCAAGAAGCCAGTGTCAAGGAGCAGGAGGAGACAGAGAAGATAGGCTGAAGAGTTTTATGCACATTCTTTTACCTCTTCCTTGTTATCATGACCCCTTTGCCCCATCATGGCACACTTTAGAGCCATGTCAGCCCAGTACCCTGTTCTAAACGCATCATAGACAAGCATGCAGACAAGTAGCGTTAGACCACAAATCCGTCGACTTCCAAGACGATTTCGAGGAGCCCTCAGCCTCCTGCTTCACCCAGAATCACGAGGAACAAGCATCACCAATTGCGAACGAGATCAACCATGAGCAGCAACCAACAACATCCAAGGGAGAGAGGTAAAGGTCAATGAAGACAGAAACAGAAAACCATTCCATTTGAGAGAGAAGACTAGGCCGTTACCAACCCTTGACCGCGGGTTGGGGTTTTAATTTTCCAGAGATCCAGTGCAACAGAAGAACCGGGTATTGTGTTGCAGCGAAGAATATCACCAATGCTCGATCGAACCAACGGGCGCGCACACGAACGTCTGTCAGACTCGGAGGAGGTATCGTCGGCAACATCTCTTGGCCGCGTGCTCCCGAGTTGCGAATATCGACAACCAGCGGGCAACGAATCTCCGAAATCTAGCGAGCACTAATAGCCTCGGCCGCCCTGGGGCTGCTGAGACGGGTCCTGGTAGCCATACGGGGCCTGAGGAGCGTAGCCGCCGTCTACAAATGAATGTTAGCGGTGTACTCGACGACTTGATTTCACGGAACCAACTCACCCTGGGGAGGGGCACCGTAGGGCTGCTGAGGGGGGTAACCGCGGCCGTAAGCCGGCTGCTGCTGCTGATACATGTTGGGAACGCCAACCGGGTATCCGCCGGGGGCAGCGCCGTAGGGCACAGGGGGGGCGCCGCCATAGCCGCCACGTCCACCACCGAAACCGCCGCGGAAGCCGCCGCCGCCGCCGCCGCCACGGGGACCGTTGTCGGAGGCCTTGTCGACGCGGATAGTGCGTCCATCAAACCTATCAATGGCTCGTGTCAGTTGGGCGATCTTCTCACACGATCATTGCGCCGGGACAAGCTAGCAATGGAAAACAGTTTGGCAAAGGCAGCGTACTCGACGTTGTTCATGGCGGCAATGGCCTTCTGGGCATCTCCATCTTGGGTGTAACGGACGAAGCCGAAGCCACGGCTGCGGCCAGTGTCGCGGTCCTTTACAACAACCTTCAAGAACGGGAAAAAACACGGGTCAGATCTCTTTTTCTCTCTCTTTTGCTGGACGATTGGGACAGAGTGTCTCTCCAATGTCTACTGCAACGCCACTCTCAAGAAAGTTTCCAGAAAGTTTCTTCGCGGACCGGACGATCAGTACTTACAGCTTCCTCAACGGCACCGAACTCCTCGAACTTCTGTCTGAGGGTGCCTTCCTCAGTGTGCCATGCAAGGCCGCTGGAGAACGTCTTGTCAGCAAAAGCATGTTTGGCATGGTTGGCGTCGTTGGATGCGCCAATGCGGGGGAAACATACCCAATAAAGAGCTTTGACATTTTGATGGTTGTTTGTTTTTGCGAAAGAGCTTGATGGTCTGTCTGGTCGGGTTAGGGTCTGTCTGACGGGAAAAGTCCAAGGGAGACTGCGATGCATAAATGCAAGTGGTCTCAAGTGGCGCCAAGCGGGGACCGGACGAGTGAAGAAGACGAGGGACAGGAAAAAGGCTCTTTTTGGGACTTCCCAGTGGAAGAGCCAAGGTGCTTCTGGCGGGCCTGCATCGATCCGCACAGCAAAATGGAGGAGGCAGTGCTGGAATACTGCCTTTGTCACTTGATGATGGTGCGCAAAGCGGAGCGGCAGAGGCGACAAAGCAAACGTACAGGATTCAAAGCCGGATGATGGCGATGCGGGGAGGCAGAGGGCAGCAAATGCAGGCTGTGTCAAACAAAGAAGTGCTGGGCGTGCGCGTATGCGTAGGTCGCGTTGCGTATTGTGTTATGGGAGGGAGAAGGAGAGGAGAGAGCGAGGGCAAGATACGGACCTGGTGGTTGGAATTAGGTGGGCTGTTGGTGGGAGTGGTTGACAGACGTCAGGTTTGGATCTCTGGGCTTGATGGATCGAAAAAAGGAAGGAGGGGTGAGTGTGTGAGAGAGAGAGGGATATGAAAGGCCACCTTGAGGGGAGAGAAAGGAAGTGAGTGCTGCTTGCTTGCTTAGCGGGAAATTTTTGAATGGATGGAGGAGAGGGCGTTGAGGCAGTGCAAAAAAATAGGCCCCAAGGCAAGGTAGGTAAGGTTTGTGGTGTATGAGTGTGGGAGTGGAAGTGGGAGTGGGAGTGGAAGGCAAGTGACTGGACAGGACAGGACGGTACGGTGCCGGTAAAGGTAGGCGGGGTGGATTGAGGAAAGGCAAGGTAGGAGCGGAACGGGGGGCCGCGGGACTGCAGAAGCAGGAAGCAGGAGGCAACAGCTCCTCCAGCAGCAGCTTCCAGCTTCCCAGCTCCTCCCCGGCCAGCAATTGCCCGTTATTTTGTCGACGACGTCGCCGCCGCAGCCAGTTTCTTGCTGCAATCGGGCCTTAGGAGGAGGAGGGGGGAACGTGGAACGGGCACGCATGGGAAAGAGCTCGTGGCGGCGGGACGTGGAGGGGTCCAGTGAGTCGGGGCAAGTGGAGGAGGGGAGGGGAGGGGGCAGGTACCGTCTTTGTTCTGGATGACGGTAGGGCAAGAAAGAATGACGGTCCATGTACCGCCCGTCGCTAATTACCCTGCAAGGTACCTGGAGGGACGGACCACAGTCTGGGCCAGCTTGGGCCTGAGGCGGCAGCAGGAAAAGGTAACGGGCGAACGGGAAGGTAGGAACAAGAAAATATTCATACACACTAAGAAGGACGGCGGGAGAATAGGCAAAAGAAAGACGCAAGATGGGAATGGCGCAAAGGATGAATTTTCTGACCGCGAGAGACCCAGAGACGTACCTGTCGTGACTGGTTCCTTTGTCCAGATGTCCAGTTGCGGAATTCTTTGTCGTTTGTTGTTGATGCAGAGACGATGAGAAAAATTCAAAGGGAGGAGGGGAAGAAAAGTACGATGCGGCAAAGAGCGCAAAGGGGCTTGATTGGAATCACAGAGAAAGAAAATAAGTACCGATCCCTGAACGACAAGGTAGTAGTGGTAGTAGTAGCGGCAGGCAGAGAGAGAGAGAGAGGGGGGGGGAAACGAAGAGGTTCAACTAGGACAGGCGTAGGTCAGTCGATGTCGGGATTGTTTTCGAATAATCGCGCTTTTTCTCAACTTTCTGTTCGCTTTTTTTCGCCTTGAATTCCGCGTCCCGCCATCCCAACCGCGTCGCCGGTCCCTCCATCTTATATGTGATGGACGCAGGGTCCGCCGCCATGGGCTCCATCTCCAGCGGGCGGCGAAAACCCGCGACCAAGGACGAGATCAGGGCGAGCAACTCTGCCGCTGCGGCAGTTTGATACCTGGCCTGCATTACCAGATGAAGAACAAACGAAGCGTACCTAGGAGAAATGACTTGCCTGCGGTAAGATACGCATACACATACGCGCGCCAAGCACTGTACCTTCCTTGCCATTCACCCTAATCCAACCTGAAGAGTACATGCCCGCACCTCACAGGGTCGCTTGATTCCCTGCTCGCCTCCTCTGCTACTATGTACTGCTGCTCAGGCACACGAGGCAAGGGCCAAGGCATCTGGGAGATCTGCCCGGGGCAGAGGGACCCATGAAAACCCATCCATCCATCCATGAATATTCAGTGTCATGGGGGATGGTAAAGAGGGGACCGCCCACATCCCAAATTCGGCTTTTCAGCGCAAGGGGTGGGATAGACGACCAAATGGAAAGGAAGAAGGAAGGGCCCAACGCCCATGAAATGTTTCGACCAGAGCATAAGTGTGGCACCAGGGTTGGCTCCCCCTCCCAAACAAGCATCAAACAGACGAAAAGCCTCACCTGTACAGATACAAACAAGCCCGCGATACCTCTGCCCCGTCATATCCCCTGCCGCAACCAGTTTGCCAGTCAGGCTCAACCACAAGACACGACTGACTGCCTCCTGTCGGTCTAAACCAACCCGGCCCTGTACGAAGCCTCGGTCCGCCCGCAGTTTGCCAGACCGCCGTCGGGGTAGGAGCTGCCTGAGGTGCGGCGCAGCTCTGGGAGGTCGCAACATCGTCGTCGTCGCCGCGGGACCCTGCTGTCGCAACCGGCGTCGTAGACGTTGCCGCGTCTCGCGGCAGGTACAGGTAAGACAACGCACGACGAGACGCACGCACTTACGTACTTTTGCCTCCAGGCAACCACTCCTCGGGGCCTGTTTGCACGCAACAGTTGAGCCTCGCCGGGCGCCCAACAGCTTCATCATCATCGCCGCCATCACCAGCCTCCGTTCTCACGCACCCCGCTGCTGCCCGTCAGTCAAGACGGATCATCGTGCCCAATATGCCCACACTCTCAGTCCAAATGGCTGACCAAGCGCCTGCAAGTGTGGTGGGATGGGATGCAGAGACCAGGGCCACGGAAAGCTTCTTAGAACCCATGAACCTAGCCGATGCAGGGGATTGTCAGGCGAAAAGACTTACTGCCTGGTTGCAGGCGAGCAAAATTCCGGCACGCTGATTTGGTACATACTGTGAATGGACGATGTAGCTTGGATTGTGGCGGCAGTCCGTCGAGACTTTGCTCGTGCACAGACTCAGGCGACGGGGAAATACAGATTGATCATGGAGGAGGGGGCGGACAGAGGCTAGCAATGCCGTACTCTGTAGAGGGGTGTGGCATCGAGAAGGTCGGGATGTTGTGTCAGAGAGCAATTTCTGAGAGTCTGAGAGGAAGTGAGAAAGGGATAGGGAAGAACAAGAGGGTGGGATCCTGACACCAGAAACAGATTGGCATCTCTGCATCCCGTCCGCCATGGCTGCCGGTCGTGCTGGTGCTGGTGCTGGAAAACACCTGCGCGGGACGACAGGCTTGGCCTGCCTACTTGCGGACGCACTGGTCCAAGAGTGACATTCCCATTCGACCCCACACTTTGCACAGCCTCCTTTCACCATGCCCAGTTTGAACCAAGATGAACATCTTGGAGCTGCAACATCATTCTCCAACGTCTACCTTCTCCTGAAAGTGGGTCTCCCAGTCCTTGACTTGAGTTGTGTACCATGTCGTTGCTGCAGAGCCTGCTGCACCGATTTCTTGACTCGGCTTGCATTCCACCATGTGCTGTGTCGACCAAACGTTCATGGCTGATGGCAAGATACGGAATAGACCTCCGTTACATGGAAGGTGCATCTCGTCTGTTTGATCTAGTCCAGCCATCGAATTGCGACATTCGCCGTCCCCTTGCCGCCACCCATGCTGTGTGTTTAGCGCAACCGTCCACTCGTTTATCGGCATGCCCTTGTCCATGCGGCCTACATCCCACGCAGGCGTCATGGAGGACCGGGACAGCCTTCTTCTTCCTCTCTTTTGCTCTTATATTATATCCCTCGTCCGTTGAATTGCTCGTGGTATGTAGTATCGGTCGGCAGTCTGTTCCTGGCTGTCGTCCAATGCGTTTCAAGGATCCAACCTTTTCTTCCGACACGTTTCCCTCATCATTTTTCGGCTTGTCCTTCCGTCCTCTTGCGTGGTCTCACACACTCTCTCTCATACGCGGAGATGTGACCAACCATATCGCTGGGACGAGCCCTATTCACCGGCATTGAATACTCCTCGTGCGAGAGGGCGCGCGAGGCATTCCTTTTAGGGAGAGCTCGACTTGTGAGCTAGCGGCCTTGGAGAGATCCCGGTAACCAACCTCTTTTTGGCGCACAAAACGCTCAATGCTATCCATCGAAGCTCCACCCCTTGGTCGGCACTGACCAGCTAGAGGTCCAGGAGCAGCTAAGTACTGCGATGTGGGTGAATTTGTGATGTTGACAACTTCATAATGTGGGTGCGGCCGAAAGTCCATGTCCTCCATGCCAGTGGAGAGATGGTCGATCCAGTGGAGACGCGGATAGCCATAACCCCTCTGTCGTACAATGGCATCGTCAATTTTGGTTTTGGCAGTAAATTGCCCCTCCCCCAAGCTGCGCACGGCGCACAAACGACCCCTCAATGAATCCGGTATATCTGCTACCTTATCACCCGATAATTGTCCGTTCCGTCTGTGCGACTCGACGGCAAACAACCAATCCGGTGGGCCATCGACACGCACCCAAGGCCATTGTGCTCTGCTGCCATCACCGCCTTCATGCTCCAAGCACCGAGTTTCGATGCGCGGGAATGAACGGCGCACCATGTGAAAGATTTCGACAATCACAAAACGCGATGCAGCGATGTGTCGAACGCTGGGGCAGCCCATTTTCAGGGACTAAGGTAGTGGGACCTTTAACCTCTATCAGTCCACACCCTTGGAAGTATAGTCGCCATGATATGCCGCATGGGCCAACAGCCGGGGACCTCCAGTTGAGCAAATGGAGGGGTAACTTGGCCTCTGGAATACTACCAGCAGGAAACCTAATGCACATGGCCGCGATCCAGCCGGAGATACAAGGTTGAAAGACGGCTCCATGTTCCGGCGTCTTCACACCGCTTGGTTGCTTCTCTGATCATAGTTCCTTGGCTTTCACTAAAATGCCATCTTGTCGATGATTTTCGTGTGCCTGGTAGGCAGCTCTTCTAAAGATCCCAGAGACATCTGAAACTGCTAGGGATCGTCTATAATTAACATGTTTTGACTGGACGAAGGTGAAACTTGCTGCGCCTTCTTCGCAGGTCCACCCGGACTTTGTTGCCCGCAAAACACGCAGAGCTTTGGACAACGTTGTCTTCGACATGTCCAGATACCGCGCCTTGGCCTGCTCCGTGAGGGGGGAACTCCTGCAGCCACGTGCGTTGTCACGGACGATGCGACCCTGCGCAATGTCGGTTAGGCTGATCTCAAATGCCAATAGCTTCAGCGCGCATCTGGACCGAATCTTTGGAATGATCAAGATGCTGTGACGCCGTTGACGTCGTAGTCGACCGAAACTTCCGGCCGTTGATTTCTCGCAGTCACAAGAAAATGCCGTGCCGCAAGGGCAACAGCAACATTTATCCGCAGTTCTTCCAGGCCATGTGATGAATGCAGAGACCATTTGATACCTATAGTGGCAGTGTTTGGATCGAGATAATGATAAAGATTGGGTTGGCAAGCCAATATCAAAATACGTGTGAAGGCACGGCTTGGGCAATTTTACGGTCATGGGCAAGCCATCGGTAAGGGCCTGCATACTCGGCTGTCAATCATCTGTCAGGGCGGCTCTTATCCGGCGCAGCTTCCCCATAGCCAAGGCGATGCTATCAATAGCATTCGGCCGGGGATTGACACAAGACAGGTTCCGTCACCACCAGCCAGCCATGTCTTGGCATCCTGAGACGACCGCAAGTTGGGGCTTGCATAGATCACATATCCAGTGCGCCGACTAGCCGCTGTCGCTTTTGGTCAGACCCAAACATCGAGTCAAATTGGGTAGCGATGCTGTAATGCCCAACGAATCCCTCCATAGGAAGTCAGGACTTTCCATTGTGCCTCGTACCCCGCAACCGTTCGAGGTTGCGTCGTGTCATAGCTCGGCCTGCTTGGAACCATCGTGCTACGGTATTCCTTGTAAAACCGGCGGCATGCGGTAGAACCGAGAGATTTCCCAGCGACGAGTAAAACGGTGCATTAATTATGCCCAATGATCGCAGGGAGAGCTAAGCGATGGAGAATCGGTCTACTGCCACAAAGCTTGAAAACTTGACCAAGAAGACTGCCGGAAGTGCCATGCCGGCGCTGTACACGAACATCTTGACACCGGTTCACAGTTCTGAGGGGTTTTTGAGTACTAGTATGCCAGACCCAAAACCAATATTCTAGGCGAGATAACTACTGTCAAGTTAGCATTCTTGTCGCGAAGAACTTTCGGATAAGGTAGGTGAAGTTTGTCTCCCTTGAAGCCAGAGAAAATCGTACAAAGTGATGTTCAATGGCATTTGTCCCCGACACGAACGGCGCTGTGTTGAATTGAAAATAAGGGCGTGTAGCAACGCAGTGGAGGTTGACACAGAGAAGTGGGTGGACATGAGAAGGAAGCCACGGGAGAAACATGGAATTCGGCACATGATCTGGGGATACGCTGGCTTCTCGCTTAGGGGCTCATACTTGCCATTTTTACATTGCGCAGAAAATCTGGTGCCTGTCACCAGAAGATTTCTTTGCATCGTCGTAGAACGACAGCCGAAGTCTTCCACAGACGAGGAAGGCCCCACCTTCCATTTCGTTCTGACGGCACGGTGTCTTCCTTCTTTCAGGTATACTGGCAACAACTAACGGAGAGCGATGTCGACAAAATTCAACACGGAGAAAGTGCAAGACCGTCATAGGTCACGAAACTGCTAGAAATGGCCGATGTTGTGGACATCGTAGTAGACCAGGCACTCGACCCGGCTAAGCTCCCTTCCATGAAGAATATCACAACAACCACCCGCAGTGAAGTCTCCAACTCGAGAACCCAACCGTTACTGTCCGAGTATACCAATTCAGCTGTTTCCTCCTTCAGTTCGGCCCGCGCTCTTTGCATGCCGCCGAACGATCTGGGCTACGATCCAGCCACTACGCCGAGGAGCGCAGACGCAGCATGCGATGGCACACCGCCTTATTAAGCACCATCGGAGTCGTGCTCAACATCGTAATGATGAACAACACGGCCACCGTCATAGTCTTTCTAAAGCAAAGGAGAAAGCAGGGCATCAACTTGACTCCAATTCAGGACGAGTAGATCAAGTTTCGGGCGTTGTCCTGGCTTCAGATGCAAGAAACAACACTGTTGGATTGGTGGAAAACTGGCTTGTCAACGTCAGTCGAGGAGGAGTAGTTCTTCCGGAGCCCGTGGACCGATATCATCAAGATCAAGGTCATTCGAATCCTTTGACCTGGCGACCTCACGGCCTTCCTCTTCAGGACGCGCCTCGACGCAGCCATAAACGCACTCGTTCACAGGACAGCTCCATCATCGCCAACCCAGCCAAGATAGCAGCCCGGGTACCTCCAACGACAGAAAGATACCAACAAATGGGCCCAACTGAACCGAGCGACACGTTTGTCTTAGCAGGCACCCCTTCACCAAGGTTTGAGAAACGGCCAAGGCATAAGACGAGAGAAGATCGATACGACCCCCAGGAACGGATTAGGCAGAAACACAAGAATTGCCCGGAAGAAAGGCCTGTGCCTCCCAAAAACCTGCCAAAAAAGCCGAATTCCTCGAGCCGCGAAGTGATGGATAATTTTCGCTCGGAAGTCATTCTCAATGACCGACTCACAGTGAGCAAGTAATGGCCACAGTTAAGGATTACCATTAATGACCTTAGCTACAACCTTGCGTTACGCCTGGACTCTTCCAAAATGGCCGCGCATCGTCACGAAAGCCCGGTATGTTGGCTCTTCAAGACTGCTAATCGAGTCGTCTGCTAATGTGTATAAGTTGAGGAACTGGCCTACAATTCGATGGCTTCCATTGAGCATCTTCCATCGCGCCAGTCCTCTTTCCAGCAGGGGAATCGCTCCCGAGTCAAGGAAAGTCAGTGGCGAGAAAAGGAACTGGGAGAGATGGCGACTCTCTTTGGTCGCAAAAACACAGCAGCGGAACAGCATGCAGAAAATGGGCAAAGGCGGCACCGTGACATCAATGGCAATTGGCAAGCAGAGGAACAACTTTTCGACAACTACAGCCGACGGACTAGACCCCGGATAGGGTCGACAAGAATTATGGAAGAAGCCAGTCCAGGAAGAAACGAGACACATCAACCACCGAAAATCAAGCCTTATGTCAGATCAAACCACGGATTTCAGTCGAGTAGCAGAGCTACAAGCTATGAGACATGGCCCATCAGCAGCAACCGCCAAACATCCGTGCCAAACTACGCCATTGACCGTTCACCTAGCAGCACCCCCGAGCCGGTTAGAGAAGCCCTCCGGGAGACTGGAGTTTTTGGCGGAACTGGGCTGTGGGGAGATGATTGCAATTTGAGGGCCAGCTTTCATCAGGCCGACGATCTGCGCACCCAAAACCGAGACTCACGAAAGGGGGAGGAACGTATTAGCCTATCCCAGACCTCGGTGAAGAAGCCTATAATCATTCGATATACAGAAAAAGGGACCATGACGAACAATGAACACCAGCTGCCATCGGGTGGACTAGAGGCATTCAAGAGTGTAGGAGACAAGGCTGGTGCGACCACGGCGGAAAGCTCGAGGTCTTCAAAGGCAGTGGCGAGATCGAGTCTGCCGACACAACTGGCAATTAACGATAAAGGTTTGAGGAACGTACAGACAGATCGTTTTGCTGAGACCAGCCGCAAGATAGACGCTCCTCCGACAAGAACTGACGCCACTACGCAAGCGTGCCTAGAACCACAGTCCAGAAAGGGTGTTCCTGCTCGAGCATCACCAGAAGTCTTCCAGAGAACATCGGTAGAAACACCGATGATTGATGAGCCCCAGCGCCCAGAGACCAATGAGAATGAGGTTCAGTCAGTCAACGCTGCATGGCCTCATGTCGAAGTTACGTCTACTTTCAAAGTTGCAAAAGAGACAGCGGCCAAGCTCCAGAACGAAGAGATACGAAGGGCAGAGTCTGCTTTGTCTGGTATGTCTCAGGCATCATATATGGTAAACGAAAGCAGGCAAATGAGCCACCTCCTGGCTCTAGACAGAGCGACTTACTATCAGCCAACCCTCGTCGAGAACAGATCTCTCATGAGCGGTTCAAAAAGCCAATGGTGTAACGAAATTGTTCGCGAGGAAGAGGCGACTCCAAAGCCATATGATTATCTTCGAACGACCTCACGGGGAAGCCATCCGAAAGGTCTTAATCGTGCGTTTACCACAAAAGGATACAGGTCGGAATCAAAGCTTAGTCCGTATCAATCTCAACAATCAGAGAGCATGACTGACTTCATCGCGCGCATTGAACAGGATGCACTGCGGAATGATAACCGCGAACCTGCGTGGGGATCAATTCATAACGACATGGTCTACCAGCAGTGGACAGATAGTTTCTTAACGCCAGTGAACCAGTCTGTCATGGAGAGCGCTCAAACCATTGGAACTCCTGGTTTCGATCGTTTCCTCGAAGAATCGTATTTGACCTACCCAGGAGACGTTAGTGCCAGCGGACCAAAAGCACAGCCGTTTCTGGAGACTGAGTTCCATGCGCAACCACGAAACTACCATTATGCAAGCCGGCAACAGCTCATCGAACAGAAAGAAGAATACGAAAGGGAGGAAATGAATGCATTCTGGCGGCCCAACTACTCTTATTACTGATACAACTACTCAGGCTCTTGACCCTTCCACTTCTCCCGAAGCTTTGCCACGTCAATGTCACACCTTTCCGCTTTGGCAATGGTGGCATTCGCCTTCCCTGTGACCGGGGCATCGATCATCATGCCATCGAGTGTCCATGCTCCACGGCCCGCCTTACTTGCTTTCTCGTCTGCGACTGCAACACGTACCGCCCATTCCACCTCCTTTTCGCCAGGGGCAAATAACTTTTGGACAAGAGCCACCTGATTGGGATGAATGCACTGTTTGCCGTTGAAACCCATCGACTTACCCCCGAGAGATTCCTCCTCCAACCGCTTCAGGCCTTCATCCCCCTTGTAGGAGGTGCAGACAAGGTCGATTGCACTGGGCAACTCGGCGGCCTTCGCGGCGGTAACGATGGCAGATCGCGCATACAGAAATTCGGTCAGGGAAGGTGTTCTTGTCAGAGATAGATCCAAAGCGAAGTCCTCAGCAGCGAATACCAAGCCGCTGAGGTAAGGTGATGCCTTGCAGATTTCGGAAAGGTTCATGATCGATCGAGCAGACTCAATCAAGGCAATGATCTTTATGGGATTTTGGGACGTGGATGCGTGCCTCTCAGGAGCTACGTGACGCAATACATCGGTAACGTACGTTAGGTCGGCGGCGGAGTTAACTTTAGGAACGACGATAGCATCGACATTGGGTAATGACCCGAGAGAAGTTAGGTCGTCCAGAGCAAACTTGGTCTCTACTGCGTTGATTCGCACAGCCAGCTCGGAGATGGACGGCGGCCGCGAATTGTTTTTTTCGAGAAAAGAACGAAGTTGGCCTCGGGCTTGTGACTTCAATGAAGGCGTCACCGAGTCTTCCAGATCATATGTCACGTTATCGGACTTGAGGCCCAGCGACTTGGTGAGCATCTTTTCCGAAGACGAGGGCACTGGTTAATTGTTAGTTGGGTTGTCCTGGGGGTCTAATTTGGGTTCTATTCACCATAGAGCAGCGCTCGGCGGACAATTGAAGAGGACCTGGCCGCCATGATGGATAAGTCGTCCACCGTACATACACCCTCTCGGCCTGTGTAGTTCTAGCCTGTCACCTCGGGGTTGATTGAACGTTGATTGAAAGAATGAACGGAACCCAGTGATGTGGTATCATGGACATGGGCCGAAATGCACAAGTGCAGCTATTTAACACCGGGGCCGGCAGGTCGTATTTACTTTGCGAACGACGCTCGGTAACTTGGGTCTGGAGCGGTTAGCACCAAGTCGGCTATTTGAGACGGGACTGGGTCAGGAAGCTGGGGTCGTTGATGACGTAATGCGAGCTTGGGTCCGAAAGATGGAGAGCTTGCAGTTTCTGCCACGAGTGACCGCTGCTGGACCCCTGGAACACCTAAGGCGCTAGACAAGTGGGCCTCATGCTCCAACGGCCCCCTGGCGGAATAATTCAGCCTCCACCCGCCGAACAGCTTACCGTAGCTTCAACAGGTCTGGCCCAGTGAGAGGTGTGGGAGGACAGCTGAATCCACGCCTGCGGCCCGCGCATTACGACAGCTGTACCGTAATGAGTTTCTGGCCCTTTTTCGAACAGGCATCCCTCTCGTCCTGACACCAGGAAACACAACTCCTCCACGAGGCCACGACATGCACACGACGACGACGGCAACGAAGTAGACAAGCCCAATTTCTTGATCGCCAACCGAATTGAACAACGAGACTATTGAGGACGTCGGACTCTACCTACGGTTACTGCGACGGTTCGAACAATCTTGCCCGAGATGGATCCCTCGCAACAGCAGCAAGATGCGCCAGGCTCCCTGAGCTGGCGATTGAGCTCGCATCCCATCACCCTTCTGACGTTTCTTTCATTCCGGATATGTAAGTCGACCTGCGAGCTTCACGAATTGGTTGTAGGGGCAGCAGACTGACACGGTGCTGGGCAATAGCAAGTGTTCTCGTGTACTTCCTCGGGTTGTGGATCATCAGAAGCATGTACGTTGTCGCATACTTCCTCACCCTCGAGCCCCCCAACCGGCTCCGTTCAACAAACCTCTGCTCCATCCCGGACCATCCTCCGAAGAGTGGGAATGTGTTGGAGCTGGAGCCCACGTGCTCAAGGTGACCGTCACCCTGATACACCTACCAGACACTAACCCGCTCGCTCATAGGATCATGATCTTCATCATCACCATCCTCCTCCTCGCCGCCGACTTTTACTACCTCAAGAACATCGCCGGCCGCCGACTCGTGGGGTTGCGGTGGTGGAACGAGGTGGACGCGCAGACGGGCGACTCGCAGTGGGTCTTTGAGAGCAGCGAGCCAGGGACCAAGACGATCAACCCAACCGACAGCCGCTTCTTCTGGCTCGCGCTTTACACTCAGCCGATCCTCTGGGTGCTGCTTGCCATTTTTGCGCTCGTGCGGTTGCAGTTCCTGTGGTTGCCGCTTGTTGGTGAGTGTGAACAACCCCCTCTTGATTATCCTTGTCCTTCTCTATCCCTTGAGATGGGGACGGAGGAGACTGCATCATGCTCCTCATCGTTGTGGTCGGCGAGTGCGGCCCGCTTGAAGATTGTGCGAAGCGTTAGACAAAACGCTAACTCGGACTCTGCAGTCATCGCCCTGGTTCTGACCATCATGAACGCCATGGCCTTTTCGAGATGCGACAAGTTCAGCCACGCGTCCAACATGGCTGGCAGCGCATTGTACTCTGGCGGCCTGGCGGGCAGCATCGCGAGTAACATGGTGGGCCGGCTGTTTAACCGCGGTTGAGCTACATATTTTGTACTTGAGTAACGGCAGCCGGTCACGGAGAACGGGGGGGCACGGAATATAGCCAGGGGCTTTGCGGTCTGTAACAAAATAGAGGTATTATTTTTTTGTTTTTTTGGCCCCGCTGCAGGCGCAGGACTTGTGACACTGATACTGCTACTCGGCGCGGGAAGCAAAAGAAGGGAATAAGAGGGGGAAACACAACACATGGAGAAGAAGAAAAAAACGAGCGCAGCCGTTCGCCGCGAGGCCGGACGAATCGGTGGTTTGTGGAATATTGCTATACCCTCCCAACTGTATACTAGACACGGAAGCATGACTCGGGAATGTTGTGTCTTTTTCGAATGATGACTTAGGGTTCTTTGCTTCTGCTTTGGCAGCGTGGTGTCGGCGGCTCCGAATACGGCGAAAGGTTACAACGCGTAGCCCCAAACCCCCGCGACGTTTGAAGAGACTCCTGTCCTCGCGGCTATGATGACGAGTTGGATGGCGACGAATGTCGACTTCGTATCCTCCAGCCCAAGAGTGCCTCTGTAGACGCCCAGGCCATGTCTCTTTGCTTGCGGATTTTGGAAAGGGGGACTCTGAACACACGAGTTGCTTCGTGCGTGCCCCTCCCACCTCGCCGGCGACGTGGGCTCAAAGGATCTCGGGATCGTCTTCACCTTCACTCACTGCGGCGCGGCGCGTAGGCGATGCGGAGCGTCTCTCGAGCCTTGCACTCCAACGCGACGCTTCAGGCGGATGTGCTAGACAACAGACTTTTTACTTCATTTCTCGCGCCAAACCACAAGTACAGCGTTATCTATCTTGTCCAAACACACACCAACGAAGCCTTCCTCTCCATGTCCGTATGGGGGGTATCAGCAACCCTCCTCTGAAACGAATGACCGAGGTGCCACAGGTACAAAACGGCTCGAACTGCAAGCACGCTATCCAGTACGTGAAGCATCAACCCACTACAGCAATATTTGGTCGAACGAAAAAAAAAAAGAAAAAGAAGTATTATGCAAGAACTCGCACTATAGCGAACTAAAAGGGGACGTTGGTCAGACGATGACTACGGCTACCGGCGCTGCCCCTGCCCCTGGCTCTGGCCTTGGCCCTGACCAGCCTGCTCGATTGCATCGTCCAACGCTCGCTCCTCCTCCTCTAGACGCCGGATCTCGTCCTCCGTCATGCCATCCTCAATCAGATGCGAAACGTTTGTGTTGACGTTTGGCGTCGATGAGCGTGCGCCGTTCCGGGTCATGTCCTCCACCGACCTGGCAGCGATGGGCGTGTGCTCCTCCTCGCCATACGGCGCCAAGGGATGGCGTTCCGTACCGCTTACGGCGGAGGCGGGGGCAACGGCTTCCGGGTCATCCAGCTGGATGCGGTGGTGCTGCCCAGGCGGGTGTTGAGGTTGTTGCCCGTCGTCCGAGTAGGGTGAGTGCGGTGACTCGGTGACGCGGGCGTGAGTCTCCTTATCGGTGAGGTACTGGTGGGGGCTGTGGCCGGAGTCGTATGCGCCGTTCGACACATGGTCCGCGCGACGGTGCCGACGGAGGAAGAACCAGATCAGGAAGGCGATGAGAGAGATGCCAAGCACCGAGCCGATGACAATACCGGCGATGGCACCAGCAGGGAGGTTAGACCCGCCGCCGCCGCCGCTATCGCCGGCGCTTGCGCCGAGGGTCGAGATTGATGCGCTGCCTGTGGCGGTCGCTGAGGGGCTAGCTGTTACCGCGGTCGAAATGGGGTCTGCGGATGACGTCGAATCGTCGTCTTCCACGCCGTTGAGTTCGCGGTCGGCATTGTTGTCGTCACCTGCCGTTAGTTTTCCGATTCTGTCTGCCGCAGCGCTGTATTCCGAGGACCCGGAAGTGCCGTTGGAGACGGCAAAGACGCCGCTAGTTGTTGTACCAGATCGATCAAGCAACGTCCAGTGGAGTTGGATGTACATGTCATAGTCATAATACTGTTGATTTATTTCGTGGAATGTCAGCTCGAGGTAGTCGTCATAAACAGTACCTATATTGCGACTTTAGCGGTTGAACAAGAAAGACGCGAAGTCTTGTCAATCGAGTCGCCCGTCATTTAACATGAAAGCATGAGGACTTACCTAGTGACCTTTTAGATAGCCGTGCAGAACTGGGCGCCTTCTCGAACCTTTCGATGGTAATGTTGTCGCCGCCTATCCTTCCCAGCCAAAGAGCTCTGTCGACACTAACTCCGGCGGAACTCCCCCAGTTGATCTTATGGGTGCCGGTGCTAGTCGTGATGACACGATCGTTGTAGTTGGGGAGCGAGCCGAAAGTCATCATGTTGAAATCTATCTTCTTGCCTTCGGGGTTCCCTATAGTCCCGGGACTCTTCTGCGTGGCCGAAAAGTTAGGCCGAGAAGACTCGCCAGTCCCGAAGGCGGCATTGCCGTCGGCTTCATCGACGAACACGGCTCCTGACGGTGCAACGGATGGTGCCTTCACTGCGAGAGCCATTTTGACGAAAGATGTGGTATTGCCGGGCGGTTCGGCGACTTCGGCGTGTCGTATGGTGCTGTATCATGCAATAATCAGCCTGTGGCCCAGCCCGTCGCTCTCGGTAGTCGGATGTGAGTATCCCTCGGAGTTTGAGTAATATGCACGTTTTTCATGTAAGTCGTGATGCAACCCATCGGCTGCTTTCGTCGAACCCCCCAAACCCTTTCTTTTGTCGAAGTATCCGTCGCCCCAGAAATCGAGACCGAAGAGTGACGCACGAACTGAAGATGGAGAACCGAAAATAGGAAGAATGGAAGAGGGAAAAAGTTAGGAAGACAGGGCTGAGAGAGTAAGAGAGAGGACCCTTCGAAAGTGGGAAAGAAAGCCACCAGTTACCCCCAAGCTTGTGTGACCATGTGGGAGAGTAAGAGAATAAGACAGAGCAAACCGCAGAGACAAGGACGCAAAGCAAACAGGGGTTGCTGCTGCCGTCTTTCTGTTGGTCAGGTCCGAGGCGCCAGGTCGGTTTGCTGAATGGGGCGGGCGCGTTGGTGTTGGTATTGGTGCCGTGAGACGTTCAGCTGGAGACGCCCGGTTGTTAGTGTTTGAGGAGCGGCACCGACTTGAACGTGGGCTGGGTTGGTGTGCAAGGATTCGAGGATCTGCACTACACCAACTGCAGCAAGCCACACGCCAAGGCTACGCCGCGAAGAGAAATGTGGGAAAGAAGGATTCGCCCATTGGACTTTCTCATCCGCTTTTCTCTCTTGGCTGGTTCTTGAGGAGCTGATCGCGGCGAGGCGCTGTCGACTCGCTCGCGGAGTCTGGCCTTGTGCAGCTTTGTTAGCATCCGGGGCTGAGGGCTCAAGTGCCTGGTGTTGTTCACCAAAAAGAAGCCGTATCCTCGGTGATGGGACTGCGAGCAAAGGCGAAGGCGGGCTTTGGAATTGGCCGATTCTCGAAGATTGGAAACGTCTTACCAGCAGAAAAATGGCAGGGTAGGGTCCGCCGTGTCGTCCATGAACCCATGTAGCAGGCATCCCACTCCAGGGTTGCGAATCCTCAGGAAGGCTATCCAATTCCATAAGTTCCCTTTTCGTACCTCATCCCCTTTCTCTCCCTTTGAAAAGGTGCAGCCTGTCATTTTCGACCCTTATTATCAAACCATCCGTGTACGATCTCAGGTTCGGTACAAGGACTCAGTAAGCTGTTACACCACGGCAGCAACAAGTGCTGATGTGCATTCACACCAAGCAGTCTGCTCCGCCCCGGGGGCTGTTTTGATGCCAAGGCAGGTAAGGAGTGTGCATAACCCACTCCGACGACCAGCAAGAAGCAGGTCTACTACTACGACGGACTGATCTCCCCCGCCTAGTCACCCACCTGTCTCTCCCCTTCCATCGATATCGAACGGACACACTGGAAGGAACGGGAGACTGTGAGCATCAGCGTGTACCGTGAAGACAAGGAGCACCTCAAGGCAAGGAAGAAAGTGACATTCCTAGGGACAAGCCGTCGTGGACCCGCGTGGTAAGGCTGGACAGAAGTGGGGACGCCAAATCACCCCAGCCCCAGCGTAAGCAAATAAGGTAAGCACCATCCAATGGAACGTGGGGCGCGGACTTGATGCTATTAATTGAAACAAAGGCGCGCTGGCCCCCTGCAGACATGCAAAGCGAGAGGAGAAGGCTGCCGCTCAAGAATAGGTCAAGAGAGAGGCAGACAGCAGAGAATCAACGACTGGGCGACGAAAGACCCTACACCCGTTTGACCGCCAAAGGTCTAGCGTTACGCCGCTAGTGCCGCTGCGGCTGATGTTGGACGGGGGGGGGCGATGCCAATCCTTCTCCCGACGCCAACCTTGATGGGGCATTCCTTTTGCTTTCGCGCCGTCCTTGCGTGCTTGCTGCTTGTGCCGTTTTGCTCCGACTACCCCGGCGGAGAGAGGCATCTGAAATGGAGGATTGGCACGATCACACTTCAGCCAACAGGGCGCGGGCAGGGGATTACGTATACAGACACATATCACTGTGGGTTCCGATGAAGCAGTCAGCTTGCACGAGCTTTCTCGAGCTGCATCCCAGTACTCTCTCTCGCACGGTCTTCGTCCGCACGTAGCCCCCGGCTTACCGCAAGTGCAGTTCATCTTCCATCCCTTGACATGAGAGGAAGGAAATCCATCTCCAGGAAAGAAGACATGCAGAGACTTCAGTACAGACGAAGGAACGAACGGCCAAAACTCGTCAAAGTCCTCTGGGAACAGAGATGAACCCAACCTGCCTCTGTTCATCCCATCCCATTCCATCCCATCACTGCACAAAGTCCTTTTCTCCAGCCCGCCCTCTCGCTACGCTACGTTGGTGGTGTCCTGCTTCTTGGCACCGATCACCTCTGCTGCCTGCCGATCCGACCAACCCACCCACCCACCCATCCGACCCCCGGCCGCGGCGCTCTGCCTCGGATGTGACCCTCGTGCATGCCGTTCCCGCATCGCATCCAACGTCCCAAAGTTCCAACAGCCGCCTTCTGATGATATCCTCAAGACATACCTACCCCCACTTACCGGGCGACTCGCCCGTCGCGCGTTCCGTGCATATTTTGGTTTGTCTCTCTTTTTCTCGCGGTTAGACATGACCGACGACGGCATTGAATGTCCCCGGGTTGCCAGTTCGTCAAACCCCATTCTCACGAGCCCTCCCTCCAACAGACAGTCCCAACCGTCTCCTTTGCCCAAAATCGTCCACAAGACTCGTTCCTGTTCCTTACCTCCAACCCACCCCCCCAACCCCCCCCGGCCGCGTGCTTGTACTTGCAAAAAGGCCGAGAAGACCACTCCAACAACCGACGCCATAAATAGCTTCCGAGACTTTGCAGTTTGACAAAAAAGAGGTCGCAGGAGGAGCAGCTGTACATGCAAGACACAGGGCGGCTATCTGCCCTGACCAGAGGGAAAATGGTCAGGCAGACATCGCGATGCACTGCCCCCAACTCACCTTCACCGGCTCACATAGTGCACACGAAGAATTGGGGGTCGGTCTTGAGATAATGATATGGGGGACTGTATCTCCCATCTTTAGTATTACTTTCAGCGTCAATGCAGACGAATTATGTACTCGAACGATCTACGGTTTTGTAGTGTAACCCAATGCGAGACCCCTATAAGCAAAATCGACAACATCCCATTCGTAAAGAACAGAGCGGGTGCGCTCGCTTCGTTGGCGGCACGCCTGTACGACCTCAAACGCAGCAATGGCCCTCGCAGGCAGAGAATGCGCTGTCGTAAATCTGTACGCTTCCACAGAAATTAAGAAAAAAGTAGAAATCCCATGTTCATGCGCCCTCATCCCTCCATTATGCAAAAGTCATCTGGATCTCCTTCTCCTTCCCAAAATCGTCGTCGTCGTCAATGTCCGCCCATGGGTTTGATGCCGCCATATTAGGGGCCGTCTGTGCCGACTTCATCTCCGGCCGGCTCGGGGGTCATCTTTCGGAGGAGGCCGCGGCGCTGGCGGCGGGTCGTGGAACGAGGTGTCGAACGTCATCTCGATCTCCTCCTCGAGCGGGGACGGGGCCGCGTGGTATGGCGACACGGCTCGCTGCGTCGGCGAGAGCGTCTGGCTCGATGGGAACGTCGGTGTTCGTTCCGGCGTGTAAGAATACGAGCCCGTCGTTTCGTACGACGTACGACCCGGCACGGCGTACGCGCTCTTTGTTTCGCGCAGGGCGTCCCGCGGATTCAGCGATGAGTTTGACGAGTTCAAGTCAAGCTTCATTGGCGGAAGCGTAGACTTCAGCTCCTTCACTTGGAAGTCCTCAGGATCATCCTGCGCCGAGGTGTTCTTCTCCTTCGCCAGCTCCGCTCGGATGGCTTCCACATCGAACAACACCCCGTGGTTGTTGCCCTCCTTGTCTTCCGTCCTTGGGTTCGGCTTGCTTCCGTCCTTGGCCGAGTCTTCGTAAATCTCCCACTTCTCCTTATCAGCCTTCTTTCCCCGTCCAAAGATGGAGAATCTGCTCTTCTTCTTCTGCCCTTCCCTTTCGAGCTCTTTGCGGGCCTCCTCAATCTCGTTGATAAGTTCGCGTTGGCGCTCCTGGTGGTTTTCTGGGTCCGGATCTTCGATTTCGCTAAACTCATCGCTCTCCACAAGCCACCCGCATTCCCGGAGGAGACGCGGCATTGCCTTTCGGTACTCCATATGACCCTTGACGAACTCTGTCACGTCAAAGTTCTCAATCCAAGGGAGGTCTTCGATAGGGGCCAAGCCGGCCACTTTGCGAGGGCCACCACCCGTCAGTCGGAAAAGGTAGGCGAGAATCCAGTCGTTGCTGCTGTATCCATTCACGAATCTCCCGGGCACGACAGTGCGTGCTCGCAAGTACTCGTCTTTCTTGATGATGAGGGGCGATCCGAACAGGTAGACGTTCTGCACCACACCATACGCCCCCTTTCTAGCCAACTCCAGGAGGCAGGAGAAGATCACTCGTGAGCCAAGTGAATATCCAACAAGCGTTACTGGGCGTGTTCCCAGGTTTCTGTCAATCAAAGAATCCGCCAGAATCAGACCAGCGGCCCAAGCTCTGTCCTGTGAAACGCTCCATGGGTTATCAATCAAGTACGCCAGCTTCGTCAGAACGACTGGCAATGACAGGGCAGCCATCAGACTTGTCAAGATGGTGCTTGCCAAGACTTGCTGAAGACCTTGGGTAAGAGCCTAGCAGTTGTCAGATAGGGCCGGTAAGGGGCAGGGAACGACTCGACTTACCTCTGTAGCAAGGATGTTGATGGTGTCACCCATACTTCTCAACATTTCAGGCTCCCAATAAACCGAGTAAAGGTCACCCATGATCGGATCCACGGTACTGAATGGCAAGCGGACGTCATCCACCTTGCCCGTCATCCATCCGGCCACAGTCACCACAAGATGGACTCGCTTGTTGTTGTGGAGCGGTCGGTACTCAAAGGTCTTGACAGCTCCAGTTCGTCTGTTTGCGGCCCGAACGCCGATGACACCGCCAGACGCTGCTGCGCTGGATGTGATGATCGCAGCTCCGCCGACTCCCCCTAGAAAGGTTGACGTTCCGGTCACTCCAATGGTGGTGAACCCGGCTGCCAAACCAGCACCGATGACAGGAGCAAGCAGACCAGCCGACAAACCAATGACCAGTCCGCCGCCGACTGTAGCTAAGCCCATCATCATGTACCGTTTCCTAAGAGCTTGTTTCCTCCTATGCTCCATATGCTCATCCTCATTCCAGTTCTCTTTTTCGGCGGCCTGCTGCATTTCCAACGCATCTGTCACCTTTTTTTCGAATTTCCTGACGTCCAACCACTCAATTTGAAGACTCTTGCCGACTCGCTCCAGGAGTATTCTAGACCGACAGTCGTACACAGAATCGGCAATCAAGAGCAGGAAGAGATCACATAGCACAGTCCACCGCAGGTCGATGTCAATCTTGTCAGACGTGACCATCTGGGCGGGAGTCTTGACAGGGGGCAGCTCCTCTCCCTCATGAGTTTCATATGGCGGCGGGGCGTCGGCGGTCTTCTCGTTCTCAGAAAGAGCCGGCGAAGGAGGCGGAAGCGTCTTGGGCGACGATAGAGAAACCGAGCTCCGGGAGTTATCCTCAGCCATGGGGTTTTGTACCCTTGCATTAGCCATTAAAACTGGCGTCAAGTCGGAGGGCACGACGCCATGGTCGCTCAGTTGCTCAACCATGATCTGCTCCGCGGAACTAATGTCCATGTGAGAGTACAGACGGACCATCATTTTCTGTCCCCACATCTTGGTTGATTCAGCGGACATGTTGACCTCTTTCTTTGTAGACCTTGTGTGTTCGACACTCTCGGCCTCCTTAACCATGTTGTGGATCTCCAATCTCGTAAGTCCCACGTAGGCGACTCTCTGCCCTTCGGTGAGCAGGTCCTTGGTTGCCTGCATCTGGGAAACGGCATCACGTGCCTCACTGTCATCTTCGCCAATGCTCGTACCCTTGACTTCTTTGAAGAGGTACTGGGTATTGTCGTCCATGCTCGTTGCCGATTCGGCGTCGTCGTCCATGATGACTCGGGTATATCCTTTCCCTGCGCCTCCGAGACCACCATAACCGTATGTTTGGTCCTCTTCTTCGGCGGTATACTCTTTTGCGACCAATCTGTTGTCATCGTCGTAAATGTCATAGGGAGCATATGCTGGCATCGTTTGCCAATCAGCATCCTCCTTGTTTTCCTCTTCCTTTTTATCTGACGTCAGCTGTTGATGCGAGAATTCGGACATGGCCGCGTTACTAGCGGTGCTCGTGTCTCTCTGATGATGGCCTTTTGGAGAAGTTGGCTCAGCTTTCCTGGGTCCTGGCTCGTCCGCCTTGTCGACCAGCTTCACAGGAGAGTCTGGTCTCTCCTCGTTCAGCTTAGCAGCAGGCGCCGATCGCTGTGGCCCCGTTGCATCTGTCTGGGTTGCCACTTTGCTGACCGGGATGGTCTTGTCTTTCACCGCGTCCTCTTCCGTGGGCTCGTCTTCCACCGGTGACTGCTGATCTGCCTTGTGCTCCTCGGCGGGTGCCTCTGGCGGTTGGTCCGCCGCCTCTTTCTTCTTTCCGCCATTATTCGGGGCATTCCGGTCGCTGTTTTCGCCTTTGCTTCTACTTGTCGGCATAGACTTGTCTTTGGTTTCGTCCTTGTCCAAGTTCGAAGTCACAGGGGTCGATGGGATGTTCGAGTTGGCTCCCGAGACCGCGGCGGTAGCAGGCTGCTCAGACTGCGCATCTTTGAAATCATCGTCGCTTTCTGACTCGGCGTCATTGCCACCTGCCGCTCCATCTTCGGCCGCCTTCGTCTCCTTGGCATCATCCACTTTCCTTCCGTCTCGTGGTGGCTCGGTCACTGGCTGCTGCAGGTCGGGTTTAGGGTCGGTCGTCTGATCGGTCTCTTCGGGTGGTGGTGGTATATATCGTCTGATGGGTAGGCCAAAGTCATCAAATTCGGGCTGTTCGCTTGTCATGGCCGTAGTCGTTGTCGGTTGCTGTGGTGTAGTTGCATCTGGTGCATGCGTGCCATTCGGTAACTTTTGGGTTGCCTCCGTATCGGCGGTGGCGGCAGTCGTCGTTGTCGGAGAGGGGTTGTTGTTGGTGTGTGTGGTGGTAGACTCACCGGAGCCCGCCATGATGAGAGGTGTTGGTGTACTTTACACAAACATACGAGCCGTCTAAACGTGCCAATATATCCAGGCGAGGCAAGGAGGGGAGGGTGGTAGCCTTTCCCGTTTTTCGTTTCGAGCGTAGAGAACCGAATGGGTTGCGGGTCTTTGGCGGTCGAGACGTGCGTGGGTAAGACGACGCGCAATAAGCCCAGTAGTGCGAAAGCCCGGCTAGTGACTCCGTAAAGTGGCTTAAGATTAGGATTACTGTGGAATACCTATGCTTCCCCAATGTGCCGACGCGCGCAAAAGCAAGCACCTCGTTGCAGTTGAACGTACTTGAGGTGTCGAGTCTTCGTCTGTAAACACATCTGACGGGTGGACAGGAGACGGGGATGAAGACAGGGAGGCTTCCACGTGTTTTTTTGTGTGTGTCTGGCAGGGTGATTCTTGAGGGGTCCGCGAGCTTGAAAGGGATGAAGAGGTCGTTAGCGAATCTGGCCGTTGGGAAAAGAGACCAAATCCCCCCATGACGATCCGCCAAAGTACCATTCCCTGTGGGGCCGACTGGCACAGCGCAACACACCACCCACGCATGTCAAGCTTCGCCTCACCTCGCTGCGCTGACATGAACCATGCAAATCGGAGGTGGGTGAGTGAGGGGATGGAATCGAATTCTGGCAACGAAGGACTGTGCTCACCTGCAGGTCCTGTAGGCTTGTAAGCTGTATTGGGGTGCATGCCGCCAACACCCCACGACAGTCATTGTTTCAGTCGTCAGGAGCTCTGACCTCTGTCTAGTCCTTTCGCACTTTCAGGTGGACGGTTTCTCTGGAGTCTGACGACACTTGTTTTTTGAGTATTACCATGGACAGCCCTGGCTGTACCTTGCCCTGTTTGTTCCGCTAGGATTTTGTGTGTTTTCAAGACGGTAGGTGTCATGGTACAGGAACCCATTCTCAGTATCTCAGCTACATGTCGTAGAGAGCGAAGCCTGAGTACGAAAATCTGCGCATTGAATCTAATCAATGGGCCAACTTGTAGTACATGAGAAATTCCACGGCGAAGTCATGAGACGAATTAGAAACACACCCTCCTCGATGAGACCTCCAAGTCTTGATGTGGCAAGAGTATCCCATTATTTGGTATCGCAAAGCTTTTGTTGTACCTACATTCCAACCATAGTTCCCAAAAACGCCTTTGGTATGCCTTTTCCCAAGCCCCTACGAGCTTTCCGCCGCTTGCTGTGCCGAAGCCTCGCCCTGGCTTGTTGGCGCACCCGACTCCGCGTCACCAGTCTGGTTTTTGTGTCGTCTTCTGCGCTTCTTCTTCGCAGGGCCCTCACCTTCACCCTCACCCTCACCCTCGCCCTCGCCTCCGCTTCCCGCCGGTCGCGACTCGGGCTTCGGTTTCGCACCGCCCTCCGTGACCTTCTTTGGCTTCTTGACTGCCAATGGGTTTGGTCCTTTGGGTCCCTTCTTCTTGTGACTCTTCTTCTCCTGGTTCCCACTGGCTTGCGCCTTTCCTTCCATCCCGCTCTCATCGTCGTCAGCCTCCTCGCGTTTTCTCTTTCTCTCGGGTCTAACGAGACCATCGCGGAATTTGCTCTTCTCCTCCTTGGTCCTGATGGCCAGACTCTCCGTCGCCATAGGCTCGAGAATCATGACCGACCGCTTGATGTAGATTTGCGGGACGCCAGGGATTTCGCGGAGCATTCGGCGCACGTCGACTGACTGACTTGCGACGCAGTAGCGGTGCTTGTTGACGAGGTTTCCCTTCGGGTCGACAACGGCCTTCATGCAATCCATCGTGCTCAGGGGTTCGGGGTATTCCTCGGGCAAGTGACCGCATCGTCTGCGCTCCAGCGTCTTTGCGAAGTCGATAATCTTGTTCATGTCGGGCTCGTTCTTACGCAGGTACAGTTTGCGGATCTCGCATTGTGTGATCACTATGGACCGTCAGTTGCAATCTCGTCCTGAAATCTATAGCGATAACATACTTGGCTTGACCTTGCCGTGCAATGTGCGCTCGAGTCCAGCGAGCAGGTCGTATCTGAAGTTGTGGCAGTCAACCACCATTTCAGCGTCGACCAGGCATTGGTACGGTTCGCGGAATCCCCAGGTCAACGAGTACTGGTTCATCAACTTGCGATACTGTTTGCTTCGTTTTCCGCGCATTTTGGAGTTGGGCGGTCAAGTGGCGCCGCGCCGTAGTTTGAGGGAGGCTGAAGGCGTTTTGCTTGGTGTTGCAAGGCGGTGGTGGAAGCAATGTTTGCGTTCAAGTCGCGAAATTTCTCTCCAGGAAAAACTGCGATAAGATAAGCAGGTCGGGCCCATGAACGCCGATTTAACCCCACCACAAGCCAGACAGGTAAGGTACCTAGCAACGTCACTTCTAAGCACATTGGGATTCATCAAATCTTCGGGGAAAAAAGGTAGATTTTGGCATGTGTTTAATTAGACATGCTTTTCCATGTCTCCTAGGTTTCCTAAAGTCTTCACCGAAATTGACGGCCCGCAGAACGCCATATGTCGCCCAAAGATGGCCTCTGTCAAGTTAGACAGGGCATATGCCAAAATGTTGCAACCTTGCCCTCGCGAAGCCCATCCCATAAATCTATTCCTGATCATCGTTTCGTATTATAATATCAGACTCATGTGTACTGCTTCCTTACGAGAGCGGCGACAACGCTGATGTCGTCAAGTTTGCCTAGTCATTGTTAGTTTAGGGCTTCTCGCAGAACACCATAGCTAACGCAGCTTACCTCCCTCGCTCGCCAGGCCCTCCTCAATAGCATGTTCCATGAATGGACTCTCCGCAAAGGGATCGGTTGCGATCTTCTTCGCGGCAGCCACTAACTCCTCGGCAGCGAGCTTCATGCCTCCGTTAGCGCCGCCTGTCCGGTCGCCTTCGAACTTCTCTGTCCCCCCTTCTCCGTTTTCCCAACGTTGAATGCTGTTCTGAACACTGCTGACAATCTCATGCTCCCAAAGATTGTCAATAACACCGTCTGACATGGCAAGAACCACATCCCCAACCTGGAGCTCCACCACGTCCACGACCGCATTCTTCTCCGGCGTGTCGGGGCTGTTGGTGCCGAGCTGACGCGGGCAATCGAACCAGTGCCACTGCTCCTTGGTCTTGTAGACAACCTTGTCTTGCTTGGGTCGCAGAATCATAATTTGACAATCGCCTAGATTGGTCACGTAGACCTGAGGAACTTCTCCGCCACCATCGACAGTCTTGTAGTGCAGCTGCGCTCCGCTTGCCGTTGTCGTGCCTTGCCAGTCGGGGTCCGATGTCGCTTTCAGGGTTTGTTCGTATGCCATCTGGAGATACGCTACCGGATCGGGCTTGTAGACTTGCTCTTGCGATCGAGGATTTGCGACGTCCTGTTGCATAGCCGTGGCCCAGAAATGAAGTATCAACCGCGACCAGAGACTGTTTCGGTCAGTACTGTACGGCAAAGACAAGTATAGGAATGTGCCTACCCAGCATGCCCTCTTGGGCGTGTTGACCAAGCGCCGACGCCATCGTTGGCGCAGATGAAGTTCTCACTGGCGAAAACCGCGTCGTCTCCGTTCGTCTGTCCGAGGATGATCTCTCCGTTGACTCTGGCACGGCGATCGCGGCTTCGGTGATGGGTGCTGAGCGGATCGGAGAAGGAGCCAGACGGAGGGGAGAGAAAGGGCGGCGGAAAAGGTCGCGGTGCTCGTTTTGCGAAGAGCGAAACTCCGGTCTCGAAGCGGAAGGGTTGCGCTCGTGGTCTCTCATGAGAAGACTCTGCTCGCGAAGCCGTAGTCGACAGAGAGGCAGTCTTTGGTCGCAAATGCGGCGGCCATGATGCGCTTCGAGGCACTCTCGGTGGCCGCGCTGTAAAGGGTGATGTCGCCAACAAGGGCCCAGGTAGCCTCCTCATTCCCACTATGAGGCAGATCAGGCGCCTTTTGCGATGTTGGATCGCAACAAGACGAAATGGTTGGGCCTGGAGCCGTTATCTTTGGCGCTGGAAAGGGTATCACTGGGTGGTGGGCATAGGCATGGCCGGGGGGTCGATGTGTTGGTTGGGGGCTCTCCGAACCGGGGGTTAAATTGGGGGCACACGTGCGAACGCGTTTGGACGGCGCAATGGCGTTGAGCTGCAGAGTCGCAACTGGACAGGACCTCCAGCAGGCGGACTGGGCACGTACAACTTGGGTACCTCCTTTCACCATGGATGTTGAGCCTTGACATTGTACATAGGCAAGTACGGTAGTCAATGCCCGCTCGCCTTAGGTAAGCCCAGTTGAAGTGCTCCTTCGCCCATCGTGCGTTAGGTACATAGGCATGTTTTCCCCTCCACCAAAGAACACTGGACCCAACAGTTCCTTCCCGCGCCTCAAAAGGGAGAGCCGGCTGAGCCACAGCTTCCCGTTTCTTCAAATCGACGCTGATTATCCGGGTCTTCCCCTGTTGTCTTCCTGACCGCACTTTGAAGCATTAACTCGTCACTGGCATTACCCTTTACCATACACGATACCCAGCAAACAACAGCCAACAATCGACAAGTCTGACGAAAATTCTGACTGAAAACTCTTGCACTCTAGCGGGTTGTCGATGGGGCTAATAAGTGGCAATCACTGCAACTCGACTGCAGAGATTGCCATTCATCATGGAGAGTAGCAAGCACGTCCAACATTGACGGATCCTGCAAGCTTTTCTAGATTTCACTGTTCCTTTCGTGTCATCTTTTCTTTTGTCCCATCGGCATTTCCGGCCTGGAGAGAACATTAATGTCCACCCCGTACGTTGACGAAGCGGATTTCCGTCTTCCCCAGTGCAAAACTTGGACACACGCTTAGCTGGTCGATCGACATTCGGGATCGACAACAGCTCGGTCGCCTGGTGTGGCCGCCGCTTGTCTGCAGCCCTTGCGGCTGTAACATAGCTAAAATAAACACCACACCCTGCTGCCAACCGTGAAGCCTGCCTTCTGGGGCAGTTTGCGTCACCTCTAAGCATTTCATCCATCCGGCAGACAGGTACTAGGTACCGTGTGGTCAGGGAAGGCAACGATGATCATTTGCAACACGCATTTTGACAGATGGCCGGCTTCTAGAGTCTCATTCTGACAATATGTCGAGGCTGAAGGATGGGTCTTACGGCATGATACGAGCTGGAAAGCGGATTTTAGAGCTTCTTGATCTGCGCTGATCTCTCTCTAACAGTATCTCTTCGACAGCGTGAATGACAGGGAACGCAAACCGGGCAGTTCGGATTGTCGGTCTGTTTCTGACGAACCATCCGGTCTCTGGCGGCCTCTGCTTTCCGGCCATTCTTCGTTCATCTTTCTGTTCAACGTTTCAACGACAAGTTGGTGATTCATGGACCACCGTGGCCGAGACATTGAATAATCAACCAACTGGCTAACTGTAATGGCTTGTGCTTGCACGGTATTGGCCTCGAAACCAGGCCAGCCATTCGACGTGTTTGCGTCTTAGCCTCAGACATCCCAAAGCCGTGTCGACATAACGCTGCGCTGCCTCTCTAGCGTAGGGTGTGTGTCAACCTGACGCCAGCTCAGCAGGGATGCTCAGAGCCCCCCATTTACTAGGCATGACGTATGGGGGGCTGGCGCTCAGCGTCGACAAACTGATGGTTCAGCGTCCGGGTTGTACGAGTACCCGTCGTATGATGGAAATGGGATTTCGACCGCTGAATGTCTCTCATCGTGCTGTCACCGTCTGCGGACAAATAACGCGCGTCGTCGAGGAGAACTACTAGAAGCCGCGAGCTAACCATCCCGCCCGGAATGATGTCTCAATTAGCGGCAAAGCCACCCCCGACCAATATTATCTTACGTCAGCGCTTTCATTCTCCGACTCCTTCTGTACAATTTGATCCATCATTCAGGTAGGAGAAATAGAGTGACGCCCTCGCCCAACTGTATTCTAGCGCTTTCCCGGGGCAATGCAACAGTGTGAAAGGTACACATGTTTGACCGTTAACCCGTCTAGCTTCTCGTATACGCCCGTCGACTAGTCAGCGCCAGACAAAAAAGTCGATTCCGCGAACAACAGCAGCGTCCGACTTGCCCCACTAGGTCCCGGATGTCGCATTGCTCGAGCGTACTGGAGGTCATCTTAAACCAATACGCGTGTGCATAGCACAACGCAAGATGGAGGTTGGGAGCTTCGTTTCTCATTGCGTTGCTACGTACGCACTCGGACGACAAAAAACAGCAACGCTTTTCTATACCCTTACCATACAATTCCCGATGCAGCTTTTTGTCAGAAGACCTTGGAAAGACCCAAGGTCTTCTGGATCTTATATATACAAACAACAATCACTCGTCGTTACACCAGAGCCGGGCATGTGGGAGAACCCCGATGCTATCATCACAGCTTTCGACTCTTACTCAGCATTAGGCACGGATCCAGCCACCTTCAGTGAAAGTGACCGCTGAGGGGGCGACGGTCCCTGTGCGAACTGCATGATAATGGGGACAGAGAGGAGGAAGGGTAGTATTGATGCATGCTATACAAGCCCAGCAGACCCTTCAAGTCAGAAGAAAAAAGCTCCCTGTCCGCGTTCTCGGTACAAGCTGACATGGGGCGGCTGCAAGCCTATGCGAGCAGAGCCCAAGAGTGGTAACAGCACTAGCTCCACGATGGTAGGGCTTTCAGCCTTTCATCCGATGTTGACCTTGTGATGTCCAATGCACAGAGCAGCAGCACAACCCAGCACTGGGTTCGGAAGGGGTTGATGATGACGGGAGCGATGGCCCGGCCAAACGGTTTCATATCGGACACAAGTCTTACGGCAGATCTTCTCAGACCAGACTGGACTGTAATGTGCCGAGAGGCAGTGTCAATGGAGGCGGCAGCAGCTGTCCCAGTGAACGAACATAACTCTGCGGAGAACATAGGAGAGACCAGGGGGACCGGCGTCGACGGCCCCTCTTTGATCCTCTGGCCCATCTAAGCCCCAGTTCTTGAGGTCCCAATCCGCCTGGGAGACCCTGTCGATTTTTGGCGCCAGCACCTCAATGGGGCAGGCAGCATGGCACTTGGGTTTAATCACACATCATGCCATGCTGCATCCACGGGACTACGTGTTCAAGGGTTGGCAGCGGGTTCGCTGCTCCGCTGGAGATACGGGCGTATCCCGATTGCGGGCACAGATCAGATAGAATGACTTTCGAAGCCTACGAAGCCGGGGTACCCAACTTTCGCGGAACGGCTGGCAAAAAGCCCAGAAGCCAAGTCGGCAGTGGGAGTCCTTCGTGGGTCCGACTTCAAATTACAGCCACGTTGTCACTGAAGTGTAGGGTTCCGAGTAGATATGGCCGTCGGTACGTACAAGTTCTGAATGGAGTAGCGGTATGGACGCTGAAGTTCCTGTGATCTCGGTCACCGGAACCAGGCCAGAGCGGTGGGAGGTTGAAGTTAGTGGAGATCGCGAAGTTGCAGATGAGAGGGTGTTGAAGTGTCTTGGAACTGTGGGATAGCTGGTCACGCACTGCACGAACCTGCCAGGGATGCAGTATATCGGACGGCCAACAAAGTTTTATGAAAGCGAAATCATCGGATTGCAATCGTCGATGGGTTGTCAGTCCGGGGGGAAAGGTACGGCTCTGCTACGTTGAGACCATCCTTGGTCTATCGTCTCTGTGATTAGAGAACAGGTGTTCCTCATCGAAAAATTGAAACACGATGTTTGGTCGGCATAGGGAGAAGCATGGGTTGTGCTCTAACAGAACGACATCGTTCCATTGGCTGTGGTGCACAGCTGATGGTTGAGCAACGGGGACCCGTCCCCTCGTGCAACAGTGCTCGGATTCGAGGCCTCTATCTTCATTACAGCTGCTGGGGGCTGTCTCAACTCGAACGTTGGACTCGTCAAAGAGGAGAGAAAGAGAGAGAGAGAAGCCAAAGTGAGAAAGTTCTGGAATAGAGCGACAGGCGAATACCGATCTCAACGGTCTAACAGGGGCGAGAGCTCCGAAACCGAAACGGATATTGGGAGCCTGCGAGGGCCGATGAACAGTAGCGGCGACAGGCATTTCGACCCTGGTGACACGCAAGAACAAGACCCGAGACCCCGATGGCAAGACCCTGCACAAGTTGGACTATCCGTCCGAGAGGACAGGCTGCTGCTGAGCTTCCGCTTCTGGTCCCCTTCTGCTTGTTGCACAGCCACCCGGAAATAGTGAGGAGTGTAGTTGGTGACAGTAGGTCAGATTAAGTGGACTAGGTAGCTGCGTCCTCCTGCAGGGCACGTCTCTCTGACTCCCGGGCATCCCACAAACGGAATGTACGCAGTCTACCTAGTCTAGAACCGATTGCCCAGCAGCAAGCGAGCCAAACGTGAGTTGGAGAAACTTCTCTTGGCGGGTACATGTATCTGGGCACTTGAGAAGAAGGTTGGTTATGAGCCTCTGGCAACTGGGAGTTGTAGAAACATAACGAGAGCCGAGCACGAATAGAACTTGTCTTGGAGGTTTGCAGTTCATCCCGCCTCCCCCCCCCCCCCCCCCCTTTTTTTTTTCCCCCTGCCCAATAGGTACTATCTTCCCAACCTCTCCCAAACCTCTAGCCCCCTCCACGTTCTGGGACAAGGCGTCAGGTGTCCTACCTTAATCGTCCACACGATAGCCACGATGTGTGGCCACTCAGGGCCCGGGGGGGCACCTGGTGTGAGGGTGGGAGGCGCACCTCCCACGGTATTTTTTTACTACGCCGCCGCCGTCTTTTCAGGGGGGGAGGTGTCGAGCCTTCTGCGTCTTATCGCTGATCGGAGTTCAGAAACGACAGGCCGTCGAAAGAATTACCGGACACGGAGACAAGAAGAGCGACAACCACCGGCATCCTGGGCAGGGAACTGGGCACAAGATAGTTGCGCAAATGAGAAGGAATGGGCAGATACGACAGACCCTCAACAACTAGCAACAGCACCTCATCGAGATACGGATACATTGACCCGGCATATCTGCAATGCCGCATCCGCCCAGACGGGCTCGGCCTTCCCCTCCCTAACGAATCACGACTACGCCGGCGCCTGCGCTGACAAGTCCCTTAGTCCCGCTCCTAGTGCGCCTTACCTTGTTCACCCGTACGGGACACTGGGGGGACAGCAGGGCCACAGCCCGCGTCCCGACCTCGCATTTTTCAAGACGTCTCCATCTGTCCATCTGCAGTCCTCCGGTCGGTCTCAGCCAGCGATCGCCTCATCCACCCGATCTCTTTAGCCAGTCTCCTTGGGGCTTGATGTGGCAGGCGTTGCGCGTCCACCACCCACCATCCCTGTCCGGCCCCCCCTCTAGTTGAGGGACCTACAGCGCCGTACCCTGGCACGTTTTCTTGCGGCTATCGAACTAACTGCAGCTGCAGTCGGTGTCCAATGCTTGTGGTTGTTGCTGATGTTTGTGTGGCGCCAGTCGTTTGGGCGGCTCGAGGGCTCTTCGTCTTACACGCGCCCTGCCCTGCCTCCTCTGGCTCATCCAGCTGTCGTGACTACCAATGGTACAACCGTGATGCCTCTCTGGTGGAATTCAAGGGGAACAGGCCGATGAGAGTTGTCCTACCAACCCGTGGCAATGAGTTGCGGAAACAAAGAGCGCATCCAGCGAAGAACATACCAAGCCCGCAGCGTCCGGCCGGAAGCTGGCTGTTCTTGGCGGCCAAGGGGCTTGGGTCTCTTGCAGAGTCTAGAAAACTTTTTGGGGCCAAAAGGCGGGCCAAGAAACCCTGACGTGCTGCGTCTCTGCGTCGTCCGGCTCTTCCGCAAGCCAAGGACTTTGACTCCATAGTCCGTGAGGTATCTGCAAGTACTTGTCAAAGGAATTGCCATATTGTTCTCCCGCACTCTGCTGATGCATTTCCATGCCTCTTGGTAAAATAATGAATCAATAGCGCACTTCCCTCGGGCTACCCCTTGCAGAGAAAAAGAAGGCATTTCGTTTCCTCGACGAAGATGACTTTTGCAGTGTCTTGAGTACCGCAGGAGGACCCGACGGAGATGGAATAGTCATCAAGATCAAGTACACAAAAGCAAACCCAAACTTGAGAACCGAGAGGTCGGAAAAGAGAAACAATCCGACCAAACAAAAAAAGCATACTTTGCACAACGTCACCTTTCCCCGAGACCGTCCAAGACCGCAAAGTAGGACAATTGGACAATGGCGCTGCGCTTGCTCGGGGGACACTAGAGCACCGCCAGCGCCGAACAAGCTAGCCATTGAGGAGGGAAAAGTCATCAACATCATCGTTGTCATCATCATCACCACGGCCGCCCAGGCTAGCCCGAGGGACCGCCAAAGCCGTGAGTTGCGTGGGAAGGACAAACTACGCAGAGAGAATATGAGAGAGAGAGAGAGAGAGAGAGAGAGAGAGAGAGAGAGAGAGAGAGAGAGAGAGAGAGAGAGAGAGAGAGAGAGAGACAGAGAGAGAGCAAGCCCCCCTCTCCGCATAACGCCATTACGTCGTCGGCTCTCGTTCGCGGGGGGTACCTTGGTATGTGTGCATTTGCCTGGATTGGGCTGGTACCAGGCCTGGCCCCGGCTACTGTTGCTGCTGCTGCTGCTGTCGCCGCTAGTCGGTGGCCAGAGGTCACTTGTGCATGTCACTCCCGCTCTTCTTACCCCAGGATACGAGCAGAGACAAGCCCGGGTTCACCTCACCGCGGCAGCAGATACTGGACGAGGCACAGGAGGAGGCCTCGCCTTGCCTTCCAAGCTGGTCTTTTTGGGACTGGTTTCTGGTCCTGGGACCACACCTTCCTGCCGCAATTGAATGAGATCAGGCCAGGTCAGGTTCAGATCCGGTCCCAAGCAAGGTGTTTGACCGGCCGGTAGGCGAGTAGGCGGTGTTGCTAATTCTTGTTGCATAATACGCCTCCCGTACGCCTCGTCTTTTTCTGGGTTGACACGTCCTCACTCACATGCGGTTTTCATACATCATCTTTGGGAATTCCTGGTCTTAGTCTCTCTGTTCTGCTTCTTTCCCACCTCTCCGTCACCTCGACCTCGCCCTACGCCAACACTAACAAAACCACCTAACCCTCGCCCATCCGTGCCAACTTGTCCACGCAACGCATACCCAGACGGGAGAGGTTGTTCCATACGGCAGTCTTGGGACAAGACAGAGAAACCCAAAAGACAGGCAGGCATACACATACACGCCCATGTCCGAATCCTAATTCTTGTCGTCTCGTCCTTGGTCGGGCCCTCCATTCGTTCAGTTCAAACGCATTTAACTCACCCAGCACACGCGCGACATCGATTACAACGACCTCCGACGACGACCCTGCTCTCGCTCGTTTCCTCTCTCTCTCTCTCCAGTCGCTCACCCCTAAAGGCTCGGATTGCTGCCCACTCAGTCGCCTAACGACGTCTGCCACCACATCCACTACCACTATACGATAATTTAACTCGAGATCCACGAAACCCACGCCCTGTGCTCGGTACGCAACGCGCTAGACAGGAGACAAGACCCTTTCGACCCCGAACCCTAGAGTACCCAGTAAGGCGCATATTAGGCCCCCATCTCTGCTCATTCCTCGAATCCTCGGGATCCTCGTCACCTTCCCGCGTCGGCCGGCTCGTCCTGCCCATCCAAGACCGTCTTGGTTGTGCACGGCGCAAGTTGAGTGTCTCTCAGTAATTTGGTTGCATGGTTGCTGGCTTGGCTGAGAAACCACCGCCATCACCAGCAAGATGGGTCGTAATCGAGGTTCGTGCTTGCTCGCCTTCCCACATTCCCTCCCCCCTTCAAGTGCGCCGCCCCTTGCCTTGCCTTTGCCGTGTCTCGCAATGCGGTGGTGTTGTGCGTAGGAGGCTTTTCGCGCTGGCGCATGCCGGCGTGCATCCCAATCCCACGCAGCAACCCCCCGATATCCCTTCCACTCGGTTGCCCATCCTGCGTTGATGTTGTGGCGCCCACGCGCGAGCATCAAATACCCATGTCGGGCCCTTTTCTTCTTCTCTTCGTTCACGTTCCCAGTCAGCTAGCTTAGCTGGTCCAGGATCACCACTTCCTCCTGAACTTAGTCCTAGTCCTTACAGCCGTCGCCCTCGTCGTCCCCCCCAAGCCTACATCCCTCCCTGGCGCCCATCACCGCCCTGCTCGCTCGTCCTCCTCCGCCGCCAGGCCCCCCTTCCCTCCCCTTTACTCGCTCCCTCGCAACCCCCCCTCGCATCCCCGTCGTGTGGTCCTGGCCAATTACTTGGGCTTCAGGCAATAATATTACTTTCTGGCCACCAGCGTTACTGCTGCTAGACGGACGTGCATTATGCTGACCAAATCTGCGTCTTCCGTGGGAACAGTCTTGTCTTTCATGTCCCAGTTTTCTGGTACGCCCAGGGACGCCGGCAAGAATCAACCGACTCCAAATTCGTCGCCTCCCCACGACTCGACGACACCTTTTCCTCCGTACAACTTCAAGTCGCAACCTCCGCCGCCGCCTCACCAGAAAACAGAACCCTTCCCAGAACCTCCCTCCAGTTTTGGCCATCGCCCCGCAACCCCTACCTCGCCGACGCGTCCACCCTCCGAATATGCGTCATCGCCCGCCAACGGAACCGCCAACAGCTCGCCCGTAAATAGCCCCAGATCCGTCACCGGCCGCCAACGAAGCTCCTCCCGCCCACTTTCGATGGTAATGCCATACCAGCCGCCCCTCATGGACATCAATGAAGATACCATTCCCGAGCTCCAGCCCATCTTCACCTTCCTCAACAGCCATGCGAACAAGCTGTATCAGGAAGGCTACTTCCTGAAATTGGACGACCAAAACACCCGTAAGTCTTTGTTTACCGAACTTGTTTTATTTATTTATTTTAGTCTTTCGCTGCTGCAGCTGACAGCAGCGCGTGCGCGCGTGCGCACTGCACTTGGACCGATTACTGACCTGATCAATTTCACAGAGGGAAAGCCAAATGTTGACCGCACATGGACCGAGTGCTTCGCCCAGCTCGTCGGCACTGTCCTGTCGTTATGGGATGCGGCAGAACTGGACGCCGCTGGCGAGGACGGCGAGATCCTCCCCAAATTCATTAACCTGACGGATGCGTCCATCAAGATGGTATGTCGAATACGGGGTTTTGTCGTGCTCAGACCCAAGAACCCGGAGATGGCGAGTGCAATAGTGGGGGGATCGAGTGCTAATCTAATCGGCCCTTGGCGAACAGATCGAATCCCTACCAACACGATCGAATGACGAACAGCCGTTGCAGAACATCCTGAGCATCTCAACTGCCGGCAGGAATCGCTATCTGCTGCATTTCAACTCCCACCACTCATTAATACAATGGACCGCTGGCATCAGGCTCGCCATGTACGAGCATTCGACTCTGCAAGAGGCTTACACCGGTGCCCTAATCGCCGGCAAGGGCAAGTCCCTTAACAACATTAACCTGATCATGGATAGATCCAAGTTCAAGACCGAGGAGTGGGTGCGCGTGCGATTCGGCGCCGGAGTCCCTTGGAGGCGGTGTTGGTGTGTCATTTCTCCGCCCGACGAGAAGGAGTACGCAAAGGCACAGAAGGAGATGCGCAAGAAGTCGCCCTACGACCGCTCGACGCCTACCCTCAAGGGGGACATCAGGTTCTACGACACCAAGAAGGACGGCAAGAAGCAGAAGAAGGCCCGCCCCATCGCTACAATCACCGATGCCTACTCGTCATACGCCATCTACCCCCAGGCGAAGTCGTTGATCGATGCATCTACCCTGCTGAAGATTGAGGGCAACATTACCATCCACTCTGAGCCGCCTTCGTCAACGGAGGGTTTCGTATTTATTATGCCCGAGACTCACCCCGCCGTCAGCGGTTTCGAGATGCTGCTGCGCTTCCTCTTCCCGACGTGGGATACTTTTGGCCTCTACGGTCGCCCTGGTAGGCTCGTTGCCAGTGTTCTGGACCCGAGATCACTCATGTTTGCCATGCCGAAGCATCGGAGATATGGCTACCTCGAGATTCTCGATGTTGCTGGGCTGATCTTGGAGGAGGGAAGCTCATCCTGGTCGGAGCGTGAGTGGAGGAAGAAGCTCAAAGAGCTCACTGGTAAGCGGATGAATGCCGTCGATGAGAGCCAGGGCGCCCGTCAAAGAAGCGGAAGCAAGAAGAGCACTCGTCTCAGCTTTGGCAACGGCACTTCGAGCCCTGTTCCAGCGAAGCCTAGAGTGGGCTTTGCCGATGATGCTATCTCCAACCGTTCGTCTCGGTCCATGTCTCTGGGCACACCTAACCGCTCAGAGACGGCTCCCGTCACGACTTCACGCGTGCCTCCTCCGCTCGCAGGCATTAACAAAGCAAACCATGCGCGCAACTCTTCAGACCCTCACCTGCTCGGCCAGACGCCCCAGCGAAATGAAGATCGCGGCTACGACAGCTCTTACAACAACTCGCCTGCACGCGGCCCTACCCCTGTCAGAGGCGTTCTCCGTTCGGGTACCCAGAGCTCAGAGGAAGACACCGCTCGCAGCACGCCAGTGCGCGAACTCGAGGGAAGCGTGCGCAACATGGAGTCGCCAGAGCCAGTTGCTGCGCCGCCTGCTTTCAACTATGGTCCTAACTCCAAGCCTGCCGGCAAACCTTACCATTCCCCAGATCTTCGCAGGGCCACCACGCGCTTGTCCAACACCACCTTGTCCCAGTTGACAAAGGCAGGAGGATTCGTGATCCCTCCCGATAGCTCCTCTGATGCCTCGTCCGAGCGTAGAAGTGGAGAGGATACCGCGCCATCCAACCCATTGGTACATCCTCAAGCCAATCCCGTAGGAGGCACTGCTAACGATACTCTGTCTCGTGAAGCTATGACCCCTGATCCAACCCCTCCCCCCTCCGGTGGTCTGCCGCCTCCTATTCCGCCCATGAACCAGAAGCGTTCCCGATCGCCCCTTGCTCAGCAGTCGTTCGGTCCCCCAGCCCTCACCCCCAGGGTCCTCTGCCTCCTCATTCCCAAGCTCGCGGTCCCCAAGATGCGAGCGGCCCTCCCCCTGATATGAGAGATGCTCAACAAATGAGAAGCCCCATCGAGGGCCATCCTCCGCAGTTCCCTCAGCAGCAGATTCGTCCTCAGCCGTCGTTTAGCAACTTTTCCCGGCCAGAGGGAGCCAGAACGCCTCCCATCGGGGGACCGGGTCGAGTACCTACCCCGGAGATGAGAAACCGCGGCATGAACCCCCAAACCATGGGGCCACCGCCTCCCCCACATCAACTCAGAGACCATCGCATACAGGGTCGCGGCATGCCACTTCCCGGCATCGACACGACTGCTGCGTTCCAACGCAAACCACTTCCGGTTCGCTCGGACAGCTTGAGAAGCCCTCATGAGACACCCGTGTCGACGTCCAGCGGCGGCAGCTGGGGCAATAACATCATCGACCAAGCGGGTTTCCAGCAAGTTCAACCTCGCGACCCCAGACAGCGGACGCCATTACCCGAGCAACAAATTCACAGAGTGCAAACTCAAAGGAGTGATACCAGTCACTACGACGACGCATCGTCGACTGCCAGCCCAGACTACGCCAGTCGCAAATCGAGTGAGACCGAGCATTCCCAAAAATCTTTCGAACGGCCCAGAGCCGGCGTTCTGAAGACCGTGGGTGGCGCAGAGTCTCCGAGCTCAGACTTCCACATTCCCGACGTCAACTTTGGTCCTACGGTCAACTACGCCGCCAACCAACCCGCTAGGAACAAGACGCCAACGCCCCTGACCTACCAGGGAGGCGTGCCGAGTCAACAGCGGCCTTTCTCCCCACCCCGAGTGATGTCCCCCCGCATGACAAGGGCCACAGCCGACAGGAATCCGAGGATACGGTCAGGAAGGTCGCCTGGCAACCCGGTGCCGCAGCCGTGTCGACCGGCCAAGGCATCAGCCCGGAGCAGTTCGTGCAGCAGCGTGCCGCCCAAGTTACAACTCCTATGTATGGTCACGGTCGGTCACCATCTGGCAACATCCTGACCATGCGATCGATGACACCGACCCCTGCCATGAACCGAAGTGGCTCCACAGAGATGCTTGCCCGTCACTCACGCAGTAGTTCGGCAGACCTCTTGCAGCACCCCAGCTCTCGTGGCGCCAACACGATGCTTGATATTGCCAGCAGCGGCGAGGTCTCGTCCCACCTCTCGGCCCGCGAGCAAGAGCATGTGGCACGCATGACAGGCTCGCCCCTCATCACCATGGCTGGCAACAGAAACGGCCAACAGAGCCAGCCTGGAGCAGGCTTGGTGGGCGCCATTCACGCCCGCGAACGCGAGAGACAGCAGGCCAAGCAGGGTCTAAACACGCAGGCGGTGCAGCAGGCTATCAACCAGCGACAACAGCAGCAACAAGCACTCGCCTACCAACAACAGATGCAGTGGCAGCAACAGCAGCAGGCCTATCAGCAACAACAAATGTACGCTCAACAGCAACCCATGTCCCCTCAAGGCATGTACGCTCAGAGCAACATGTCTCGCGGCCATATGGGACCCCCACGAGGACAGCCGAACGGCTATGGCGCCGGGCCCGCGCAGAGCTTTGGCTACGGCCAAGGCAGCAGCTACGGCCCTGTGAGCAACTACGGTCAAGGAGGCGGTTACGGCCAGGGAGGCGGCTACGCCAACCCGATGGCTATGCGCCAGGGTCGTCAGTCGCCTGGACCCCAGATGATGGATCCCAGATTCATGCCTCAGGGACCTTATTCACCCGGATCTCAACAGGGCGGCCGAGGCCAGGCCTACCCGTCTCAGTACCCTGGACAGGGACAGGCATTTTAAAATCCGAATACAAGGTAGTGGTGAGATTGTGAGAGGCAGAGAGAGAGGGGGGGGAAGCATTAGGGAATCGCATCAAGAGACCACAATGGACGAGGAGCATACCCCAGGCTTGGGATGAAGTGTATGATGATATTTAATTGGAACAGCCCCATGGAAGGCGTTTAGGAGGAAGCCTCAGCCGCAGGAAAGCTGATTGACATGGGTTTCTAGACTGGATAAGCATCTGGGTATTCTTTTGTTGCATGAGCAGAGCGTGAGAACATCAGCATTGGTGGATAGTGGCATGACGATTAGTAGAGACGGCCGAATGCATATGATGATACTGCATCAATTTTCAAGACAAGGGTGTTTGAGGTGCCCGTGATGTTGCTTGATGGTGACTTGTCTATCGCCAGATTAGGCGGGCAAAGCAAGCCCTCCCTTGAGTAGGCAGACGAGTGAGGTGATGATGCATAGTGACTGAGGCCATATGGTTCACCAGAGTCGGAAATGTCAACTAGTCAGTGTTGGCTGCGCATGGACGCTATCGAGGATAGGCCTTGGCAGGGAAGCTGAAGGCGACACCGCCGCCACCATCAGCAACCCAACCCAAGCTAATGGAAGGCAGCAAGCGTACAGGACGGTTGTGAATCGTTGCCAACGACCCATCCAGCCAGTGCGCAGAGCCGTGCCCTGTCTCCAGCGTGCGTGTGCCGTTGGCAGAACAGAGAGCAGAGCCAAAGGCGTCCGAACTGTTTCTCCAGGCAATGGTGGGTTGACCTTGTTGCCACTCGGTGGCTGGCAGGACTTGGCGAACATTCCGGGACCTTGCTTCGGAGGCCAACTTTTTCGTTAGCAAAGCCGGACTAACATGGGAAATCGCCTAGTGACTTTCTCTCGTTTCCCCTGAGCCCCTCCCGTCCTGCCGTTCCTCATCGCGTCCTGCCGTCATCGCGTCTTCGCCTTCCTAGCCGCCACGTCCCCTCAGGCGCGTCTTAGTCCAGTCGAGCAGGCACCCCCCAGTGAGGTCTGGGTACGTAGTGTGTACTAGACCCGTGGACGGTGGATGGCTTAGTGGGCAGGACTGGGATCAACCAAAGCGCCGACTGGCTGACAGCGGCTGCAGGTGCCCAAGCCCCCCCCAAGGTCCTGCCCCGGAGGCTGCCTCGTGGCCACTGGAAGAAAGGACGACCCGCCTGTTCCCGAGACCCCTCGCGGGCCAGTGCCTTGTCGCATTCCCAAAAAATCAGAGACATTCGTTCTCGAGGTCGAGTCCACGCCCACTCGTCGCGTCCAGGAGGTCTACATCATCTGACTTGCATCCTATCTGAACACTACACCGAACCGGGTCGAGGACGACACACGTAACACGCGTCTTGATTGCGGCTTGTGTTTTTTTCTTGATCTTTCTCTCGTGCCCATTGTCTTCTTACCTCTGCTCAGATATTTCACCCGCCTCATCGTCAAATTGCATCATTTGTCTGCATGACGTCCTAGCATCCTTGATTTCTAAAGAACAAAACGTTGCCCGGTGACCGGGGGTGATCGTCTCGCATACATACAACAACCCCTCCACCTTTCTGCCATTCGCATTTGCCGATACAACGCAGTACCGAGCCACCTTGGTCTTCTCCAAACTGCGAATTTCTGGCGAACGACGGCGCAACCACGAGCCATAAACCCCCACACCGAATATCGAGAAACGAGGCGGCCAAAAAAAGTGTCACCCCGAGTACACGTTCTCCCCGCGTTGAAGCCTATGCTACAAGAAGCAACCACCAAAAAAAAAGCAAATAGCGAATACTACCCTAGATTTGCATGACATCGACATCGACGCCGTTTACAGTTACCCACGTTCAATAAATGCATTGTCAGCTTCTCCTGTCCAGCCGCGAAATTCTTTGTCCTGGACGCGCATCCTGAACTACTCGCTCCCCTACGTCGGCCGTGTGTCTCCGGCCCGCGACTCAAGACGGCAGCCTAGACGAGCTTCACGAGCTTCTCTGCTCCTTCGTCGGTCCCAATGGAAGGCGATGGGTCGCAGCCCACCCAAGGTATGTTCCTTCACCTCATCCGGGTTCTGCGAGTCCCAGCGCAACAGACCAGAGACTGATCCTTGCCTCTTTGCTCCTCAGCTACCCAGAATGTCCTCGATCCGCGCCGCGTAGGCAAGCAAAACTCCGGCTTCTCTGACGAGGACATCTCCGACATCATCTGCCTCCTCTATCCCCACTCCGAATTCGCCCGTCGCGAGGTCCACCGTATAGCCCGCGAGCACTCGCATCATGTCGTCGGTAGGGAAGAGGCAGACGCCGTGGAGCCGGACTACGAGCAGGAGGACAGGGCCGACCAGTTCCAGCTGACGCCGCCCAACATCGAGCATGCCATCATACTCCGCCTGTCTGCTAAGACCAAGGATCCGCTACATGGCTTCATGTTCGGCAGGAATGCTTCGCGCTGCGATATCTGCTTCGCCAACGACCCCATGAAGCGTCTCAGCAACATCCACTTCCGCATCTACGTCAACGAGTACGGCGTGGTCATGCTGGAGGACCAGTCGACCAACGGAACCTTTGTCGAAGGGACGCTGTTGCGCGCGAAGCCCAAGAACGCAAACGACAAGTGTGATACGAAGAGGGTTCTAAGCCATGGCTCCAAGATCAAAGTATTGATGCATAACGAGCAGCATGACTTGGAGTTCCTGGTCCGGATACCGAAGCGCGTGGGTGAGTACGAAATGGCCTACACCGCAAAGCTACAGCAATACTTTGCAAAGCTGGAGACTCTGCGGGTGAATCACAATGAGACGGTAGTGCCGGGTCCGGGCGGCCATGTGAGTTGCGCCCTTTTTTCCGTTGGTAAGGGATGGAAACTAATTGGATCAGGTCGACTTGTTTGCTGCTCCTCGGAGACCACCGACCGCCACGACGCGTAGAATAGCGTTGCCATCTGGAACGACACAAGACAACGTTGATCGATTCCCGAGAGACTGGGATGGTTCTGGCAAGTACAACCGTGTGGGCCAGATTGGCAAGGGGGCATTTGCGGTCGTTTACAAGGTCACGTCCAAGTTTGACGGAGTCCCATACGCCGCCAAGGAGCTTGAGAAGCGGCGTTTCATCAAGAACGGCGTCCTGGATCAAAAGGTGGAAAACGAGATGAAAATCATGCAAAGGGTTCAACATGTAAGTCGTTCTAATGTCTCCCCTTTTCGATCTGACAACCGCTGACCCGAGAAAGCCAAATATCGTCCGATATATCGAACACTTTGATTGGGATAATCGGCTCTTTATTATAATCATGGAGTTTGTCGGCGGTGGCGACCTTGGCAAGCTTATCAGTACCCGTGGCCCGTTGCAAGAGGTGTCAGTGAAGCAAATGGCGGCTCAATTGCTGAGTGCCCTGGCCCACCTGCACGAAAACCACATTACCCATCGAGACGTCAAGCCCGACAACATCCTCATCTCATCGCTCAACCCATTCGATGTCAAGTTGACAGACTTTGGTCTCTCCAAGATGGTTGACAACGAGCAAACGTTCCTGCGAACGTTTTGCGGCACCTTGCTGTACTGCGCGCCAGAGGTATACTCGGAGTACGCCGAGTACGACGATAACGGCTATCGGAACCCGCGGAATAGGGCAAAGCGGGCAGCAGTCGGACAGAGATACGACCACGCCGTCGATGTCTGGTCTCTCGGGGGTGTGCTCTTCTACGCGCTCACTGGTAATCCGCCTTACCCCGTTAAGAACGGTGTGAGCTACTCGGAGTTGCTACACACGATCATGACGAGGCCTCTTGACACGCTTCCGCTGGTCCGGCAGGGTATCTCGCAGCAGGGCATCGAGTTTCTTTGTTATATGCTGGAGAAACGCCCAGAATGCCGGGCGACAGTCAGAGAACTCCAGACACACCCTTGGCTGGGAGTTCATAGACTAAACCCTTCGCAAAATGGCGACCAGTCATTCGACGAAATCACTGACGAAGACGAAGAGTTGCAAGTTAACGCATCCCAGCTCAGTCTGGAGGAAGGACAATCGCGTTATCTTGCCGACACGGAGTTACCCTATGACGAGAGTGTGGATGATATTGTCAACGACTTCATCGAGGAAGACTCGGAACAGGAGAATGGGACGTTCGGCCCCACCGGAAAAGGTGCTGGGCCGAGACTCTTTGGAGAGGTCAATGTATCTGCGGTGGGCAGCAGGGGCGCAATAGCGGCGGAACGGCTCAACCTCCCAGTGGCCGACTCGGGTGTCCTGGGCAACGAGAGCTTAGGGTCAGAAATACGGGACAGCTACGAGTCGGACGATGCCTCGACCATCATCGGCAAGAAGTCAGGGAGCAGCGGGGGCGCTCGGCTCTCCGCCTCTGCGGCCAACGGGCAGTCCGAAGATCAGCTCCGTAGCCTGGTCGAAAACGTCGCTTCTCAGAGTCTGGGCGCAACCGATTTTGGCAGCGATCTCCAGATGAAGTCCGCGGCCACTTCCCATGTCAATGGGACGTTCTATAACGCTAGCAAACGGAAACCGTCATCAGTCGATACGAGTGACGAGTTCGAGCCGCGGCCGCGAGAAAAGCCCATCTTCAAACGCCTCAAGTCGGAGGGCAACCTTGACGCCCTTGCAGAAGAGGAAATGGAGGAGTACAAGCTGCTTGCCTCTGTGCCGCAGATCAAGAGGTTGGAATCCGGGCGACAGATCGATGGGCCTTTCAACAAGATGCACTTTTGGGGGAAGGACATGAATACGTGGCATCTCCGCTACCCTGAGATGACACAGCTGCAGTACGAAATGTTCAAGAAGGCAGCACAAAGCCGGGGGGAGGAATTTGGCCCAGGCAAATCCCCGTTATGGGAAATGGCTTTCAAGTACTTCCCACCAAACAATGGCGTGCCTGCTATGCACACACAGAACCAGCCTACCGTCGACGAGACAAACCGGGCGCTGCTAAAGCGGGACGACAGGAAAGTGCTGGAGGGCACGGAATGGGACATTCCCGCCACGGCTCCCCCGCCTGAAGAAGATTCGCTTCCCGACACTCTGCCGCCAGAGACGCAGCACAAAATCATCGTTCCCATTTCCGACGACGGACCGAAACGGGCTGTTGCCGTGCTTGAGTCGGCCCCTGACTCATTGGTCTCTGGGATCTCCGTTCCTGTGACGATCTCACTCATGTCGTGGGGCCGCGGACCTTCCAATACGGTCATCTACGAGCCCAAGACAGAGGTCAAAATACCCAAATATGCTCTCAAGGTCTTGCTGTGGAGGGATGGCTACGATCCTTCCAAGGATACGACCAAGCATCCTTGGGACAAATACCCGAACGGCGAGGGCTTCGCCTTCTACCTATCAACAAAGGCCACAAACGGGATCTTGCTCAATGGCTGCGAGCTTCTGTCGCACGATTGCAAGAATCCCACAAGCCCATCGAAGAACTGGGTCCAAGTCTACGATGGCGACGAGATTGTTGTATGGGGCACCGCCACCGACACAACAAGCCAGACAAAGGTCATTTTCCGCTGCTTTTACGGTGACTCCGCAAAGCGTCGCCACCCAGATGCCCCTCCCAAGTTGGTCTCCTCATCAGCGGCGCGCAAGATGGACGAGATATGCGGCAGATACGAGAGAAAGTTGAAGACGGCAGCCGAGCAGGAACAGAGGTACAGCGAGGTCGACAAGGAACTGGTCGAGCGCAAGCAGAACATCGAGAGGGAGCGTGAGCGCAGCCGCGTCTTCGAGGAGAAGCGGCTCGAGGCGCTGAGGTTCGTGGCGCTGAGGACGGCGTCCAGGAGGGGTTCACCGGCTAGCGCGCCCGCGACCACCGTTCTCCGGGGCCAGACACCGTGTCTGAATGCGCCTTCGCCGCTGCAGGAGGCCCGGTCTAGCAGCCCTCAAAACTGAGAGGCCGATCACGACGCTTAGTTCAGGGGCTCCTAGGGCGTTATGAGAGCGGGGGCTTGGCACTCGAAATGAGATGGGCCGTTTCCGAGTCCGATCTCTGCCCAGATCCCCTGGACATTACGAAGACGAGGAAAGAGGATATTTGCAAGGTGTACCGGAACGGACCGGAACGGACCGGAACGGGCGCTTCTGTTGTTACCGGCAAGGACCCGGGCTGCGGAGAAAACAAAACAGCGTTGGATTTAACACACTTTTGAGAAAGCACATGTTCGAGCGGGGCCGCCTCTTGCCCATTGGAGCTGCATTATGGAAAACAACGCTGTTGACGGGCAATGGTAGAATAGATGACTACGAAAACAAAGACAAGACTCATGAATAACCATACCACCTATTATTATCACGTCACTCCGGATGTGCCAGTGGAAAAACATGCTTCGTCGACACTAGTGCCTCCCCACGTTTTCACGCTCAGAGGAGACTGACCTGCCCAGGCTCTTGTGACATGTTGTTTTACAGGCCACTGCATGTTGCGTGTCACAGGCCATCGTCTCAAATCACAACCATTCGAGAGGCACAGTGGATCATGGCATTCTCGTTCGTGTTACTATCTGAGTACAGGTTACAGCTTGGTCCCATTGCCTCTCGTGGTTCTCATTCTCCAGATTATGGGAGCATAACAGAGTTGGCCGTTCTCCACGACAGTCTCGGAGAATTCCAATCTACAGCTAGAGAGTCCTCCTCCCCCTGACAGCCGCTCCAAAGGTGGTAAGTACCCAGTATCTCTCAGTCTCGATGTTTCCCAAAGCTGCGAGCATCTAGTCCAGGTAGGGTCATAATCCTCCAAGTTGAGGGTAGTCTCCGAAGGAACCAGTGTCCCGCGGTACGTGACTCTGGGCCCTGCGGTCGCTTCCTCGGTATCGAAAAAATGTTCGGGTGTTCCGAGGTGCTACTAAAGACACAAGAGTCTCCCGCAGGCGATTACGGGAGTATTGAAGTAGTTTGTCATATTTCGTCGTGAAAGGTCGTGGAAAAAGGAAAAGGGGGATGGGTGCAAACAGGCTTGGTTGATGAATGGCGTGATGGGGAAGAGTGGTAATAGCAAATATGTCGTGTAATCAAGGAAAGGGGCGAAGTAACCAGCAAAGTACTAAAAAAAAGAAGAGTCATACAAGAAAAAAGGTAAAGTAATCCGTAGCAAAATCCTGCAAAATTGTTTGCGGGCAGACTTGTATAGCTTGACAAGATTCGTTCCCGCTGCAGAGTTGTCATGCGGTGTCGTCATTTAGCTGAGTTGCCGAGTGACGATTATTACGACCTGATCTCCCAGCGGAAGATTCAGACAAAACAAAGGAATCGGTAAGAACCGCCTTTAGAGAGGAGTTGCTGCGAATCAGGTCAAGCTCGTCTCGCGCTAGGGGACGTAGTTATCGTAGCCTGGGATGAGCAGGTTGTGGACGTCGCTGTCAGACATGTCGTCCGGGATCTCCATGGCAAATCCAACAGGAGGAAGCTTGGGCTCGCGAAACGTGTCCGTGGTCGTGTTCGAGTAATCGAAAGGGATGTCGGTGTCGTACGGAATGTCGCGCTCGATAGCCGATGCTCGTTCTGCTGAATGACCAGGAAAGGTGCGAGGAAAGCGAGGCCGGGATTTTTTGAAATCCTCATGGGTATTGAAAGGCTCCGTGTTGCTGCAAGTCTGTTCACCATCTGAAGTGCGTGAGTGGCGAGGCCGTAAGTATTCTCCGTGGCCAAAGTCAGAATGCGAGGTGCCCTGATGAAAGTCTTGGTCGTCCGCAATGGCTTCTTGGTCTTTCGAGAGAAATTTCGGGTCGAATTCGATGTCTTCGTAGAAGCCCGAGTGCTTGTCTTCCTGGACTGAGCGAGAGCCACAATTAGAGAGAGGGCCCCCAGGGCACCAGGAGGAATTGGCACGACTGGGATATGGACTGTCGTCTCGCGGAGACCATTTGGGCCGATGGGCTTTCGCAGGGCGACAGCGATCATCAAAGAAGCTAAAAGGAGGGCTTGGTCCCTTGGGCGCATTGGGGCTTGTGGGATAGGGCTGGTTCTCCTTGCCCTGGCCGCAAGGGAAATCGTTGCCATTGTACGACTGATGTTGTCGATTGCTGGGGTTCGGTCGTGTCTTGTCGAAACCAGACGATTGGTCGTAGAGGCCGGGATCATCATTCGTATTGTAACCTTTCGGAATGTACAATGTACTTGGATGGGGTTGGCTGCCGCTTGAGCTGTTTGTGGAAGAGTTATATCCGAAGCTTGGAGCTGTGAACGCATCCCAGCCGGCACCAGGAGCACTCCAAGAGTTGAAGCTTTCCTCGTCAATACCGTAGGGGGGTAAGTGAAGCTGCCTTGCACTCTGGCCATCAGGGTCTTTCAGAGGATCTTTAAGCGGAACCGCCTTCTGTCCTGAGCGGAGTTCCTCGTGATAATGCTCGTGTGAAAATTGAGCATAGGGGCCATCGCCTTCAGAATGCTCTCGTTGCCAGTACGTTGGAGACGTGCGAACCTCGACAAATTCGTTGAAGGTAGTTCGCTTGGAAGGCGAGTTCAAGTCCGAAATTCCCAAAGACGAATCAGCTTCGATGTCACTGTCCCTCGCAATAGTAGGCGCCTTGAGTGTCGCTGTTGCATCGGGGGGTCTTGTGATGGGCGGATAGTCGTTAATTAGGGGCGAGTTGCAAAACGCATAAGCCATGTCGCCATCACTCTTCTGTTTTGAAGGCTGTGTAGATACATCCTCGACGGCAGGAGCTTGATGCTTGGTGCTTTTCGCAGGAGAAATCTCAACATCGTCTTCATACCCGTCGGTCGTCAGCCACTCGGGTCTGTATTGGTCTTCCTTCGAAGGTGTCGCGCTGCTTGCCCTGGCAGAACGGCGCTTGCGAAGTCGCTCTACAACAAACTCTGATGGAGAATGCTCATTCGGAATGTTCCCAAGCTCTTCAGTGTAGTTGGGAGCATCGGGTTTCAGCGCCGTTGCTTCTTGCTGCTGAGAGACGGAAAGACGAATTTCGTGACCAGGGTTTCGTCTACCGGTGTCATCTTCGTCATTGTGTTGTCTGTCAGATTCAGAATCGCTTTCGTCAGAAGACTGGATCATATCAGTTAGACATGGATCCGCAAACAGTTGGGGAAAAGAAAAGACATTACGCTGCCGATTAGAGTCTCTGTTGGAATAAACGCCTTTCTGGAGACTCGTTTCCTGCAATGGGCGCAAAAGTTCTTGACCGGCCTCTGACCCCGCTTGATGGGATGCTCTTTGTTGAAATGAGAAGATCTCGCAAATCCACAGCTGAAGCAAAAGTTGCCATACGCCTTAACATTCTTTCCTTCGCCTCTGGCGAGGTATTTTGCGTGACATGGCCTGCAAAAGTTGCGCCAGGCCGGGTCTCCGACATGGAACTTGCGCACTCGGTGGTGCTCGTCAGACCGGCGGATGCCACAACTACAACAATAGTAGCCGTCAGAGTTGTCGTCAAGATGGACGGATATCTCGGGTGCCTCATCACGAGATTCTTCGTTTCTGCTGTTCTTGTTGTCATCTATGGTGTGCTTTAGAGACTGGTCGAGCGATCGATCGGTACAGGCTCCGGTGTAGTGTTTCATTCTGGTTGTCGTCTCTGAATCTCTTTGAGTAGTTATGGAATGGGCTTGAGATACTTCCTCCGAAGAAATGATCGAACAAGGCACCGAGTCAAGCTGGAAATGATTCTGTGTGCGCGTCGTCGAGGAGCTCGTACAAACATGATTTATACCCATCCTTGAACTGGAGTCGTCAGCGTGGGCCGAGAGATGATGAGGTCCTGATAGTTTGGCAACTCGGTTGCTTGAACCAGCCTGTGAAGAAGCTTTCAGACGGCCGGATACACGGCTCGATTTGATGCGTCTTCGGCGAGGCTCTTCTACTAGCCGACTTTGGCGCCCGTACCCGTTGTCAATCTGCTGAGCTTGACGAGGAGAGTCGTTCCACGTAGCCGCTAGACAAGATTCAGTATGTTTTGAGTTCCTCTAGTGAAGGTAGAGGGGCTCTTACAGCAGTGTTGGGAAGACTCTGTTTCCTCACCCCTCGATGTCGAAGCCTTTCCCTTCGGTGCCATATTTGCAAATACTCATGTAGCCTCTAGGGTATTTCGCGATGTCCCAAAGCTGTGGTCAAAATGGAACCCGAAACAATATGTGAGGGTTCCAAAAGATTGTGATGGGTCATCGAGGAGCAAAAGGTCTTTTGACGAATGGAGCGGGGACAACCCCAAGGAAATAACGTCAGGGGAGCTCCTGCCTCAAGAGCACAACTTCAAAGCAGCGCTAACTGAAGGAGCAACCCAAATCACGTGGTTCTAAACATGTATAGATACGTGCCTTCTCATGCTGCCATGTTTTCTTGATTCAGCTCTCCCTCAGCCCTCCTGAGGACATCTTCCAGTCTGCCCATAGCAAACGACATTGCAACGATACAAAATCAAGCCTTATCACAAAGAGATGCTTGAAGAAAGGACACCTGACCCAGTCTTAATACTTAAATATGTTTTACTGGCCCGATCTGAAGAGAAGAACATTGTAGGCTTGTCTCTTGGAGTTATGCACAATTCCACAATGCTTGTCCCGGTATGTGTAGTTTGCCTAGATCTGGGCCAATGTGGGATTGTATGCAGTAATAACCAACCTGTCAGCCGTTGTCCAACGCCATCCAGGAAACGGATTTCCTAAGCTTTGTGATAGAGGCGAGATATATAATAGCTCATCCTATTTGTCTCAACAACAGTCATCATGGATAATTTCTAATATGAGCATGGCCAGGGCGCCGCGTGGGTTTGTCACACTCAACCATGATGAGAATTCAACAGGCTGCACGATGAAGAGGTCATGATCAAGTAGTGTACATTTGTCGAAGCATGCTTTTCTGTCTACATGTGGAATCTAGAACCACCTATCCCTGTCCCGAAACAAAGAAATGAGATGCGGCCATGAAAAAATGTTTCCTGATGGCTCAAAAGAGTTGTTAACTTAGTCAACTCTGAGGACTCTGGGACCGCGCTTCTTCGTCGGCTTCTTCTTCTTCTGGCCTCTTTCAAAGGCGGCAGCGGCCACGTGATCGCGGCCAATGTTGTCAAGGTCCTTGACCTTGTAGATGCGGATGATCCAGTTCTCACTGGTGAAGGCCTCCTCGACGGTGTTCAAGGTAGGGCCCACGTCGGGGAGACGGACGCCACGAACACGGTCCTGAGCCTGACCAGCGGGGAAGAGCGAGTTGTAGTTGTAGTAAGACATCTTGTACCTGCGCAGTTGTCAGTATCGATTCATCATTGAACAGATTTCGTCAGTCACTTACATCAAGCTGTTCTTCATAGTCTCGGTCGCCTGGTCATCGACTCTGTATTCTCCGCGGGGGGTGAAGAACTTGCGCTCCTGGACTTCCTCAGGCCAGATACCCTCAGCGATACGGACCATCCACAAGAACTTGTTGATGTCGTCTCCGGAGTAGCCCAACAAACCACCAAACACCACCAAGACGTAGTCGACCTCGTGCTGACGCATAATGGGGTAGCTGACTTCCTCACGAGAGCTCATCGCCTTTCCAACAGTTGCAATGTGAGTATTATTCCAGGTGTTGTTGTCGACGAGGGTAGGGCGGTCGGCCATGCCACCAATCTGGTAGCCGTAGTCCCACCAAGACATGATCTTGGCGTCCTCTTTCGTGTTCTGGCGCAGCCACTGGTAGGCCTCACGGTAGTCGTCAATGATGTGCTGGCTGCCATCGGGCAATCTGCTAGCAAGAACAACGGAGGGGGAAGAGTAGGCGTTGGAGGTTACCCAGGTGCAGTGAAGCACAAAGAGAAGCAAGAAAACAGACATGCCACCGACAACAACTCCCTTGGACAGGAAGGTGTATATGCCAACGACGGGCTTGCTAGTCGATTTGAGACCACCTTTCCCAGCCTTCTTGGGGTTTCCCTCGACGGCGTCCTCAGGCTTGTAGTCCTCAGGGTTAGGTGACTTGGCGACCAGGTAGGTGTCGAGGATCTGCGAAGCCGCGATGGCCGCCGCAACACAAACGACAGGGGTCAGAGTGAGCATCAAGCGTACCATGACACCAGCGAAGTATGTGCCGAAAAGGGCGTAAACGACAATGAAGACATGCTCATCCCTGAGGTTCTGGAAGCAAAGGTAAACTCCAGCCGGGAAGAGCCAGACCAGCATGTTAAGGTCGAAGAAGAAGGCAGGCCAGGCGGTAGGCTGGTGCTCAGAGACGGAAGCGATAATAGGGATGTGAATCTTGGCGTATCCAGTATCCCACAGAGAGTAGAAACGACCACCCCAAGGGGCAATGTAACCGAAAGAGGTCAGAGCCACCAAGCCAGCGAGCGCAACGCCAAAAGTCGCAGCCAGGAAAGTGTAGACGAAGGTCTGGAACTGGCGACTGGGGATAGCGCCTCTGACATAGTCGATGAAGGCAACGAGCTGCAGGAAACCGAAGACACCTGGTTCTTAAGTTAGTCGGCAACAAGCAGATGTGTGGTTTTCTAACTTACCCAAAGCAGGCATGTGCTCGCTGGTCTTGACGGGCAAGAAGCCAACAAAGGGAATTTGCATGCTGGCCAGAGTTCCAAGGGCATACCAGGTGGTATAACTGACGTAGAGACGCGTACTGTATCTACCCATAAGGATCAAGGTCAAGGCATGCAGGGGCAGCATATTGGTAATGAAGGCGTAACCACCCCACGAGGCAACCATGTAGCCGTAAAACAGGGCGCAGAGGGCTCCCCAGAGCATGGAACCCAGCTTCAATGCCTTGATCCACAGGAAGAAGGTAAAGACGAGAAGGAAAATGGCGATAGCCTCGTTGTCGTAGCTGCCGGCAACTGATCGAGAGATATAACCAGGCGCGATACCCATGAAGATGGCCGCGAGCAAGCCGGCCGAAGGCGATGTGGTCATCTCATTGGTGAGGAGATACGCGGCGTAAGCGGTAAGCCCGGAGAAGGCGGGTGCGAGAAGGACACAGATGTTGCGGATATCGACGGGGACTGTAAGAGCTCGGAGTGCATGGTAGATGGCGCCGCTGGTTACCATCAAACCAGGGTAGAGAGTTCCTCCAGTAACCCGACCGAGAGGATGCCAGGTGCGGTCATCGAACCAATCCCAAAACTTATAGAATCCATTGGCGACGAGATATTTCGTAGCTCTGAAGTTAAACCAGGGGTCGACTAGGAAGCAGTTAGTATCGGGAGCGGGAAGGTGCCCAGAGCGAAGGGAAACCAACATTCGTGAATAATACTCTCGAAGCCTGAATCACTGGAGTTAGCATATATGCAGTCCGATAAATACTACAAGCCCTTCTTGCCAGGCTGGCCACCAATTGGTGGTGATGATTGATGCAAGACGACCCTTAGCAAACTGTCGAGGGGCACTTACGAATGACGGAGAAGAGACGACTCGCAACAGCGGCAGCTGCAATCAGAGACAAGATGGTGACTCTAAGAACAGTTCTAGTGTTCTCGTTGCTGCCTCCGGAGAGGGGTCCCAGAGGTTTGGCCGTCATTTTGGCCGCGATTGGTGTGAAGTGGCAGTGGCCGTGGTTGTGAAGGTTGCGAAATGGAGCTGGCGACGACAACCTTCTGTCTCACAGCCAGGTATCTGAGAAGGACAGCTTGGAGCTTATGCATCTGAATCGGTGGTGCAGGGGGAGGGTGCACGGTCCAGGAGGTGAGGTGAGGAGCCTCTCCGTTCAGTGGTGTGACCCACTGACGAGCGCCCGGAGTCGTGCTTCCACGTCAGTCAAGGAGGTGGCATCACGTGCTTCGGACAAAGAATGACCCGGATCAACAGAATCCGGGGTGGCCGGGCCAATGCTGGGCTTCGGGCTCGGCCTTGGGGACTTTGGGGATGATAAGTTGTCGTCTCCGAGATCTTCGGGTAGATGATTAGGGAGTCGAGGTAGAAGACATTGCGTTCATTCACAGTGAGATACAGAATCATGCGAGGTTCTGTACTCATCCTTAGCATAAGGTCAACTGGTGATTTCATGATTTAGGTGTCAGCTAGCTTCCACTTTGTCCCCAGGTATTACTGATGGGTAAAGCAGTCAGTTATTCTTGCCCAGATAAGGTGTTTCTCAATTGTTCACCAGCAAGCTGCCGCAGAGAACATTCACGGCCATAGCAAAATGATGCACGTGATGCAAGAAGGTGGACAAACGCCCCATCAAGCATTACAAATCACAAAGAGAATGCTTCCTCCTGACATGGATTCCAGATCATTGGCAGGGATCCAAACTCTGTACAAGAGGAAAAAGTGATTGATGTCATCCAATGGCTCGTTCCTTGGAATTGTCATCTAGTTGAGCGTATTGTACACATGTACATCCGGTAAACAGACGTAAGGAAATGTCTATGCAGTGACATCGGGCGTGGCGCCTTCCATGCACCTACTGCTGCCGAAAGACCAGATTATTAGTCCCTTGCAAGGACTCTTCGTGTTCTCTTTGCGCAGGCGTATCCCCGATCCTGACCCTGTCTATCCGTTGTGCAAGCCGTCCCCTCCATCAAGCGATCATCCATCTTACGGGTTCTGCTTCACCAGGTTGTTAAAGTAGGCCTCAAGGTCGAACTTGGGGTCCATCGGGTCGACGTTGGCTGTATCCAGTGTCAGCGTCTCGGGTCATATGGGGGCAGCTATCGATGGCGACAAGTCTGTCTTGCACCATTGGGGTCCTGCAATGTCTCGCTGGGTAGGAAAGAAACACACCTCCGGCATCAGCAGCCGCCGACTTGAGGGGCTGGTTCTTCTTCGCAAACTCGGCCTTCGCCTGCTCGATCAACTTCTCCTTGCGCTCGTACTCCTTCTGGGCGGCGGCAGCCTTCTGGCTTGCTGTGATCGATCGCTGATGTGTGAAGCCGTAGAACACGCCCAGGCCGAGGGCCGTGTATCGCAGCACCTATAAAGTCCATCAATCAGCCGGGCTGTTCCTGTTCTCGAGACAAGCGCGTAGGGTCCGGTGTTGTTTGCTCGGTGATGGGCGCTCGTCGGCTCAGGGAGGAGAGGGTGGCTGGTCGCTCCGTGGGATGCGGACGAGGGCGAAGGACAAGACGTACGTTTACTCCTGAGGAGGAAGACATTGAGGGCAATTGCCTGGATTGCGCGACTGCTTTCGGGAGGGAGCGAGCGATGGGAAGGACAGTGCGCGGGTTGACAATGGCTGCCAATTGACCCTTTCGGAGCTCTGTCGAGGGAATTACGTTAGGGGACGCAAGGTGTGAAGTTTTGAAAATATGCGAGTTGGCTCGGGAAAACTCGCAGATTTTCCACTGGTCGGCCGTCTGGTCATTCCCGGGCGTTTGGAGCTCGGACGGGGAACACCAGCCCAGCACTACTGCCAATGGCGCGCCATGGTCGCCCAATGCCTGCGCCGGACGCACCTAAGCCTGCTGACTGAGAGAGCTTACAGCGGCTACCTTGCCACGCTTGCTCAGAGCAGCTTGCCTGGCGTACCAAGGCGGCAGGACAGTTTTGCCGGTCCTTTGCCGATCTGGCGCAATCACGTGCATCATCTGTCTTGCCAGGTGAGCTGCTTCCCAGTGGGATTATCCGCCGGCCTCAGGAAAATAGGGACCAAATGTCAACTTTAATGCAGGGGCCGCTAAGGTATCTTCTTGCAGTCAACCAGCAGCTGAGGTACCTACCTCTAAACAGGGGTCTCTCTGGAATCGCGACGGGACAACGCGCATGTAAAGGACTCCCCATCAAGCCAAACGGCCCAGGACACTACGGCTGCCAAACATTCGTCACAGTCACTCTGTCAACAGCGAATCGACGATCCGCTCTCTTCAAACCGCCTCCCCTTTTTGCTTAGCGAACCCCAGCTATTATTGCAATAGCAGTGCCTACCTTCCCCGCGATCGTTTGTTACACATAGTCGGCGAGTCCCGCGATGGGATTAAGGAGAAGCTAGGATGCAACAGCGACGAGATGAAATCCTAGCGAAGAAGGCTAAGCTCGCGGAGCTCAAGCGACAGAGGGAGCTTCGCGCGAGCCAAGCAACAGCAAGCCGGCAAAGCACAGGAAGCCCAGGCGACGTATGTTCATTTGGTCTTCGTATTCGCACAACCTATTGATTGAAGTAACAGCTTGTGTCGCCTATGCCAGGCCGAGCCGAAAATCGCCGCGATATCGAGACTCTGATCAACAGCTTGGTAGGAGAAAGCAGGCCCGGATCTACAAATGGAGGGGCAGCATCGCCGGCTCGTAGGGGCAGCCGACCAAACAGCGTCCTCAGCGCCGGGGAGTTGAGCACCGCGACCTCGGAATTCGCAACCCCCGCCAACGGTCAAGCAACGCCGGCTCCAGTTCCCGCAGCACCACCTGTACAGCTGAGCCTGACGACGGCGCCGCTTACCACAATATACGAATGCCCACCCTCACCTGTGAAGGAGGTACATTCTTACAGCAAGGGAGTACAAACGGCCGAAGCATGGACGTCGCCGACTCGACCCCGAGCTCAGTCGCTCTCCGACAACGAGGACATTCCCCCAATCACATCGACACCCAGCAAGAGGCTGAGTAGAAGGCAGCGGGATCGGGAGGAAGAGTTGCGACAGGACATCAGAAGGGAAGTGGAAGAAGAGTTGAAGGCCTCGCTGGATTTGCTCAAGGACGGGGTCATTCCGAACGACGCCTCCACCAAGGCAAATTACCCCATGCGCAAACTCACCACTGAAGAGCTCGAGGCCGTCACTGGTGCGCCTGACTTTGCCGATTTCCTTGAAAAGTCCACCAAGGTCATTGAGCGAGCACTCGATCAGGAGTACGACATCCTCACCGACTACGCACTCCAAGGTCAAGACGTTGATGATGAAGACGACGAAAGCGGCAACTTTGGTGGCAAGGGCCGCCGTAGGGTGAAGGAAGTGGCACAGTTCTTTGATGAAAGGTGGTCGAAGAAGCGCATGATCAGCAGTATCGACTTTTCACATCATCATTCCGAGCTGATGCTGGCCTCATACACCAAGAATCCGACTGCACCACATGAGCCAGACGGTCTCGTCCAAGTATGGAGCTTGGCCCTACGCGACAGACCCGAATATGTTTTCCATGCACAGTCCGATGTTCTTACAGCCAAGTTCTCGCCGTACCACCAGAACCTCATTATCGGTGGCACTTACAGCGGCCAGGTGCTCCTGTGGGACATGAGAGCGAAATCGGCACCCGTGCAAAAGACGCCCCTTACAGGATATGGACACACGCATCCCATCTACTCCGTCGATATCGTCGGTACCCAGAACGCAAATAACATCATTTCCACCTCGACGGACGGCGTGGTTTGCGGCTGGAGCATGGATGTATTTGCCCAGCCACAGGAGCTGCTGGAGCTCAAAGCACCACCCGGATACAAGTTGGACGATGTCAGCCCGACCTGCTTGGCATTCCCGCAGACCGATCCAACCTTCTTTCTCGTCGGTAGCGAGGAGGGCACAATTTTCCCCTGCCACAGATACGACCGAGCTGGTGCAAAGGCAGGTGTTGATGCTCGGGTCAGTTACAAGGGTCACACGGCACCTGTTATGTCCGTAGACTTTCATCCTGCGCGCGGACCGGTGGATCTCGGCGATTTGGTTCTCTCATCGTCACTCGATTGGAGTGTCAGGCTATGGAAGGTTCGCGCGCCTGCTGCAACCTCTACTGCAGGAGGTGAACCAACGGTTTCGCCGCTCATCGACTTTGTGCGAGAAGATGTTGTTTACGACGCCCAATGGTCGCCGATTAAGCCTAGCGTGTTCGCTCTCGTTGATGGCGCGGGATGGCTTGAGCTGTGGGACATCACGGTCGAGACTGAGGAGCCTGTCGCGAGAATATCGCCAAGCTCTCGTAAGGATGGTAGAACCATGCTGGCTAAGAGCTTGAACAAGGTTGTTTGGGAGCCTTCCGAGGGCAAGCGCCTGGCCACAGGAGGTATCGATGGAGTGCTGACCGTCTTCGAGGTCACGTCTGGTCTGGGCGGTAGAGATGACTTGAAGGCGGAGGAGTGGACGAACGTGAAGAAGCTGGTCAATAGAGTTGAGGCCCACGGGCTCAATGGAGCGATGGTGTAGAAGCCAACTTCTATCTGCGTACGCCCTACCTCTAGGTGGGGATTTACTACTATTCGATTTTGTTGGTAAAAGGCGCATTCCTGTATACCCTGATACCGTGTTATTCTCGAGCATGTCAAATTTATCTGTCGAAGCGTCCGTCCCTAGCGCCTAGCACCCAACGGCTTCCTTCTATTCTTGACGTAAGTGAGTGAGTACGGCTTACGGTGGGCACCAAGAGCATCCACCTCCTTGCGTGGCCCTCCAGAACTGAGAAGCGATCTGCTTAGTCATCCACCAGATAAAGGCTGTTCCCAAGAATCGACGAACAATTTTCTCACCTCGTTCACTCCACCTTCATCAACCGCCAGCTTTCAACAGCGGGCGACTGCGAAATTTCATGAATCGCGAATGGTAAGTCATTGAGTGTGTTTTCTATTACTTTTTCACGGCAATATGATGAACAAATTAGAATTCTGCAATGCTGAAGGCCGCAAGGCCGACCTGTGGATAAAATCTTCGCGTTACTGCAACACTGAGCCCGTTTCTCCATCATCATCCATTGTGTACTTTGATCCTAAGTACAGAACATTGGGCTAACTCGCAAAAAGACCTTCCGCAGATAGCATGACCGAACATGTAACTTTGATTTAGGTGTTGACGGGTGCCCCGTCAGGGTAACGACCGCCGGCGACTTCGAACTTGGCCAATGTCGCGTCGATGTCGGCCATCTCCTCATCGGTAAGCTCAACCAACTTTGCATTCTCTTCAACTCTTTCTGCCGTCGTGGCACCGGGGATCGGAATGATCACTGGCATGCCGGGCCGCTTCGACAGTGCCACCGTCCAGCCGATGGCCAGCTGCGCCGGGGTGACACCCTTTTTCTTCGCCAGCGCCGCGACCTGCTCAGCCAGCTTAATGTTGATGTCGAACGTTTCAGGCTTGAAGCGTGGGAAGTGGCGGCGCATGTCGTCCTGGGGGATGTCATCGAGTGTCTTGATCTGGCCCGTGAGCATGCCGCGGCCGACGGGTGAGTAGGCGATGATCGGAATGCTGTACTGCGCGCATGCCGCAGCGACGCCGTTGTCGAGGACATCCGTCGAGAAGAGACTGAGCTCCACCTCGACGCCGACGATCTTCGCATGCTTAACAGCCTCGTGGATTGTTGCGGCAGAGACCTCGGAGAGGCAGATGCCGCCGACCTTACCCGTGTCGATGTACTCCTTCTGGATGACGCCAAAGGTCACCTCTAGAGGCGTGTTCTGGTCGCGGCGTGCGCACTCGAAAATGTCGACCTTCTTGCGGCCTTTGAGCTGTCCAATAATCTTGTCAAGAGAGGTACGGATGCCCTCGGGCGAGCCATCCGGGTGCAGATTCGCGAGGTTGACGGCGCCCTTCATGCTAAGGACGACCTTGTCGGCGTCCTCGGGGTATTTGGCAAAGTAGCGCTCTAGCAAGACACTGCTGTTGTACTCTGGGGTTCCGTAAAATTCTCCGCCGTTCCAAAAGTTGTTGCCGTTCTTGAGTGCGGTACGCATGGCCTCGAAGGCTTGTTCCTCGGAACAGGGCTGCGCGCGCCAGGTAAGGCCCATAAGGCCATAGCCGATCTGGCCAACTTCCTGTCCATTGAGCTGAGGCATCTTTCGTTGTCTGTTGTGAATGTATGTGTGAAGAGTGTGTTGTTGTTGTTAGGTTACTGAACAATTGAGTGACTTTGCCCTGGGCTGCGGGGTAGTATGGTTATTGAAGTGTAGTGGATATCGAGATTGATGTCCAACAAGATATGCTAGACCAGACCAAGGGGCCCATGGTATATATACCTTGGTCTTCAAAGGCTTCAATGTGATATCACCAACTCCGACGTCTCCAAAAAAAAGAGAGCTTTTTACTGGAACCGCACGCAAGTACCAAAGTATCTCTCTCATTTTTCTCTCTCCCCGTCTTCAATGACGAGGAAGCGGAATGCACGTTGGCGTAAAGAGTGGGTCTCCCGTAAAAGCTTCGTTGCATTGGCGTCCGAATTGAGATCTCAGAGGTCTGATTGGCCGGGGTTAAGAGAGAGGACACCGGAATTAGCAACAACGAGATCCCTCGATTCCCGACCGGTCGGAATTGTGAGAGGTCGAGCTGAAGGACTGGACTTAAGCAGCACTCTAACCGTGCAGACTGCACCCTGGAGACCACTTAGGAGGAATCCACGTCCAGATGCTTAAATCCATTCCATTGGCACCTTGGTCGCCGTTCCTTCAAATGGTCCGATGCCGAGAAGTTGAGCCAGTACACGGATGTAGGAAATGGCTTCGCATGAATTAACTGCCTGCATTTTCTCATTTCCGGTATCAAACTTCGACGTCGTGTTGATGCTCTCAATACTGGTAACACAGCCGCGGGAGTGGGAATATTATCCAATTGCAAAAGTGCATTTTGGCTACCACCTTCTTTCAATCAGCATCAGGCGGCGGCTATTCGTCGCGCCGCAATAAATGGCGAGTTCAGCAGGGCCACACTGAAATTAAGATTCACAATGTCGCGAGGTTGAAGGTACCAAGTCAAAGGACAATGAGATACCTCATATCCAAGGGCTTGCTCCTACGCTAGGGAACGACATGTCTAAGATCATGATTGCGAGTAAGTCTAGAGGCTCACATTTGCAGCTTCAGATGTCAACAAGCTTCTCAACCTCCTCATACTGCGGTTGATCCTTTCTCGCTGGCATCTGCGCCTGCACTTGTCTCAGCACCGGCTTCTTCTTACCCCCAAGTCCAATCACCATGGGAGGTGCAGCTGTTGTCGGGGTCCTCTCGACCCCAAGCCTGATCACGTGAACCTCCTCCGTCATCTTACTCTCTTCCCTCTTAGCTTTGAATCTGCCCTTCTTAGACGGGTGGGATGGGGTCATCAATGTGTTGCCTCGTGCCAGAGTGGTGGATGGACTCTTCTTCGCAACGCCGACAGCGGCAGGGGCAGCAGCAGCAGCGAAGATACGAACGTCGATCGTCCCCTCCACAGGCAGCCCGGCCGCCTGCCGCCACCAGCCCGGCAGCTCCGTGAGGCCGACATCTGTGAGCCCCTCGAGCGTCACTGGCATCTGGTGCGTGTACCGGCACTCTGTTCCCCAGCTGCACTGGCCAGTCTGGCACCAGTGCCGGCACAAGCTGCCCGCGGGCCGGGGCACCCTTTGCTTACCCGTCTTGGAGGGTTTCGTGGTGCCGTCACCATTGTTCTGCATGTTCGTCCGAGGCGGCAGAGCCTGGCGGGTGGCGCACTGGGTGCGACCGAGCTCGAGCATGCCGTTGGCGATCTCGACTGCTGACGTTTCCTTCCTGATGATGGAGGCCCGCTGAAGCTGAGGTTCTTTCCTGGGATTGGACGCCGTATTAGATGTCGGGGAGGTCGAGTGGCCCTCGTCGGTGGCCGAGAAGTTATCAGTGGAGACGGACTCTGTGTCTTCGGCCCAGTCTAGGACTCTATGAGCTGGAGGCTCCAATGCCAAAGGCCGGGGCTGGGGCTTTTCCGGGGCCATATTCTGAGGGGAGGGTGGAACTCGTGAGTCTTTCGTCACTGATTCGGAATCCCAAGTCGCCACCGGGGCCCTAGGGTCGGGTTCATGTGCGATATTGCGAGGCCGTTCGATCTGTTGGAGAGGAGTGCACTCATCGAAGGCAGATAGGTCGTTGTGACTAAGGTCTATCGAGCTGCCAGGTATGACATTGGTCGGCGAAAGGGGTATAACTGAAAATGACCCTCCGGCTGCGGGAATATGCCCAAGTTGGACATGCCGGCCGTGTCCTCGATGCTCATTGTACGTGATATGCCGTGGATCTTGAGGTACGTGGGTAGCAGGTCTACGGGGATGAGAGGTACGATGGCGCCCCCCTCGCGGACAATGAAATGCTTTGGCCGCAACTGCCAGTCATCGGCGGCCTGTGGGTTATGGATGGACTGAGTGAGGCCCTTCTTGTTGCTATTGATTGGAGGCATTCTAAACTTGCCAGAGGCTTCGGAGTATATGGGTGGCATTGCTGTTAGATATTGAATGGTCCGCGAAGGTGCTTGAAGGGGGCAACGTGAGAAATGCTGCTGAAGGAGATAAAAGATTGTAGTGGAAGCACGCAGGGAGGGAGAAATGCCGGTGTGCCTTCCATATCTTCCTTTCTACCTCATTCGTTTGTCTGAGTTACAGGGCCAAGATGTCCAATATCTGGCGCGGCAGCATGCGTCCCTTTCCATGTCGCTTGCGCAGACATAGCAAACAAAATGACACGCCAGACCAGACGCAGTCTACATGCAAGTTCCCGTGCGACAAATCTGCCAAAGACCATCCACAACAGGGCTATGTGCTGGGGGAGATCTAGCCTTCACCTATCTTCCACGCGGATCTTGACATCCATCCCGTCCACGCAGAAGCCCAGCTGCCTAGGTCCGTCCTTGAGCTCGACCTCCCTCTTCACCCACCTACCACCCTTTTCCTCCCGCGCACTAGCATCAGCCCCCGTCTCAGCTCCCTCACCGCCCACCCCGGCATCCTCCTCGTCGCTGCTGTCATCCGCATTCTCGTCCTCATCGAACCCGCCGACGGGATCCCATTCGCCTGTCTCCCATACCAGGCGGAGACGCAACGGCTCGGCACCAAACAGCCTTCCCGCGACGCCTTTGACGGCGTAGATGTCGGAAGACTTTGGAATTGTAATCGTCTTCGTTGTCATTGTCTTGTGCGTGAAGTGTACGGTGATGAGGCGAGCTTCGAGGTACGTTGGGTCAATCTCGTCGCGGCGAATAATGTCCGGAGCGCCGTAAATATCGCAGAGCTCGGCGTAGCGAGCATGTTGGGCTAGGACCTCGGGCTCGGCGGCCTCGGGGACAGAGGCAAGCTGCTTAGCTATGCGGGAGAGGTAGAACATCTCACCATTGGCACGATCCGCGGTCGAGATCGGGGTAAAGTTGAGGGCCTTGAGGCCGCCGAGGCGACCGATGGTGATCATGAAGGCCTCGTCTGTCGACTTTGTTTGGGTGCCGCCGCCGATGGCGTCTGGGTCGGGGCGATCGTAGACGGGGTTGTGGGCGAGGCGCAGGGCTGTGAGGCCTGGGAAGGACGTGGGGAGAACGTCAACGAATGACCATGTCATGACGGCGTTGTAGGATATGTCGAGGTACTGCAGACTTGGGGGAAAGACGGGTGTCGGGACGGATGGACGGGAGATGGTAGAGATGCTGTTGCCCTTGAGGTGGAGGTTGCGGAGAGAGCTGAGAGAGGATAGGGACGCAAGGTCGGCAAAGGAGGTGAACCCGTTGAATTCGAGTGTTAAAGTCGTCAGTGTGTCGGCGAGAGCGCCGAATGAAACGGTTGGGAGGACCGACAGCTGATTCAAGCTACAACTCAAAGTTGACAGAGACGGAAACTTGTAAGCAATCCCGCAAAGAGCTTCCCAGCCCAACAACGTCTCCTCGAGTTCCAAGTCCTTAACATTCGTGAACGCACTGGTCTCTTCGTCTTCGATAACCCGGAAACGGTTGCCACTAGACATAAGTCAGTTCAGACGACACATAGAGTGGGGGGCGAAGAGAATGCACTTGAGTCTCAGGCTCCTCAGGCTTCCGAGTTCCCGACAAATCTTCACTACTTGTTCAAACTCCTCAAAAAGGTTTCTGCTGATATCCAGCTCCGTGATGAGAGGGCTCGTCTCCTTGACGCTCTTGTCCCCAGGCGCAACATCGATGGCGACACGTGCCCCATCGAGGATCACGATGGTCAGATCCTCAACACGCGCAAGTTGTCGGCGGATCTTGTCGAAGCCGACCTCCTCGGCAGGCTTCTTTCCGAAAAAGACGATCTGGATCTCCGACTCGCGCTCCGCGACCGCCTCGGCATTGTACTTGCCGTGCAGCGCGGCGACGAAGCTCTGCGCAGCGTCGGCGGGGCGGGACGGCCGCACAAATGAGGCGGCGGTGGGGTTCTTGGAAAGGCCTGTCCACGCTGGTCAGAGATTGGGTGATCAAAGCATCAGATCATGGAAAGCGAGTTACAAGAGAAGTACCGGACGCCTTTATGTTGGCCGTCGTGCTTCCCGCGTCCAGCGTCGTCCCATTCTACACCGAGCCATGTGCCCGATGTGCCGTCGACGGGCCCAATGTAGCGGACCGTGCAAAGCGCGCCATCATAGGACAGCCGCTGGCCGATGTGATTACTGGACGCCATATTGGATCTCGGTGGTTTATTGACACCGTTGGTCTGGTCGGCAGCTTAAGCGCATTTCTTGAGTGCTTAGTTGATGTTGTAATGTAATGTTCAGGCAACAAGAAAGTTCCACAGAATGCGGGCGATTGAGCTCTCACTGGAGCTGTCCCCGAAGGCCACAATTGTTAGCGAGAGCACCCCTACTACACGACACATCTTACGAGAATAAGCGTGATCACCACCACGGCATGTAGGTTGGTTATTTTTGTAATTAAAAATAGCTGTACTCATAAATCCGACAAGTATTTTTAGACATAACTTTACAGCTTCGACTTAGGAGACTCCACAATCTTGATGAGGGCCCGCCCGTTGCTAAGAACGACCTTGCCGCCCTCAACCTTGGTCTGGAAACGGACCTCTTCCCAGCCATCCTTAAGATTGCCTGTCCTCCAGGCATCTGTCACCAACTTGTCGCCAGGCATAACGGGACTGGCGAAACGGGCCTGGTACTCCTTGATGTTGGCAGGGTCACTGCCACCAAAGGCCTTCAGCAGACCGTGAGCCGTCGAGTTCCACGAGTACAAGCCGTGCATGATGGCTCCGGGGAAGCCCATCTTCTTGCCCGGCTCCGGGGTTGCGTGCAGCGGGTTGTAATCCCCGTTGAGGCGGTACAGAAGCGCCGACTCCTTGGTCGTCTGCTGCTCAAAAGTGGCATCAGGCTTCTTGTCCTTTGGTGGAGGGAAGTTCTCGGTCGCGGGGCCCTTGGGGCCGCCCCAGTTGCCCTGGGCTACGTAAAAGCTGCTGGTGATGACGCTGGCGTAGACCTCGTTGCTGGGGAGCTCGACTAGGTCGGTTTGCGTCTCGACGACGGAGCCGGGACGGCCCTTGTCGTAAACACCGAGGACCTTGGTTCGGACTTCGAACTTTTTGCCGGCCGAGGTGGTGGGGACGGGCTTATGAAGGAGGATCTTGCGCTGGCCGTCGACGACGCGGCGGGCATCGAACGAGGGAACATTGGGGATCTGAACAGCCTTTTGGGCGGCGTAGAAGTCGATTACCTCCTGGGTGTTGCCCTTGAACGCTGGCTAGTTGTGAGCTAAGACGTAAGTGATGTCGAATCGGATTGGCTCACTAAGGATGAGAGGGTAGGTGGGAAAGACGGCGAAGTTAGGGTGAAGTTCCTGGAAGCTCAGGGTTAGCTATAAAATATCGCAGGTATCGGGGCAAGAAAGGAGGACTTGCATAGAGGAAGTGAAGCTCGTCAGCGGTGGCACCGATGGTGTTCGCGAAGAGCAGCACATCGCGCTTCAGCCAAGAAACCTCTTGGCGAGGGTATTCGAATCCGACACCGGGGCCGCTCATTGTGGCTTTTTTGAGAAACGTGTATATGTATAGTGTGTGTATTTGCAGGCAGTGAGGCGATTCGAGCTGAGAGTTCAATTGGTAAAGATACCAAAAAGGGCGGGGGAATTTCTGATCTGGCAATCGAAAGTTGCGTTGCGCCTCGGCCGAGCGCTGGGGACCTCGCGGCGGTTTTAACAGGCGCTGGAAGAACTTCCCTCGGCGTAGCTGTGGCTAACTAACCGGCCACCTAGCCGGACAGAGCAGGTCAGCTCCAGTAGCAGTGAAACGTAGGCCGCCAATGCCGAGGTTCAGATGTGGGGGTGGAGTTGCGCCATAGGGCCCTCTGCGACTACCCCGGATCTTGAGCTCGGGATCTGTATGATGGGCCAACGATTTCCAGGAAGGGCTAGTGCCGACTGTGCCTCATCTTTATCACTAATGCTGTCTTGCCGTCGTGAAGTCGTCTGAAGCTTCGTTGATAGATTTTGAGATGTAGCTGAACGGATACGCTATGTTGCGGTTTCTCAGAGGTGAAGAGGCTCCACAGTGTCCGCTTCAGTCGCTTAACAGCGGAGATCGGTCATTGCTCGCTCCGACTGCCTGAAGCTCCCCTCCGAAGCTCTAGGTACCTACCTACGTACCCACGTACCCACGAAAAAACTTCCCTGACAGGTGCCTTCCTTAACATTTCATCTGAACTAAGCTCTTTCCTTCAGCTCCTTCATTACCCTCGACTTTCCCAAATTTCACTACTGAATTGAATCGACAAGGCATCTCTCGCTTCCTTATCCGACAAGAGTATGATATTTTGGTCTTGAGATATACATCAAAGCCGGCTATTCTCCAACTCGCTTCTCTCTCACCTCCTTCAACGACTTATTCTCGACTGATCACTCAAGACCACCACGATGCCGCCTCTCAAGGCAGCGCAGCTCCTGAATGGCGATGGTCCCGACTTGGCCAAGCCTTTCAACAACAATGACCGCCGTGCCTTGCTTAGAGAAGTCAAACGAATGATCAAGAAGAGAGGAGAGACAGACAGCCAGATGACAGAAGCAATGAAGCGCACCGACAAGCCCAACGGCGCCCAACTTCAGCAAGAGAAGTTGCTCCAGATGTCAGTTCGCATGAAGGCCAAGGAGAATAAGTTCATTCGCCGTCAGAGCAAGGTCTTGGCCGACAGGGAGAAGCTTTTGAAAATGGACCCCTCGGATGCCAGAACTCGCGATGTCGAAATCCTCAGAACCGTGTTGTTCAAGCTTCGCGGTGAGGCCGAGACTCTGGAAAGCGGATGCAAGCAGAAGCTGGACGGTCACGGTGATGATTACGCCTCATCTGTCAATTGGGACTCTAAGAAAAGGGATCAAGGCAACAGCAACAACGACAATCACAGCGCTCCAAAGAGCGACCTAGGCGTTAGACCCAAGCGCTCCGTGTCCTAGAAGGACAAGGATACCGCTGCCGCTAAGGCCCATGGTACCAAGACCGAGAAGAGAAAACAAGCCGATGAGTACCCTAAGCCCTCTAAGAAGGCAAACAACGGACAAACCAGCAACACCAGCCCGCAGCCTATCACAGAGGTCGCTACCGCAGCTGACAATCAAACTTCTACAGAGGACAGCAACACGAAGATGGAGGAGGGTGCGAAGAAGAGCAAGAAAAAGAACAAGAAGTACAAACCCATATCTTCTATTGAGACTGAGATCATGGAGGAAGGTGGCAAGCAAGACGTCGTTACCCAGCTCCAGAATCCCAACGACAGGAAGGATCACAACAGCATTGTCAAAGCTGAAGCAGACTACGGTTCAACTGATGAGGGCGGCAAGACCAACAAGAATAAGAAGTCTCAGAAACCCAACTGTGTCGCCACCGTCGAGATTGAGCAAGAGGTGAAAGACGACAAATCCAAAACCGTCACTGGTCTGGTCTCCAAGACGCAGAAACACGACGCTGGGCCCGCTGATACTGCCAAGAAAGAAAAGATGGTCAAGAACAAGACAAAGAAGAAGAATACTAAGACAACTGCATCCATCTCTGCTGATTTCATTGGCAATGACGCAGATGAACAAAACGGTCTCAAGGGACGCAAGACCTGTTCTAGCCATGACAGTAACTCAGGCGCCGGTGCGCTCAAGAAGATCAAAAAAGAGAAGCGATCTGCAGATGACATCTTCGACTATATGAAGCAAGAAAGCCACGAGCTGACAGAGCCTGTCCAAACCACGGATATTGAGCAGGCTGCTACCAATGAAGGCAACAAGAAGAGACAGCGAAAATCCAGATTCATAACCACCGAGACAAAGAGCCAGTTCTGTCATCCTAGCCAGGACAAGGCCAACAGCTCTGATATCTATGATTTCGAGGCTACGTCTTCTACCAGCAAACCCGCCTCGAGGGGCCCCACGCCCACGCGCATCGAATCCCCTATTGCTCCGGTCGCTCCGTTCTCTAAGATGGCTGGTTACAACCTCTTGAACCCATGGGCTGGATTTCGCCGTACCTTCAGCATCCAGACCCCCGAGCCAGTTTGCGCCCCCGTAGAGTGCAACGAGAAGGCAACAAAGGCGCAGGATGGCCAGGTTTGGGTTCTCCACACTGCTGGATCGCGCAAGAAGAAGAGAAACCGAGACGATCATGATTCGAAGAGTGTCATCATGACTATTGGCAAGGTCGACGCTCCGACCCAAGTCGACCAAGGTTCCCCAACACCCCCTCCCAAGCAGGAGCAGAAAGAGCAGAAGAAAAGAGGAAGACCCAAGAAGGCTCAGGTTCCTCTCATGCCCTTGAAGCCTCGTCCTACGACTTCCCAGGGCCCGATGTCTGCTCCAGGCGTTCGTGCCTCTGGGGATCTCATCCGCCTCATTACCCCATATGCTGCGCTTCTTGGTAGCGGCGAACGAGCGGAGTCGTTAAGCAAGCTCCTTGCGAAGGATCAAGAGTTGCTTCAAGAGGAAAAGAAGACTTGGTTCAAGGCTATGGGTCTCCCGCTTGACGACTGAATTGTTTTGTCACCTAAGCTTGGCAAACTGAAGATGTAAATTATCCTGCAAAATGGATTTCACTTCATAGGGAGCAACATGGAGCTGGACTAGCAAGCTTTCAATAGGGTTGTCGTAGCTAGCTAGGAACAACCAACATGGAAATGCCGCACAGGCTATTGAAAATGCTACCATATTAATTTTACGCACAAAAATGAAAGTAAAATAAGAAAGAGATAAAATCACCTGTTGGTGAATAGCATTTTTGGCGACATAGAAAATGTGATCAGGAACTCGACCACAAGGGGGGCCAGAGTCATATGTTACTGTACAATGAGTGTGGATCCTTACATAGCCCAGAAACCAATCTGTAGCATCAAGCATTCGTAAAACTAGGACACTGCATCCTTAAAACCGTCCCTTGTTGCGGTCGCACTCCTCGAGGAACCTATAAATGCCCTCTAAACCCTCATACTCGTCAGAGCACTGCTCGCTCGTCTTTGGAGTGGGCATCATGCTCTCATACCCCTCAGGGTCCGACGTCCATGAGTGTTCTTCCATCTCGTCCATGAATGCCTCTTCCAAGTCAACGTCGATGCCGGAAAGGGATCGAACTGAGCCGCCAGGCGAGGTGATGGTCTTCACATCGTCACCGGGGGCATAAGGGAAGTGAAGGGCCATCGGCGCACCAACGTCGGCGTCGAACTCGGCATCCTGGCCCACAACACCACGCTGAACGCCGGCGTCATCGCACAATCGCTCAACAGTCTCGGCATCAACTCCGGGAAACCGCACTCGTAGCACACTTCCCTTCTCCATAGTGATGGGCAAATCGCCCAAAACAGCGAGCCTTTTCAAATCGGCGAAAACAACAGCAAGGTCCTTGAGTGCGCGAGCAAAGTCAATGGACAGGACGTCGAGGAAGCCGTCCTCGTTGAGGGTGGTCGCGGGGGCCTCGACATTGGCGGAGGTGAAGCCCGCGGCGGCCGCAGCAGCCAAGGGGCTGAGAGCCGTAACGGTGGGGCTGATGTGGAAGTCGACAAAGGAGCCGGGGGTTCCGCGGGTGGAGGCGCCCATCATTTTGACGTGTGCGGCCTGCTCGAGCTCCGAGACGGCACGGTAGCGTTTGTCACCACGGCCGTTGAGACCGTCATATCTCACCTTCTGGCCCGAGAGACAGAAAGCGCGCATCGCAACCGAGACGTTCTGGATCACTTGCGCCGGCGCGGCGGGAGTGTGAGAGAAGTAACGGGCCCCACCGCCGCCGCCGAGAGTGTAGCCGCCCTGGGTGCGAGCGATGGCACCGCCGGTGAGGTTCGGTCGGAGAGTACTCGCGAAGGGGCGCGGCCAGTTGATTGGCCTACGCGGCGGGCCGTGTTGGAGCTCGGGAACGATGCTCGGCTGAAGCGCGCGCTACCGCCGGCGTTACCGGAGGTGCTGGAGCCGCTTGTGGAGATCCATCGGCGGACGGTGCTGTGAACGCTCTGAGTCGAGTACCAGCGTCCCGCTCGCTTCTGTCTGAGAAGAGCAGACGGGTGGATGGGCTGGCGACCAGTCGTGCGGATGGGAATGTGTACAAACTCGCCCTGGACAGCGGGACGGGTAGCATTGGCGAATTTGGTTCGTATCACCTTTGTGGTTTTGGTGATGCCCATGCGGAGGAGGCGTAGGGCTACTGGAGCCCATATGCCCCCCGCAGCAGACATTGTGGCGGGTTGCTTTTGGAGTGACTCCTAAAAGTTCACAGCCTTTTAGCGGAAAAGACGTGAAGCTGAAGTTGAGATGTTGTTGTGCCTAGGAAAGGAGGGAACCTGGGGTTGACGGGAGTTCGCGGGGAGTCACTTATATGAGAGGGAGGCGATAAGATAGACTTCGCCACTTTCATGTCAGCGGACATTCCCGGGCGCACCGCCACACATAGACCGAGTGGGTGTGTCCCGCGCCAATCCGAATAGAGCTAGCTTCTTCTCGCGAACCAAATGGTCCCCCCACTCCGTGCTTTTTTTCTTTCCTTTAAATTTTTCAACGAAGCTCTGACAGCTGTTACAGACTTCTTCTCTTCCATCCTCACAAAGGTCAGCAAACCTTTTACTGTCTGCCCATATCTCAACGATCGCGCCGGTCGCGTCGGGGCAGGCAGTTGGATTCCAAGGGTACGTTCTGACATCTACTCGAGCTCACCAGGTGTTTTCCTTTGTCTTGCGATGATGATTGATCAACATTGAACAATCCAAATCAGACCTACCCGTGGTGTTACACATTATCTCTAGAAATACCCTGAGCATAATTCTTTACGAAGCACTTGCCGTTCGCGTTTGGGGTTTTTGGAGCTCATACTAACGCGCGGCAGAATTTTTTCATTCCAGGACTTTCCTCATGGCTTCAATGTTTAGAAGCCTCCGCCCACTGCAATTTTTCAAAAGGTTCGTTTGCAGTTCTCTGCCCCCGCCCTATAGCCTTCTTACCCTCTATATGATGAACACTTCGTACACCATAGGGATTCCTCATGCAGAATACATAATGTTGAATCCGGTGCAATAGTTTCAGCCTTGTCTGATCTAGAGCCAAAACCACTCCTTTGTCGCTCGTATCTATCTTGATAGCACCTTTGCTAACATTGATCGGATAGGTAAATATCAATTGCTCTTAGCCTGCGGGCGCAAACTGTCCCTCCTTCCTACAAGCACTACCCACCACATATGAGGAAGATTTGAACGAACGGGCGGACATAAACGAACCTCGACGCCCCTCGCCAGAAACAAACGGGGACGTACAATCCCCGTGGTGTTGGGTGTTCGGGGCTTCTTGTTGAGATGATCGTCAACTGATTGTGGTTACCTGTTTTCACTTGGGCATGTCGGGTTTTTCTTCCAGAGGGAAACCCCTCACAGCCTGCGTTGTTATGGTCAAGACAGAAAATGCTGACTGGACCGAACGCAGGTAAACATCTCTTTCTTGGTCCTTCCATGTTCCTAGTCTGGAGCGGCAATACGCTGCGCTTCGTTCAATACTATGATGATTTGATCAAGTATTCACACTGTTTGACTGGCTTCACTTCGGTGTATGTCGGACATGAACACAACTAACACTTTCTGATACTATTGAGGTAATTCTTCTCTCGCCTCTGCTCACAGACCTATGGCTAATTCATCTTCAGATCAACCACTTGGTGTTTGCTTCACATCAACGATCGCGTTGCTAACCCGCGACATAGGTAGGATATCGGTCTTAATTCGACTTTCTTTTGCTACAATACCCATTGGTAGGTCAATACTGCTTTTCTTTACAAACCAACCCACTCTCGCGGATGACCATTTATTAGCTCTAGTACTGAGTTCATCATGACGAAAAAACATAACCGATTCACCTTGGAGAACTGATTGAGAGATTACCATTTTACAAATGTTTTTGCATCTTGTTACCGAGACATTAGCTAACTTGGCACCCGTTAGGAACCCATGATCTATATGAGATCACAGTATACCAGTTCATAGTTTGACTAAATAACACCTATTTCATCGCATGCTGCACTTTTGCTTCCTCTTTTGACCTTGTGATGACACCATTCCTGCTATCCAAGTGTGCATTCGTTGCGTCGCCAATCCATGATGGTTCCCCACAGGCTTTATATAGGCAACTAGTGCTTCAGCTGGAGACGTGCGTTCATACCCACAATGCACCGGATCAAGTCCCAATCGCCATGCGCACCAACCCAATCCGTAACAATGATACCCGTCGCTGCGTCGCCTACATTTAGCTGATGAGGCCCCTTGCCTGGCTCGCCATGACGCATGCACAGATACTCGATCACAGCGGGGTTCACCTTTGCTGCGATGCGCTCTGGCCAGCAGGTTGCGTTGAAGAAGTTGCTTGCGCTCAGGAAGTTGACGAAGAATGGGTTGGGCGGGGCTTCGGCGTTGAAGTCGGGCATGCCGGGGAGGTGGAAGAGCTGCTCGGCGGCGCGTTCGAGCTGGCCGTGGGAGAAGTTGATCTTCTTCTCGACATTGGTCGACTGGTCGATTTCGTAAAAGTCCTGGACGCGGATGAGCCCGCCGCCGACGGTGCCGTCCTCACAGTTGTCGGGCCAGTTCTGGGCGTCAATGCCCCACCCCCTGCCGTCGTGCTCGCCGCGCAGGGGCTCGTCGAGGCCGAACCGGCGGATCAGCACGATGCGCCCACGACAGTCGCCGAGATGGGGGATGCGCGGCTCAACGAACCAGCGGTGGGCGTCGCGGCCGACGTAGCGGTCGCGCAGGTAGTGGCTCAGCTGCTCGTCGGTGCCCTTGCCCGTGCCCTCGCGTTTGACAGACATGAGGACCGTCTCGGAGGGGTTGGCGTCGAGGTAAGCGTAGATGTCGCCGAGCATGTCGGCGAAGTACTTGTTGCCTGTCAGGGAAATGGGGAAGGCAGAGTGGACAAGGGTGAGGTCGTCGTTGTCTGTGGCGACAGAGACGCGGATGTCGAGGAAGCGCACGCCGTTGTCGAGCTGCTCGCGGACGCCGACGGCCTGGCAACGCACCGACGGCAGCGCCGTGTGGCATGTCGGCGAGTTGTGGGTGCCCGGGATCGAGAGGAGGGGCAGCGGGTATTCGTCGCGCAGCTCGCGCATCCAGGCGTTGAGGTTCGCCGAGGACATAATGGCCAGGAATGCGCCATCGGGCACGTAGATGGCTGTCAGTTCGAGGGGCGCATCGTTAAGCTTCTTCATAACGGAGGAGCGGTTAGAGGGGCTCGGGGCGTCAACCTCGTACCGGTGGCCTTCGATCTCGAACTGCAGACGGACAACGTCGTTGTTGCCGAGGTCCGGCGCGCCAATGTCCGTAGCGTTGATGGTGAACGGCTCGACGTGTACGTCGACGTCCTCAGTCTGGTGGGCATCTCCCTTGGCGTGGGTCTCCCTCGTGGTGAAGTTCGTCGCGTTGATAAAAGAGTTGATGGTTCCGAAGGTGTTGCCCAAGATGTCCCCTGTGCGCTTCCTCTCACCCTCGAAGCGCTCGACGCGCTTGAGGGTGACAGGTAGCGCCGTGAGGTTGCGGATCGTGAAGTTGGTCATGGCGGAAGGGAGCAAGGTGGCGGAGGAGTCGGGAGAGGAGGGGAAGGGGAAGGGAAGTGAACAACATATGCCCATCGCGGAGGATTTTCGCGGGGGTTTAGAGCCCCTCCGACGGGCTTCATGTACCGTGTACGCGTGTATGGCCGGGTTCAGGGCCCGTCTTGGAAGGCTTGGAAGGTCGTTACTTGCATGTAAAATGGGGCCTCTGGCAGCTGGGCTGGCCTACAGCCAAGGAGGCCTGGAGGGGTTCGCTGTGGGTGGGATTCAACGTCTCGGGAATCGGGCATGGTTCAGCTTGGCTCCCTCAGTAAAGTGCCTGAATCAGGCCGGCAGCACCTCCCTACTGCACAGTGGTGTGGTTGAGGTTACAATATGGAGCTCGTAGCGCAGCTGGTTTTGAGTAGAGTTGGCCATTGGCGTCCTGAAACTAGTCACGATTCGCCAGTGGATGAAAAGACAGATACCGTCCTTGCAATTGGCGCTGCTCATTGGGCCGCGGGGAGCTGTCAATTCGAGCTGAAGTGGGGGGTGTTCCTGGTTCCCTGCCACTTGTGACTTGGATAGGCCGAGACGAGACGGTTTGAGGCTGATGGGCAACAGTCAATTCGGACCAAGTAGCAACTGGACGGCTGGGAGTAATAGTCAGAACCACAAAAGGAAAGGAATAAGTTTGAGTTGACGTCTCTACCTGGCCCTTAGGTACTTAAGATCTAGCCCTTCAGGTTTCCGCAGGGAGTTGGTCGAGTTAAAGTGAATAGACGATTCAGCTGGTGGCCCGATGCCTAAAACTAATGGTTTGGGAGGAGCACGTCCTCTGGGCGGCCTATGACGTGTTCGCATTTAACCTTACTCCAGAGGACCCTTCAAAGAGCTAATTTCGTGGAACCGAACTCAACCTTCCGTTGATAGAACTTCAGCAAACTTTCGACACGTTTGTCATTGACTTTCTGCTTTTCCAACCCCGACTCATAGTTAGCATATAATATTACCGATTCTCCTCCTTATCGTCGGTTAGGCTCGACTTGTTCACAATGCACCCGAGCTTACAGACTCACATTGAACCCCCAGTGACAGATCATTCACACCTAGGCCCAACTCGGCAACTCATCCACCATGGTTGTGATCGTGATACCTTACTCGGGCGGCAGGCCCCGGTCAAGCTCGGTCATTGGAAGGCCATTTGCTCCACAATAGGCGCTTCTGCCTATTTCTATACAGGGCTGACGTGCAAATGGATCGGAACGCTGGGCTGGAACAATCGGTCTGAAAGAATACTTAAGCTGTACTCGTCGTTGACTTGGTTCTCGCTATTCAACCCAAACTCTTCTGTTTTTGAAAGCCTCAAGCCCATCTCAGCCAAAATGGTTCACCTCCTTTCCATCACCACGGGCGTCATCCTCGCTGCCTCAGCGGCAGCCCAAAAGTTCAACACCTGGCCTCAGCACAACTATGGTGGCTGGTATAACCAAACCGATGGCGACGTGACGACCTCTGGGTCCCCTACGATTCCCCCGGGGGGCGAAGCCATTTTCTCCTTCCTCTTCAATTCTGCGGATCCCCCTTACGCCGGCTTCTACGTCCAGTCTTCGGGCGACTACATCACCGACTATACCGTCCGCGGCAACGGTTGGGGCTTGCCGGTGACCAAAGGCCGCGTATGTGGCGCCAAGGGCAACTTCACTTTCGTGCCTCTGACAGGCCCCAATGGCGAGTCACCCGCCAAGCGGGCTGATACGCTCTTCCTCGAGGTCACCGCTTCCAGGAACGGTGCAACGACGGCTACCATCAACGAGGTCTGGCCCGTCTGGGTTGGTGACGAGATCTTCTACCCGAACAACACCTCACCATGCCCGCCCGACACCAAGAGGGTAAGGCGTTCTGCTTGAGATGCAGTGCGGTTAAGCGTAGGACGAGGCTGACCAACCTGCTGGCAAATGCTCGCACATGAAGAGATAATGTTTGCTTAGGGGGAAAGGGTATCAAGCGGTGAAATTGGGAAATTTCGAAGATAGGCACGTCCTGGCGAGAAAACATTGGTTTATAGACAAAGTCTATAGATTGAGCCACGCACATTGCTTGCAGAGGCCAGCATTTGAGGCAGAAATGGGTAATGAACCCATAACAGATTCATGACCAACAATCGTGTATCCGAATGAGATCAAATACTCTAATTCATGCATAATGAGCTTGGTTCTGCTCGCCCCCTTACTTCTCTTACTGTAGATATTGAATCGCTAAATGGGTATGACCAGTTTTGGTCAAGGAAGGCTTCAAAGAGCTGCACTGTCCTCGTCAGGCGTAAGACTATTGTTGGAAGACCATCCAAAAAATTTGACAACCCGTGGGTTTAGTGAAGCAGCATCTGGAATTTCTTTGGCAGCTCATGCACCCGAGAAACGTTCTCCGCCATGTTTCATTGATTACACATGCTCGAACGAGCCATCATCCGCCTTAGTATACGGATAGATGCAATTGCCATATGGTAATCAATGAGTGTTTTCAACAGTCAGTTCTAGAGTCACCTTTCGATGTCTTCAAATGGTAGGTGTCATCAGTGATAACGCCAAACAGACTGTGGTAAATTACACTGTCAAAAGGAGGCAGATACCAATGTATTTCTTCAACGGCCTCTGTATTCAACTCTCAAACTGTTAATTATTTGCTTGCCACATTCATCAATCCCGAGCTGTGTCCCCGCAGTGTTCTCTCATCAAATCACATCCCTTGAGGGCTCCGGCGGGTATACCCAAGTCTCTTGGCCCCCCACGCATATTGTTTGCTAGGGGCCTGCACAACCAACAGCGGCGTGAGCTCTACGCACGTAAGGCCATGTGCAATTGGACGGCGCATTTTCGAAAGAATTTGCAAGCATTACATTGGTAAAACTAGAATGTAGAAGCGTATGCTTCAACATGAGCCGGATGGGATTCTGTTCGTTGGATATACGAAACCTAGAATGGTTGCCCACTCTCATTGTACATGCCGATTGCAAAGGCTAGAAGATAAACCAATTTCCTACTTTTAATTGCCATTTAGGTAAATGTCTATTCTTCCGTATGACTCGGAGTTGCTGTTGCACTGGTTACCTTGCCAAAAGGTAATTGTAGCAGTACGGGTGCTTGTAACGCCCCCCCAGATATCCTCATTTCGGGATGCTGAACAAGGTGTTTCATGGTCTTTGCATGTCTATCAGGAGAACAACCATATGCCGATAGGTGATAAACGAAGCGTAGGCAGAGTGGCGGACGAAAGGTCACTCCACGATAGCTCTACTACTCGCTTCGAGCTCGCTTGCGGACAGCCTCCTCAGTCGCGTCCACTTTTGATTCCTGTCTTCTTCGTTTTGTTGACATAAGAGGTGTTACCGAATCTGACGTTTCGCTTGTAGGTTGGCAAGCTGGTGATCTGGTTTGTGTCCTTGTGCCGCGCCGTAGAAACTGATCGATGACTGATTCCGTTCCAATCACGTTCGAAGATCCCTCAACTGTTATACCTGCATCGATCTCCAGTTTGAGTGGCCTCGGCCGGCCATTCTCATCAATCATTGGGAACCCCGCCATCCAATCTCGACCTTGGATGGCTTCAATGACTGCCCTAGCAATGGAGTTCGCTTCATCTTTGGGTGCGCAGGGCAGAGCGATGAGATTTCCGTCGCTAGCTACTTTAATCCGTGTCGATATTCGTAAAGAAATAGGTGATGATTCCTCAACGTCATCGTCAGCGAGAGCTTCCGGGAAAGAATCGAGAGGTTGGATGGTTCCAGGACCACCACCTTCTGGAACAGCATCTTGACCAACGAAATTGGGAGCGACATCTTCGAACATTCTCGGTCGAGCCGGCGGCGTGTACGCCGGAGGCTGTTCGTGCTGACAAGAGTCATTTCTCTTGGGACCGGCAAGGACGTGGAGTCCCGACAGTACGGCGAGCCTCTGTGGGTGGATGCCATGATTTGCGGAAGTCATCTTCTGATACTTTGTGCGGTGGAAAAGGCTATAAAACAAACATTCGATATGGGTAGCTGTGGTAGCTGAATCGGTATGGATGTTGATCCCATGTAGCAGTTCTCAATGGAAAGAGGAATTTGAAAGGGAAGCATTGTATAATAAACTGGCAGTTGCAGGTCCACGAAACAGAGGGAGTATATCATATACATCTATCAATTTGATCAGGTACTATAAAACTCCAAAGAAATATCTGGTTCTATAGTGGAGACATGAGAGCAAGTAGGAAGAATGCACATGGCACGGACAAGAATATTGATATATTGGCGTCCCACGTTCCGCGGGCAAATGGCGGGCAGTGCAGACATTGGAAACAGACTCGGTGGGCGCAATAAGCCATTGCTTATCTTTAAGACTCGGTACAATTATTCATCAACAGTGAATGCTTTGTCAACTCCGCCTACACTATCTCCGGACGAACGGTATAAGCACCCAGGTCAGGTTGCAGCACCCTTGGCGGTATTATCCATGTTCGAGTCAACCGAATGAAAAGGGTTGAGCCAGACTTCGCAATCATCTGTTTGACCAAGACCGTGTCTCTTGCTTGGACTACACCTTTGTGGCTACGGTGGAAACTAGGAGATGTCTCGAGAGTTCGGCGAAGCGACAAACGCCAGGTACGACATTGAGGAGCCAATCATGCCAGTCTGCGCAGATTGAAGAAGATGGTCTTGGGAACCCATACACCCTGGAGTAAAGGATCTTCTTGGTGCTTTGTCCCAGCGGCATGGGATCTGCAAAACGGACAATGTCCTAGCTGGTCATTGCATCTGCTAACTGGGGCACCCGGTCTCAAAGCCCGAAAGCGCAGCGAAGCGAACGGACTGCGGCCTTTCATGGCTGAATGGCGTCGTCAGCGTTATTGTTCTCGGAAAACTACATTGCTAATGGCGTGGAGCAAGGCAGAGGAGGAACAGTGTGCCAGGGCACACGGAAGACGGACCCACCTTGCCGACTCTTCGCATTGTTGCGTGAACAGTATTTCATTGTTCTCCGTTGTAAGTGGAGCAACTCTCTATTGTTCAAAGACCTCAGGCCTTGCAACCACGACCACAACCGTCCCCTAAAGAATTAATCTGCCATTCGACCCAGCGGCAGCCCTATCCGAAATCACCGAACCAGTCCCGGCGTCTAGCTATGAATGAGCCCCTTAAACCTTCAACCTTGTGGCATATCATCCTTCCGAATCGCTGAGCAAGAACACACCCCTGCACCCCTAATCAACCACACTGCCTCTCCCGGGCCACCGTTATTGGGGCCGGTATTGGATGGCTTCAGTACGAGCCAGCAAAGTCTATGCGATGAACTTCAGTCGAGAGATTATGGCAGAATTGTCAAACACTCGAAACATATCGACGTTCAAAGGAAAGAATAGTATTCATGCCGCGCTGACCTGCTAAGAGCCCAGAAGGGTTTGGGCCTGATCCCAGTCCGAGACCTTGCACCTTTTTTCTCGGCATAACTTCTTGCATGCTGCTATAGGACTCCAATCACATGCTCGCTTGGAGTCTGCCATGGCTGACGGAACCTTCGCTCTCGCTTACTATCGTTCAGATTGGGCGTGAACGCAAACATAGCTGATGCATGACTCTTTTAGCCACCGAGATACCCCGAGCGGAACCAGAAAATACGTTGATTCTGGGGGCAAATCTAAGTCAGGCAGAATATTACCGCTTTACAAGGACCATGCGGGTAATTATTGTCGAGAAGCTCGTTTGTTGCTCCGAGGTTGTTTTGCCAACTCTTGAAGCCCATCTTGCGTCCAACATCATCTTACACTTGACGGCGAGAGACTGGATCAAATTTAGACGCACATTGCTCCTAGGCGTAATTAATACCCCCTGAAATATGGTACTTGCTCCGTAGAACCATGTCGCCGGGCGCTGGCGCCTTTGCAATCATCAAAATGGAATGTCGAGGAGGATGGATAGACTTGGCATCGCCCTGACCTAGACCCTCCCAGCGGGGTAAATACAAGGTCTACAAGCATCGGTCAAACATGATAACTATGCAGGCCAGTGGACAATTGAGCGATGCCGATGTTGTCTACCACACCGGCTGCCCTTTCCATACAACCATCACACCACCGCTCGCGCGGGCGCTGAGATGGATGCATTTCCCAGTAGCGAGCACTTGGCTTACCAACTTGAGACCATATGGCTAGCTCCATTGAGTCACTTTGGGTGTGTTAATATCTCGTTTCTCTGCTCGGCGTGCAAGTCATGACCACTCAATGGGTCCATAACCATGTCATCGGTTCGCTGTAGAGATCTGATGACCGGCCAACGCCTCAGGAGACCGGAGGTCGACACATGTTCACTCATCCAGCCGCTCGAATTCGCAATCAATTTCTTGGGTTGGAGCCACGCATGAGCCCTGCCATTGGGTTACCTCGGTGCCATATCTCCAAAGACGGCCAGACTGACTCTACCTTGACCAGGTCGATGCCTAGGCGGGATTCTTACGATCCTCAGCGTAAGCCCTCTTGGTATGACAACAACCTGATCGAAACTCTTGGCAATGATAGGCACATCTCGCGGACAGAGAGCCAGCAGTGACCCATAACACGCAGAAAAATATCATTTGACGGTTCCCCGTTCCGTATCGGAAGCAACTAGCTACCTGTTGACATGCATTCCTTACTTGCTACAGCATTCTGCTATTGCAGCTCGGCACTTAAGAATATAACGGTAACTGTTTTAACTGCAATGCCTCAGCTCTTTGGCAAATTCGTATAAGTTGTGGCAACCAGATGTCTGCCATGTGCGCTTCTACAGTAAGCCACATGACGAGAGTAACCCTCAGCGAACGTTGATGAGACGATATTGTCTCTCGGATCCTCTCATTGGCTACCGTTCGACTGGGGTGGCCAACACATGAGTTGAGTTTACCTTTTGTCTTTTTCTCAAATTACCGACGGGATATGCCACCGTGGGCGCTAACCGTGTTGGCAGAAATGCCAGCATCCAATCAACTTGTCACTGTACGATGTAAGATGAGGTCGTTCGCGGTTACACAAGCCTTAGATCTGGCCACCGCGCGGTTCATTTGATGGTCCAGTCAGGGTAACAGGAGACAGTACCTACATACCAGCGGCAGGGAAGAGGAGTCAGCTTCAGTCTTGTCGCGTTCTCACGCAGATCACTTGTGGTACTATGTTGAGAAGCACACCTTGAGACTCCCGGTTATGAGATCAGTACGCTCTACAATCTGATTTTCGTTTACGAAATCAGGGGCTGGGAATGTTGAAAGCCACTCAGGAGAGGAAGCAAAATCTTGGACATAGTAGTCGCTCGTGAGACAATGAGTTGATCGCAGCTCGACTGCAGAGAGCTCATGGATCAGGCTAGCCTCCATTTCGCATAGCGTTTGCTCAAGAAAGTCGGTCCTCTCAGGCAGATGTTCCCCTCTAGTAGTGACGATATTCGGGAACTCAAGATTGGTTCCCAAGCGCCGTTACAACTTCAACTCACTCAAGCCATTGCCTGGAACTTACATTCTCAACGAGCCGACGTCAAAGCCAGAGTTCTCCATCAGTCTAAGAGCTTGATCACTAAACTTACAAGCAAGAAAACTTGAGGCAACTGAATTTCGATGTGCAGCAGATACACCTGAGGCATGTTATCGGTGTCTGAGTACTGACTCGTAACTCTTCTTCAACGGAACAAGGTGCAGGTGATACTGGACGTCATCCGAAGTATGACTTGTGATCGTCTTTGAGTTGGAAAGTGTCGATTTGATTAAAATGAAAATAGTTGGTTAACCAGACGTGGGTCATGCATAGATGCAGCAGACAGGAGTCTCGAACTATCCACCCAACAACCATGAGGAAAACCACTTACACGTTGCCGCAGGAGAAACGACAAGGAGACACATCAACGATATGTAATCAGAGCAAGCGGCGTCCAGCATAATACCTGCTAGAACACTTCGAACGACAACTTCTATTCCCAATCAACACCACCAAACACAATGCCGGAGGAAGAAACCAACCAGGAGCGCAGACGCAGAAAAATAGAACACGTACACAACGGACTCGACAGAAACGGCAAAAAATTGACATTGAAAGGGACGAGACTCGAACTCGCGCGGGTTGCCCCACCAGGAAACAGATGTTAAGCTGACCTTAACCTGGCGCCATAACCAACTCGGCCACCCTTCCATGTTGCGTCCGTCCGGTGTCCAGCGGATTACTCCACCGGATCGGACGAACTTGGTGTGGTTGCACTGGAAACATCCCATAGAGGACTGGCCTCGTCCCACCCCCTTGGGTAGCAGGTCGAGATGCATGCGGTTTGTCACCGAGGAGAAGCCAGATGGGGACGGCCGCCGATGTCTCGTTGCCTCTTTTCTCCTTTCCTACCGGCTCCCCCCTACTTGTAAAGTAAACTGGTTTTTTTTAGGCAAGAGTTGGACTACATATGTGCCCGAGGCCGGAGTTTTTCTAGACGCGGGCTCCCTTGCCCACATAATCATGTAAGTCTTCTGAAGCTGGTCATCCACCGCCCTCAGGAACCAAAGGTCAAGCGTCTCGTGGTGCGCCGTCTGCATTATGTAGTTGAGAGACATGCCCAAAAGGCGGTGATGCGCGTTGGGGCGTTTTGCTTCGTTCTACATGCCTGCCATACACTCGACGCAGACTTCCACGTCAGGCGGTGTACCACGCGTGCCAACGGTAACGACACACTCCTAGTCCAAACCAATAATCACGAGTCAAACAAGCGGCGGGAGTCAATAGTCCTAGAGAACCTCATCTCTATTGCTAGTAGCCAAATGGTCTACCTATCTACAACCTTCCGAGCCCCGGCCGTTCGGCCTGCCCTGCCACATCAGTCTCCCCTCCTAACCGCGCAAGAGATGGTCGGCCAGAAAACCAGGAAAGAAAAGATGTTGAAGTTCTTTTGTTTCCCCGTTAACGCCGATGTAGATGCTTTGTTTGTTGTCCCCTTTCGAACAATGCGAAGGGTATCTTCTCATAATGCATTGCTCTTTTTGTGACTTTGAAAATAGAAAAAGAAAATAGAAGTTGCAGGATATGATCCTAATCCCGCTTGTGTCTTTGTTGAAAGACGCCACCGCTCCCTTGTTCCGATTGTTTTTAACACCGTTTGACATGAACAAAAAATGACCCTACCAAAAGACCACGCCCTGTGTCTTGTGTGTTGCCTTTACCCCGAAAAAGGCTTGAAACCGGGATTCGTTGAGAACCGTACGCCAATGTTGAGTGCCTGTCCGCATGAATATCAAAATTATTATAAACGTCTAGGTCGTTGCAATGCAGGAAGCTTGTTGAAGGAATCCTGCTCTCGGTCCAGTACAAGTTCGCTTAGAACTTGAGAGTCTTGGGCTGCTCCCAGGTGAAGCTCTGGTTGGTACCGAAGTGACCGTTCTTGGCGGTCTGGAGGTAGATGGGGCGGTCCAGGTTGAGCTCGCGGACAATGACACCGGGGCGGAGGTCAAAGTTGTTGCGGATGATCTCGACGAGCTCGTCAGAGGTCTTCTCAGAGGTGCCGTAGGTGTCGACGTAGATGGAGAGGGGCTCTGCGACACCGATGGCGTACGAGAGCTGGACGAGGGCACGGCGGGCGAGGCCGGCGTTGACAAGGGACTTGGCGATCCAGCGGCCGACGTAGGCAGCGGAACGGTCGACCTTGGAGAAGTCCTTGCCGGAGAAGGCACCACCACCGTGGGCACCCCAGCCACCGTAGGTGTCGACAATGATCTTGCGGCCGGTCAGACCGGCGTCACCCTGGGGACCACCAATAATGAAGAGGCCAGAGGGTTGGATCTGGGAGAGGGGTTGTCAGCAACGGTGCAAGGCAGTCGGCATACGGAAAATGACTCACGTGGTAGATGGTCTTGTCGTCAAGGTACTTCTCGGGGATGACCTTCTTGATGATCTTCTCCTTGATCTCCTTGCGGAGCTGCTCGGTGGTGATGTCCTCAGCGTGCTGGGCAGAGACGACGATGGTGTCGACGCGCAGGGGGACGACGGCACCGTTGTCGTGCTTGTACTCAATGGTGACCTGGGTCTTGGTGTCGGGGCGGAGCCAGGGGAGGGAGCCGTCACGGCGGGCAGCGGACATGGCAGCGTTGAGCTTGTGGGCGAAGAGGAGGGTAAGGGGGAAGAGCTCAGGGGTCTCGTCGGTGGCGTAGCCGAACATGATACCCTGGTCACCAGCACCGAGCTGCTCGAGGGCCTTCTCGTAGTGGAGACCCTGGGCGATATCGGGGGACTGCTCCTCAATGGCGACGAGCAGGTTGAGGGTCTTGTAGTCGAAGCCCTTGGCGGAGTCATCGTAGCCGATGCCCTTGACAGCCTCACGGACAACCTTCTGGTAGTCGAGCTTGGCCTTGGTGGTAATCTCACCGAAGACCATGATCATACCGGTCTTGGTGGCAGTCTCGCAAGCGACCTTGGAGAGGGGGTCCTCCCGCAGGCAGGCATCGAGAATGGCATCGGAGACCTGATCGGCGATCTTGTCGGGGTGGCCCTCACCGACGGACTCGGACTACGTCGTAAAGTTAGCAGGTGGGTTTTTTCGTCTTCACCGCCAGCGGCGAGTGCGAGGAGAGAGTGGTTTCTTACGGTGAAGAGGAAGTTGCCCTCATTGTAGTGCTTGCGGCTGGCAACGCCGTTGCCGTTGACACCGTTGGTAGCAGACATTTTGGATGGGGATGGGTGGGGGGTTGTGAGAAAAGGATGTGTGAAGAAGGGAAAGAGTTGGTAGAAGGAGAGGTCGAGGGAGATTCGGTGCGATTTTTAAATCTACCGACGCGGGGCTCCGAGGGGCTATGAAGATAGCAAGAGGGAAAAAAGCTACTTCTGTTATCGCTGGGTCAGCAGTGCTCTCTCTTTCTATCTCTCGGCTGCTGGGTCTGCGTGGGGACAAAGTGTTTGTCGCGCGGGGTCTGGAAGCTCAGTGCAAGGTCAATTGCATACCTTTTGGGTATATGGAGAGAGACACAGAGGAAGGCGAGGCTTGTGGATGTAGAAGGAGGGGAAAAGAGTTTAGGAAGTAAAAGAGGAAGATGTGGCCGTTCGGGTTTTAAAAGAAACGCGGCAGACCAGAGACGTGGTGCCCGGGGACGGGATGGTTGGGAAGAAATTCTCGCTCACTCACTCCTCTCTGGCCGAAAGCTCAAGCGGATTTGACGCATTATTCGTGGGAGACATTGGCCGAGGGCCGGAAGACAGGGTAGGTACCCACGTGGGCATAGTGATTCACACTGAGGAGGAGGTATATTCACCGGTCGACCCCTCCATTCTCGTGTACCAGCCCTGTCGAGGGGGAGGACCCAAAATTCTCCAGATTGCGCCATCCTCACGACTTTCCCCCCTTGACCGCCTTCGCAGCATTTCTGTGCCAATTCCCACGCTCAAGTGCCATCCATGTAGGTACGTTGGCTCTATGCCCGCTTCCAAAGGCCACCTAACGGCACCCGTGGACCGCTGCAGCCGGCTTGGTTGGTGGTTCAACAGCGGGTGATCCAGGGCAGCTCGTGGATTTGCACAGTCTCCAGGATACGCACCCGACAAGAGTAGCGGTGATTGTTCCCCGAGGGAGCTCGGTGCTCCTCTGTTTCGTCGCCCAACTTTCTACCTATCTCCGGCTAAGGTACGGGTGCGTTGGTGAGAGATGAGGCAGGCGAAGAACCTTAACATAGCCTCGTGTGTGCGTGTGTGTGTGTGTCCGGATGCTCGTGCCTAGCCGAAGGCACATTGCGCAATTATCATGGACGATTACGGGAGTTGAAACTCTCAACGGCAATTCCGCCAGCCCTGACTCTGGAGTATGTCGGGCCATTTCACCATGCATTGTCCAACAGACAGACGCATTCCACGGCGCGCGAAGGTCGACGGTGACTGTCTAAGGTACGGAATGCCAACGGGGCGCGTCCACCGCTCGGCGACATTCCAACGTGCCCGCCTTCACCCGCTTCATAAGGGAGGCCCGCTATTGTGTCCATGGCCCACGCTCCCTCGGGGGCTTATGCTTCCTACAGGATTCGCATTCCGAGAGCGCGCCGCGAAGCCCCCCCCCCCCTTCCAGATGCCTCTCTGGGGGTGTTGTCGTTGAATCGTCAGACGAGTGAGAAACCCCCGCCGAAACAAGAGCTAAGCCAGACAAGGAGCTAAGCTGTAGAAGATGTCTAAAGAGGCCGGTGAGAATGTGCCCCTCCCGTGCTTTACACGTGCGAGCGGCATTGGCCCGTAATTCCGCTGCAAGCCGTCCGCAAGCTCGCCCATTGTCCTGAGTGGACGCAGTCCTGAGGGGAGGGGGGGAGAATGTGACTAGGATTTTTGTTGTCTCTTATCGCCAGCTATCGCAGCCGCATGGCCGCAACCACAAGGCAAAACTTTTTTTTCTTATGTTTTCCTTTGACTCTCACCGGGCAGCACGTTGTAGTCCGCTCCGCCAGGAAGATACCTCACCTGCCTCTGTACCAGGAGATTTTTCATCACTCTCTTGCCTTATTACAAAGCATCAGAATTTTGGCCCTTCTCGAGCCTGACCCAGAAGTGGCGCCAAAAAAGGCTGATCAACCGCGACCCCTAGACGCGCACCCGTTCCTGCATGGCGGGGTAAATTTCCATAGCAAAAACATCATTCCTCTCTCCTCCAAAACTCTGCGACAAGTGACTCTGCCGATCTTGAATCAAGGCCACCGCCACCACCTACCGCCGCACAATACCCAAGACAGACGACAATAGACGAGTCGCCGAACCCTTCCTGGCTCCTCCCCCTACATTACTGCCCTACGACCCCTAGCAAGCTCCCGTCCCGTTTCTCCCTATCCACGCCATCATGTCCAAGTACGGCGTCATGGTCATGGGCCCTGCCGGGGCCGGCAAGGTGAATATCCTCCTTCCCATGTTCCCCCCCCTTCCCTGAGTCCCGCTCGCCTCGTTGCTGGTTCTCCGTGCCGGACTCCGATCGGGTGTCTCATGCAGACATTGTCCCGTGCGTCAGCCGCGGTGGCCGGCCCGACCGGTGAATTATGAATCCCACCACCGTTCCTCCCCAAGCCGCGCCCCCGAACACCGGAAAACTAACCGCTTCTCCCCCTCTTCTAGTCCACCTTCTGCGCCTCTCTTATCACCCACCTGAACCTCAACCGCCGCTCCGCCTTCTACGTCAACCTCGACCCGGCCGCCGAGTCCTTCGAGCACGCCCCCGACCTGGACATCAAGGACCTCATCTCCCTGCACGATGCCATGGAGGAGGTTGGCCTCGGCCCCAACGGTGGCCTCATCTACTGCTTCGAGTTCCTGATGGAGAACCTCGACTTTTTGACCGAGGCCCTCGACAACCTCACCGAGGAGTACCTCATCATCTTTGACATGCCCGGCCAGATCGAGCTGTACACCCACATCCCCATCCTCCCGGCCCTCGCCCGCTTCCTCTCGCAGCCGGGCTCCCTCGACATCCGCCTCTGCGCGGCCTACCTCCTCGAGGCGACCTTTGTCGTCGACCGCGCAAAGTTCTTCGCCGGCACGCTCAGCGCCATGAGCGCCATGATCATGCTCGAGATCCCGCACATCAACGTGCTGTCCAAGATGGACCTCGTCAAGGACCAGGTGCGCAAGAAGGACATGAAGCGCTTCCTCACGCCCGACACGGGCCTGCTCGACGACGACCCGGTCGCCGCCGGGGGGGGCGACCTCGACGACGGCCGCGGCGAGGTGCACGACCGCGACCTCGTCATGCGCGGCAAGAGCTTCCAGCGGCTCAACAGGGCCGTCGCGGGCTTGATCGAGAGCTTCAGCATGGTCAACTACCTGAAGCTGGACAACACGGACGAGGACAGCGTCGGCGCCGTGTTGAGCTACATTGACGACATCATCCAGTACCACGAGGCGCAGGAGCCCAAGGAGCTCAAGGACGACGAGTTTGACGAGCCCAACGACGACTAGGCCTGTTGGCCGTATGCTGCTGCATGGCTTCGAGCGATTGCGGCTTCGGGGGTTTAGTTCAAGTTTGTGGGAAGAGATGCCGGCTAGAGAACCCAGGACCAAAGCAGGGACGGACGGGAGAGTCGAGGAGAGAAAAGAACAGGCATCAGGTAGATGGGGGAATATGGCTGCTTGCATAGCGTTGGCGTTGGTATTGATTTAAACATCCATTGACTCGTTCATAATCGTATCCGGCGACGTCCCGAGACGTTGTCCCTATGCTGCATGTCGTACCGCGTATGTGCGTGCCAGCCCATGCTCAGGCTGCGACCACGCTGTCCAACCTCCAGCCGTGGCCTTGTATGTATCCAGTCTGGTACTTCTCCCGTGGTGGCTGCCGCTGTCCCGCGGCCTCGTCCACAAAACAACCGCCTCGAATCCTCTGTGGTATGACACTGCTCGTATATCATCACTGCCCCGCCCTCCCAACGCGTCTTTCCCTCGGGGTATATCCCACCATTCATTCGTATGCCAGCGGTCCCTCTCTCCCCTTCCATCTCGCATTATCCGCCCCCCTTCCTACTCCCCGCCAGCCCTTTACCGGTACCTGCTCCCCTGCACCTTGGTCTCCTGCTCGTACCTCTTGTACTCACTGACCCAGACGTCCTTGACCGCCACCGCGAAGCCCGCGACCTTGCCGCCCACGACGACGGCATCCCGCGCCGTCTCCCAGACGCCCCTCTGCCACACCGCGGCGACGACGACGACGACGCCGCCCCAGAACGCGAGCCTCAGGACCAGCGCCGTCCAGAACGCCACGACGCGCCGGATCCAGTTGAGCACCACCACCGTGGCCGCCAGCAGCGCCAGCAGGACCGCGAAGCTCACCAGCTCGGGCGACGAGTGCAGAAACTCGAGAGTCGCGTCGACGGCCGGCGCGAGGTAGGGGTACAGCTGGTCGAGGGCGCGCGAGGCCGCCGCCTGGGCCTGGGCGCGGAGCTGCTGCAGCGGGGAGGCCGGGTGCAGCGCGTTCTTGTGGATAAAGTCGGCGGCGTCGGGGGGCAGGAGGGAGCGGAGGAGGAAGTTTGCGATGGATGGTTCCGCCATTTTTTTCCTTTGTCTCTTTGTGGCGTTTCGCGTTGTTGCTTTGATCCTGGTTGGTAGAAGCGTCGTTTTGGTGTTTTCAACCCTCTTCTCCGTCGGGGGTGATTTAGAAGTTTCCGATGTGCCTTCTACTCCTTTGCTGGCCGTTGGTTCTTTTGGTTGTTCGTTGTTCGTTGGACCGTAGGACTGCTGTGTCGCGTGCGCACGTGCGAGAGTTGAAGAGAGAGGTGGGAAGAGGAGGTTGTTCAAGGCACCGTCGCCGGATGGGACAGAGGTGACGCAAAGAGGTATTGCTGCTGCCAGGTTGGGCTTGTTCGTGAAAGTCGGCGCAGCAGGGGAGGAACAAAAACAAGTCGCGGTGAGGTCTTGTTGTCTGTTGCGAAGAAAGGAAGGGGTCAGGGTGGAGTTTGGTGGATTTGGACCCTTGGAGAGCAAGAGCACGAGCACGAGCACGAGCAAATGCGGTGTGCGAAAAGGGACCTGTGTGCGGTTCGCAGTCCTGTCGTGGTAGTTTTAAGTGGAGAAAACAACGGGTGGTGGTTCAATGTGTTTGGTTGTTCTCCAAAGCATGTGGGAGAACGGTCCAGAGCTGGCCCCCAGTGCCGAGACTACAGGTCAACCTGACTGCATCTGAGAGGCCCGGGCCAAAGTCCGGACCAAGTACCGTTGGTCGCATAGGTGTTGTTCTCTTGGGGAAACGCTGCAGATCCATCACGCCAGAAACATCACTTTTGAGGGTTGATTATCGTTCCCTCTGTTTCTCAACTACAGCTGTACAAACCCAAAATGAAGCTGTCAAAATGTCAGAACCTATGAATGGCACGTGGCGCACAAGCAGGCTCTGGACCCCGGCCACAATTTCCGGCTCGAATCGAATCTCGGGGTTGTATGATAGGAAATTGATGTTGACGAACCACCTTTGAACCCTTTTCCGCTTGCTCCGAGACTACTTTCGCCTGTCTTGCTCCCCAAGGCAAATACTCGTAATACCCAAACACTGGACGCAATAAGGTCTAGGAATGTCTTGTATTGGATGGATACAAAGGCACTTCCCCAGTCCCTTCGAGGCTAATAATATACTCCCAGCACTGGTGTTCCCAAGACGTTCCAGATGTAGAATCTCTCTTTAGACAAAGGAAAAAAACAATGTCGGGCAGGTCTTGCGTGGATAGACAACGTTTGGGATACAAGAAGAGGAAGAAAGAAAAAGGGTTGGTACACCAGCCAAATATAAAAAGTACAAAGAAGGGTATCGGAATCGAATCTATGAAATGTAAATCATCATTCGGCCTGCTCAAGCAAAAGCCTCTTCCGCGTCGTTTCCCTCTCCCGATCGCGGCTTCCCTCGCATTTCATTTGACATTATCAGTTATTCGTTGACGCCAACGTCAATGTCCTGGACCTGTCCCTGTCGCAGCGGTGGCATGCAACTGGGCCCTTATCATGGTCTAGGACCAGAACCCCCCCCCCCAAGCATATCGTCTTAAATGGAAGAAGAAAATGACGTCGCCTTTATGAAGTTCCGTCGATGCCTTCCAAAATCCGACGCGCCATATCAATGCGCCTCCTGTACATCCGGGTTTCTGCAGAGGCCTTGCCGGCCTCGCTCATGCCGAGCACGCAGCGTCCCAGGCTGGCTACAAAGCGCTCGACCAGAATCTGGTCCTCTTTTGCCAGCTGCTCCATGGGGCAGGCTGGTCCGGCGTGTGCATGCTCTCCTTGTCGCAAACGCTCGCCGTCTCGCTCATCAGGGCATCCGAGATGGTCTTGAGTTCCAGTTCGGGAGAGCTCTGAGGCGTGAGCACCCCAGCGCTGAGACGCGCCTTGCCCACCAACGGAAAGCTCCGGTTGGTGCCTGTCGAGTCGAAGGATGCAGTCGACGGGCGGTGGCCCATGATTGCCTGGGTACTCATCGGCCGACGGAAGACCGTCGAGCCTGCGCGGGCACGGCTCCGTAGCTTTTCCAAAGCATCCTCGCCGCCCGTGTTGCCCCCCTTGGTTGATCGCTTGGCGGTTGGCGGGCTCTCAGTTTGCTCGCTAATGGGGCTGACGCTTGGGGGTGTGAGAATACCGTGCCTCAGCTCCTCGTTAGTTTCGCTGGTGCTTACTCGGCTGGACCGACCCTCGCGTGCTGTGGCGAAAGACTCGATGGTTGAAGTGGTGTCCCCGCTGCCTCGTCTGTGCTGCGACCTCGGCCGAACCGGCTCGTTGGAGGCGATGGGCCCACGAGTCGTTTCAACAGAGCTCTCGGAACTAACACTACCACGACGTTGTTGGCTGAGGGTACCCATCGCGCTGTGAAGGAAGAAATGCTCATAGTCGAAGGCATCTTCGCGGTCTTCGTGAGACATGAAAGTCTGCACGGTATCATGGTAAAGTGAATCTCCGCTGTCGCTGTCGTATCCCTCCCCTTCCTGTACTTGCACGCTGTCTTCGAAACCGTCCTCGGTCTGCATGTCGGAGATGTCGTCTTCATCGGCTTCATCCTCCACATTCCCATTTGACTCGATGGCATCGAGTGCCTTTTGCCTTTCCCCCTGCCGAATGACCTCTTGTGCAGTATCGTATTCTTCGATAACCGACTCATCATCCACGACTGATGGTTCACCCGCCTCGGCTCTTCCTTCTCGCTCTTCGACCAGTCCATCAACGCTTATCGCGTCCGCATTCCACGGATTCTTTTCCGAACTGGGGGTTGATGGCTCCTCCGGTGGTTGCTGCTTCTGGGGCTCGGCATACCACTGGTCGACCTGAGCGTGAGTGAACGGGCTGGGGGTTCTCAGGCTCTGCATGCTGCGTCTTCGCATGCTGTCGGCACGCGCCTGCTCTCTCAGAGATGAGATCTTTCCTTTCAGGTCCTGTACCTGACCCCTAATATCGCGCATTTGCGCCACTGATGCCGAGCGTGTCAATGGCCTATCGCGACTCGTGGAGCTAAATGCCGGGCCCAAGAGACTCTCCCGTTTGTTACTGTCACTCCCCGAGTGAAACTCTTGTGCGACCTCGTCCTCTCCAAGTGGTTCCAGGCCGATTTCTTGAGCGGCCTTGTAGCGCGGATGTCCTTCGCCTCCCGAGTTGTGGCGGTCCGACGAGACATCGTTAGAGGCCTTGTGTACAGAAAATGGTTGTCGGTATCCACCTGCTGCTCCCATCGCACTGGCTGACCTTCTGGGAACGTTGCCCGCGTTTACATCGAAGCTGATTGATGTGTCACTTAGCATCCTTGCATGCCCCTGACCACCAGACATCGGAGAGGTTACCGATGAGGCAGACCTTATCGGGGGAGAAGGAGTTGAGTGGCTGCCGTCGAGGGATGACATTGAAGGCGTCGAGATGCTCAATGAACTTCGCGCTCTTGAAAGATTGCCTTCCATGGTCTGTATGCGTCAGCAAGCGTCTTGGGGATGGAGAAACCGTGGGCACATACCGTGAGCCTCCGTTTGGCATTTGCCAAGATTTGCTCGGCTCGGCGACTTATCAGAGATGTCGAGTATCTGTTGGGATCGTCGAGAGATGAAGGGACGGGTAGCGAGGTGCCTTGCCCCTGGCGAACAGGCGAGTTCTCTACATACGATTCCGCCATGCTCTCCTCGTCGTCACCTTGGAAGTTGCTGTCGTCGACGCTCACGGTGTCGTCAAAGTCGGCGAACAGGGCGTTTTGGTCTTGCATCGTGGTGATGGTGCTTGTCGAGTCCATGGAGGATCGCCGTTCACGCGTCGCCCGCGCTGCTCGCTGCTTTAAACTCTCCAGCGCTTTCGTGGGTGACGGGTATCGCGGTTCGTCGGCGCCTCCGTTGTTGGGTCGCGACCAGATGACAGAAGTCGGGCGCGAAGCTTTGCCGGGTGTGCTCTCAGCCTCGGTGACCTCGCCAATATCAGACAGCATGGTCCCGTTGCCATAGATGATTGGTGTCGTGGGGGTGACGGGGCCGGCGATGTATGCGCTCGGCGGGAATTGGAACTGCATGTTCATATCGACAGCATGCGCGTTCTTCCACATGGTTAGCGGAGAAGTCGATCGTTCGGGAGAAGGCGAGCGATCGTAGTCGGGGAGAATCATGTCGGGGTTCGTCAATGTAGGAGACGCAGGCCGCGGGGATACGAGGAGGTGGAGCTCGAATGGGCGTGGCCCGCGTGGGCGTGTACCGTCTGCGTCGCCATGGTTTTTGATGGCCAAATTTTGGCAAACGATTCAGGCAGTGGCCGTGTAGCTTCCTGCGCGGGTGGGTGTTTATCTTGGCTGCAGGCGATGATTGTTGTTGCAGCGGCCGTGGAGTCGTTGGGACCCAACGCGAGTCGGCCCCTGACGGAATAGCCGGTTTGCTGTTTCTAAACTGCGAACCCTTCGTAGCGCAGAACCCTCGATGGTCGATTACTCGTTGTCAATATGCAACAGATGGGACGAAGGCATTCGAGCAAAGTTTCGGGTAGAGCAAGAACCGTTATCCCAAACTTCAGCCTGGCCTGTAGCCCGTCCGGTCGTAATCGGATGAAAGAAGACTTGTTACTCAGGGCCAAGCGCTGTTATTTGGTTTGCAACAGGATCAGATGAAGCTTGACGTGCTGTGAATAAGTTGCGGGAAATCGGGATGCCGCTGGTGCCACCGTATAGGTTGAACGCTAAAATGGCAGAAATCCTGCCTGCGTCGAATACGTCCGGGGGCCCGACCACAGATATGCGAGATTATGTCGTGGCCCTGCTGAGTGTTGAATGGGGAAGGCGATGCAGCAATGAGATGACCGTTTGCGGGAATAGAGAGCTTCGTTGTATGCATGCGCAGCCCAGGCAAACAGAGTGCCGTGTCCGGGAAGATGGCTGGGATGAGGAGCTCGGATTGCCCCGTGTGTCGTCGGTCAAAGAAAGAATCGCGTTCCAGAACAAACGCCTGCGGTGTTTCGTGAATCTGGCTGTCCCCCTTCTTTTCCTCCTCTTGCAAAAACGCTGGCTGTTGAAATACGGCCTTGTCGCGACAGGCTCCGAGGTTTAAGGGGTTGCAGCTGCTGGTGCTGAGCGCGAAAACGATGGGGGGTCCCGCAGGATGTTTGAAATAATGAAGAAAGTTAACCAATCAGGGCGGGCGGATGCGTGTGAGACATGCAGCGGGTGCTTTCTAGTGCTTGGCCTGTCTCTCGCTGAGGTGCAGCAGCAGTGGTAAGTCGCAAGTTGGAAGCGGCAAGAAGAGCAGCAGCTGGAGGCGGAGGTGGATGTGTGAAAGGTGGAAGATGGTGCCGGTGAATTTGTCGTATTCCTCGTCGGATTCCCCTTCACCAATCTGCGTTGGCCGGGCCAGCGAGATAAGATGAGAGGCTGCGGGAGATGAGCGACCCAGGGTCCGAGGCGAGGTTTGTCTCTGCAGGATCGCAGGGCTTGAGACACCAACCGAGGCGGCAGTTGATGGACCAATGCAAAGTGAGTTTCTCCGTGGTTTGTTCGAACACTCGTGCCCCGTCCGTACAGAGGACGCTCTGCCGCAAGGAAAGACGTGGGAGAAATGGGCGAGTGCTCTTGGGTGAAGGAGCGTGGCAGTGACGGGCTGGAGAGGCGCACAAGCCTGGACCAGGCCGGAGGGAAAGTTAAGTTGTTTGTGTTGCAGTAGCGAGCTGCAGAACAACTTTCTTGGCCCGTCGATCAGCGAGTCAATGGCGTATATGAGGGACGATTCATTGGTGGGCGTGTCTATGTAGGTAGATTGAGAGGCGACTACTAGCAAGTGGCACTGACAGATGCCCTTCATCAAAGAAGGTCTGTCGCGTGGCATTGTCCACGATGCTGACGAAGTCGAGACCTGACGTGTTGTGGTCTGGCACCCCCCGTCCCGTCCCCTGATGTCTCGCTTCAGGCCAGTCCACCATGCTCTTCCCGACTGTTCATTCGCAAGACGGACCCAAGGCCCCAAAGGAAACAGGGAACAGGCATTCCCCATGCCCCAGCAACCCTTCTGTTCGTAAAATTTTCAAATCTCTCGCTCCTGCAGAGGGGGAGACCAAGCCCGGTGCAGCCTGGTTCGCACTTGGCTCCCCCTTAGGCCGCTCATCCCAGTAGCCCGCAGTGGCTTGCCAAGAGCTGGTTGAGCTGCATGGTTGCACGCATGGAGAGAGAGAAGGGGGGGGAGGACATGACGGCGGGTCTTCCTCCTTCTCTTTCAGTGTTGGAGCCCTGCACTGCGAGCTGGCTTCCGCTTGGAAGCCACCAATGCAAGGCGATATCATTGCGTGGGCTCCGGTGTACCTACCTGGTCCTGAGATTAACCCGTGTTGGACAAGCGCCGTTCCTTGCCTTGTTGCTGCACTTGCTGCTTGCTGCAGGTTCTGCCCTGCGGTGCCTGGCATGGAAAGGTTGAAACACAGTGAGCTTCTTTCAGGATGATTGGACCCGATGAATGAACCGAATGCTCGCCCCCAGTCTCCTCCGTGAGCATTGACCAGTGGGGTGGGTTCGGCGCTCATGAGGACTCTCCGAGCAGCCAGGACTCATCGAGAAGAATCAACACCCCGTCTTGGGATCAAATTGGGAAGGGGGGAAATGGTATTGAGGGAGCCACTTCTTCGGGGCTGCCTCTTTCCTGGTCCTGGCCGTTCCACGTTCTCGAAATGGAATCTGGAGCTGTAGCAGCTGGAGCATTGGGGATGGAGATGGCCATCCAGGTGCAACAAGTTCGCCATGCACTCGCACTCACTGGCTGCTGGTTCAGAGGCCGCACACTCTCGCACCGTGGAGTCTAGCAGTGCTGGAACCTCGAATTTCGGCAATTGATCAGCCTTCCGCATGCAAAACCCTGTCGTTGCCTGACTCTCCCAGGTTCTCACGCCGTCTGTGGCCGCCCCCTAACATGGTCATTTATGGACGCCGAGCATCATTCGCGGTAGCGATGCACCCTACGCATTACGCTGGTGATGCCCGTCAGTCTTCCATCGCTTCTCCCGCCCGTCTGTCCCCGCTTGTCACTCGCCTTTCGAGACGAACCCGTCCGTCCTAAAGTGGGCTCTGGAAAGTTCTATCATGACCCTCAACACACACAACCTTACCGGTGAGATGTGGGGGGGGGGACATTGACATTGGCCGTTGAGCCACCCTCGAGCCTCTATGAGGCTTCTCACTGCTGGCTTGGTCTGGTAACGATCTAAGGCTTCCATTCCATGACACTCCTTCATTTGTTGATAATTAACCCCCTTCTACAGCTCGTTCTGGCTTCTGGGGCCGAGTGTGGATTTCTTCACTCTGTACCAAGACTTTCCAGCCCGCTGAAGCGGGCGGGGCTGCGAGACGATATGAGCGACACAAGCAACCGAGAGCGAGCAAGCCAGCCGAGTTTTTCGGGTTTTCTGGAACAATTGCCATTTTTCTGGTCGATAATACATCGATCGACCCATCCATAGATGGATGTCGCTATCTTTCTTGCGTCGCATTTTGGGTGCACTGTGTTACACTCTGCCCCTGGGCTGAATTTGCCTGTAACGCGCCTAGGCCAAGAGAAGCCCAGAACAAAAAGGGAAGGAAGAAAGAAGTCCAACGTTGGACCTGAGGGTACCTCTGTATGGGACGGACAATGTCACCTCGACCGTTCCGTTCTATGCATTCTCATCTTCTACATCTTCTATGACGCCATTTCTTCTCAATCCCACGCAGGCCCATGACATCTGAGCTCTTATCACACATTGGCTATATCCTTCCCTCTTCGTCGATCTGGTTTTTTCTTCTTCTGCTCCGTTTGCATTGAAACCTCGTCGCCGAACCAACCTTTGACCACGCTTCTCGGCGCAAATCTTGGTCTTGGGCGAATCCAGCGATCCGGCACCTCCCCTCAAAGGCGAAACCCCTGTGACGTTCAAACCGGAGGAGACCCGTTGCGGACGAGACCGGTATTCCGAGAACGTGGGAAGGAAACCTGTGAGAGCACTCTGTAGGCCAAGAGGACATTGCACTCGGTCCCGTCAACATGGAAAGCAGGCTAGCCAGAAATGACCTGTCCATGACTGGTGGCTGACTGACTGACTCCAAAATTTCTTCTACGACGGGGGGAAATGAGTATGACGGTCTGCACAGTTCCCCACGCAGCCTGATTATCACGCCGGCCGATGAGGCGCTGCGCCCGGATCTCGTCGCCTATCTCGTTCGGTCTTGGCCGTGGCCCGGGCTGATATACCTCTCTCTAAGGCAAGTTGGTATTCTCCGGGGAATCTACCTGATCACGGTGATGCGGTCGAGCCAGACGCTCCCGGCCTCGCTGACATGCACACACCCACCCGCCTTGTGGGCACGCTTACACATAATGTCTTTTGCGTGTCTCTACCGTGTGCGAAGAAATGTTCAGGGTCCGGATCCGCTCCTTCTCTGTCTCAGATGTTGTCTTGCAATGCGGGCTGACGACAAGAGCATTGTCGCGAGCGGCATGGCATGTATCCACATGCCAACCATCATGGCCTCGAACTCGACGTCGTCCCACTGAAAGTTACTGAAAGTGCTCGGGAAACGCGCCATCTACCAAACTCCTTCGATTGTGATACGGGCAAATGCACGTTTCTTTTTTATGTTGAAATGTCCCGGATATACCCATGTAGTCTATGCTTTTTCTTTTCTTTCCGCCATCCCGTTAATGCAAACTTTCAGTGATCCTTCCCGTATGGCTGACCAGGTATAAACAATCCTCAATGCTTTTCTTTAGCCAAACCCAAGTGTGTCCTTTCAATCCCATGTGTGCGCTTAGCCCTCGGTAAAAGCCTCGCTCCTGGCCTGCGCAGTGGAGGCGTCCTCGTTGCCGTTGTCCTTGGTCGTAGGACGGTTGGCGATGAGGCGCTGGAAGCAATCAGTACCTTGTTCTCCGAGAACCCGTAACAAAAGGGGGTTTACTCACCACCAAGTTTCTCAACAAGCACGCGATGGTGACCTTGCCGACCGACGGCACGTAAATGGCGGCCTTCTCCTTGACCGTAGGGGCGTCAAAGTTGCGGAACGAGGAGAAGTTGATGCAGACGGCACCCTCGCGGATGAGATCGGTCGAGATCTTGTACTTCTCGCTGGGGACACCGCCGATAATGACATCGCTGATGGGCAGGACTTGCTCCAGACCCCAGCCCTCCTTGTTCTCGACCTGGTGGCGGATCTGCTTGATGCCCTTACCGCGGGTGAAGAGCTGGACGCCGGTGATGTCGACCGAGTACACCGTGGCGCCGTCGTTGGCCAGCAGGGCCGCCAGCGGGCGGCCGTTGACCTCGGATCTGTTGATGACGGTGATGGTCTTGCCGAACAGGCGGTTGCCGTAGGCAAGAATCGGGTTGTAGATCTGGAGGTGCTCCAGGATCTTGACGACGGCAAGGGGCGTACAGGGCAGGATGGACTTTCTCAGGTTCTGAGGCGGGTCCAAGAAGCGGACGTTGTGGTACATGTTGAAGATGTGCTGGTGGCAGAGGCCCTCGACGTCCTTTGCCAGGGAGACGGTCTCCTGGATGTACTTGTCGTGGATGGGGTTGCCCGGGAAGATGGGGTAGTAGACAATGATGCCATCGACCTTGTCATCCTCGTTGGCCTCGGTGATCTTGTCCTCGAGCTGCTCCTTGTCGACCCGGCGCAGGTCAAAGTTGAAGCCGCTGTGAGAGAAAAAAGGGGTCGCCTGTCAGTACCATTGCACTCATTGCTCATTTTGCACAGCACACGCAGAAGATGAAATCTTCTGCAACGGCGGGGTCGGCCTACTTCTCGACGCAGGTCTTCTGAGACCACTCGGCATACTGGAGAGCAGCCGGGTCGTCATTGGCCAGGAATGCAACCAGTGTGGGCTTGAAGATGCCGTTGCCCTGCACCTTGGCGAGGGTGTCGTGGACCTCAGCCAGGAGACGCTTGGCGATGGTGTCGGCCAGAATGACCTTGCAGGTCTTGGGAACAACTTCGTTGGAGGCCATGTTTATCAACAGAACTCCAAGAGAGTTTCAGATATCCTTCTGTCATGTTAGTCGGGCCTTCTCAGATGTGCGGGAAAACTCACGGTGGTTTGGCTCGGAGTGAGTTGCGCTTCGGCGTCTAACCCCCGGATTAGCACTCGTGAAATGCCCCACCGCTTCCGACCCCGCGATACCGAGTTCTAACGGCTTTTCGGGAGGGAAGGGGAAGAAACTGACTGGTGAGAACAACGGAGATCAAGCAGAAGAGGACGCACAGTCGGACCAGGATCTAGTTCAGGCTTCTGGAGTGAATTGAGGCGGCAGAAGTGAGAAAAAGGATAGTTTCGATGAGTAAATGGCTCCGAGTCTTTTGGAGGGGCAACCTCCGACTTCGACACTCCAAATTTTTTTCGTCGTTGGAACAGGACCCCGCGGCCCCTGCGCGGCCTGTGTTTACCCCTCCATGCCCTCTTACCCGAATAGGACTAGTTCCACTCTGCATCCGTTCATCGCAATTCCTCTCGAGACCGCGAGCAGCAACAAAATGTCAAGTCGCATTCAATGGCATTTTTTGCTAACACAATTCTAAGAAATTTTCTTAGTAGCCAAACTCTTTCATTCCGGCCTGAAGGTTTGGCAGCAACTGGATTGAAGGAGCAGAGGAGAGAACCCATCAACCGCGCTAAGCCTTGGACAGATGCCGCTGTCGGAGATTGGTTCCTCCAGACCGCGATAAGGTCGATAAGACTCACACCGCTTTCCTGATAGGAGCTCCCCCACCACCACCAACCCAGCAAGCCTGAGTAATTATCTCACAACCCATCACCGGCTTTCGGTGGCGTCAAGTTAGACGACTACTGACAAGTACTCGACGAACCAGCTACCAGGCAACCTTATCCTTTGCCGAACCCGAATTCCCGGTGCATATTCAATTTTGGATATCATCTTATCGGCTTTGACAAGAAAAACTTCAATCGCACCTCCCCTTTCCTGATAGTATCCTAAGAAGGCGCGGGGTCAGACTCCGAACAAAGTGAGGGTGGGCAATTCGACTTCTCACAGTCTTTCACAGAAACATTTTTTTTCCAACTACATCTCGACGACAACTTAAATTATCAGTTCAAGAGAAAGCCCGATTATCTTGGAACAACACCAAGCATTCACGTCAACGATTACCCTTGTGGTCCATCAGTCACCACAAGACAGATCTTTGGATACTGGAGCAGCGTCCCCATGCGGCTTATCGACTAGAGATATAAACGGTGCTTTTGATCACAGTCAACCTAACTTCGACCTTATACCGACATCAAGGAGTCACCATTGCATCCATCTACTGAAGTTGGTTGCACACAGCAAGTCAGATCGCAGCTAAGATCGCAGCTACCCCTTGCGGCCAGTCAATCACGATAATTCAGATCGCAACTTCTTCCTGCGGTAAATCGATCTCAACAAGTCTGGTTGCAACTGCTCCTCGTGCAGCACACCACTCTTGATTCGGACAATCAACTCTGCAATCATGGCAGACTTCCGGAAACTTGCACTTGAGTTCGTACTCAGCGACGACAATGGAAGACAAGCAGCAATAACACAAGAGGCAGCTTCAGGTATACAAACCTCACAACCAGTTGCCTCCCAGACTTAACAGCCCAGGCACAATGCTGACTTTGACGTAGCAATCCAATCAGCGCCTAGGCCTAGCAACCCGGTCGCAAGATGGGTTGAGTCTATCAGACCTTGGATGCCTAGTGCGAATGACGACCAGATGGAAGATGGTGAGGACGGAGAGGCAAGTGGCGATGTCATTGCCAGATCCAAAGGTATGCAGAAGATACGACTAGAACGTTCTCACGCCGGTGTTGACTTGTTTTGTTATCTCTAGCATTAAGCTTCTTGGCTGGCACGTTGGATCACTTGGATCCTGAGTTTCTTAAGCCGGATCAAGGTGAGTTGAGTGATGCCTGGCAACTACCGTAAAGCTGCTAACACAAGCGCTCAAGTCAATCTTCTTGTTGCCTTCTTTGGCAGCATGTTCAAGGTTGACCACAAAGCCGGCATCTTGCCGGCTGCCAAGGCACTCCAAAGAACTGCTAGCATGAAAACCTTTCAACCTCAGAAAGGAAACGACATCATCCAGAGTGTTTGCAGTCTCCAGGACGACTTCAAGGCCCAGGTGGCCGACACACGTGCTGCTGTGTATGAGCTCCTCGACCATCTCATCACCAACCCAGATGTTGCCAACGACCTGCAGTACCAACATGGTACAACGGCTGGCTTCATCACAGACCTGTTGCAACTATGCCGCAACGAGCGAGATCCTCGGTGCCTGATGACATGGTTCAAGATTCTGACAGTGTTCCTTTCAGAATATTCTCCTGCACAAGAAGTTGTCGACGAGATCTTTGGCATCTTCTCCGCATACTTCCCCATTTCTTTGAGGACGTCCCAACATCCCTCTGGAATTACAGCAGATGATCTGAAGCTTGCTCTGAGAGCTTGCTTTTCAGCGCACCATCGGGTAGCCAGCAAAGCCATCCCGTACCTGCTCGGCAGGCTGGACCAACCTGACAGTGTGACTGTTAACGTCAAGGTTTGTCCGATTCCGTTGTCGTGATTCAAAAGCTTGCACTGACACTGTGAAAGGTCGATATTCTCAAGACCCTGACTGCATGCCTGAGCAATTACGAGCATGTACAACAAGGGGTGGTCCCTTTTTCTGACAAGATTTGGAGCAGTCTCAAGTACGAAGTCCGCAACGGAGAAATTGAGGACACAATCAACGCCACTCTGGAAGTTATCCGAACGATTGCCAAACGACTCACCGGAGACGAGCTTAGAGACTTCGCCCTCGCCGTCCAGCGTGACTGCTTGGAAGACCTGTCGAACCCTATCTACACGGCAGCTTCCGGGAAGCTCCTCATCTCTGTCCACAGTGCAAAGCCTGCTGCTTTTGCGCTTATGATCGCTCCTTCGGTCACTCATGTCAAGGAGAACCTTCGACACACAAAGTCACCTGAACATACCAAGAATCTTTTGATTCTGCTGAACTCTCTGCTCGAGCTTCGGCAGGCCCTCATTGGGGGAGGTGTGCAGTTGAGCGTTGAAGATGCTGAGGCTTTCAAGGCAACAGAACCAATGCTTGCCCCGCTTCACAATCAGACGTACTTGCCTCTGTTCCGAAAAGCTCTTGAAGAAACGGTTCAGAAGGAGGACATTGCCATAGGCCAACAGGCAATCAAGGGTCTTGGGTTGATGGTTTGTCAGCGAGCAGCACAGACAGGAGAGTCTACCCAACCTATGCTTCCCGAATCAACCCTCTCCGAAATGTGCAACGACTTGGCAAGCGTCATCTTCAACACACCCGAACAGCCCACGATGGCCGAGGCTCGCTCCGAGGCTCGCTCCGAACTAGAGAACGATGCTGTTCTCGCCCTCCAGAAGGCTCTGATGGCTTATCCGCAAGGTCGGGCAGAGGTCATCAAGGACTGCCTCAAACTGTGCGAGTCGTACCTCGCTTCCCCCGGACGAGAATCCCTTCCAACGGCGGCTCCAGTCTTGCAGGAGAGAGTCCAGAGATTGGCCTTCGTTTGCTGTTACGAACTCCCTCATCAAGGTGACGTGCTCAGCGGATACACCTCCTTCCTTAGCGCGACTCTCGTAATTCTGCACTCGATGCTCGGTTCCAAATCACACCCTAGGCTTTGGTGGATACTTGTTTCCGGAATACACCTGGCAATGAGACTCTGCCAAAGCGCGGTTGAGGCCTTACGCCCGCGCTCCAAGACGAATAACTTTGACGACAAGCGCTTCTCGCTTACTTGGTTCAGCTACGTCGCTAACCGATACCCTGACCTTCCGCGGCTCGACGATAACATCATCCCCAATAACGGCGACGACGCAATGGATATCGATGAACAGACCAAAAGCGGAGGGAACGACGGCGACGAGCTACACGGAGAGTTTATACTTGTCAGCCTCTTCGTGGTCCGACAGCTCTACAGACGCGCCACTAAGATCATTAGCTACGACGACGATACTGAGCTCTCCCTCGCTCTGAGTGACGATTTTAGCAGCAAGGACCTCGACGACAGGAAGATCGAGGACAATTACTTGCATGTTCTCTCGGAGATGGCTACCTTTGTTATTAAGCAGATGACCGAGCTCGAGCAGACCAGGTTACTTCTGAATGAAGAGGTTGTGACACTCTTCCGTGGAGATGACGAGTATCATCATCCCGGCCCTCATACCGGACACCGTTGGCACAATTCCGAGCTGCGGGATGCTATGCTGAGAACTTGGGCCCCCCAGGCTTCATATAGTATGACAAACCCTCCCAAGTTTCCCATCAGTGGCTTCAGCCAGGGACGTACTGTCATTCTTTCTCTTGGCGTTCTCCAACCTTTCCACCCAACAACAATTCAGCGTCTGGTAAGAAAGACTCCATACTCAAGACAGAAACATAAAACTAACTTTTTCGTAGGTCGAAAGAGGAACTGCACACCAAATCCTCATCGCCGGTCTCCTTGCAAGAGACCACTCAGCCTCCCCTAGATGCCGCCATGTTGTCTCAGCCATCCTTACGATCATTTCCAACAAATACCCGGTCGAGAAGCTGGATGAGATTGTCGCTATGCTTCAGCTCCAGATGAACTTCGTTGTTGGTGAAGAGAGACAGTCTGACGAGTTGGAGCAAGTGACTGGATATCTTGAGCATGAGGCCAACAGGATCCCTGGTGGGCACCCAGATGAGATCAGAGCGGAGCTAGCAAGACCTGTGTATGCCATTGTTGCTGGCATTCTTCGACGCTACAGCGGCAACTCCCTCCGCCAGCTCCTTGTGACCATTCAAGAAGGACCCAGCAACAAGAAGATTGGCCACATACTTGGTCGCAACCTTGAGACCATCTTTGGCGGCCTCGAGATCCTCAAGAAAGAGTTTTACGGTCAAGTTCGCCCTCTCTGGGCCCAGAGAGCTTACTTTGAGATGATCAAGCCCATGCTGGCTAAAGCCTGGCCCGCTGGCTCGAACAGTAGGGACGATATGCTCATTGCCGCGAACTACAGCATCGCAGTCCTCGCGGCCGTCAAGCACATACAATACCCAGTCTACGAAGACGACACGGAGGACCTAATCAGACTCATCCTCTGCGCGATTCGATACATGCCGGCAACCAAGGACGTGGCGGCTGCCCTTAACGTTCTACAGCATACTACGCAGAACTCGCCCAAGAGGGTTCAGCCCTTCCTCAAGAGCGTTATAGAGGCATGCATGTCCATCTTCAAGAGAGATGGAACGAAAGCCAGCGAAGACAATGCCTGGATGCCGGTGGGTTACATCCCGTTCGACCACTCAGGGCTCTGGAGGTCGCAGTGCCGCTGCCAGGTCGTCCGCATCATCGGTCTCTTACCCGTTCAGTTCGAGCACCGCCACCTTCTCGACTCGGCATCTCAGGCTAAGCGCTTGTTGGCGCAGGCTTCGGGTGACAAAGTGCGCAACGTTCGTGAGGCTGCTCTGACGGCCCGCGCCAAGTGGGACGAGGTCAACTGAAGGCATTGAGGCTTGGAGAAACAAACATGAGTTCGCATGGTCTTTTTTGAACATGACGAAATATGGGAGAACGGACTCTAATTGAGTACATACTGCATGGTGGACTGCACAAAGTGGGCGAGGGCTTTTGGAACGACTCGGATGGCATGAAGGCAGCATCGGGGTGGGGATGCCGGCATGGCGAGGCGTTTGGAGGTTCCATAGTACGTATTCAGGAGAAGACAATTGAGTTTAATAAGACGACGGGCTGAACTGTGATTGAGGATGGTCTGCCGAGTGATTGATTTATACCCGAAGCCCGAGTTGAAGCAGGCTGTTTTGTCCATGTATCGTCCTCGTGCCTCTAGTTCTGATCAGCTTCGAGCGCCAGGACTTCCCGCAACATGACCGCTACACTAGAGAGCCAGAATAGACCCCGAGAGACGCGCTGATTGAAACTAAGAGCACTATGCGCTGCGGATGAGGTAGGGACGGTTCATCAAAGACGGGTTCGTATTTGCCCAAATGGGTATGCAATGCGAAACGCAAACTCCGTGCTTTTCAAGAGTCTCAATTATCCGTAGTGTACATGACCACGTAGGAATCGATCCATTGCGCAGACGTTCAAATCCTCTTTCTGCAACATTGTCCGTCTCATGCCTTGCGTCGCTTGCTCGCGCCCTTGTCCGCCTCGACGCCGCTGCCCGTCGCCGTGCTCTCCGCGTACAGCGCGTCGAGTACGTCGGCCGAGTACGCCTGGGAGGCGGACTTGACGCGCTTGGTGTCGAGCTTGCCGATGGCGGAGATGTTTGTGGCGAGGACCTCCTGGAAGGGGACTACGACGAAGTGGCCCTGGGAGTCGAACCACTCGGCAAAGGGTTTTGAGAGCTCAAACGTCTTCTTCTCGCCGTTCTTGGCAGTGACTGTGATCTTCATGTGGTAGGTGGGGTCGTTCTTCTTTGTTAAAGTTGCAATGTTGATCTGGTTGCAGTCGTGTAAGTCATGGACCACCGGTTTGAAATTTACCCGTTGGTTAAGGGGGCGAGTTAGGGCAGAACTTACCTTCTCTCCTGAGGGAGATGTGCCCTCATATACAGTGCCCGCCTCCTTAAGCCAGATCCATAGCGTCAGGGCACCGTTCAGGAGTGAGTAGAGGGCCACGGCAGCCGCTGTGTAGTACTTTGTGCTTTCGAAGCCGAGCTTATAGTCCCACAGAAAACATGCGCCGGCTATCAGGAAGGCAGAGTAGCCGAGCGCGAGGCGGACGTCGGTTAGGGTGTGTGATTGTGTAAACTTGAGGGAGTTGAGGTAGTTGGGGAGTGCATCGTCCGAGGTGTTCTTTAGGTCTGAGGAGCATCGTGTTAGTGTGATGCGACAGCATGTCTGAGCTGGAGTAGTGAGAGGCTTACCCGCCAAGTTGTAAACTGTTATTCTTTCGGAGGAAGACATGGTGTCCGGTGGTCTCGCGGGGGATTCTGTGTAAAATTGACAGCTATGCGGAGATTCGGCGGGCGTAGAGTGCGATAGTTTGTCTTGTAACCTCCAGCCTGGCTTTCAGAGCTAGGACAGCTTGGACCCTTGTGTGAATGCACGGTAGAGGTGAAAGTGGAAGGTGGTCTTTCGGAGTTACGGCGAAACAAGCCGCCGAAGAGCTCATTCCCGCTTCCAAGGTCCCGTCCCAACTCCACTAGATTGAATGGATGCAACGGGAGAGCTCACAACCACCTGGCAGTATCGCATCGACGAACGCCATCACAATCCCCTCCTTCTTCCGTCACCCGGCACTGCTCGTCAAATCAAGCCCACCATGGCCCAAGTTCCGGTGCAGACGATCCATCGGGATCCTCAGCTCCTGTATGCAGTCCCGGTTCCTCCCCCGTCGCCCAAGCTCGCGCGCTAATTGAACGTTGAACAGCTACTGGATCCTGTTTCCGATTACGGTGGTCATGATCCTGACCGGTATCCTTCGACACTACGCCACCGTCCTCCTCGCCACGCCGCCCAAGAAGCTCGACAAGCCGGCGCTTAAGGAGCAGCGCGCCATGATGCACGGCGTCACGGTGCGCACCAACCACCACGTCCTCTCCAAGAAGTCGTTCGAGGCCCGTCGCGATGCGCTCATCGCAGCCTACGAATCCGGCGCGTACCTCAAGGATCCCGACCGTAAGGGCCAGCCGCCTGCGAACCCGCTGACCGACCCGGGCGCGATGGACGGCATGATGGGCATGATGAAGAACAACATGGCCATGATCATCCCCAATACGCTAATTATGAGCTGGATCAACGCCTTCTTTAGCGGATATGTCATTAGTAAGTTTTGCCGAATTTGGTAAAGGTGTCGACTTGTAGCTGACAGATGTAGTGAAACTGCCGTTTCCCATTACCATCAAGTTCAAGAGCATGTTGCAAGCGGGTGTTGCTACTAAGGACATGGATCCCCGCTGGATGTCTAGTATCAGTTGGTACTTCCTGTGCATTTTCGGTCTGCAGTCCGTCTTCAACTTCATCTTGGGAAGTGACAACGGTAAGTCAAGGCTGTAATCTGGATCTGTCTTTCAAATTGCTAATCCCTCAAAGCTGCCAGCCAGATGGCTCAGCAGATGGGACAGATGGGAGGTGCTCAAGGTGCCCCCCAGATGTTTGGCCCCGGTGTCGACCCCGACAAGCAGTTCAAGGGCGAAGCTGAGAACATTGCCGTTGTTGAACACTACTCTGTTCTGGATGATGTGGAGCAGAGACTGCTCGCGGGTATCAAATCATAGAATTGTAGAATCATACAGAATCCGCGCCATCCATACGCCTCATCTTGTCAAGCTTAAATCGTTGTTCGTGAGAATCTTTGTTGGGAGATCAAGGACCACCCGAGTCCTACTCGCTGCCCTGTCCGTCCCACCAGAGGCACACGCCGAGACCCTCCATGGCCATGGTGCCCTTTACTTTGTAGGGCGGCTTGGGCGGTGCAGCTTCCTCTCCCTGACTCGGGCCCGCAGGCGTCTGGTCGTGCCACTCCTCGTCAATGACCTGAAACCTGACCATCTCATGGTTATCGTAGAAAAGCCTGTCGCCCTCAATGTTCCAGATCCACAGCTGCTCCGAATGGTTGCTGACGATGCGTTAGCGGCGGTCTCAGTGACCTCATAAGACATGCTTGACGTACAACTCGGCACCCTCGGGAAGCTCATCAAAGGGGATGAAGATGTCGTCGAAGAAGTCGGTTCTCAGGTTAATACCAGCCGGCGTCGAACTTCTGATTCTGCCAAACATAACCTCACCCTTGAAGGGCCTGAAGACGATGAGTCTGAACTCGACTGGTGACAAGAGTCAGCACGAAAGGGTCACCTAGATGACGGTGGTAGTGGCACACCATTGACGTTGACAAGACCCGTGCCATGGCCGATGAGACCTTCCGAGGTCCATAGGAGATCGTAAAGGCAGATGCAGAGGCCAATCTTCTGAATGACCTTATTCGCATACTTTGCGTTGATGTTGTCCTCAATGGCGGCAACGCTCTTCTTGCGGAAGTCCTCTGGCGCGATCTCGACCAGGTCGGCGATCTTGGTCTTTTTTCATTGGGGCCGTGTTAGTGACACACTCTGTGAAATTTTGTGAGTTTGGAGTCCTTACCAGGATGAACATGCTGGGCCGCTTTCGTCCTTAAGACGGGTGCACTTTGGCAGGTCAGAAAGATGCCAGTATTGAAATTTGTCTAGGGTCCCGAGATCATCATCCGTCCCCTCAACGCCTCTCTGCAAGGGCACAAATGGGTATTCCGGAGAGTGTCGCGATTCGTTCTGGGTTGGCTCAGTCAAGTCGCAAAATCGGCAAAATCGCGGGGCGCTTGGTCAGAGGCAGCGAGTCTGAGTCTTACCGCCCGCTGAATCAAGTCTAGCACCCACCCACCTAGGAGGCTTGGCCCACCACTCGCCTCTAGTGGCATCAAGGCCTGAGCATGCTGCCTGCAGCCGCTGGAACTGTTAATGCGGAAACCGAGATCACGACCAACTTTGCCGTGGAAAGCTGTTTGGGCTCCACCACCTTCTTCAGCTTCGCGTGTGGAAACCTGTGTCAAGCTGTCTGTTCGAACCTTCCACATCTCTCGTTCTTTTCGCACTGTTGAATGTTGCTCGAGTTTCCCGTCTCCCAAATTTGATGTCTTTACTTAGTGGACGCTAGGTCTGAACACGACTCTTACTCGTTGTCCCTTCCATCGACTTCATCACCATTGTTTGCTGCTATTCCGAACAGTACCTTATTCCACGAACCCTCCGAGTCCCGTCACAAGTCGATCGCGCTCCGTCATCGTTGCCTGACGCTATTCCCCGAACACGACTTGACTGCGAATCGATTGTGAAGATAAAAAGGTCACGTCGACGTTCTCAAGCCAATATGTCGGGCTACAACTACGGTCCGCCGCCGCCGCCCCCTCCAGCAGCACAGGCTAGCCATCCTGGGTACGGACACCATAACACCCCTTATCAACAACATTCTCGAGGCGGTGGTGCTCATGCTGCTCGGGGCGGGCGTGGCGGCTACCAATCGAGTGGCCGTTCCGAATACCCCCCGGCCCCTCAGCCTCAGTACGAGTATGGTCGACAACAACAGCAACCGTATCCTCAGCACAGTCCTGGCTATCCCGCTCAGCCTCCCACTGCCAATAACTATCCTCCCCAGCAGCAGTGGCACCAGGACCACGCCCATGGTGCGCCTCAGCATGGTGCTCCCCAGCATGGCGCCCATGCCCCCGCGCCGCTGTCGACTACCAACTACCACCCGAACTATGCTCCTCAGATCTATGCGCACCCGCAACACCCTCAGCCGCCGCCTCATCAGCCAGGATATGGGCCTCAGCAGCCTCCGCAGCCCTACAGTCAGCCTTATGCCGCGCCCGCACCATACACCGCTCCGCAACCATGGGCGGGTCACGACCCTCACGCTCCAAGCCAGTATGGTGCGGCTCGTGGCCGAGGCGGCTACGCAAACGACCGAGGCGGCTCCCGAGGAGCCCATAACGTGGGTGCACCCGCGCCAGTAGCCTACGGTAGTGATGGGATGCACCACCAAGCGAATGGTGCATACGGCCAGCCGTACGGAGATCCACGCGCTCAACCTGTGCCATACCAACCCCCAGCACAGTACCCGTACCACGCACCCCCTCCTGCACCTCACGCTTCGGTTCCTCCACAGGAACCGTTTTACAAACACGATGGACAGGCAGGACGTGGCCGCGGTGGTCATCGCGGTGGCAATCCTCGAGGTCGAGGCTCATTCCATGGCAATGATAGGGGCCGTCATCGTCCACAGGGCAATCACAACCACCGCCAAGATGGCGGTGGTTCTCATCACAAGCATGACAACGCGGCATCGGGCAAGAAGAAGAAGCGCAAGACCAACACCCTTGGTCTCACCCCGGGCCAAGACTCGGAATCCGAAGACGACGAGATGGAGGAGGAGACGCTCCGCAAGCTCATTGGAGCAGATGCCTTACAGTAAGTCGAATGCTGACTCAAGGTCTCATAGTGGCTGACCAGGTATTGCAGGGTCAATGATATTGACGCTTACATCGCTGAGCGGAAGAAGCGCTTTCCTACTGCCGCGCGAGTCAAGGCCAAGAAGTCTGCCGAGACCACGCAAGGAAGCGGCAACAAGATTTCATCTGATTTGGAGAAAGAAGAGAACCTTGCCAGCAAGCTACGAAGGCAGTTGGAGAAGGTCGAATCGTCTATCAAGCGCAAGCGTGAACAGCAAGACGAGGGCGATGAGATGAGAGACAGCCCTTCCATTGACATCAAGTCTGAAGATGACGAGCCGGAAGTGGCGTCAAGTCGTGTTCAGCCAGCCCCCCCTCCACCCCCTCCGGCGAAGAAGGCAGACATCTCAAAGCATTGCAAGTATTACTCTACGGGAGGTACTTGCGGCAAGAAGGGCAAGTGCCGCTTCGTCCACGATCCCGCTGTCAGAGAAGCAGCCATGAAAGAGCGAGAGGCAAACAACGGCCATCTCACTATCCAGCAGCGTTTGATTCTCAACGACAAGGACCAGGAAGACCTCACTGTTCTGCAGTCGATTCAGTACCTGAGAGAGAAAGGTTTGATGAAACCTGAAGATAAGCCTGAAGGTTCCAATGGGCATCATGCATCTGGTGGCTCCCAAGCTTCCCAGTCTCAATCACGCCAAAAGTCCAGCAGTCTTCCAGCCGCACATGCTTCTCTTCCGGCACCGCCCGTGAAGCATCACAATGGGCTTCCTCCGCACAAGCCGCCTCCCTCTGCATTGTCGACAGGCAATGGAGGACCCACAGTTCGATACAAAGGCTGGAATCTGAGCGGATATGGGAACTCAGGTCTCAAGTCGGAAGATCTCCCATAGGATGCTGGTATCGCCCCGACAAAGACTCTAAAGCCTCCACGAACGCCCGAATATTATACACCTAGACCTTGCACGAGGTCTTATGCGTCGTCCGTCTGAGTATGGCGGCTTCGAGCACTGCAGAGGGTCTCTCGCTTTGGCGGAGAAGTCATCCCGATGCACAAGTTCGTACCTGTAGCATTGTTTGCATTTTGTACTTGATTATATTCCAACCTCGGGGAAGTTAGGGAGAGGGAGGCAGTTGATAAGGCGGCAGTAGTTCTTCTGGCCGGCCTCTTTTCTTTCACTTTCATCACACTCAAATGGTTCGGATAGGCGGCCCATGCTCTGGGTTCCTTTGTTCAAGTCGAAAGCCTTAAGGGCTTCATCTGCAAAGTTGCGATCCCAGATCGCGTGTAACAACACCAACTCAAAATTAGTAGTGCCCGGAGAAGCGGCGGCTTTGAGCGGCTTCTTTCACCAACCTACTGAGTAGCACACTTGTCGGAGTTCTCGGTTGATGATGGAAAGGGGCTTAGTAGCTCTGTGCAAATGCATCTACAACCCTGGAAGCATTTTGGTATTGTTGATGGAGTTTGGGGCGGACTGCAGTCTGGCACGGCTGGAATCGATACCCCAAGGAGGGATTGGCACCAGGTCTCATAGAATGGAATGCGAAAACCAGTTTTATGTTTCACAAGGTTTCAGTCAGCGCAGAACAATGTCGTCCGGCGTGCTACTACGTAAAGATAACCTAAGTTTAAGGGAGCGGAGTGGACATATTACGTGATTATGCCTCGACGAGGCACATGTCAGGGAATCGCCAAGTCTGCTTTGTCAGAGAAACTAACATGAGCTTTTCCCCCGAGGGTTGGGAGAACTTGCTACACCAGCCAGGAAGTGAAGTACAGACGTAATAATATTAGGATACTGTTTGGTTGGCCTCCCAGGTATCATTGCGCCGCTGCACGTGCATGCCTATCCCCTGAGTGATGAGCTGCTCAGGGAATACCTAAGGAAGAAAAAAAAGGGGGTAACCCAGCCGGCCGTGCGATGTGTGGTGATCTCTCCCCTGCCAATAATGACGATACAAAATACACAGATGAACGCCGTCGCTAATGTTGATGCTGCCACGCCTTTGCCGGTGGAAATGCCTCTAACCCCCATTCTGGTGAACCAGGTGTTCCCTCTCGACGGTGAGACTGTCTCAGCGTCGAGCCCTCTGCTGCTCGTAGAACCTGCGCTTGCGCTCCTCCTTCTCGGCCTTTAGTCGCTTCTCAAGCTTCTCCTGTTGAATATCCTCGAGTCGCGCGACGCGTTCCGCCTTGGCCTCCTCCTCCCACACGTCGTCCATGCCGGCCTCCATGTCTGAAGAGCCGTCCGAGTCGTACGTGTAGCGAGGCCCGGCTTCCTCTTCGTCCTCATCGTATTCGATAAAGTCGTCGAGTTCTTCGTCCTCCTCCTCGTCATCGTAACGTGACCGTTTCGCGGAGCCGCCGTAGCGTGGGGCAGGGCGTGCATTGAGGAGCGCACCTCCAGGAGCCGGCTTCTTCTTGGCCGACGCCGCACCAGGCTTTGGACGGGCGGTGCCTGTGTACCCCGTTGTCGCGATGGCGGCCTTCTTGAGCTTCTTCTGGTTCTCCTCCTCGGCGGCGGCAGCACGTGCCTTCGCAGCGGCCCGGGGATCCTTTGTTCTGTCGGCTGCCCCATTTCGGTTGGCGCTTGCTCCATTACGTGACGGAGCAGCAGAAGATGATCTCGCGGTCCCTTGAAACTTGGACGGTTGCCTTGCAGCAGCTTTTGGGTCCTTCTTGGACTCTTTCTTCATCTCCTCCCGTTCCTTCTTGGTGAAGACCTTCTCCACAGGCTTGTGCTGGATCTTGCCGACTTGGCCCATCTTGGTCTGAGCCTGTTGAGCCCGTGCCATGATCTCGGCGAAAGATCCCTTTTTCGGGGGGGCACCCGGTTTGGGTGCAGCGGCGGGAGCGGATGGCGGTGGCCGACTCGGCAGGTTAGACGTGACCCTCGACATGCTGGACCCATTTAATGGTTTAGCTCCAGAAGAGCTGGGCTTTGCGGCGATGCTGCCATTACCAACGGGCTTCGGCGCAGATACGGGTCGATCGGAGGGTCGGCCTGCACTGCCTCGATAACCGGTAGTGGTCGTCGCCGGCTTCTCTGCAGACCGCGCGGGTCTCTGGGCATCCGCCGGCTTCGGGGGGACAGAAGAACCGGAGCCATTTGTGCTCGTTCGCGGCGTCTTATTCGAGAAAGTGCTCCGGAGGTCGTCATCGGCTTTCCGTTTCGGAGGGGGGATGGGCGGTCTCGATGGAGCTGGTGATGTGCTCTGTGACTTGTCGCCACTGATCTGGGCGAGGAGATCCCCGATCTGAATAGGCTCAACGATTAGCGCATCAAAACGTTGCAAAAGCGGCTGTCGCGGGCTTCTAATGCTTACAGGCATGATGACGGACTATTAGAGCCAAGTATCGTCAAGCAAGTGTCTAGGTTGCTTGCAGCGGCCGTCAGGATGCATCAGGCAGACGCTTGAGTCATCAGTAATGGAAAGCACGGGAACTCGAGTTTCTGCGATTCAACGGCCCCCTCTCTGAAAAGGACTGAACACGCGGCCAAGAAATCGTCGAGGACCAGAGAGGAACGGAGAGTCGAGAAAAATGAGGGAAAATTCGCGAAAAATGAGAAGACGGTCGCAAAGCGCACGGGACAGACAACCAGCAGTCGTAAAAATCGAAAGTTGGGTGTCGGGGTGACAAAAAGAAGTGGCGTTAGAGTCGGCAAGTTTATATCTGTTGGACTGGGGGGGGGAGTGGAATCACTGGTACTTCCAGCGCCGTCCACCAAGGCCTAGCATCCAATCTGTTAGCCTCTTCGGAAGCTGGTGTGGCCCCGGTTCCGTGCTTGGACCCTGGCGCAAAAGGAAACCTGGCCTGCATACCAAGCCCGCAGGAACCTGGAGAAGGGTGGCTGTCAATGGTGGAAGGTGGCCTCGTGAGTTGAAGTGTGGCCAAGGCGGGACCTGAGCAAACAGATGTGGCTGGTGCGTACCATGGGAGTCAGGCCGGACACTGGACATCCTCGCTGGAGGTTCCCAGCCACCGCCCGTCCCCGCCCTAAGCGGCCAAGTCGCTAGGGTAGGTTCCGCACCCTCCGCTCACAAAATGGAAAAAAAGTTCGATTTTCGCAAACTTTCCGAATCGCAACAACCACGCGAAATATCCTCCCAGGACTCGAAGATTCAGTCTCCGCCCAACTTCGCGGTTAAATTGATTGACCTCTCGTGTTCTCTACGACAAACTGTGAGTATTCCTTTCGGTCTATTTTCCTCGACAACAACGTTCGCTTCCGACCGCCTGTCACACATCTGCCGTCTTCGCGAAAATTGCCGAAAGCCCTTGACTGACACTCGTCCGTCGCAGAAAAAACCACATTCAAGATGAAGCACCTCGCCGCTTACCTTCTCCTCGGCCTCGGTGGCAACACCTCCCCCTCTGCCAAGGACGTCAAGGCTGTCCTTGAGTCCGTCGGCATTGAGGCTGATGACGAGCGCCTGAACAAGCTCATCTCTGAGCTCGAGGGCAAGGACATCAACGAGGTTCGTTTTGATATCCGGATGCGGCACGAACGAAAGGACACCCGCGCTGACCAATTGCACAGCTCATCTCTGAGGGCTCTGGCAAGCTCGCCTCCGTCCCCTCTGGTGGCGCTGGCGGTGCTGCCCCCGCTGCTGGCGGTGCTGCCGCTGCTGGCGGTGACGCCCCCGCCGAGGAGGCTGCCAAGGAGGAGGGTAAGATGATTCTCATGCCTGTAGATGCCCGTTCGACAGTTTTGCTGACCCCTTTGCAGACAAGGAGGAGTCTGACGACGACATGGGATTCGGTCTCTTCGACTAAGCGCCTTTCTCACGCCTCTGATGACAGGCCCCGCGCCCCCGTCTCATCGAAGAAGTCACGCAGCAATCGGCCGACGTTTTCGCATGTCATTGACGTGGGAAAGTCTCTCTTGGGTTGGGCTTCGGCACACGTTTGTGTAGGAACACCTGCTAGGTTCGGTCAAATAAAAAGCTCGCTGGTTCTTTGAAAGCGTTTCGTTTGATTCTATGTGATTTGTCTGGTATATTGCCCCCTGAGTGAGGGTTATGATGCTTTAGTTCCACTATTGTGGTATCGCGTTGCATGCGCAGGTCTTGCAGCCCACGTTCTCACCCGTGCGGGGCGACATGTTCGTTCGCGACAGAGGGAGCGAGGGCACTTAATTATCCCCTGCATGAAAGGATTATGTGGGAAACGTTTTGCTCGTTAAGAAGCTTTGACCACATCGGAGAAGATAAGTGTAGGAAGTACTCTAGCTGGAGGGCACTCTTCGGCCTCAGGCATTTCAGCACTGCAAACCCCAAAATTTAATGCGCCCAGCGAGGAATGTGCCGCTTTGCTTTCATCCCGTCCAGTCTTGCGTTGCTCCGACAACCAATCCCCCTCGTCGTACCTTCTCATTGGCCAACCCCTGCTAGCCCCAAATACGGGAGCGTTCCCAACTTGACAAGGAATCGACGTATCCCTCCAACATACAAGATGATAGTGACGCGCCGCATAAACTAATTTCTTCTCCATTCGCAATCTTTCGGATCATGGGCACCATCGACACGTAAAACAGTGTTTAGTCGACCATAACAATCGCTTTTTCCGGCGGAAGGTGCTCAGTCGCCGAGACGTGGAGGGTCGCGCCGTTCAGCCCCATTTGTCCTGCTGCTCACAATTGCAAAAACAATCACCAACCCCGACCGCCCGAAATGGACATGTCGACTGCCTCGCCCACGCCTTTGGGCACCGCCGGAACCGGTCTCTCGCGAAAGCCTTCCCAGAGGCAGGGTCTTCGGAGGCTGCCATCGCGGCCCCATCTCAACCGAAGCGAATCCAACCCAGTGCACGCAACCGCCGCCGCGCCCGCGCTTTCAAAGAAGTCAGACTCGCAGCAGTACGCCATGCACGACAGCTCTGACGACGAAATCCCCGTACCCATGAAGCTCAGCGCTCTCACGAAGGCATTGCTCAATGACGGCGGTGCACCCGAACCCCAACGCGCTCCTTCACCGCCGCGAACACGTCGTCGCACCAGCAATCTCGCCGCGTCCACAACTTCTGCGACGGAAGAGAGAAGGTCTCTTCGATCTGGGAGTGCACAAGCGTATGATACCAGGTCTACAAAGCACACGTCGCCATTGCGAAGCAGGGAGAACAGTCCTGTGCGAAAACGAGTTGTCAGGCTGAGCACCACGCCCAAAAGCCTAAGCCAGATGCGCCCCACCAAGAGAAGGTCTACCTCGCTGTCGCGATCTACCAACCAACGCCCTCAATCGAGAAATCGGCCAGAAAGCCGGGACCAGTCCTCGGATGAGAGACAAGAACCACCCAAGGATGTCAATACACCTGCCCAGGGAGTACGCGTCGTCCGCATTGCCGCGGGCTCATCCGGCAACAGGAGTCGCCTTACCAACTCATCGAGCCATTCCAGACGCTCAGGATCCCAACTGGAGCAGGACTACCCTGAAGAGCCAGTGACTGCAGCACGCAATGCTTCTGGCACCAATCCCGGTAGCGTATCCCGCCACACCAATGTGGGAAGAAATATCAAGCCTGAGGACAACCTAGCCTTACAAGGCTCGATGCGCGTCAAGCGAGTCGGCAAAATTCCTGGAAGCTTTCTGAGTGGACCTGCTCGACGTGGCCGCAGGAGGCAAAGCGAAGAAGAAGCAGAGGCGAATGGCGATGGCGAAGGGTTACTCTCAAGTCAGTATCATGACGGTCAGGGCCAAGACATGGAGAACGACCTCGCGTCATCCTTTTATGGCAATGGCGGGCAAATTTCGTCAGGCAGCCCGGTAGCGCTCGGCGATTCCGGGAGAGCAAGTCATCGAAGGGCAGCATACGATGCCGGGCCTGTACCACGCGTCGCGGGTCCATCTCCCAAGGAGATGGACGACCCAGAAGAGATTCACTATAAGCTACCTGTGCCACGCCCTCAGGTGCCATCTTCGCATGACCAGGAGAACGAGATACACTCTGTCTTGAGAAACTCCAAGCCTGCCGTCAGCATAATCTCTGAAAGGGACATCGAAAAGGCTTCCAAGCGCCCCATCCACACTGATGCTGCACATCATAGGTCTGCTGCGTCTCCCGAACGAAAACCATTGTCCTCGCTGGCAAACAACACTCCACGCAGGCCTGCGCCGCCTCCTCCACCAAAGATGTCGGTTCTCGATGCTGCAACCACCTCGGCTGGGGCAGCCACAACATCGCAGGGAAAGCAGAGGCGAAACATTCTTCGTGTCAATGGAAAGTCTTACACGAGGCTGGATTGTCTAGGCCGAGGTGGTAGCGCTAAGGTCTACCGCGTCACTGCCGAAAACGGAGCGATGTTTGCCCTGAAGAGGGTGTCCCTGGAGAACGCCGATGAATCGACTGTCAGGGGGTTCCGAGGCGAAATCGACCTGCTAGGCAAGCTGACGGGCAATGATCGGGTCATCAACCTTTTTGACTACGAAATGAACAACGAAAAGAAGATGCTTACTTTGGTAAGTAGTTTGTTCCCAGAACTCAGAGCAAAGCTAACATTTTCCTAGCTCATGGAGATGGGCGAGTTGGATCTTAACACTCTCCTTAGAAGTCGACAAAACCCTGAGTCAGCCAAGTTCGACCCCGTCTTTGTCCGCTTCTACTGGAAAGAAATGCTCGAGTGCCTTCAATCCGTCCACCAGTCCGAGATTGTCCACTCCGACCTTAAACCGGCCAACTTTGTCCTTGTCAAGGGTCGCTTGAAACTAATCGACTTTGGCATTGCCAACGCTATTCAAACAGATGAGACAGTAAACGTTCACCGCGAAACGCAAATTGGCACACCGAATTATATGTCTCCTGAGTCGCTCATGGACTCCAACGCACCTCGAGGCGGCCGCGTTCCCGGGAGGCCCAAGCTGATGAAAGTTGGAAAACCAAGCGACGTGTGGTCTTTGGGCTGCATTCTCTATCAACTTGTATACGGCATTCCTCCTTTTGGCCACATTGCCAACCAGATGGCTCGGTGCCAAGCCATTATTAACTGGGACCACAACATTGAGTTTCCCTCTAGAGGCATGGGCGGCGTCCCAGTGCCCCCCTCTCTCGTGCGAACCATGAGGCGGTGCTTGAACCGTGAGGTTCACATGCGACCAACATGCGAGGAACTCCTCCATGAGACCGATCCTTTCCTCTATCCTAATGAGATGAGCGAGAAGGCACTCCCGGTGGACGAAGAGCTTCTTGGTAGAATCATCCAAAGCGTCATTACAAGATGTCGGGAACGCATGCCGACCGAGACTGAGGCCATGTCGGTCTGGCCATCAGCCTATTGGTCGAGTGTAAAGAAAGCAACGAATTCGAACAGATGATGAAAACAGGCGTTGGATGTTGGAAAGCTGTAGGAAAGGGCGTCAACGGCAACCTCACCTTGGTTTAATGATCATGGGCAATATTCATAGCTTGGAGTTCCTTGGACGGGTTGGTCTTGCTTCTTGTTCAGCTGCTTGGTGCAGCCTTTCTGTTTTGTTTTTTCTTCTTTTCTTTTCTTCGCATGCTTTGAATATCACTTCCAAGGCCTCGACCTTTGGTTACGGCTGCGCACGATTTTGGAGACGCTGGCATAGACACGGCGTCTAATTCAATTTTAACTTGAGCCATTCGGCCTCAAACATTTTCAGCGACTACACAACGCCCGAACCATTGCACAGCGTTAAAGTGTTTTGTGTTTGCCTATTATACAGCCCCGATTGGGGGACGACACTGGTACAAGAGATCGTTTGATTCCATGACTTTGTACACCTCTTTCATACTCGAACAATCCTGAATGGCCCCAACCAGCATGATCGACTCAAGCCTCAATCTCCTCAGGGCCGTTGATCTTCAGCTCGCTGATAGTCAGTGTCGTGAAGCGGTGCTTGCTCTTGACCGTCTTCACCCTCCTCTGCCTCCTCTTTGTCTTTGTCTTAAGCCGCATAGGCTCGCTCTCGGTGCCTGTCACGACTGCGCGGCACTCGAACACACGCTCGTCGATGAAAGGCGCGCCCTTGAGAGTGTAATCTCTGCTGCCAATGACGGAGGCACGGTTCAGGCGGAGGACGTCGCCGGGTACAACGCCAGGCATCTTGAAGGGCAGACGTACGCTGTCGCCGGGCTGGACAAGGTAAGGGCGTCCATGGATGTGGAAGGTGATATAGTGGTTGGGCTGGGCAGCCAGGAAGGGAAGGACGGCCTGCACAGATTCGGCGATCGGGGTCGTCGAGGACGGCGTCGCGGTCTTCGCAGCAGCGGCCTGGGCCTGCTGTGCTATTGAGGGCTTCGTTGCGGCGTCTGAGGGGGCGACGGGCGGCGCATCGTGGGCAGCGGGCTCGATGATTGGCGCCGTAGAGTTGAACCGCCGGGCGTGGATCGGGAGAAGGAAGGTCGGCGGGAGGCGGGTGATTGGTGTCCTGAGCTCCAGAACGGAGCGCAGCAGCGATCGACTCATGTTCGGAGGTTGATAGTATATCGCTCGCGATGCAAAGACAACAATTGGACCTGAGGTTCGCGTTGTGTAGCCGTGGTCCAATTGCTTTTCTCCTCGTTCCGTCGTTATTGGCTTCTCTCTGGCTTTCCACGCGAGCAAGCACCAGGTCGGAACATTGAAGCTTCAAAAAAGTTCGGATAGACTGCAGCCCATTCTCCTGGTTAGATGGCGGATAAACTATTATTCCAGATCGGCCAAGCAGGGAGGGTCCGCGCGCAGGGAATTTTTGGAGGGTCCCTCTACTCCACTCTTGTCAGTATCGATAGTGATGGGAACTTTTTTTGACCCGCCACTTTTGACGAACCTCCGTACACTGTAGCTTCGTCGACAACTACCACCTTTGACGAGTCTCAACACCTTCGTCGCCGACAACGAAAGACGACCTGACGAACCCCTGAAGCCTCGTCAATAACCAGTAACGCTCCTTCAACACTTAATAATAGGAGAGTCGCTACGAGCGCAAATCAGCCAAGATGGTACGCCCGCCTGGCTCTGGAATACGCCAAATGCGTATTTATTTCGAATGACATAATATCTGACAATTCTCATAGCCCCAGAACGAGTATATGGAGAGATGGAGGAAGCTCCACGGAAGACGCCTGGACCACGAAGAGAGAGCTCGCAAGAAGGAGGCGCGTGAGGGTCACAAGGCCTCCAAGGATGCGCAGAACCTGCGCGGCCTCCGGGCCAAGCTTCACGCGAAGAAGCGCCACAACGAGAAGATCCAGATGCGCAAGCAGATCAAGGCCCACGAAGAGCGCAACATCAAGACGAACGACGAGAAGGAGCCCAGCGAGCCCATGCCTGCCTACCTGCTTGACCGTAGCAACCCGAACAACGCCAAGGCGATCTCGTCGCAAATCAAGAACAAGCGTGCTGAGAAGGCGGCAAGAGTATGGGATTCCGTGTGTTGGAATGCTATTGGGCAATTGCTGACGGTGTGGTAGTTTGCTGTGCCTCTGCCCAAGGTTAAGGGTATCAGTGAGGAGGAGATGTTCAAGGTCATCTCCACCGGCAAGAAGACACACAAGAAGTCGTGGAAGCGCATGGTACAGTTACTACTGGTTTGGAAACCTGCAGAGAAGCTCTTGCTAACTTTTGGTTCAGATCACCAAGCCCACTTTCGTCGGACCCAATTTCACAAGAAGAGACCCGAAACACGAGCGGTACGTTGCGCTCCTCCTCTGCCATTAAGGCTCATTGCTAATGGTGCCTCTTAACATAGCTTCATTCGCCCAATGGGACTGAGATACAAGCATGCTCACGTTACGCATCCCGAGCTTGGAGTCACGGTCAAGCTGCCCATTATCGGCGTAAAGAAGAACCCTCAGAACCCGTTGTATACCAACCTGGGAGTTTTGGTACGTTGAAACGGTAACCCTTGAACACTTGGGTACTTTACTCACACTTTCGCCGCAGACCAAGGGTACCATTATCGAGGTCAATGTCAGCGAGTTGGGTCTTACGACAACCGCTGGAAAGGTTGTATGGGGACGTTACTGTCAAATCACGAATAACCGTACGAAAAGCCCATTGGTAACCTGAAATGGACATTTCCGCTAACTTTCTTTAGCCGAGAACGATGGTTGTGTGAACGGTGTTTTGCTTGTTTAAGCCACGATAAGAGGTGTCTAGAGTGCTCTCTAATAAGGGTACTGCATCGTTATTGGCGTCTGGAGTTATGGCAAACAAGAAAAGGGGCTGGGTGGATGCCTTAGATTGACAACATCAACTTGAACCTAGGTAGATGAAACAATATTCCCATTTGTGCCTAGACAATGCAACCCATTGAAATCCAGTAAATTCGGTGACTCCAGCTGTTTGTTCCTGAGACATACTGATTGATTGGTGTCATTTCTCATGCAGTGGTGGGTTGATACAGGAGACTGCTCACTTCGATCCTCCTCGCCCAGCTGGCAAAGTCAGAGTTCTTGGTGGCTCTAGCTCGGTACAATGGCCCAGGTTTCATTGTGGCAAGGTCCTGTGCTACTTCTAGGTCTATTCACATGTTCTTCACAAGTAGCATCTTGCATATTAGGCAGAGTCGACCTCGTCTCCAAGCCTTGTTTTGTCATTCATTTCCAACGTCCTAAGATTGACTACCAAATGGGATCCTGAGCTGGTCAGCCTTTGGACCCCTCTTGGCGATTTCTGGTTGTGCCAAGACTAGTGACCTTGTATTGGCAACAAGTGTCTTATTTCAGCCAGACTAGTCGCAAAGAAGCATACCATCACAGCCTCAACAACAAAGTCTTGGTTCGGAGAGAAAATAGACGAGCATGATGCGCATCGAACTTGTGGAAGAAAGGCGACAAAACGTGGGGCCCTTCGTTCGTTCAGTACTCACTCGGCTCTTGTGTAGGCTCAACAAAGGCATGATGCCTATCAGCCTTTCTATTTCTTAGTTGAGGCGGCCGCTCCTCTAATGGTTTAACCGTTGGTTTTTGAGAACCCTTGGCTATCGGTAGAGTTCGAGGCGTAAACAAGTGAGATCCTGAGCTGATATGGTCCCCGTATCTTGTATTAAAGTCTGTATGTCAACCTAGGGTCTCAGGGAATATACCGCTCATCAGCCGACTGGCCCTGTGGTGTCTCTAGGACACCACATGCTGAGAGTTCACCTAAAAAGAATTCATAGACGCCGATAGTACTGTTTCTTGTCTGTGCAAGTCATCGCGAGACAAGAGTAAAAAGTATCACGGAGGCATTGATTGAGCTGGGATCACTAGGTATCCTTAATCATCTGTCTCCCACATACTCAAGGCAGTAACACTGATATGTCGCAAAATGATTCCTTCGAAGATCAAGTTGCGGTCAGTATTTGAGCTTGAGCAGGCCCAGTTTAGACTAAGGAATGACTCCTGACTTGTCTGAGCTCATTTTGCGCACATATTGGAAGTAGTCGGGATCGATCTATCAAACAGCGAACATGATTGAAAGAGTACAGAATGGGTTGTGAAAGGCATTGAAAAGTGTATTCGGGAACATCCTGTAACGACTCGAAGGCTGGACTAATGAAAAGCTCAAGGACCGCCAGAATGTGATGGCAGCCTATTTGTGGCTCACTTTTCACCTCGATACTCCTTTCGATATCAGTACGCATGCACAATTTTGCCCTTCAAACGAATGCTCGTCCCGGTGTCATTGCACCATATCATAGTGAATAGCCAACATTTCGTCTTTTCATCTCAAAGAAACTCACTGGAAATGCAAAATGATCTTTAAAGCGTCCGTATCAATTTGCCTCGCAACCCTGGCGCCATACAACTTTCAGGGTTAGAGACAAAGAAAATGTATTTACGCATGTCTATATGACCCTCATAGATCTATCATAATATACCCAAACTCCATTGCTATGCAGAAATGTCCCATGCTTTCTTCCATTATCCCACCACCACCTTCTTTCCAGTGCTTCTCTAAGCGGAACCGTTGGCACCGTGAGCCTTGACGTACTCCTCGCTGAACTCGTACGTGTTGTAGCCGTCGTTGCTCTTCTTCTTGTAGAAGGTGGTGCGGTCGTAGGGGGTGAAGGGGATGCCGTTCTTGACGCGGAAGACGAGGTCCGGGTTGGAGATGAAGTAGCGGCCAAAGGCGACGGCGACGTCCCACTTGGCGTAGCGCTCGTCAACAGCCCAGCGCGCGCTGTCACCGAGGTAGCCGCCGGCAACGACGACGGGGGAGAGGTTGTCCCACTCCTCGAGGATGAAGTCCAGGGTCTGAGGGCGGTCCTTGGCGAAGGGCTGGACGTCGTCGGTGGGCTGGCGGGGGACGATGCCCAGGTTGACGGGGTTGCCGACGGCCTCGACGAGAGACAGGTAGGCGAGCTTGTAGCCGGCCTTCTTGATCTCGCGGACGATGTAGCTCGTCTGCTCCCAGGTGTCGGAGGAGTAGGACTCCTGGAAGGTGGCGAAGGGGCTCAGGCGCAGAGCGACGCGCTCGGCGCCAATCTCGTCGACGACGGCCTTGATGATCTCGAGAAGGAAGCGCGCGCGGTTCTCGACGGATCCGCCCCACTTGTCGGTGCGCTTGTTGACCGAGTCGCGGGTGAACTGGTCGACGAGGTAGCCGTGGGCCCCGTGGATCTCGATACCGTCACCTCCGGCGGCGACGACATTGCGCGCGGCAACGCGCCAGTTGTTAATCTTCTCCCAGATCTCCTCCTCGGTGAGGGCCTCAGGCGGGCAGGGGCGGCCGGTCATCTGCACATCGGAAGAAGAGCAGTACTTGTAGCCGCGGCCCTTGACGAAGGACGGGTCGGCAGCGCGGCCGAGGGACCAGAGCTGCTGGAAGACGTAGCTGCCCTTTGCGTGGATGGCGTCAAAGACGTTCTTCCAGGCGGCAATCTGGGCCGGGGTGGAGAAGTCGGGGAGGTCGAGGTCGCCGACGTCAGCCGGGGAGATGGCGGTGGCCTCGGTGATGATGAGGGTGCCCGGGGTCGAGGCGCGGTCGGCGTAGTACTGGGAGACGATAGGCAGGGGCACGCTGTCATCGTCGGCGCGGTAACGGGTGAGGGGGGCCATGACGACGCGGTGGGCGAGGTCCATCTTGCCGGCCTTGAGAGGCTGGAAGAGCTTGGTGTTCTCGGCGGCCATTGTGAGTGTTTGGAGACGAGTTTGCGTATAAAGTTGAGGGGTATCTAGAACAGTATTACAGGAACGGAACGAAATGTATGAGCAATGGTATCTCAGTGGTTTATATGTAGAGAATGTTGTGTCTAAGTGGAAGCAATTCCTCATTTGAAGCGGGCATCTCGAGAGTATTTGTATCCTCACGATTTGGTATAAGTCGAACAAGAGCCCACCGCAGGCATCGTCGTGGAATCATCTGGAGAGTCCCACCAGGAACCTCAGAGGCCCTCGGCAAGCCCCCACAGTTTGATCTGCCCGCATGAGTTTGCTGTTCCACGAGGTGAAGACTTTTCCCTCCTGGACGGCTTAGAAATGGAGTCCCTTCCGTCGTCTACGGCGACAACTCGGAGAGCGGGTCCTCTCGCCCTGCCGTCCATTTCTCAGCAAAAGCCCACGTCTTCTCACCCTCCGAGCGGTGAAACCGAAGCCGGATTCGCTGTCGTGCTCCACGGATCAGGGCGGTAGCAGCCACGCGGTAGACCAAGCGCTACTTGCGGATTCCCGGCCAAAGAAAAGTTCTCGAACAAACGACAGAGTCACTAGGGTCTGTCGAAACCGAGGCTCCGCAGCGGTGCCTTTCTGGGCAAAGGCCGTTAACTGGAGAGCACCTTGACACAGCGAATCAAGGTGGCGGACTGAGGCCCGAGATTGCCAAAAGCGGGTTGAGAGCCCGGGCCTCCAAGCAGCCACGTCGGCAGACGAACTTTTCTGCGTTGCTTAGAAATCCGATAGTACGATGCTCAGTACACCACACTAGAAACCGCGAGGCAACGAGACGGGGCCGTGGGTAGAGGTGAGTGGGGGCTCCTCTGTCCTGCAAAGGGGGAAACGGGAATGACGTTGGAGACAACAAGGTCCCGGGGTCCAATGATGGATGCCCGTTTTTGCCCCCCATCCGTCCCATTGAGTTTTGAGGGTTTGGTGGTGGCGCTCAGGGACAGTAACTTAAACGTCGGAGGAAAGTTCTGACATGCTGAGAAATGCCACGAGGGCTGCGGTGACGGCCCGGCGATTCATTTCAAGGGGCGGGATCTCCACTCTTTCCTTTTGTCGTCGTACCGAACCCGGGTTTTCGCCGGGAACAAGACCAAGAAGTAAGGGTGAGCCTCTCTTGTCACATGAGGCTTGTAGTGAGTGTAGTTTGCAGTTACCGAGAACGACGCTGAAAGCAAAGGAGGGAGGCCCGCAAGCCCAGAATAGTACCATAGTATACTTCCCCTGGCTGCTGCACTGAACAGGAATCTTGTCGCCGATAAATGGACTGGAGGTGCCGTGTCAGACTACTACTGCGTAGCCGGCCCAGACGATAGCTCTAGACGTTGCCAGGGTTCTTTGCAGGTTTCTGCACACAAGACCAAGCGCGTTAGCGATGGGCTGACTATTCGGCTTGATTCGTAAGTGGAATCCCTGCCACGGGCTCTTTTTTCGATTCCAGAATCCCTTCACCGCTGCCGGCCCGGGATCTGGGGTCTCTGTCGTCGGCGATTAGCCCGATGTGGCGCTCGTTATCTCCTAACGGACGGGGAGGGATCTATCAAGCCATGTGCGCCACGATCGCTGCCGACTGCGATCCATGAGTCCTGCAAGGGGACGTAAATGGGGTTCATGCTGCCTGACGCAACCCGCATCTGCCAACCCCGATTACGCAGGGGATCAATCTCACGACGGCTTCATTCCCAAATTTCATGTTCCGGGGGTAAGGTCAAGCCCTTCCATATGCTTATTGCGCAGATGGTCAAGAAATCCGCAATGGGTGACTGGTATACTTGAGAAGCAATGCCTTTCACGAGGTAGTTCGCTCCCTTCTTGACTCCTGGACTTCCATTAGAAGTTATGATGCCCAGATTCCAAATCGCTGTGACCACAGCCTTTGTCCCCTCTCCCCATTTGGCTCCTTACACCACGGCAACAACGCAACAACGGCTTCTTCATCAACAGCGCCCACCATAACAGAAGATCCTCGTCTTATTCCGAAAGCCATACTCCGCCTGGTCGACTACAGCAGCAGGGGCGGCCGGAGAACAGTAGTGGCCACATCCACTTCTCCATTGTCAAGTCCGGCTTCCACAACGACCTAAAAGGGAAGCTCGTCTCCCTTCAATCCACCCTCAGCACGCCCGGTGTGTCCATCCCCGTGATGGGCATGGAGCGGCTGGTTGGTATTCATCGCAGTCGATGCTCGCTATCTTATGCCGAGCCTGCTTAGAGTTTCCATGCTGTTGATAGTCTCGCGGTGTTACGTATGGAGGAATCGGGTGCCGTCCGATGTACGAGAATAAGTATGTCAGTCGTGAAAAAGGAGTGTGCGGCGGAACCCAATGCGCGTGCTGCGTGTAGTGCGCCGGCGTGCAAGCAGAAAAAGAACGTAGAGACTCTCAACGCCGCAGGTCACACTGATAAGGTCGTGGGCGAATCGGTATCCAAAGGTCGCTACTTAAGTACGCATGATGTTTAAGTAGCAGGCAGTGGGAAGGTTTAAAGCTTGGGTCACCGGTGCGCAGCCCATGGAACCGTCACAACATGAGCCGGGTGGCATGCAGTCCCTCAACAAAACCATCGATCCTGGGAACAAAAGAACCTAGGCATGCTTAACGCCTATTGATTCGTGATCTCGGGAATACTTGTAGTCAAATTTGTCGTTGTATATGGTCAACAGACTGGTCTATAATGCCATGTCATGAAGCTGTAAAATGGAATCAAGATTCCCCCGAATGCGTACCGTCGTCCATTTACCTTGTCGTAGAACCTAAGCCCACCCCGATATCCAAGCACCAAACGCCAGTCATCTGATAATACACACCGCCAAAGACGAAGACACAAGCCGCATCGCACGTCGTCTATTTGTTGTGCCAGATGAAGTTGCGGAGCGAGTCCCACTCGTTGCTCTGCTGGTAAATGTACGTCATGCTGCTGCGCAAGCTGGGCTGCAGGTCGGACGGGTGCTGGCGGAAGAGGTACATGACCATGGCCCAGCTCGTGCTGGCGAAGACGGGCCAGGCGTAGTAGCTGATTTTGGTCGAGAGGTCCTCGCGGCTGACGAGGGGCAGGCCCTTGCCGGGGGTGACGGCGAGGCGGGCGAGGGCCAGGACGACGCGCGCAAAGACGTAGATGACAATCTGCTGGTTGACGCTCGAGATCTTGCCGCTCCGCGGCGAGCGGCCGCCAAAGACGACGTAGCCGCCCAGCAGGCCGGCGAAGAAGGCGTCGTAGGGCCCTTCCTTGCCCGGCGTGGGGCCGTAGTTCTTCAAGAGGTACATTGTGAGCTTGTAGATCGTCGCGAACTTTGCGAGGTTGCGGGCGTGGGTTCGGGTCGCACGAAAGACGAGGCCGGCCTTTTGGCGGAATCTGTTGGGGGTATGTGTTAGCGGCTGACAATGGTCTCGTGGCGGGAGGCGAGAGGGTGGACGTACGTTCCCGAGCGGAAGAGGAAGATCATGCTGTGATGAACCAGGAGTCAGCAATGGCCGGTATCCAAAGGATTTAGGGTGGTTATCGCTACATACACAAGCGCATGGGGGAAGCGGACTTTCGCGCCGTAGACTGCTCCATTGCGGGCGCCTTTGACGACGGTGAGGATGTCATGGTACTTCGGGTCGAGGATGATGCGCTCGATTGCGGCCTGGATGCGCGTCAGTCTTTGCGGGCCTTTTGACAGTGCTGTTCGAACGGCAGCGGGCCTACCTTGAGGCCATCGAGAGCGGCGAGCGACATGCTGGTGGCGGAAGGGTGTGGTTGTTGTGGTGGCTAGCCTCGGCAATTGCAGGTCGCTCCCAAGTGGATGACGCTTGCGACGATGGAGTCGCTCTCAATCGACGTACTTCCGCTCAGCGCATGAGGATCGCAACAGATCTTAGGAGGCGCGGGAATTGAGCGACAACAGTGCTGCGTCTACGAGAGGAAAGTGGGAATATCGGACCGGAGAAAAGGGGAACGGAGGTGTGTGTGAGGTGCGGACGGCACTGGGTATTTCGGGGAGAGGAAGTGGTGGACGTGGGCGTGGACGACGGTACCTCGGTCCCTGGCTCTTGGACGGCTTCGGCTCTGGCGAGTCACGCTGCAGCACGACGCTGGAGTCCGGTTGGGTTGGGTTCAGAGCACTGTGAACTCCTCCCAGCCCCAGGTTCCCCCACATGCCCCTATGACGCAGGGCCGGCGCGCCGCTAAGCCCTCCGGGGGATGCCCGTCTGGGGAAAGTCTTGGTGCTGCCTTTTTGGCATGTGACGGGCGATGCGAATTGCGACAGCACAGCATCGAAAATGGGTTCCCCATTAGGTGCTCCTAAGCACTGTCGGTTGTCCCAAAGTTGAGATGGCATGGAAAGTTGGGGCTTGCTATTGATGGTCCTCTTAGTAGTTCTAGGAGACTGTGCACTTGAATCGCATATCGACATCAGCTTGCTGGTTCTTTTGAAGAACCCCTGGTTGAATGCTACAAGAGTCGGTGTCTCGGTGTGTCCCACGTGGGATTGAATTCCATGTGAATCTGACTTGACGCTGATACCACCAAAATGGGACAATTTAAGAGAGCCCACTATCCCCATAACATGTGAGTCGCAACTGACATTTAGATTGTGCCACAGCTCGGAGATCAATCGTACAATGCAATTGAATGTACTTCAACCATTGGCAAGCGGTTAAGCCGAAAGCAAATGATATGAAAACCGCACCGTCTATCTACAGTTTGCACAAACAACAATTGGACCGAGTCTTCTTGATAACAGCTTCACCTTTTCAGTGACTGCGCATCATCATCAAACCAGCTCGGTCTCAGTTCTTCGGCTCGCAGACTGCGATAAACGGCGATGTCACACCTGTGAAATGTCAGCCACATGCGATCAAGGAAAGACAAAAGCACACTCACCACTAAAGAACAGTCTTCCCGTCTTCGCATCGTGGACAACTACAGTTGACCCCGGCAACACCTCACCAGCTCCATCCTCGATGACCTTCTCCCATACGTAGACGCCTTCGCCCTCCTTACTAATGCGCACAGCGGCACTTTTGGGTCTCGTGTTTAATGGGTCCTTGACCGACTGCAACGTTTCGATGCCCCGTGGGAACACAGCCGCGTAGATGTCACCCTTACCGTCCACCGACAGGTTGTCGATAGAATACGGCACGGGGATGTCCGCTACCTTTTTAAGTCCGTCGTCTTCGGGGACAACCTTGTACACCTGGACGCCGCCCGCCATGGAGCTCGGGACGTAGATGAGGCCGTCATGGCCGTGGACGAGCCCGTTGGGGTACCGATGGCGCTCGGAGACGCGCTTGCATCCTGATGAAGCGGAGCAGAACGAGATGTCGCCAAGGCCCAGCAAAGGACCGACGAGGGATTTCTGTGGTGTGTTAATTACATGGAATTTGGTTTACAAGCCGATGGAAGTAGCCTTACCAAGCCCACTTTGCTGGCGCCTTTGTCGTTTGTAAAGTAAAAGGCCTCGCTGGACAGTGCCGCAATGTTATTAGGGGTTGAAACGTTGGCACCGGCAAAGGTGCGGACGTGCTTCATCCCCACTGCTTGAGGACCGGTTTCGAATACCTCAATCGTGGAGTTGGCGCCTACGCTGGCCTGGTCGAGGAGCTCACCAGTGACAGGATCAACAGAAGGGCGATTGTTCACCAAAAGGAGCTCAATCTTGTCGCCTTCCGGCGAATCAATTCCTGTCAACCCCACGAGTTGAAGCAGGCCATCGCCGGCTGTGCCAGAAAAGCCAGGAGTGGACAGCGTACGGAACTCGAATGCATCGCCCTTGGGGCTGTCAATGTCCAAGGCAACGACGGCATCCCGAGTGGAGCGCCCCGAAGCATTGAAATTGTGGGCGCTGCGAATTGGTTAGTCTCGGCGCCGGCCCGGAGCGAGGCCGGAGGAAGGGTTCGACGGAAGACGTACTTGGGCATCCATTGCTGACGAGAAAGAGAGTCGGAGCAGGCCAGGAACAATTGGCGCGTGGCCTCAGACAGCCACATGTCCTCGCATGCCTGCAGCCGCGGGTCCTCGATGCGGCGACACGAGTAGGGGAAGTCGGACAGAGGCTGGAACGTCTTGCCGATGCCAAAGGCCAGCCAGATGGGGTCCTTGAACACGAGCTGCAAGGCCACGCCGAGGATGACGGCGAAGATGATGCTGGTTTGCAATATGAAGCCCATTGTGAAAGAGATTGAGCTTCGGCCGGACTTGGTGAAGCTGACTTGTGAGAAGCTGATGAAGGTTTGGCTCAACTTATAATAAACATGTTGGGGCAAAGACGACCAAAGTCCATTTTAGGCGAATTGGACATGAGACCAGATCCTTCGGGGACAACCGCGTGGTCTCAGAAGAGATCCACACTCTACGAGCTCATTTGGGCCTGTCAAAATAAACTCTTCATTGAGCACGGAGGACCTGGTTAGGTCGAAAGGTCGTTATGCGGTATTTCTTTTGGAATTGTACAGGGAAAACACACCAAGTTTTCATCGTCGAAGACTGCCTTAGTGTGCAGTTCCCGGTGTTGGCAAAATGCAGCGACGAAGGACAGCGGAAAGACGGGGCCTGTTTTCGTACCTTGGTGATCGACCCGACCGACCGCTGGCTTGATGTTGCCCCGCTCTGCCACTTGCTCCGCGTCCGCCGGGTCAGCGCGACTCCGAAATCCGCTGTGGCGCCTCTCACCTGCCGGAGGCTTCCCGGATACTGCCGCCCCTGCCTACCGTCTTTGTTCTCGTTAACAAGGCAAAAGCGTGCCTCAACTGAGGATCGAATTCCCCGGGTCCTCGGGCATATTCTAACAAGTTGGATCGATATCTTCTTTTCTTCTGATCCTCTCTCAACTTTTGCGTTTTGTTATCTAAACTTTTCTTCTTGTCGTCTTGACAATCCTTGGCAGATGAAATGTTCGAGTTCATCTTGTGAGGCGCTTCTTTGAGAAGATACTTGCCGTCCCTTAGTGGGTGGCATGGAGGATTTTGATGGGGACATCGCATGCGTAACGGCGATGCTTATACTTAGATTCTGGCCGTCCTGGCATCTGAGGATACATGTTGACATCCAGCTTACTGTCTTTTCGCTTGGCAATCTGGAGCATCGACCATGGGGTAAGAGTTTAAAACTACGGATTTGTGCTTATAGGCGGAAGTGGTCATGTGCGGCATCAATACTGATCAACCACTCCCACAAACTGTGCAGAGGAGGCCAGAATGGGGTGAGCAATGGATCTGATAACGCGAAATCAGCCTGATGCATTTCTCTTGGAAAGGGATGCAACTAATCCTTTGAAAACCCGCTAAATTAATTGCTGAATACATGCGGCAAACCTTTACTTATTGTGTAGGCAGCTAAGCTCCGACCGGGAACCTTGGTGCTGTTGCTCAGTTGTATGAGCTGGCAATTAGTCGACGGAGACCTCCATTTGATTATGATGAAACCGTTTCTATGGTCCATGCAAGATTTCTGTATTCATGAAGTACATGTCAATGACAAGTGAGCGCCGGAAAGGGGCACGCCTAAACGGCACATTGCTATTCTCCCCAAGAGGCTATCGGGCCTCGGTCGGCCCCATCACTTATGTGTCAAGTTTCGAGCTTGCAACTATGATACGGCAGTGGTCAAGGGGCTTGGTTGTCCAAGAATAATTAGGTCTGCTACCAAAATCATGGAAATATCGGCCACTCTACCCCATCACTTGGCTAACCGTTGTGATAAACCTCTTGGGGATGCTCGTGGCGACGCCCATAGGAAGCATGGATATCCCGTCCCGCTTACCAGGGTAACTGCGCCAGCTGGCACCAGCTGCGGCTTTCCAATGCGCCGCGGGGCAGCAAAAAGACTCGACCTGCCGTTCCGATAACGATAAGCAATTTTTTTGAACGGGCTTCTCAACTCCAGACGCAGTTCAGTTCGCATCCCAGCCATCCACACCAAATCCGACGGACGACAGACAAATCGACCACCGGCACAATGCTTCGTCAAATGTAAGCCGCGCCCAGCATTCTATGCGCAATCGATAGCAGTACGCTGACATTTATTCCACAGAAAACCCCGTAATGCGCGCTCCAAGCGTGCCCTCGAGAAGCGCGAGCCCAAGGCCCAGTACGTCCTCCGACATCCTCACCAGTGAACTTCCTCGCTCAAAGACGACCGCAAGCTAACATCGCACCACCTGCAGAGAAAACCCCAAGACAGCGCTCTTCCTCCGCGGAACGTCGTGCTCGCAAGTGACACAAGATGCCCTGAATGAGCTCTACCAGATGCGCCAGCCGCTGGCCAAGCGCTTCGTGAAGAAGAACGACGTCCACCCCTTCGACAACACCGACTCGCTCGAGTTCTTCTCGGAGAAGAACGACGCCTCCATCCTCGTCTTTGGCCACACCTCCAAGAAGCGTCCCAACGCCCTCACCTTCATCCGCACCTTTGGCTTCAAGGTCCTCGACATGCTCGAGCTCTACCTGGACCCGGAGTCCTTCCGCACTCTCGCCCAGTTCAAGGGCAAGAAGGTGCCCATCGGTCTCAAGCCCATGCTCGTCTTCGCAGGCACCGCCTGGGACAGCCCCATCGCCAACGAGTACACCCACGCCCGCAGCTTCTTCACCGACTTCTTCCGTGGCGAGCAGACGGACAAGATCGACGTCGAGGGCCTGCAGTGGATTGTCTCCATCACCGCCGACGAGCCTACGACCGCCGGCGAGGGTGACGTCGCCGGTGCTAAGCCCACCATCCGCCTCCGCGCCTACACCATCAGCACCAAGCGCAGCGGCTCCAAGGTGCCCCGCGTCGAGGTCAACGAGATCGGCCCCCGGATGGACTTCCGCGTCGGCCGCATGCGCGAGCCCGACGAAGCCATGCTCAAGGAGGCCATGAAGAAGCCCCGCGGCACTGAGGAGCGCACCAGGAAGAACATCACGACGGACGGCATGGGTGACAAGATGGGTCGCGTGCACGTCGGTCGCCAGGACCTCGGCGAGCTGCAGACGCGCAAGATGAAGGGTCTGAAGCGCAGCAGGGATGTCGCGAGCGAGGACGAGGGGAGAAGGGCGACGCGGAGGAGAAGCCCAAGAAGGGCCGCAAGGAATGAATGCTGCGGCAGTAGTAGTCTTTGGTGACGGGTCGGCTGTGTCCGAATGTGCTGTGGACTTTGGTATACATATCCGAGTGGGAGGAGGCGCAGCGGAGGACCACTCATCGGCGTTCTTGTTTTTGGTCAGGAGGCATCCCCACGGTCGGAGTTTTGAGCTTCTTTCAGCAGATGGTCGGCAGATTACAAAAGCAGGAACAAAGTCAAAAGCATTTAAAGACCTCATTTATTCATCAGTTTCGTTATGTTGGGATATCTATATTTGCGGGGATATTTGATACAAGGTGCTCAAGTGATACTGATGGACCTCAACTTTACAGCTTCAGATCCGACACCTTCCACACAAGACGCTCGCCGCTGGGGTCCTTCTTCCTCAGCAACTCAATCGCTTTTTGTGCCCGCTCGAGCATCGTGGCACCCTCGACGATCTTCTGCTTGTTCGGTTTGATGATGCCTTGCTCCAGGAGCGTGGGCACAATCTCCCTCTGCATCTTCTCCTTGAAGAACTCGTTCTGTTGTCAAGTCAGCTTCCCCTTTCGTATTCCTTGCCCGTGGTCCGGATAGACTTACCGCCAGGTAGAAATGCGTTCTCACTCCGCGCAGCTCGACGCCATCAGCCCACTCGCCGACGAGGACCCGGTTCACATCCATCTCATACTCGGGCTCGACCTCTTCCGTCGCATCCCGGATGATGACCGGAAGCATGATGGCGACCTTTGTCCCCTTGCGCGCAATCTTCGTCAACGGCCTCAGCGTGCCTTCGACGGAGCCGATGCAATCCAGCACAAATGGCACGCCCTCCTCGCCGACAAACTTTAGAATCTTGTCCACGACGTCAGCGTCACGGTAACTGAACGTCTCCTTGGCACCAATCTCCTTGAGGTAAGCATGGTGCTTCTCGCTCGCCACGGCCAACACGTTCCGGTACCCCCAATGTCGCAACACCTGCACAGCATACTCGCCCACACTGCTCGCCGCACCCCAGACTAGCACCGCATCGTCCTTCTGCTTGGGCTCCCAGCCCTCCGGCCTCGGCCACGGCAACTCCAACCCCAGGTCCGCCGTCGCAGCGTGGAACACCGTGATTAGGTTCGTCGGCACCGTCACGGCCTCTTGAGGCGTAATGTTAGGCGGCAGCTTGGAGACCAGATACTCCGGCACGGTTGCGAAATCCTGGTGGGCACGTTCGCTAAAGTCGTGGAACGCAAAGGTGAAGATCTGATCGCCTGCCTTGAGGCGATCCACACCCGGTCCAACGGCGACGACGGTGCCTGCCGCGCCGCTGCCCATGACTTCCGGGTGATTGCAGAGGAGGCCGCCGTCAGCACGGTGGAGGTCCAGGGGGCTCGAGGCAGTCCACTGGTTCTGGATGAGGACCTCGCCCTCGCCGGGAAGCTTGGTCTCACGGTCGATGAGGATGAGAGGCGCGCGCTTGGCGGGCGTGGCTACGGCCTTGTGCGTCTTTGGGATGTTAACCATGATTGTGAGCTGTGTGTCTTGTTGTGGACGATGAATTGCAGCAAGTCAAACGCGTATAAGTGAAGGGGAAGATGTGGTGTGTGACGCAGTTGGAGCGATGGTCTAGCTTGCACGACATCAGGGCCCCCAACAATAGAGGGGCACTCAGTCCATTTTTGTACTCGGTCGAGTCCCCGCCGACTTGCAACATCCAACAATCGTGTTACCGACAAGAGTAAAGTGCATCAACTCGCAAGCACGCAGTCGGTTTGCTGAATAATAATGGCTGCAAGCCTTCGGCGCCGGGGCCTGCTGTCGTGATTTCTAAGCCAAATGAGTGGTGGTTGGATGTGGGGTCGACCCCCCCATACAGTGCACTGTCGAAAGTCTGCAAACCTGTTCTACATAGTAGCCCCACCACCTTGAGCCGTAACGCTGCTGTGTTTTCCACTGTAGCCCTCTATAATCGTAGCTCAGGAGCATCTGCTACTTACTAGAAATGACCATCAGCGGCACAAGGCAGTAAAACTAAAGAAATAAAGCGCGTACTGCATAAATTCGCCTCAGGTACTCATACGTGTTTAACATGTATCTTTACTAGATGTGTATGATATGATTCTGATTGTCCAAACAGCTGTGTTGGTGGTACTCTGTGAGCGTTTTCAGACATTTGACATGGTACTGTGGTATTCGTCCGATTTGTCCTCACCGCTGGGCTTGTACATGGGACCTGAGGATCTGATCGTCACAATCACGTATTTTTAGGTGCTATGGAAGCTTCTACCCCAACGTGTCTCGCCGAAACATCAGTTGAAGCCTACCAACCCTGGCATTCCCTTTGTTTACTCTCAACCCTCCCATCGGAGTTCCTGCTCCGCTTTCACTGCAGATACTACACTTGCAATTGACGAATGAACGAGCTCGTATCGGCGTGGCGCTAAATCTACTCGAAACCTCTCGAGCCCGTGCATGACGCGCGTTATTGCATCTAGACATGCATTCTCTCTTCAACTTTCGACAAACAAATCTCAGATCGAGACAGACGGTAGACTCTCTGAACCAATATCAGATGGTGGCCACGCATGGACTAAACCTTCTCTGTGCCTTGCTACGAACACAAGTTGCTACCGACGTTTCTCTGTTTGACTTTCACGACGCACTATGTACCAAGGCTTGTACTCTTTGCGGCAAATTTGGGTGATTTGTATCCCTCCTGACCTGGACTCGATGTTGCTTTGTATGCCCCCAAAGAGCTCCGGCAACTCAAGTCCAAACTCTTGCCGCTGTCCGGGAGCAATTCCACTTCACCAAGGCCGAATTGAACCAACTGATGTCACTCAAGACTTTGCCTGGAACATACTTGATGGAGGAATCCATATATAAATCTCGCATTACAGTCGTTTCTCTTTATGACGCCATTTCGGTTTCCGGACAACAACCGCATGCACTAGCGCAGGCGTATCCAGCGAACTTTGACCGAAACCAAAGATACAACTCCATAGGGTCTTGTGCACTACCTTACTATGATAGACGAACCGGAAGAGTCGAATACGGAATGTCATGTGCTGGGTGTCAACTCGCTCTCGAAAAAGACATTATCGGCTCCAGGGTCGAGGAACGGGCCCTCGAGGCTCGCAACATGGTATATGCGCGAGACGGCTTTTTGGAACATTCTCGGTGGTGTGAACAGGCACAGCTGCTGTGGAAAGCGAGCGACAAAGGTAACAACCAGCCACCCAAGCTACCGGAGGCTGCTCGGAGAAGAGGCTTTTTCAATAATAGAGACTGGCAGAGATGTTGAAACTGTTCGCCCGTGTATTGCAAATCAGCTGTCTGCAATGCAATGCGTACAAGGAGAGAGCAGCCAGAAAGCGGACAAATCCCCAGACTACCCAACCTGCAACTTACCATCCCAATGCCACTCCACAGTTTGCAAGTCGTGTTTCGCTCTTCCAAGACCTGTCCATTTGGATCCGTATATTTCACTGGCGAGGTAGTGATTGAAACACTCGGCACCAGCCCATGGTCCGGTGGCCCCACTAAATCCGGTACCCGGAGCGCAGTCGGCAAATATGGGTCCCGGTCTCTGCTTCAATGGTTTTCACGAGCCTGGCTTTCCGGAGGGGACGGAAGCGTCAATCGGGATTTCTTAGCACAGTCGAGCGATGATTCCTTGCAGAGTATTACTTGCACGGTTGGGGCGGTGACCTAGAAGATACATTCTCGCCTCCTCCGCAAACACAACAGACCAAGAATGGGGTTGCCCAAAGACATGAAGAAAGAAGATCAATTAAAGACGTAGTAAAATTGGGTATCCGTCGGGACATAACATTCGTTCATCTAACCATGGCCTCAATCTGCCACATGTATATCTATAAGGAACATTCCGTCGATGCCGACAGTTGAGCGGGGTGTCGACCCAATCCTTGGAGTGTGGCAGCCCGTGAGACGTTTGGCAGCAGCATACGACTTCCTCCTCTCTCTCCCCAGTGATTATCCAGCTCTGGCGAGCCGTACCTTGGCGCCTTTTCTCAGGCGACGAAGTATAGACTCTCCCTCTCCGCTGATGCTGCGGCCCCTTGCTCACGGTAGACTCCCTAGTCCCCAAGGTCCGTCTCTGCCGACACCGCATCGCTCAGCGAAGCCGTGCAAAAGAAAAAGAGACGAGACCATTGTTTTTTTCTTTCTTTTTTCTTCTTCTTTTTGTTGTGTGTGTCTCGTGAAAGGAGATTTCCCAAGCGGATGTAAATGACCCGTCAAGGTCCCCGCGGGGAAACCTTGGTCCCAAACTCCATGATGAAAAAACGCTGCGCCGCTGGTATCGTTCTGGCTTTCGAAACAAAAAGAAATCCGGTCCGATTTTGCAAAAGTGTCGAGGGGCCTACATGCGCGACGGCATGTTGAGGACGTTACAGCCCATGGGCCCGACGGGGACCGTCCTTTGTGTCTGGATGCCGTGCTCGAGGTCGTAGCGGTAGGTGGGCGGGTGGCCGACGTCGCGGAGCGCCTTCTTGACCCGCTGCCTCACGGAGCGGCGTTCCTTCGGTGCTGCGGCGGCCGATTCGGAGACGACTTCTGGCTCTTTCTCAAAGGAGCAGACGGTCGAGGTCTCGGAGAAGGTGGAGGGGGCGTACGAGGTTCTGTCCATCTTGGCGGTTTTGTTTGTTGAGGTGGTTATATTGGCGGTGATGGCGGTGATGATGATGGTCAAGTCTGATATGAGACTGGTGGTGCAAGCGGTGATGAATGGCTTCTTGTAGGTGTTGCAACTGGATTGATAGTTGTGCAGTGGAAAGTGTAATTGATTGCTGATGCAGGCCAAGAGAAACCATTGCCATCAGCTGGCGTCTTGAATGCTCTTATATGTCGAGCGAGCGGTGCACCGCCCCCCCTCGACGCCATGGCATGCAATGTCACCACATCCTGTATGCATCCCCCCCTCTAGGACTTTTCTCCCACCAAACCAATGGCGCGGATTCTACCAATACGGGCGCAAAACAGGTATGTTCCCTTTCGCGTTTGCAAGGCTTCCTGGCAAAAGGCCACCCAACATTGCCAATCCATCCCATGTCGGCACACACGCACGCGCACCACGTACACGTCCCCCCATTTCCCAATTCATCAGATAGCGAACCACCCCCGTCATTCTTCCCAAACCGCCCGTCCAACCAGACAGCCGGATGCGACACAAGGGCGGGTTCTCCACACCATTGCGTAAGGTAGCTTTTCCCAAGCCCAGGACGGCGGCACTAGGCGAGTGGTTTGGGGCCTGCGAATGCTTGTAGGCTTGAGCTTATCCCCTCCCTGCCATCGGCTGCCTGGCGTGCTGGTAGCAAGCCAAAGTGACGCCAGTTCGCGTCAGTGCGTCAAGGCGACCCTTTCCTTCTCCTCGACGTCCTCCGGCCGTGAGTCACTGGGCCAGGGTTCGATCCCTACCGTAGTGTACTGGAAGCCGGCCCTGCGTCGTCTGCATCGCCATCTTCCTCGCATAGACCACGCCGGTACCTGTGTCTCTCCCCTGGCGGCAAGGCGGCAGCGCGGCAGATGAGCGGTCTCTCCGTCCCATCCATCACCAAAGACAACGGCAATTCAAAGTTTCGCTCCTGAAGTGCCAAACTATCGCACGCCACAACTGGCATCTTGGCAAAGACTGGACACAGCCTCCCAAGCCATGGGGGACGCACCATGGGGTTCCCCGGCCGTCACAGCGTTGCCATTCATTCGGAACATGACCGTAGTTTTTTCTTTTCCTTCTTCGTAAAGAATCGTAACCGACTAGGCCCTGGTCACTATGATTATGTTTACGATCGCTTGGCAGACTCATACCGACAATGTGACGTGGAGATACACGCAATCGCCATCCGTTCCAGCCACGCATCCCGGCCCCCGAAATGAGAGATCTTCTCCCGTCGCCAGTCCTCCGGGTACGTTCAGCGACAGTGACGGACCACCCCCCGACGCGCCGGCGGGATGGTCGCCTCGGGAAGCCTCGGCCCCCAATGGGGACGATTCGGCTCCCGGCACCACTAATGCCGCAGCAAGGCGCGAGTGACAAAACCTTTTTTCTGCAATTTTAAGCTTCCCCTGCTTGCGTAAGGCCCATCGACTCACAAACCAACAACAACCGCCCTTAGCGTGAAATCTAGGACCGTGTTACACGGCAGTTGTGGGGACCACGTGGTGAGAAGACGAGAAACTGGCAATATTGGCCTGAGTCACCTGGCCGACAAGGGTGGGGGGGAGAAGACTTTCCATGACTGACGTTTGTTGCATATTGACAAAGTCCTGGATCATCGCGGGGCGGGTTGCGTGGGCTCTCGGAGCGAGCCAGGAACACGCACCAGGGAGCCCGTGACGACGACCAATGTAAGCGCTAGCTCGCCCGAATGGGCATCGCCTGCAGGACTTTGCAGCATGGACCACGACAGCCGGTGTGGGCATTTCATTTCATCCGTCTGACGAGAGAGAATTTTCCGACAGACTTTTTTCCAGGAACCTGCGTCCGGGAGGGGTCCTCGCACGCGGTCACTGCGAATGCATGTCCCCAAAGTTCTGACAGCGAGCCTTGGCAAAGGACAGCGTTTTTTCGACTCGGGACAGATGAACGACACGTCTCAAGTCCTACGAACCCACAATCTCCTTTGAGTCCTTCGTATACGCGCCCGTCATCACAGTCATCACAGACATTCCCCCCCCCGTCAGTGACTCCATCTCTCGGCGCTTCTGCACCGCCATTCGTAGACTCACTTCCTCCCATGCGGCTCCCCCGCGACGTAGTCATCTACGCGGCTCCAAACCCGCAACTCCACCTCCCCCTGGTCCCCTCTAAAAAGCTTGTCTCCAAGACAAAATAAGCCACGCCAGCCGATCTGATCCCCTTGGCTACCCTCCCGGCTTGGCTGCCGACGTGACAACTTCAAGGCAACAAGCGCTCGCTGAAACCCGTGCCTCTTTCCTGATGGTGCACCGCCGAGCGCCAGGCTTCCCTTATGCGTCTCCCAGGCTCCCGTCCAGTTCCCCTGCTGGAGCACAATGGCCTATCGGGACCAAGGTCCCTTTCTTGAGACGAGGCTAGCGGGCCGGACTTGGATCGGGGGGAAGTAAGTCACACAGGCGGACGGTAGTCGCAGTAGGTTCAACGTTCGAAACTTGCCAGATGTGAATATCCTGGGTGAGACCAAAGGTACTTTTTCGCGGCCGATACTCGCCCCCCCCCCCCCCCCGCTTACCTGTTCTGGGTCCCTCGTCTGGCTTTAGACCAGTTGTCAAGTGTCTGCTGGGTTCTGGATCACTGTCCATAGCCGGTCTTCTTTTAAACCTCGAACCAATTCTATCAGAGGGAACCCCTTTCAGACCCCTTGGAGTGTTTGGCAACAAGGCATCCCTCAAGCAAGTAGGCTTGTGATCAAGACGGTATCAGGGGGATCGGAATGTCAAAAGCCGGCGGAGGCGAGGCCTCCTCTCATTGTCTCAATAGACTCTCCTGTGGCAAGCTTTGGCTCTTCTGTTCGAGCACTGCTGCCTCCGCTTCGACCTCGAATTCGTTCGCGGGAGTGACAATGACGAAGGCGGAGAAGGCGTAGGTGATGGTACAGATGGAGTACACGGCGGACAAGTGGACGGGGCCATCAGAGCTAGCAGTAAAATCATGTCAGGTCATAATGCGTAATTTACTGAGCGGTCTACCCAGTACAATCTCATGCAGCCTCTTCCTCGACCCCCAACGCGGCACCCTGCACAGCCCCGCCATCCGGCTTCTCCCGCTCCGCTTCGGGCTCGGCGTCGTCCTTGTCCACGTCCGCCGGCCGCCAGACGTCCCCCCTCAGCAGCGTACACGCGGCGCTCAGCATATCCCGGTGCTCGCACCCAATCCTCTCGCGCAGCGTCGCCGCAACGTTCATCGTCAGGCCCGGCAGCACGCTCGGGTCGCCGGCCTCCCAGCGCCGCATCTCGTCGTACGTATCGTCGAGCAGCAGCTTGGCGTGGTGGTTGGCGTCCTCGTCCCCGCGCACCTTGGAGTGCAGGAAGAAGACGCCGTGCCGGATGGTGTTTTCCGCCATGCAGACGCCCATCTCGACGACATCGGGCCGCGAGACCCCGCTCCTCGGTGCCCTGTACCGCATATACCCCTGGCTTGTCAGGTGCGCGAGGACCACTATGCCCGCCAGCTCTTGGGCGGGCAGGTCGCGGACGTGTGCTATCTGACGGAACCGCACGTCTTGGCGGTTGGACTCGTGAACCTCTTTGAGGGCCAGGTGCCAGCCGTCGGGCGGCGGAGCGTCGCGCAACATGATGTCTTGGTTGATCAGAGACTTGACGCAGGGGTCGCGCCGAGGCACGACGTCGTCTCTATACCTGATGGAATGTGTTTCCAGGTCGGCGATTGTTGAGCACTGCCACAGGGCGCGCTTGAGGTTTGCGCGGATGGTGTCTGCTTTCGATGCATCCTGGAGGTCGTATTCTTCCCAGAACGCAAGGTATGGGCCGCTGACAATCTCTTCAATGTTGCGTTGCCTGATCTCCAGTTCCCGGATGGTCTCGAACGTGTCTTTGGGGAGCACTTCTCGCTCGCGCGTGTCGGAGGCGAGGATGTGATTACAAGGTGCGCAGGGGTAGCGGGCGGCGTTGAGTCTGGTTACAGCGCGCTCGTAGCGGTCAAGGACAGTGCGGTTATCCTTGCATGTTGCGCGGAGAGCCTGGATCCCGGCAAAGTCTGCGTGCTCTGCTACGAGAAGGAGTAGATGTGCAGGTAAGAGCGACATCTTGTTCAAGATGCAGAAGATTGGAGAGGTGGATGTTTGGTTTGGAGCCGTCAAGAGGTTCATTCGGTCAGGGTGCTCGGGTAGGCTATAAAGGAGCCCCAGGGATGTGAACCAGCAGATAGCAGATTCCTGTTGGACTGAGAGGTGACTGCTTCTTTCGAGGGGTACGCGGTTGTACAGGTAGCTAGTACGGGGCGGTAATTGCTCTTGGTTTTGAGCCTCTTGTGGTCCGGGATCTACTCGGGTCGGGGCGATTCGAGAATAGACGTAGATAACAAGCAGAACAAGAAATCGGATACCGGCTGCGGTAGAATGCAATAATGTAGATATTGGGCTGTATGCGTGGGGTTGTATGTGCCTGATAAGAGGTGTATGGGGTGTAAGTGATTCGGTGATGAGGCCCCAGAATCAGCTCCTTCGCTGAGAATATGAGATGAATTGTCAAGTGCCGCCCGAGGGTAGTGGTTCACTGCAGGTGACTGTAAGCCACGTGAGGTTTCCAAAGACTTGAGATGGAATAAATGGAAAGAAGACTGAGCCGCAGAATGAGAATGACACAGGCGCGGTGCGGACCCGGATGCCTTTGAATGATGTCGCGACCGACCATCCGGGTTCTCAACGGACGACGAAGATGCTGCACTCCGCCCCAGAATTGTCCAGATAAAAAAAAACTGGTGTCCGAGATCGCCAAGAAGATGTATTTTGTGCGGCATTTGAGTCATGGGCCCGTCAAATGTACTGGTTGCTGCATCTGTTTGGTGTAAGAGGGCGCATCATGGCAGTTGAGCAGAAGGGAGAGAGAGGGGTTTGCATCGCGAGGCCGCAGTCCAACCCCGCGACTCAACCGGCGCCTGCAACCCCCATAATGTCTGCCAAGTAGAGCGGGTAATCTGGGAAACGACAACAAACCCTCGTCCCAGTTATTATCTTTAACTAGCCATCAAGGTCCGCCAGGGTGTCTGCAGCGCTCTTTGTCAGTCGTCTCTTCCCATTCCGTTTCTGAAGTCGGTCGTGGCGGGGTACCCTGGACAGAGCCGCATCTGGCCTGCTATACGTCGCCGCTTCGAACTCAGGCTCTTGCTTGGACAAGGTGTCGCGCTACACAAGGAGGGGGCAGAAAGTGCGTCCCGAGGTCTGCCAGGCCGAGGCCGTGGTACGTGAAAGCGATCGCAGCAAGCCGAGAGTCAACCATGCGTATATAAAACGACACAATGACGCACTGATTGATGGCCAGCTCGACGGTGTGGTCATGATATCTCTGAGCATACTAGGGCAATCGTACACATCCCTCCGCATTATAGTCCTTGCGCAGTCGTCTCGTGGTACCATCTTCCCGCAATCCAGCCCCAAACAGAGCCTATGCCTCTGCCCAAAGCCCCCGTCACAGAGGACGGGCGATCCAAACTGATCCCAAAACGCCGAAATATGCAATGTCCTTGACTGGGGTTTGTGCGCCGCCAGTTCGAATTCCCGCCATACCTTGGTGCCTACTCCCGCAGCAAAGATGCCGGTTTGAAACGTCGAGCGATATAGAAAAGACAATGTGAAAGGGCTCAAGTGAGCTAGTTTTGCTTCTGATTGCTGGCAGACCGCACCTTCATCTCCACCTTCTTTTGTCCAAGGTCAACAATCCTGGGGACCAGCTTCTTCTGCTCGTCCAGCTCGGCAATGTCGTCGCCTCCGCCAATGCTCACGCTGTTGACCAAAATGTTGGGGACTGTCTTTCGACCGGTCTTTTCACCCAGGAAAGCTTGCAGCTGGGGACCAAGAGGATGTTGGTCGAGTTCGACAACGAACGGCGCAGGCTCGATCGAGTACTTTTCGAGCAGCAGGGTCTTGGCCTTCTTCGAGTACGGGCAGTAGGACTTGGAGAAGATGATGACTATAACAACGTCAGTATGCAGTGATGCGCAGAGGGCAAAGGCCAACCCTACCTGGTGACTTCTTCAGAATGGCGTTCAGCTCAACCTCAACGGCGTGCTCCTCGTCACTCTCGGCTTTCTTCTTCTCGTCTGTACTGTCGTCGGCGACCTCCTTTCCAGCACCCGTCTTTTCCTTCTTCTTGTCTTGCCCAGCGGCCGAATTGCCCTTTCCGACGACTTCGCTTGGCGCATCGGGCTTCAATGGTGACTTCTTGTTCGCGAGCTCCTTGGCCTTGTCTTCGGCGGCCTTCAGCCGACCCGCCATGTCCTTGGCCAGCTTCTCATCGTCTGCGTCCACATCGCCGTCGGCGTCCTTGTCGACGGGCACGTGTCCGACAGCCTTGGGCTTATTCTGATCCAACACTGCCTGGTTTGGCGGCTGTTTATGTTTCAGACCGTTGACTGTCTTGTGGTAGAAATCCTGGATCGTGCGATCATCTTTGACTTCGTCCGCCCGTAGTGACGACGTGTAGAAGAGGACGAAGACAACGCCGATCAGCACACCCACCAGGAGGGTGCGCAGTTGCCTTTGGGAAGGCATCTCGGTGCGTTCGGAGAGGGGGGTGGTTGGATCGGTCGGCGGCCTTGGTAGTAGCAAGGGCGTGCAGAAGCAAACCTGGACTTCGAAGTCGAGAGCTTGTCGGTCGGGGGTATTGAGATGGTCGCGGGCTACAAGGTGGCAGGCAATGAGGCGCAACGATGGGATGTAGTCGAAGAAGGTTATCTGACAGGTGCCACGGTAGCAAAAAGCTGTCGACAAGGCGGCCTGAGACACTTCGGCCTCGACGCAATACGAGCTCCCTGCGGGTTGAGTGTTGCTGTTGAAAAGCAGAAGCCCCAGCGTTTCGGAGCTTCCCCAGCAATTGGACGCTTTGAACGTTTCGACTTGATGGACAAAGTGCAGATGGCGTAAGAAAGACCAGGCGTTTCTGGCGTCGCAAGCGCAAGAATTGCAATGGCGAGTATAGCGTTTGGAGAGAAAAGGGTGCGTTGTCGCAATGGGCGGGCGCTATCGTCGAGTCGAGGAAATGTCAAAAGGGGACAGAGAGGGATGGTGGATGCAGCGTCGGAGGGCTGACGAGCTGGGAGTGGATCGACAATTTGGCTCCCGTGACCGTGACTAACCACTTCTTGCTAGGTACTGCACCGCTGGCAACTAAGTGCGCCTTGGGCTAACAAGCTGGAAGCCAGGGATGCAAAGTACAGAGTACACGATGGACGGCTGCGTCGGAGACGAGGTGATTGGTCGACAGTACCTCTAGGGATTGGCCCGCGGGCATTGCGCGGAAACCTGCAGCTACCTGTATACCTAGTGTAGTAAGGCAAGGCACAGGAAGAGCAGAGGGCGAGGGAGCGCGTAGCTGCACTCTTCCCCCCTAAAGACGGGCGGCGGGAAATCCCCGAGAACGGGCCAAGATTGCAGTACCTACCTCGACCCCGTATCTGCACATCACCATCGGGGACAGCTTTGGTGGAGTCGCGGCTTCATGCACCAATCGGTGGGTCCGACGCGTACTGTGTTGCCGTCAACCCCAGACAGTACGAGCCACCACCAAGAAACGGTACTTTGTACAGTGTCAATAGTAGCAGGTAAACGGTTCGGAAGATCGTCACTCTCAACGCACCGTCAACCCGGCCCCCCGTGCGCAAAGGAAACAAAACGGGACGACTTGAATCGGTTCGAAACAAAAAGAAAAGACATGTCCACTTCCCGCCTACTATACACCTTACAAACCAAGATACTGCAATGCCAACAACCCGGTCGGCCGGATACCTTTGCAGTTAACGGATGACGAAGAATCCAATATGATCAGCACCCAATCCCAAACCCAAGGGATGTAATATGACCCGCCCGCATATCTTGGACCGCTTCAGAATGGAGGAATGCCGACGAAACAGACATTGTCGCCAGGAGACCTGAGCAGGTTCCGGCCACTCGAGACCGCCAGGGGTGCGAGAGGGCGACTGACACACTTTCGCCAACAGACGGCCAGCTTTCCCTGCACAATGGATAACTTCCTCCCACGCCAGACGCAAACAGCGACAATGGCCATTTCAGGGTCCAATTCTTTTCTCCATCAACGATCCGGTTTTTGGCTTTCTCAACAAGTAATACGAGACCTTTTTCGATGCGATTGCACGTCATTTTATAGACAACGCGTCAAGCGTTTGGGAGGAGCATGGTATTTCCTAAACGCTAGAACTATCTCCAGCCCTGTCGTCCCGCTCTCACTTATTAGCATCCCTCGCTGATCCCGCAGCGGGTTTCGTCCGACATTTCGTCATCTTCAACGGCCGCTAAGCCAACGGCTGAAGCAATCTCGTTAGCCAAGCCCAAACTCTGCTAACCCAATAATCTCTCGAGGAACCAGTCCCTCTCATATCTCGCGTTGAAATCTGTTGTGCTTGACGATTGCATGGGCGCGCAAAAGTCGCATCGCCGCATCGACATGCCGACTATTCGTACTATCTGCAACTGAACCGAATCCACCGCCGCCACGCGCCGCCGTCCACTTGGACCGTTCGGTCCCTGGTTGTCCAAGGGTAGTCATGACATATGTTTCTCGTCGTGAAGATTCCTGGGTCTCTGCGCCCGTTGTTTTCAGACGGCCATCTCCGTACTCTGTTGACGTCAAAGATGATTGGTCGTATGGTGAAGGTGCCGATGGCTTTTCCGTGGCCAGATGATGAACCACCGGCACGGCATCTTGCAAGAGCTTCATCGGGGCCGCCTCGGTTCGCCTCAACAGATGAGAATGTTGATGGCTCAAGTGAGCGTGTGTAGCGGCGCGGTCTCTGTGGCGTTGGAGATGAGAATGAAGCGACGATGGTGCGGTTTGGGCTTGTGCCGTGAGGAGCAATAACATTCCAAGATACGCAACGGGCTGCATCTCGGTCAAAGTATCGTTTTGATTTTGTATCGTCGAGGGGCTGGGGTTTGCTGGACCGATGAGCCCAGCGTCTACTGCTTGATTGACGCTAGACTTGTCAAAAATTCTCGATATTGAATGTCTTGACAAGTCTAGAACGAGTCGGAGGTCGAGGGGTTTATAAACAGACCCGACGGTTTACAGAAACCTTTCACTTGTCAGACATATGACGCCAAAGCACACTCAACGTCACGTCCAACGGCACCTAAAATTGGCACACTTGTGCCAACTTCAAACGATGAAAACCTGCCACCGATTGGAATGCTGCCAAGCCAGCACGATTCAGACCCTGTGATGGCTCCCAAAGCCTCGCCTCAAGCCCCAAGGGTCTTCTGTCTTAGTCAACCATCCAACCCCTTCCTTCACAACACCACATCTTTCATGAATGACCTATTCAAATGTCTGGATCCCCCAAAGCCAAGAAACCGCTTCTTGATCCGTTGTTTTATTCAGTCTCGTTGCTCCTGGCTTGGTCTTGGCTATGGGTCGCGAAAGAGACGGTCCATCAGGAAATAGCCTGAGCAAGCGCCCTGACATTAGGGTCCGGAGGCCTTCGCATCGGCCTGCTTACTTTCTAGTTAAAAGTGTTAATCACAAAAAAGCCACACCCTCACACGAACAAAAGCCGTCTCAGCGTAAAAGTGCAGTCGTGCACGAAGGACAAGTCAGCTTGACGCCTGTCCAGCTGAATCCTTCCCCCCCACTTCTGCCTGCCTAAAAGCAGGGAAGAGAGGAAAAGGCGCGTTCTGGGCGATAAGATAAGCAACTTGCCTATTCAGGCCATCACCTCGATTCTGACTGGGCACCTTCGAATTCACTCAGCCCCGTGGACAAGTTGTTCTTCGTTTCCCCTCCTCTCGTGCCCTCCTTTCTCTTCTCTTTTCCACCTCTTACTCGTTTCCTTTCTTCTTCCTCATTCTACAGTTGCTATAACATCGCGTCTAGACCAGACGCTTTGAGACTCAGGGTCCTTCCAAGACATCCCTCTCTACTTTGGTGAAGAAGCCCCCTCCCTCTCCCCTTCCCCAGCCTCCTCCAGACATCCCACTTACACAATTTTGTCGATCCAGACCGCCGGCCTCCTCGCCGAACACTCCCTCCCACCACCGTCAGGAATTTTCAACAAAGGCCACCACCAAGACCTTACGAAACGTCAACGATCTTTCCAGGTCTGGCCCATTGTCGGTAGATCACCCGGGCCACACAATACCCGGTCTCTCCACCTACGCACCACACAGAACGAGCCACAGCCGCCGAGAAACAGACACCAACGATGTCTCATCACGCCGACGAGAACCCTTCTTCCATCTTCCCTCTCGAGGGCGGCTGCGCCTGCGGCAACATCCGGTACTCCCTCAATGCCTCTCCCCTGGTCGTCCACTGCTGCCACTGCACCTGCTGCCAGCGTGAGACCGGCACCGCATTTGCCCTGAATGCCGTCGTCGAGGGAGATGAGGTGACTCTCCTCCCCAGCACTCCTTCGGCCTCACCGCTTCAGCCGCTGGCCTCTTTTACGGATTCCGTTCGCGATGATTGGACTCCGAAAAAGTCTAGACCCAGCGCAACCCACGAGACCGATGAGACGGGCGGCTCTGGTGGTGAGACCGCCGAGTCCAGGCTCGAGGCGGAGATCCCCTCGCCTGTCATCTTACCTGTTCCAGCCGATTCAGGCGCTCCGCAGCACATTGCCCGTTGCCCCCTTTGCTTGACACCCGTCTGGAGCAACTACGATGGAACTGGCCCTTTGATGAAATTCGTCCGCGTCGGTACCCTCGACTCCCCAGCTCTGCTGGGCGGTCCGGACGCCTACATCTTTATGCGCAGCAAGCAGGCCTTCGTCGAGGTTGCTGATGATGGGAAGCCTCGTTTCGACGGGTTCTACCCGTCGAAGGAAGGCGTTTGGAGCCCCGAGGCGTTGGTTCGTCGGGACAAGCTGCTTGCTCGCATTCTGGAGTGGAGGAAGGAGAACGGGTTGGACGTATAAACAGCCATGATCCTTGGGAGGGTGAACATTTTGCGGAACACTTCCACTTTGTGAACATACGACCTTTTTCTTATCTCGTATCATTTCATTGCTTCGTTAAACATCACCGCCGGCACCGCAGCTGAGAAGCCTTACATCAACCCCACCTCCGCCAATCTAGTTCCATAGCAGATTCGTCATTTCGAGTTGTGAGATCTTATAAGTTAGAGCAACCTTAAACATTTGAAACCATTCGAGTTTCTCACCTTGCTGACAAGCGATATTGTGCTTGCTCCTCTCCCAACCATGTTATGTCGGCTTCGCCCTAATGTTCCGATACCCCGACCATGACAATATCTGTGTGGTGCTGCTGACAAATGGCGGTGGCTTGGCGGACGGCGCAAAGACTTCTCGCGCCGATCACAATGGTTGGCCTCGGAGTCCTGCGGTACCATCAAGTATTGGCAGAATCGAACCCTCGCAGCTGTTTACAATGGTGACCTACAGGTATGAAAAGGCGTGATATTATTTACTTCATGCGGGCGAGCAGGTACTGACTGCATGCTTTCATCTTGGGTAAACTCTGAATTGGATGCAGACTTGATTAGGAGATAAGAGATTGCAACCACATCTTTTACCAAACCATCGCAGCCAACACATGGGAAAGCACCTTAGGAGTCCAAACAGTATTTGCTGATGTTTATGGTCTTGTTTTCGCACTGGCAGCTGATGTATTTCCGGAAGCGTTGGTCTGAGTTTTGTTCAGTATACAAAAAGTCGTGGATACCCAGCTTGAACAGGACTCCAGAGTGTTATCTGACAGTGCAGGCGCCATAAATCACGCATCGAAATGAACCTCTGGGTATCAATGACTGGTATTCTTGATCCAAAACACCAGAAGACACAAGCCGGCAAGTACATGGTAGCAGGCTTTAGCGGTGGTTCACACATATCCCACCGTCGCTCCTCGCGACTTCCAGTGTGCCGATAGACGATCGGTCTCGTTGCATTCACCCCTTTCCATATGAGCCGATGGTCTGGTGACCTGTGCAGCGAAATAGCTGGCCATGTTCATCTCTGGTTCACCCCCTGTGCACTATTCTTTCCTCGTCTCGACAAGCATCAAGTGCCGTAACTCACCACGCTGAACGACATCTACCGCTCTAGAACCGTGTAAGAAACACGGATTCACGGGCATTTAGGCTGATGACATAGGCGCGGCGTCCGTGTGGCAGTCAGTATTCTGCGTAATGATTCTCTGGCGTAAAACTCTCAAGTTTACGTGGGGTGATTGTACAAGGCCAAGTCGGGTCACCGCAAGGCCACATGACCAGCAGAAGAGCACTTCGTCACTCACTACACTCCCCATTCCGCTTGTTCCTGGCGGCGGGGGACAGTCAATTGATGGGTGACACAGAGTGTCTACTGTACACTCCAGTATGGTGCTTACAACATGCCTACACCGAGGCCCGTGATCTCCCACGTACAATTCCAACCTTCCGGCCCGGATATTACGACGAGGATAAAAGGCTTGCAAGTTACATGTTCAGGGCGGTGTTTCTTGGAACCGTTCGATGCCATACCTCCAAAGAAAAAAAAAAAGAAAAAAGATTCCGCAGACCGAGAGCTGTTTCCCACCCTCTAGAAGCCAGCTGCGTTACCCTGTCTTGCACCTTGAATCTCAGTAGACCTGCTCTCAAACATGCGTCGAAGCAAGTCCCTAGTACATCAAACACGTTGCGTCGGTTGCCGATTGCTCTTGACGGCCAAGCAGACCCTCCACCTTGGACGTCATCAATTTACAAATGGCCAACAGGTTGTCACCCCTGAGCCAGCTTATCGCTTTCTCATCTTCGCTCGACGTCTCCTGTTCCGCCGATACCCACATGCACGCATATAAGCACAAGAACAGAACATCATGGACGGCGCGATTTAATCAGCAAGTTGTCTCTCATTTCGACTTTGGCTGTTGGGATATATCCTTCGATACCTGACTCTCTCTGTCTCTCAATTCCCCTCAAAAATGAACAAAGCAACAAAATTTGTGCGTCTGTGTGCGTTTGTAATGCGATCCGATGAAAACAAAAGCCCGTCCCGTAATCCCCGGTTTACGAAGGAAACGAAGGAAAAAGACTCCAGAGGGATTTGCGAGAAACATGAAACTTGCAATCAATGTTTCCCAGCCCAGTCCTTTCGCACTACACACTTGAACCCCAGGGATTGTTGGTCCACTGTTTCCAATTCCCTCCCAAACGCCGTTCCCTAAAAGCAAAACACACAGTTGAAAGTAGAAACTATCATTACTTTGATGATGTCGGGTCGAACAATACTGACAATGAATGAAAGCAGAAAGCCACCAGAGCTTTAGAAAATAGGAGTGCCCGGGGCAAAGAGGTTGAAGAAGAGCCCCTAAACGGAAGATGAATGGTAGGAGCTCGTTCGAGAGCTTCGTAAAATGCCCTCTCCTCAGACCAGATGGTTGAACGCAGTGGCGATGCCAAAGATCTCCACACAACATGGAACGAATAGCAAGCCACCTTGCAAATCAGGTGGCTAGGAATGAATGTGACGCCGTACTTTTCGATGTGCTGTTGTTGTGTCATGCAGGAAGAAAATAGTCCAGCATTTCTATCCAGACCAGTCGTAACTGTCGTTGTCGTCAAAGGATTGTGTAGGTTCCGCACGCATGTAGACTATGCCACAGGGCGGGTTCTTATAGGTGAGGGTTTGCTTAACCAATCTTCCGGAAGCCTTCGACCGTCAACATTGGGACCTCCACCTCACTGAGGCCAAGAACGCCTTCATCCCGTCTCCGATCGACGAAGCCATTGCACTCAGCGACGATGATGCTCCACTCTGCAAGGGCGCGGCCGGTGTAGACGGCGCGCTTGGTGTACATGCCTGATGGACGAAGGGGCTGCGTCAAAGGCTCAGGCCCATTTCTGCGACTCTCAGACTTCTGTTGCTGCTGCTGCTGGTTTTGAGGCTGGGCCTGGGACTGATGCTGAGGCTGGGGCGGCGGCGATAGGGGCGGCTGCTGCTCTTCCTCGGCCTTGCTCTCAGCAGGCGATGAAGCCGTTGACGAGGCGGATGACATTGACGACGCTGAGGACTTCTCTGCGATTTCAAAGTCAAAAGTCATCAACTCCGCGTTGGGGTTGTTCTCAAAGTCGAACTTGTTACTGAGCCTGCGTGCCAGCGACGAGGAGGATACAGCGGTGACGGACGACTTGCGTTCAAGCGTGGGAGAGGCAAGCGGGCTAGCGTTCTTGGCTTCGTCGACGAGACCCTTCTTTTTGGAACCAGAGACACGCCGTGTGGGGTCCGGAAGACCAGCGGGCGGCGGAGGAGGCGAACTGCCGCTTCGCGACCGGGCACTGACCCACGCTTGCGCTGGGGCGGGAAGACGCGGGCGGGTGAGAATGCGGTCACGCGGCTGGGTGACGGCAGGGGGCTGCCAGGTCAGCGTGAACTTAAAGACGAACTTCTGCTCCATGAAGATGGGCGAAGCGCCCGGGGAGCTGCCATCTGAGGCCGTGGTAACAGCGGAGGCGGTGGAAGTGGAGATCTTGGGCGGCAGAGGCGGGCCTCCTTGACGACGTTTGGAGAGTGCGGAAGGCTTCGACGGCGCTTCCTTGCGTGATGTCTCGCTGTTGTCCTCGCTATCCGAGCCGTTGCCCCCCAAAGACAGGACCTTTCCGAGCAAAGACCAGCGTTTTTTGCTGTTGTCTGCCTTGAGAACAACCTCCTTCGTCTCGGGCGGCGCTGGCGTTGCCACAACCCCTTCGCCATTGACAATCTTGGAGAATGAGTCGAAGGGCTGATTGAAGTAGCCAGGCTGCGGAATGTTGACTTCCGTGCGAATGATCATTAACTTTTTACCCGGGGTAGGGAGACAAGGCGAAGTAGAGGGAGGGAGTTTCCCGGTGGCATCTGCGGCGTTGCGGAGGTAGAGGTAATGAGCCCAAACGGTCTTGAGCCGGGTGGCAGCGACGACGAAGATTTGACTGTGTGATGTTAGCGCCTAAGCATCGTTTCTCGTGAAAAACACTGTACTTACGCATCAACCTCGTTCGCGCTGCCAGCGTCTCGACAAATCCGCCAGCAGAGCAGGCGCATGTAGTAGCTACGCACCATCGGGCACCAGTGGTTGAAGTAGGCGTCGAATGTCTCCTCGGAAAGCAACCAATCCAAACACAACCTCTTCTTCCTCTCCGGGTTCGCAGTGACTGCTTCCCAAGTTGAGAAGATGAAAGAAAGCAGTCGGACTTCCGTCATGGCGTTGTCGGAGATGAGCATTTTCCTACACACGTCGAGCCAGAAGGGCCAGTCAATGCTCTTGGCAATGTTCGGGTTTTCGAGATCGTCCAGTTGGTCGTAGGCCACCAACACCTCTTCCAAGAAATCGCACAGCGTGAAAACAGCGCTGTGGTCAAAAGCAGATACCCGGCGGGTTGCAGCGCGAGTTACGGCCAGGAAAGCTTCGGCAAAGGTCCGTCGCGCGGCAGCGATGACAGGTAGTGATTCGCCCAGAATATCCTTCAGCAGCACGATGAGCCGGTTCTCGGCCATGTTCTTCAAGAGGTTGCCTGGGACTGTCATCGAAGTCGCAGCGGCATCGGCCCCGTAAAACGAGTCTGTGGGCGGGAGCGGGTTCATCATCGCGTCCACTTCAGCCTGTCGATGGATGGTAGACTCGATGCAGGCGAGAATCTGAGCTTGAACCAGGACGAAGCCCGGCGAGCGCGCTTTTTCGAGCAGTGGCAGCCCCGCGGGCATAAACTCCTCGGACAGAATGTGATAATACTTGCAGAAAATGAAGAACAAGTCGGTATCACCGCCGCGCCACCTGGTTACCCAAGGGCTGAACCAAGGGATCCTCGCTGCCATAACCGAAAGCTTAACCCTCTCTTTGAAGCGGGCGCTGATGGTCTTCTGCGATTGCCAACCAAGCACTCCGACATTTGGCGGGAAAAGCGCCATGATGTCCTCGCTTTCGCCGCCGTTCTTCTTGGGCAAGCCGAACTCATCAGCTGTCCGCCTGATGAGTTCTGGCCGCAGGTCCCACAGCCGGACAAGGATCTCGGCGACGGAAGGGCAGAAGAAGAAGCCATATGCGCAGGCCTTGCCGCACCAGTTGACCAAACTCAGAGGCGCATGTCGGAGTGACATCTTGTCCACAACGATCTGCATCTGCCTCATGAGATTGCTCACAAACATGGTCCGGACATTGTGCTCGGCTGATTCAGCAAGGAAAGCCTGGCTGGATGCTTGTGACGAGTCCGCTGTCGACTCGGTTCCCGATCGAGGCCGAACACGCTCGTTCGGTGAGCGGTCCGTCAAAGACATGAAATATGTCGTCGTCTGTCGCCATTCCGGTCGCATCATGAGCATCGTCAAAGCTTCAAGCAAAACCGGTCGGTCGACACCTGCCAGTTGTTGATTTTGCGAGTCTAGCATCTCCAGCAAGCCGCTCCACCACTTGTTCAGAACAGTCGCCCTCCGCTCGACATCCTCGAGGTTGAGTCCCTTGTTGGTGATGTGATTCATATAGGTCCGCAAAAATGGCAACAAGGTTACGCGTACTAGGTGCATCCGCTGGGCCATGTTCTTCGTAGCGAAACCTCCGTACTCAGTGTCGATCGTCTTAAAGGCAGACCAAATCGTATCTCTGTTGACTGACATTTCGCTGCACGACTCGTCCGTCGCCGTGGCATGAGACTCGATAACGGATGCCGGTTTCGACTCGGGGTTTTTGATGTTGTTAACGCTACTGTTAGTGTCCTTCCTACCGCGCTGATCACTCCCTGGGGAGGCGCTGGAGGGCGGCAAGCTGTTTGTTAACACAGGTGCACTGTTGGCGTCCGAGTCGCTGTTTGATCCAAGTGTGATGAGCATACTTTTCGGCCGCTGCTTCATCTTGGTCAGGAACGTGCTTGTCCGGTTGAGAGCGCGAGTGGGTTTCAAGGACTCGGCGCTCTTCGCAGCGGCAGAGTCTGGTTCGACAAGCATAGAGATGGGCCTCTTGCGCGGCGACTCGGCCGCTTTGATGGAATCGCTGCTCGAGGCCCTGCTGCGGGAAGGACGAGTTAGAGGTGGAGCGGGTGGTTCTAGCTTTCTCTTCGGAGACGGGGAGCGGGAGGTGGACATCCATGACTTCTTCGCAAAGGTAGCGAAACTCTCCGATACCGTTCTGGGGCGTTCAGGTTCGACCGGTCGCGTCGGTGCCACCGGAGCGGCGGATGACACAGCATCGCCCACGTGGTCTCCGGCGTGAGTGCTGGGCCGTTCCGGCATGACGGGTCGCTCGGGCAGCGGCGGTTCCTTGACTTTTGACGGCGATCTCGACGATGGCAGCCATGATTTCCGTCGCTCCATCAACGATGTCCTCCTGCCCCTCTTCTGCAGCTTCTCGTTGTCCTTGTCCTTCTCCTTCTGCTTCCCCTCTCTCGTGTTTTCCTTGTCATCGTCTCTTGCAGGCTTCGACAGGTTCGTCGGGTCTGATCTCGGTGTCGTGACGGTCACTGCTGGTGCCGGCTTCTCGTTTGCGGCAGTTTCCTTGGACCCCTTGCCGTCGAGATAGAGCCTCGTGTTGAATTCGGGAATTGTGTCGAAGGACGGCAGCTCGAACGCCGCCCGGCCCTGCACGCTCGGCCCTCTCTGGCGTGTAGTTGTTGTCGATGCTGTTCCTGCGGGTGCAGTGTCAGGGCGGTCATCGGATGTGTGTGGTCGGTGCAGGTAAGAAGCATTTGCTGATTCGACAACGGCCGGAGCCATCGTCAGCGTCGGGCCTTTCATCTCATGGCAGGTCCCACCACGCAATTAGAGGGAGTTTCTCTCCCCGGCCACTGCAGGAGCTGCAGCTGTGGAGGATGCTGCTGCCCGCCTCGAGCTTGGTGGGCTGTTATTTGCGATTGCGCCGGCAACTGCAACCTAGAACATGCGCTTGCGATTGGGAATGGGAGAGATCGCTTGGGTAGGGGAAGGGAGGGCCGGTCGGAATGCTCGGTGTCACGGTAACACGGCGTCTGGTGCCTCCCAAGGTATGTAAGGTGAGATATGAGGTACAGTAAGGTAATGTAGGCAGGTTCTGGATTCCTCCCCCTCAATCCGACTTGACAGAAAGAAGACCTGGGGCCAAGGTGTGTACAGTTGAGGAAATGTTTTTTTTTGGTTTGTTGGTCCGTCGGCAGGACGGTATCTCTGAGCCGGCAGAGGAGGGAACCAGATACAAAGGCGGGAAGAAGAGGGTCGTTCGTTGGGTAGGTGTGGATATGAATAGCACGGGATCCGCAATCGGCAGGTACAGAGAGTAGCAGGTACTGGCGTGTACAGTGGGCGGAAAAGGATGAACGAGTGACTGGCGGGTGAGGCGAGGTGAGGCGTCCCAGCTGTTGCTCTGTCCCTTCTCAGGTCTGGGACTGGGGCTGGGGGATTCTGTGGGTGTTTGTGGTGGTCTGGTTTGTCTGGGATGGGGGTTTCTTTCTTTTTCTTTGCTTTGGCCAGGTTGCTACAGGGTCCAATCCAGGAGCCGCTTCGTCGGGGATGGTCTGTCGAGGAAAAGAGACAAAAGAGGAGGCACGGAGTCGAAGAGTCGAGAGCCTGAGCAATGAGAAGAAAGACGGGATTCTGAAGAGGTGCAGCGGGACGTGACAGTCGGGGGGGGAGGATTCCCTGTCCAGTCCGGAGCTGGGACGTTTCAAGTGAAAGAGCGATAAAATAGCGGAGCTTTGGAATTATAACGACCTCCACCCTTTTCTTTCCTTCTTTCTGGGATTTGGCGAGGGGAGGAACGCGCGCCGTATTGTGACAAGACGGTGGATGATGTCAATTCAACGCCGTTGGTTGCTAGCCGATCCCAAGAGGCTCTAATGTCGACGGGGACGGACTGTACCGTACAGGACTCGATCGACCAGTCTCAGACGCAAAACGGAGAAGCAAACAAGCGAGGGGAGGAGAGTTGGAAGGGTAGCGAGAGTCAGGCCTTTGCTGGGACCAGGGTGCGGGAGGACGGGAAGGTCAGAAGGAAACCTTTCCGCAGCAGAACAGAACGGCGACGGGAAGCTCCTCAAGGCAGAGGCGAGGAAGCCCAAGGAAGATCGAATAATCGGGAGACGGGACGAAGGGGGGAGGGGAGGGGGGACAGGGGTGTCCGCAGGCGCGGTGGCAGTAATAATAGAACCCAGGAGCGCGTATACATAATACGTCAGTGGGATCTGGTATTAGCAACTGGAGTAGTAATATTACGCCTACTATGCCACATACTATGTACTAATCACTAGACTACGTACTCGGACTGGAGTAACCATGAACCAGGCCTCTCTGCACTTGCACTTGGCCTTCGTCCTCGACCCCGACTCCGTCTCTACTCCCTTTACACACACACATATGCACAAGAAGAGACGAAAAACCCGCCACTAGGCCGCAAGATTGCGAGGCCGCGAACGCAAAAGGCTGGGCGGGCGCCGTCAGACTCAAATTTCGATCAATCATCAGATTGGCCCGCCCCACGACTGAGGATAAGACGGTGTCAGGAACTCAGCTCCAGCGCCAACACACAGACGCCGTCCTGTTCCTGAAGCAGTAACGGCTAAAATAAACGTTCGCCCCCCGTCTGGTCTGATGTGAGAATGGTAAGGGCTCCTGCAGAGTCAGGATCGCTCCGTCGAGCAATACATGAGTATATGTGTGAGATGTGTGACCGAGAGCGACGACCTCCCCAAGGCGCTGCGACAGGCACCAGCCAGGCCAGCCAAATCAAACGCAAAGGAGCAATCTCGTCGCCTCATGTACTCTGTATACACACAAAGGTCGCCCCCCCCCAGCCTCCTCCCTCGCCGTGGTGTACAGCACCGCATCGAAGCTAACTCGTCCTCGCTGACGCTGGATGGGTGGACAGGGGATGGTTGATCGCCCAGCGCCAGCGGGGATTAATACGAACGAGGGTCCGCCTTTTCTCAATCCTTCCTGCCAGTGCCGGCCCACGAACAGAGACAAAAAAACCTGCCTTGGCCCCGGGCAGACCCTGCAGACCGAAAGATGCCTGCAAGGAGAGGAGTACCTAGAGAGGAGAGGACCTCTGGGTTGCGTGCCTCCTCCTCCTCCTCGTACCAAGCAAGTCTCACTCGTCGTTTTGGCATTTGTGCCGACACGCAGAAGAACACCAGTGCCGTAGCACGCTCTCCATGCACATACACACACACACACATACATACATACATGCATACAGAGCAGCGGTGGACACCGGTCAGTGCACAACTGACATTCCAGCCAGCACGTGCCTGTCAACCGGGCTTCTCATGACACGCAAAGGAGGCTTCGATACTCGGCCAAAAAGACCCTGGATGACCTTGGTACCCTCGCGTCCGTCTCCATTTCTCTACCGACGAACTCGAGGGACCTGAGAGTCTGAGACCGGGCACGCTCACCCTCCTTGCACACGTCAGTCACCTTTGGGGATCTACCCGTTGGCGGTTGGCTTGTCTTCAATTGCTTCCCACCACCAAAGCCCCTGGCTGGGGCCAAGAAGCATTAGCCACCGGCTCCAACGTGTCTCGCCGATCACAAGGGGATTCGTCCAGCGCAATCTGCTAGCGTCGCGAGGCGGTGCGGCGTCCTTCCATGTAGTGTAGGCTCAGCCTGGCAAGCTTCTTGTCCGGCCGCGAGATGGAGCCCTCCCCTTTGAACAATCAAAAATCTCTCGGGAACGCACAGATGATCAGCAACCAAAGTTCGAACGCGCTGCCGCGCTTCGAGTCGCGTCTATGGAAAGCTAACACCCGCAAACGATGGACCTTGAACCCCCTCGCGCTCCTCGTTGCAACAAAAGTGTTTGGGCGATTCTTGTCTGGCCTTGTCCTGGCTCAGTGCGCGCGCAAGGCGGCGCGGGAGATCAAACACAAAAGTCGGCCGTCACTGACCCGCTCGCTTCATCGGCACTCGGCAGGGTACAGAGTACCATGGGCAGAGCCAGCATCACGACTCACAAGTCGTCCAGTGTGGGTGGGCTGCCTGCGTGGGGGCTCTCCTTTCGCCTGCTGTATGTACGTTGAAATTCGGCCGAAATTGAGGGCGCTGCAGGTGCGTGCTGCAGCTACCGCCTGCATCAGAGACGGGTGCTCTGCACGCAAGGGAGAAAGGGGCGGCGGGAGTGCTCGACTCCGAGCGTCCAACAGGAGCCGCTGGATTAGAAGTCCGATGCGGTTTGGGCTGAGGTTCCCGTGCCCGACGATTCCGTCCTGTGCACTCACTAGTCTTATTAACGATGAGCGCCTGGGAAACGGCTGTAATGAAAATGTACCTGCGCCCCTTTCGCTCAAACTCCGTGTGGTTTTTGCGAAAGCGCCACAAATTCCCCTCTTGGGACTGTCTGGCTATGGTTAGTCGGCGCGTCGCCGGTACGCAAGGGCCAGCAGGGCTATTGTCCTTCAGCTGAGCAGGCCTTGTCTACGCAGCAGCTGGAATTTGGGGGGAGAGCAAGATCGCAGATGAGAACTTTGTTCTCGCTACACTGGTTGAATGTCTCGGCCAGTGGTGTAGGGTTTGTCTCTGCCTCATACTCAGTGTCCGATACGCATACTGTCGACTGGAAACGGTGTGCCAGCACCTAGCGGCTTGGATGGATGTGCGCCTGGGCAGGACAGCGTCCTAGGTTCGTTCTGCCCGTCATCTGCCCAAAACCCGCACATCGCAATCCTGACTCTGCTTGAAATGCCATGCCTGAAGTCTCCCCTGCCCAGGAGTGGGAACATTAGCTCGTCATTAACCCTCCCACCTTGTACCCCAAGGCGGCTTCTGCCATTACTGCCTGGGACAGAGCACAAGGGCCTTGCCCTGCCAGCCCAGCTTCAGGGCCTGCCAGGAAGGGGGTACCTTGAAGGCAAGATGCTGGTCATAACGCTTTCTCCATAGAACGGACTCGCGGCGTCTGGTCTCTTCACAAGTTCGCATCTGATGGTTCGTCGGAAGAGCTCCAGTCGATTCCACGAATGAAGCAGGTGGCATGGTCGGGAAAAGCAAGCGGGAAATTGGGACGCTTCCGGCGTGTCGAAGAAATTGATAATGTCCGTGGGCAAGGCTCGTGGATCCGGATGGCGCTGGAACACTACGCTCGCGCGCCCAAAACCCAAAGAGCTTCTCGTTTGGCTGTGACTATTGAGCAATTTTCCCCCCGTTCTGCCCCAATCTGCCATCAAAGTCAATTGGCAGCCAAGCCGCTTTAGCGAAGTGTTCCCCTGAAGGCCCTGGCTCCACCACCAGCATCATTGTCAGATCATTGCTAGGTAAGCCAAAATCTCGGGTCTTGCGGTTGGCCGTTGTGGACAGCGGCCGATACGCGGAGGACAGCCCTTCCTCTCGAGCCCCGTCGCCGCAGCTCGCTGGCGGTGAGCCGGACTGTCCGGACAATAATAACGGGGCAGGTTGGTGGTATGGGGTTAACATTGGGCTTCCTTTGAGGCTCCCAACCAAACGGGCCCCTGACGGTCCCCGTAGCGAGAGCAAATCCGTTGCCATGGGGAAGCCCCGGAAGTCTTACTCTGGGACCAACGTCCCCCGTGTTCCACGGGCGTTACAGTCGGCATATCACAAGTCATCATGTGAAGTGTTGCCGTTTCTTCATGCACCAGAGCTATAGAGTATAGAGCAACATAGGTGTTTGGTAATGAGAGGGCAGGATTTGATCTTGGCACGTTGAAATTTTCCTTCAGCAAGAATGGCACAGAGAGAAGCCGATTGCTGTACACACAAATGCCGTTGTCCGGAAAGGACGTATGATGTCAGAAAGCTGGTCTCACTTGGTTAGCGCGTCAATTGGAGGATCCAGAGAATTGCGAATCTTCAGGATCCCGTGGTGAGCAGGAGCGCCTAGCACTTGCGGAGCGCCAAGAGGGGATGCGCTTGGCTCGATGGTAGCTCACGGCTGCGTCCTCGTAGCGAGGTCCAATCCGAAACGACACCAATGCGCAATGGAAGGCACGACAAAATGAAGTCGGATGCTTCGTTTGGTTGCTTCCAACGACAGCGGTCGGATGGCCCAAAGGTTGGGGATCAGGTGCTGCAGAGAGCCGTAAGGAGATCGAGATTGCCCATCATCATTTGGAGATAACGGCAGTCGTCATCCTATCAAGGCGACCGCTACGCCAATATGGGAACGACAACGTTGCAAGCGGGGAGGCCTGTTCCACACACCCAGCGTCATAATGTCGAATGAAAAATCAACACCGCAGACGCGGAGTGTTTCGAGGGGAATTGCGGTCGCAACGCCAGCTTCCAAGTTTGGGTGAAGGTGTCGGAGTGAAGGAAAGATGGAATGTAGAATGGTCATATGGCTGGAGAAATTTTTATCAGGAAGGCGGAATTGGGAGGGGCGCCCAGGCACGGGATAGAAGGGCACAGCTCGCATTTGCAGCCTCGGGAGGTGTCTCGGCCCGACCAATCCAAGTCCCCGCCGGTGCACAGACCACAATCACGACAAACGGCGTTGGCCGGTGCACCTTCCGCCGGAGCTGGGATCTCCCAGGCTCGCCGTCGCCGCTCCCGGTCAAGGGATGCATGGAAAACCGGTGCGGGGAAGTTGAAATTAGTTATGAAAGTCAGGCGGGAAAAGATGGATGGGTCGCCAGGTGAAGATCGACCCTAATCGGTTTCCCTTTACGATGGATGTGTAATTCTACGACAAAACCTACGCATGAAATCAAGAAGGCCTGGCCTGGACACAGCCTCCGCGGCGTCTGTTCACGATGCGAAGCGCCCGCCATTCGTGTACTATGTGTGCTCCCTCACAAGAGTGCTAATCGGGATTAAAGCGTGTAGCATCCTGATTACCGCTCATCTCGCATGGGCCATCGAATTCGGGTTGATCAGGAACACCCCATCAAGTGCTTGACTTTGGGAAGGAACTCTTGTCATGATGTTGGTTCTTCAGCCTTTCCCAGCTCGTAGGGGAATTGTTGACGTTCTGTTGCTTACATTATCCTACCAAAGGAGTCTAGCGGTTTCGAGTGGATGGAGACAGCGGTAACTAAATTGGTTCGGGCAGCGCATGAATGAGGCTGGAGCTGACTCTCTCTTGGCCCGCTGGGGACAATCTGGTGCGGACTTCAAAAGCATGCGCTCCTTGCCACCATCAAAACGGAATTAATCGATATAGACTTCCCGATTTTGCGCTCGCCGCAATCAACGTCCGTATACAGTGAGAGGCAATCAAATCCCAATGAAATTCAGATTGCTCCCCGGCATCCGGGAGAATCATAGTGAAACCAGTACGCCGTGTTAAGGTTTCGGAGCAACGAGGAACCAGAACCCAGAAACAAAACCAAAGAGTAACGCGGCTTCAGGTTGTGAGATAAAACCGAAAGGCAGTTTTGCCTCGTTCAAGAAGCAAGTAGGCAAAGCGTTCGTTAGACTTCAAAAACGACGCAAGGTCTCACCAAATGGGATATCAGTCCACCGTCATAGAATTGGTTTGGATGAAATGTCACCTCTTTGCTCTGATTGGCCAGAATTGAAAACTTGCGGGAAGAAATCCGCCGCCGCCGCCGCCTCGGTTGTTGCCCACCCGTTTGCGGTTACAATAGAATAGCGAACGGGACCGAGGGCAAACTTGTCAAAACCATCATTTATCATACTTAATTGTAATTTTCAATAATTGTTTCCCCTGCCGCAATGTCAAGTCTTTCCTCCGGTATTGTGCGCGAGTCCGACTCGAACAAGGATGAAGCTCCAGCTGAGAAGCTCGCTCGCGGCGATGTTGACCACGATGTCGAGCAGCAACAGAACCCCAAAGCCGGCAACGCTCAAGTCTCTTCAATTTTCAAGTCCCTTGGTATCCTCGATCGTTTTTTGGCCGTTTGGATTTTTCTCGCCATGTTGATAGGCATCCTCCTCGGAAACTTTGTTCCCAACGCCGGGCCAGCGCTCCAACAGGGTAAATTTGTCGGTGTGTCTGTACCAATAGGCAAGTCAATGTATCCGAAGACACCGGAGAACACGTCTGACATTCTACAGCCGTCGGCCTGCTGGTCATGATGTATCCCATCTTGTGCAAGGTTCAGTACGAGAAGTTGCACGACGTTTTCCGAACCCGGGAGATCTGGATACAGCTCGGCTTCAGTGTAATCGTCAACTGGATTATTGCACCCCTGTTCATGGTCAGTGTGGTATATCTTCAAGTCCCATGTTGAAACCTGACTGACGTTAGGAGCATAGCTTGCTTTGTCATGGGCATTTCTACCAGACAAAGAGGGTCTGAGGAATGGCTTGATTCTTGTTGGGATCGCGAGATGCATCGCCATGGTGTTGATCTGGACAAGTCTGGTTCGTAATTCCCCGGTACTGAAAGCATCGGTGCATACTGACGGGTCCGACAGGCCAAGGGAGACGGTGACTATTGCGCAATACTCGTAGCGGTCAACTCCTTTCTGCAGATTGTCCTCTTCGCCCCCGTTGCGCTGCTCTTTATTCGGGTCATCGGCCAGGACAACAGCATCTCCTCGATCTCGTACTCGACAGTTGCATCCGCAGTGGGTGTTTTCCTCGGCATCCCCCTTGGTGCAGCCGTCCTTACCCGCCTGTCGTTGATCTACACCATTGGCACCAAAACATACAGCGCCAAAGTGATACCATTCTTGGCGCCGTGGTCACTGGTCGGCCTTCTGTACACCATCATCGTTCTCTTCGCTTCCCAGGGGTCACAGGTCGTCCACCAAATCGTCTCTGTGGTGCGGGTGGCGGCACCGCTGGTGGTCTACTTCTCCGTCATCTTCTCGGCGACGCTGCTCGTGGCCCGCAAGCTGGGTTTCCGCTACGGACTCGCATGCACACAGGCTTTCACGGCGGCCAGCAACAACTTCGAGCTGGCTATCGCAATTGCCGTTGCAGCATACGGGCCTGACTCGGACGAGGCGCTTGCCACGACCGTCGGGCCGCTCATCGAGGTTCCGGTGCTCCTTGGACTGGTTTACTTTATCAAGTGGTTTGCTCGGCGGTATGGTTGGGAAGACTAAGGCAGAGTCTAAGCAACCGGCGTGATGAGACACAACCACATGCCGGTGTCATGGGTCTAAGAGTCTGCAGGAGCTAGTAGCAAGGTTTGCGGGTGAGGTCGCACCCATGAAGCTGGAGCCTTCCAGCATCTATGGAATATGGCGTTTGAAATATCTGTAAATCTAAAGATCGGGCTCGGAGATGAGCGTGCCGGTCCAGGACATCGTAGATGCCATTTCAATCCTAATCGGAGAGATGTTGCAAGACACGCCTAGAAAGGCTTTCAAGTAAGCGTTATGCGGGCCTCGGGGACCCCTAACGGGTGAACCCCTGCCTCCTTAGCGCACGTTGCACCGCAAACCGGAGGGACCCTGGAGCGCCCAAGCTCCCTGTCACAGTGGTATCTCCTCGTTCCAGACAGGTTCCCGTCTTGCTTCCGACCGCTAGTTCCATCACCAACTCACCTTGTCAACCTCCAATCTCCTCAACTGTCATCCCACGACCAGTTGGAGCAACCGCTCTCCACACCGAATCCTGAAGAGGGTTTTCTGCCGCCAATTTGTAATCGAGCTGCTCGAAGACGGATAACAGCGCTCCAGTAGCGTATCGAACCCTCCGAGCTGGCGTCGAAGCAGTACCACTCGATCCTTCGGAGCTCTTCCCCACGATCCCGCCATGGAGTCGCTTCCCCGTGAGTTGATCGATGCTATCCTCAAGCAATGCGTCGCCTTGGGACCCCGAAATCATATTCTGGACCTGCGCCTCGTTTGCAGGGCCTTCGACCGCTTTCTCAAACCCTACGCATGCCGGACCCTTGCGCTCGAGTTCAGCCGTCTAAGCAAGAACAGCCGCCGCCGGCAACCTGATGTCGACTCCCTCCAGACGATCGGATACCACTGCAAGTCCATGTATATTGACCTGATGGTCCTTCGCGATGAATGTAAGTAGATGGCGACCATCAAAGCCAGCAAGCTAGTACTGACTACCTACCAGTGGAAGTTGAATTTCTGTCCACCATATTCGACAGCATCCCCTCCATGAAGCAGTTCGTCCAGACTCTACAGCGCGAATACTGCATGTCTCCGGCCTCCTTTACAACGCTAGATTATCGGCAAACGCTCGAAACGATACTCTTCAACTGCCAGTTCGTCTCCTCTCTTCGCCTCAACCTACCTTTCCAGCTCGTTGGTCACCGCTGCAATGCCGCGACGATGATCCTCGCGAATACCTTTTCCGCCTTCTCTCGCCGCCCGGAGGACTCTCTGTCACTGAAGACGCTCGTTCTCGAAAATGTCTCCGACCAAGCCATTGTCGATCTCTGGACCAACCCCTCCGACGTCCTCGCCATCATGCGCGCCATCCTCCATCTCGACCACATGGTGCTCTCCTTCCGTCGCCATGAGGTCGATCCGCCCCGCGTGTCCTTCTACGGCACGTGTCTATGGGATCTCATACACAATGCGGATGTCCTGAAAACACTATGCCTATCTGGTACCGACGACGACCGTCCACCACGAGGCCTGAAGCAAACAAAAGCATGGAACATGACTCTGGACGAGTGGCGGGCCCGCGCGCTGCCTCCCCCGCCAGTTACACTGGCCTTCCTGACGGCCCTCGAATTGAAGCGCGTCGAGATCACCCCGTTTTTCCTACGCTGCGCCGCTCGCAATTTCGGCGTGACCTTACGCGAGCTGTATCTAAACGAGGTCTATCTCAAAGCCGAGCAAGGGCAAAATCTCAATGAAGACTCGAAGCAGATTCTCTGGATTGGCCTACCGAACCAGCGCCCTGGCCTTCACGACGACTGGATGGCTATGATTGTGCGCGAATCTTGTCCCAAGCTCGAAATTTGCAGAGCCTCCTTCCTAGGCTACGACCTCTACACCCGTGACGACTTGCCGCCCTCGCCCGCCCCATCGTCCCCAGACTTCGATTTTATTGATCCCTGCGGGCTGGGCCGCTCGATCGCGCAACGCTTTGTCGAGGTCGCCCTTGGCTACCACCAGCCGCCACAGTCCGACGGCAGCCCCGTATGCTACCTCCCGGTACTGGAATCCAACGACTACCTCCTTACCCAGATGCGACCCCGCACCCGTGCGCTGCGGGTCACGGAGTACGACGTGAACGCCTACCAAACAGCCGTACGCAATGGCACCAGCAGTTGGCAGCGCAGCATCGATGGCGTGTTTCCGAATTGCAACAGCGGTACGCTAGAGGAACTTCATTACATCGCCGAAACGGCGTGTCAGGGCATGAACGAAATTCAGCGGCAGCGTAACGAGCACATGGGCCAGGGAGATGAGGGCGGCGGTGGGGAGGCCGGCAATGGCGCCAACGGTGGTGGTGGTGGAAACTTGGCGGAAAACCTCCTGAATTTGAACTTTGCAGAGGAGTGAGTGGGCTCTCGGGATGCCACGGCTTTGAAAAGAGGGCTCAAGGAAGAAGCATGCTGCTGAGCCGGGTTACATCACTACTATCTAATCACCAATCACATGGGACGCAAGCACTGGGGACACGGGTTTGATTGTGTCGGGCGTTGGACGGACGGAACTGGTTTCTCTCAATGGCATCTCAGGCCAGGATATCATGGGTCTCATTGGAGTTTGTTACGAGGCTATGGATAATACCCTTCCCTGTTCTAGAAATTTCAATTGCTTCATATGCCTATGCTCCCTTTTTTTGCCCTTTATGATGATGTTGATCATGACGCTAGTAGTTGTCGACGGAACCTTCTGCCCGACTCTAGCTCGTAAGAATAGAAAAAGAAAAGAAAAAATACGTGCAGCCGCCCGAGACATATCGGCAGCGGCGCTCTAGGCTCGCTCGCGGCGACAGGCTCCTTGGATTAGATAGCTCCAGATACCCAGCAATCATGAGGGTTGGTGGGTTTTTTTTTTTTTTTTTGGTTTCTTCCTTTTCGGTTGCCTCCTCTAGTGTCCGTTGACGCCGTTAGATCCGTTGGTGCCGTTCTGCTGCTCGGCGACAGCCTTTTCGAGGGCCTGCAGCACGTCGCGGCGCAGGTCCTCGACGTCCTCGATACCGCAGCTGATGCGGACGAGGTCGTCAAAGACACCGACGGCCTCACGCTGGTCCTTGGGGATGCCGGCGTGGGTCATGCTGCTGGGGACCTCGACGAGGGACTCGACGCCGCCAAGGGACTCGGCGAGGGTGAAGATGCGGGTGAACTGGCAGAAGCGCTCCGCAGCGGCGTGGCCGCCCTTGATGCGGAAGGAGAGCATGCCACCGCCCATGCCGTCGCGGTGCTGCTTCTTGGCGATGGCGCGGTGGGGGTGGGAGTCGAGGCCGGGGTAGTTGACGGCGATGACGTTGTCCGAGGCCTCGAGGGCGGTTGCGACAGCGGTGGCGTTGCGGGAGGCCTCGCGGGCGCGGAGGTGCAGGGTCTTGAGGCCGCGGTGGGCGAGCCAGCTGTCAAAGGCGGAGGGGACGGCGCCGATGGCGTTCTGGAGGAAGCCGAGGCGCTGCTTGAGGTCGTCCGAGTTGAAGGCGGCGACGCCCATGACGACGTCGGAGTGGCCGTTGATGTACTTTGTGACGGAGTGGACGACGATGTCGGCGCCAAGGTCGAGGGGGTTCTGAACGTAGGGGGAGAGGAAGGTGTTGTCGACAACGACCTGGATGCCGTGCTGATGGGCCTGGGTGACGACGGCGCGGACGTCGACAAGACGGAGCGTGGGGTTCGAGGGGCTCTCGATCCAGACGAGCTTGGTCGCGGGCGTGATGTGGGCCGAGATGTCAACCTCAATCTCGGGGGTGAAGGTCACCTTGACGCCGTGGGCCTTTGCGACTTGGGTGAAGTAGCGGTGGGTGCCGCCGTAGACATCGGAGACGGAGATGACGTGGGAGCCGGCGGCGAGGGACTGGAGGACGACGGCGGTAGTGGCAGAGCCGGAGGAGAAAGCAAGGGCGTACTTTGCGTGCTCGAGGGCGGCGACGGCCTGCTCGAAGTTGTCGCGGTTGGGGTTGCTGGAACGCGAGTATTCGTAGATGCCGACGGGCTTGCCGACGCTGGTCTGGGCGAAGGTCGTGGACAGCGAGATGGGCTCAATGACGGCGCCAGTGACGGGGTCGTGGGGGAGCCGGCGTGGACGGCGAGAGTTCCGAAGTTGTGGACGGGAGAGGGCGCCCGAGGAGGGGTCTCGATAGGGTGCTCGGCGGGCACGGTCATGATTGTTACGATGGAGGGGTTCTTTGGAGGGGTATTTTGGAGGGGTACTGGGCGGGGAGACTGGCGATCGTGGCTTTCAAACGGGTGCCTCGATTTTGGTTTTGAAGAAGACGAGAAGGTTGAGGGTATCAAGAGAAGAAGGGAAAATTGAGAAGGAGACGGCTCGGCGTTTGTGTGTGAGTAAAGTCGACGGTAACCGAGTCGCGGGGTCCTTGATTTCCCCCCCTGTTGTAGTATGTCGTATGTTACGTATGAAGAAGAAAAAGTTGTCGAGGTCTCCGTACGATTTGAGTGGAAATTGCCCCGCTTCGCCGGTAGGCCGAAGAAAAAAAAAATAGACGGTGCTTTGTTTCGGGGGTGCCCCAAGCTCGAAAAACAAATCAATCACGCAATCGCGCCGCCTGCTGACCAAAATGGTGAGTCAATGACCGGTTTGGGGTGCTCAATTGGGGTTCGTGGTGATGAAGCGTCGCGCGGGAAGAGGGCGGGACAAGTTCGTTGCTATTTATCGTCGGCTTCGTGTACTTGGGAGGGGCTCTGTTGAGGAGGGTATACGCCCGCCGGGAATGGGGGGCTGCGACGGTTGAATGAGGTCAAGTTGACAATCAGTCACTCGGGGATTCAGGTGTGGTGGATGTTGAGGATGGCGCAATCCGGAGCTATGCAAGGCACTGAGCTCTTGTAGGCAGGTAATGAGGTGCTCGAGAGAATTCCCCGGGGTAAGGCTATTTAGGGTCGCGCTTGCATGTGCGGTCGATCGTTTGATCGGGAAGGTCTACTCTGTATAACAAATCGAGTAAGGCGAGATCGAATCACATCTTATATCTCGGTCCCTGAATGACGCCTTCGATTGCGAACCCTTTCCAGACTCACCGCCTCGTTCTCGAGCTGACAGAGTCTGGGGGAGCTGAGAAAGCTGGGTTGATGAGCAACATACTTCGATGAGCTTCCGTCATTACAAACCCCGATGATGCGAAACTGTCAAGTTTGCGCCCTGCCGTGCCTGTTTATGGTACCCCGTAATCTGCATTCGCCATGTAGCAGCAGGGTGAGATAAGCTAAGCTGCCTTCTTGTTGGCAGCCAAGGTGACAACCACGCTGCGACGCAAGTTCCTTCTGAATCGGTATGAACAGGGTCGCCGGGGCCTTGGTTCCGCATGCTGACATATCCTCTTCTTGGATGGAATTTTGGCGACCAGACCACAAAGCTGCACTGCATGCGGTGATGCGCCCCAAGGATTGGACAAGAGCCGACCAGACGGGAAGGACGGAGAACCACCGCAAAGTGGAGCCGAGGCCTTCGGCAAGACGGCCAGCCTCGGCCTCTGTTCGACTCCATGACTAATGGTTCTGCTTACATCATCTCCGTTCCTCGAAACAAATACCTAGGTATGTAGCTTAGTATATAGTAATACCCACCGTGCATCAGCAAAGTAAGTGTGAGCTGGCTAGGCTGGCAAGCTGGCAAGATCAAGGTTGGCAGGTTGCTTCACCCTATCAACCTTTTCTACCACCCATCCAACTCCCTGACAGCCGTCTTTTCACCTGAAGTCTGCTTCACTCCGCCCCCAGCTTTGGTGTCTTACCTGTCAACTCTGTCTCCCCTCAAACACGTAAAGTGTCGTATTCCAGCGGCGACCGAACCAGCAAGGCGTTAATCGCAGGGTGTTCTTCTCGAGCCCCTCTCACAGGCAAGTTGACAAATTGCACTGCAGCCGGCGGCGGGCGTCTAAGCTTACCCATGCCCTTGGGACGTGGCATTCCACATGTGCAAGTCCACCGTCGCGTTGTGAACAATCGCGACACGCCAGCAGCGATGAAATGAAACCAAACGTTGGCAGTATGGGCCGCGGGTCCGTTTGTTTTCCCCAAGGGGAAGGTCATTCGCGCATGGGCTTCCTCTTTCCGCCTGGACCTGCGCCACGGCCTGTTCAGTGAGGAAGCAACTTGGCGGTAAAACCGCAGAGGTCTGATTTAGGTGCGATCTCTCTTGTCGTAAGGTGGTTGTTGTATCTTGGTATAGGCCGGTGTGTGGCGTGTGACCAGCGGGAGCCGGTGGGAGCCGGTTTACCCGCTGGGTCTTGTACTTGAACGCCTCATCAAAGAAACATTCGACGAGTTGGGGCGGGCGTCTTAGGTATATGTGCTTCATCCTATGGTTTGCTCCCAAGCACCAAGCATGGGCATCCGCTCAGCTTTACAGATTACAGTACCTAGTCTACTGGGTAGTAAAAACTCCGTCGGAGAAAGCGTGGACTCGAACGAACCTTACGCAGTGCTAACGACGCTTTGTAGTCGATCACGGACCCCAATACTATCCTTAATTGGGAAGTGATGCTTTTTATGGCTGTAGTCCACCCGCTTGGCTTGGACGTCCCTGCATGTCATGGCAAGTCACGTTTTGAGTCAGAGGGAGAAGACGGTGACAGGCAACCCCGCGCCTGTCCGCGCCCGCCCGCCCGTCCGCCATCGCCGATTGTTTTGGCGGACTTGCCGTGCATCCAGCGAGTTGCTTGCCCAATGGGTGATCCGGCGAGACGGATGGCACGGGGCCACAGACGGTCCCAACGTAGCACATCAGGTTTCTCTCCACTTGGCTTCTCAACAGAGGCATCGCCGTAAGACGACGCAACATGTGCTGCACCTTGTAGGCATAGTCGGGGAACTCCTACCCCCGTCCCAAGTCCAGATATGCGGCACATGCGCCAACGCACTGAGTGTACGCTTGAACACCTGGGGAGGCAATCGTCCTGTTTTAAGAGCGCCGAAGCCAGAGTCGACACGTTCTTTTACTCGGCGTATTCCAGTGCTCTCTTGTGGGCAAAATGATTACCATCACCTTGACGTGGGGGAAGTGTAACGAACTCCCGTAGCTGATTTTACAGTTTTTAGTGGCGCCGATACGATTCGACGATCATCTAAACATCTCGCACGATACAGGCTTGGTACCCTCATGATCCAGATCCGTGTACACTGTCATCCCCGATAGTCCCAACCACCAACTTGAGAGTCGAAAGGGGAGGATTACCCGTGACTGAAGGTTGGCGTCATTCCCGAGCCGACAGGGTTTTGTCATCTGTAGATCCGATAATACTGTTCGCATCTTGTTGGTCGTTGGCTCAATATCACCATGCCAAAACATGGCCTTTCAGCTTCTGGTGAGGTGGCGAGGAAGCCAGGCCGAACGGGTGACAATGTCAGGCGGTTGAAGCTGCCCTCCGCCACTGTTGCCTGGCATTGTCAACTGCAACGACCTTGTCCTACCTGCCATTGTAGAGCTTGATCGGCCTTCATTTTTATTTTGGCCTGACAAACCCATATCTCTGGTGAATACAACAACTGCCCTACGGTCTACCAACGGACAAATTACATTCACGACTGCACGGGCTCTCACCAAGCAAGACTGACAAAAGGGTCGTTTGTCAAGGTTCCATCCAGATCACACCCGGGAGCGGTCGGTGGCGTCCCCGTCGACTACGGGGTATTCTCAAACAGCGTCTGTGTGCAATGTACTGGGTTCCCGAGAGGTGTATTCTAGAAACTCAACCAGCGGACGGGCGGGCAGGTAAAGGATTATGGTTGTCATGTCACTGTACCAAGGGTGCTCCCCACAGACCAGAGGACGGCCCCAGAACCGGGCCGTCATGGACGTTACAAATACCGAACACTTGATGCCTTGGTCTTCCCACCCGACTCCAATGCAAGCACCCTAAGATGTTTCGATGATCGTGTTTTTGCATCTGCAGCTTGGTTGACCGCCCCAACAGTGATGCAGGTAGAGAGAAGAATGTCCGATTCTTATTCAGATCGGGGCCAGCTTCCTTTCCGTCCCGTCACACCACTCGGATGCCTTAGCCCCCGATACAACGGCAGGGACCGGGTTCCTGCGCGCACGCCACAACATCAAGCTCTCAACGGTCGTTGATTCGACGATGGTCGCCGCCATTCAATCCCGAAGGTGGACGGGCACCACATCACATCATCACCTCCGACCCCCCTACCCCACTAAGCCAGCCGGTCCCTCAAAGTTCGGCACTAGCAGATCGCAGATCACATTGGTTGGGGAGCGTTGTCGGAACGTCGAACCTGTCAAGCTAGTTGCAGGTGGATGTCGAACAGCGACAACGCCGTACTGAGCGGACGAACACTTGTAGCGACGAAGCGACTAGACATGGAAGACAACGTGTCGATTGATGCATGATGTTTGTTTGCCGGCGTTGTTGTTTCCTCTAGGCATTGCTAAAGCTATGCCACGAGCGTTTCTTGAAGATGGTCAATCCTGCTGCGCCATCAATCACACACCGGAAAGCTCGACGGACGGGGTTCGGCGCGTCTCTAAGCAACCGTCGATCGGAGTCGGATTTTACGAGTTGTTCGTCTGACGTGCTTCCCTTGTCTACCGCGCCTCGTCGCCGCGCATGCCTTTGCACTCTGCACGCCGCCGCCCGCCCGCCCGGACCGTCCAGGCTCGTCATTGCTTGGCCCCGACTCATGTTAGAGGAAACTTCAGACTCTGTGTCTCGGCAAGAGTACCGAAGGGTGAACAAGTGTTTAGGGAGAGTATCGGCCGACTGTAACACCGCAGACGGGGCTGAAGGGGAATTAGACATCTTACCCTACCCTACTCCATTCCCCAGATCATCCAAGCGGCGACGAGGACGACAAAGACGACATCCGCGACGAACCAAGAGGTTTTTTCCAGCAAAACTCTCGTCCCCGCCCTCCTCCGCTCTGCTCCGATCTAGACGTTCACTCGCCCGCTGGTCACCAACGTGTGGGAGGTTGTCTCGTGATGGACTCGTGCCCACCAATCCCGCAGCTTCCCGGCCGCGTCGTCCCTACTCCTCCACCACAAAGCGAAACGTTAGGCGAGGACCCCGTTGCCATCATTGAGTTTCCGGATTGTGAGCACGGCGCACCCTTCGTGTAGTGCCAAAGGGGCCAAAGGGGGGGAACGGTACCCGTTACGGCGATGCATGGTTGTTCCTGTCAGGGCATTGTAGCAGATCTGGAAGCTGTAGTGTAAGGCGGACGGGTCGCCGTCCAGACCCTACGCCTTTCGAGTGAGACAGCTTGGTTATTTGCCTTTTTGCCCAGCTGCCTAGTTGGGAGTTTGGGTTTACTATGTGTGTTGGCCAGAGCAGACGGGGGCCGGGGCCCGATGAACTTGACGTGTCGGGTTCGTAAACTCGATTCGTACTTTAATTTGAGCAAACGTTTCTCTGTGAGGCGTCTGGATGGGCTTGCATGCCAAGGGACGATGCCGTGTCTGATGGACTCGAATGACAATGCTGTTGTTCAGAGCAAGGTATCTCGAGAAGCCTTTGTCGTCTGTCATCAACCGAAGCATAAGTGCCTCAGGGATGTGTACATACTCGGCGAGTGTAAAGAGATGCAAGCCCACACGGCGGCTGCAGATGACCACGGCCCTCAGGACGTGCATCCTGGGAGCAACGCGCACAGTCGTCCGCCGGTTCCGTGGCTCGGCGCCCACCATTGACTCGTCGGCTCCGCGGATCCTGGGTTCTGATCGTTTGGGGGGGCCATGGCGTGGCGGAGCATGACAGTGACAGACGCAAACCCCCCATGCTGAGCTGAGATTTAACCTGGTTGACGAGAGAGAGAGAGAGAGAGAGAGATAGGTACTTTTGTGTGTGTGGCAGTTTTCCCCTGACAGGCGGTACCTACCTGTACGCCAGAGCTGTCCATAATTATGGGGACTGATTTCGACAACCAACTGGGCCCTTTTCGGTATGGCTGCACCACCTGCACTGCCCATGCACACCACCCATGATCTAGGTAGGTACGGCCAATGTTAAAACTCAATGACTTAGGTCTCCACACCGCATCGAATTTCCGCCCCCCCGCCCTCTTCTAGTGTACCTACCTAGGTACTTACCTACGTCGGTCTGCCTTTGGCCTCTCCGCCCTACCACAGGCAGTGGCACACCAGTCGACAACGCTAACAAAAACGTCTTCTTTTCTTTTAATCTTCTTCAGTCTGATGATACCAGCAACTTGACACCCATCCCCGCGACCTCGGCTACCGACACCCCCTCATGCCGTACTGCAGCAACCTTAGTTTACTTTGCCTGACCTAGATTCCTCACCTGGACGCTCACAAAAAGGCACGTACTGCTTTGCATATGAGGCTTAGACCCAGCACCACCGGCCTGGCCCGTTTGTCTTGCCTCGTCTCGACGTGCCGTGCCCTGCGACGCGGATCCCTTTCCTGGGCCGATTGTTTTTGGTGGAGAGTAATCGAAAGAGACGGTACACAGACCCAACGACCGACCCCCCGGCCCCTTGACCCCGAATTGTCCCTCTCCACAGCTACAACTTAGCCAATCTTCCTCGAAACTTCGACGCCATCACACACACTCTGCTTCTCTTCTTTCCACTCCACGCACTCTTCGACCTGTCCCGCTTCACTGCCCTTCGCGTCTGTCAGCTCTTTAAAAAATAGATCGCCCCCCCCCCCCCCCCCCCCCCCTCCTTTACTCACAGCTCTTAGCCCCCCGGCTCACTCATCAACAGGGCCGCCTGTCTGTCATGCGCCTAGGCCTGTCACTCTTGAGATTCCACAACAAGACGCCGACGTCAACTGTGCTGTCCTGTCAACGACACGTGAAGATCAACCCACCAGCCTTGACCTTATAGAGTGGGAACCCCTCGGGCTGAATACCCAACCTGGTCAACATCTTTGGCCTTTGATCACTCATACCCTCCTTCCCTCCCACCTCTGCCGTCAACATGCCTCCTAGGAGATCACACAAAAAGTCGAGAGCCGGCTGCAAGCGGTGCAAGTCGCGCAAGATCAAGGTAACGTCGCCGTGTCACCATGCCCCGCCGCTCCTATTCACGCCCACACCCAAATCAGTCAGCGACTAATATCCTGCTTGTCGATAGTGCGATGAAGTCCATCCGAGATGCGGGAATTGCGTCAAGCACGGCGTGCCTTGCGACTTTGAGAACCCAGACATCCTCGACGACCTCCTCACCGCCTTCACACCCTCCAACACCCAGGCATCACAATCCCCCATCGACAGAGCCATGTCCACGGCACCTTCCCCCTCCGTTGCCGGATCGAATCGAGGCAAGACGCCGACATTTGCGGGTTCGCCCCCCCTCTACACTCGGCCCTCCACCGCTCCCATTTCCACTACGACAACCTCCAACAACCGGCTACTGGAACTGCGGTTGATGCATCAATTCACCTCAAAGACTTCCCGTACGCTGGTGGTGAACACGCCTGCTACTTACGACATCTGGATGAACACGGTTCCGAAGCTGGCCTTCGGCGGTGCCGTTTATCTCGCAGATGCTATGCTCGCTGTATCAGCGTTACATCTGCGGTCATTCAACCCCGACGACAAGGCGCTCATTAGAGCGTCGCACTCATACATGGCCTCATCGCTTGCGGCGTACTGTGCCTGCCTGCAAAACGGCATCACTGAGGCCAACGCCGAATCCCTCTTCCTCACTGCCGCTCTCATCGCCTTCCAGTCTACCGCCACTCGAATTTTCATTCGCGACGAGACCGATCCGAACGACCCTTCCAGCGCCTACTCTCTGCCGCTCTCGTGGTTCCACGCGTTCCAGGGTGTCAAGACTGTCGTAGCGACGTCCTGGCCTTGGATTCGCAACAGCGGTGTTGTCATTCCCATTATTGATTCACAGCCTGTCCTTCAGCTTGATTTGGACGCGACATCACCGAATTCTTTCTTCGGGAAGCTGTTGGAAAACCTGGACGACGAGATACAGGGCGAAGAAGCCATTCTGGCCATGGCGACGAGACAATCATACCAGCACGCGGTTGCAGTACTGAACTGGGCACACAAACTGCCCCACCGCGGTGCTGCCCTCGCCTTCCCCGCCACGGTCTCGAAGCGGTTTATCGACTTGTTGGAAGAGCGCCGACCTCGTGCCCTGACCATTCTTGCCAGCTTTTTCGCGCTGCTAAAGGGCTACGAGGCATCGGTATGGTGGCTGGACGGCGTCGCGCGTAGAGAGGTTATGGGCATTGTCTCACAGTTTGAAGCCACCAGCCCCTGGTGGCAGCACCTCGAGTGGCCTGTGCGGATTGCTCTGTACAAGAACTCCATCATTCCGCCAGAGGTTTGGGGATCGGACTGGGTCACCGAGGAAAACAAAGCGGAAAAGGGCCACAACATGACTACCGAGTCATTTGTGAGCCACATTGAAACCCTGACGAGTGCGTTTGCCAGAGCGCAACAGTATCAGATACCTGGCATTACCATCCCGGCGCATGCGATGTAAGCGGAACAGCTGGCTGCTACGCAAACACAATGCTCGGGATTACGCATGTTGCAGATTGGGGCTTCCACCAGATTGGCTGGTCAATACGGCATGAAAGGAAAAGCACATACAAGGGGAGCGGAGTTTTTGGGACCACGGTGTTTCAGTGCCGTAAGGAAACGGCCAGTCTCTGGACGAAAGGCACGGAGCATGGATGGAGTGCTTGGGTTTGGGCTCGTTCTGTCTTTTTTTTGCTTATTTTGTGCGACCAACGGCCCGCAAGGAGATTGGCACGGTAGGCATATTATCACGGTATTTGGGATCAAGAGGTTAGCATATTGCGGAAATGGGTTTATGGTGTTTGACACGGACGACATACTACGGCTGATAGCGGGGTTCTACGGCCAGGACAGCTCAGGCAGAGCATATTCGAATTTTTTGGCATATTCCAAGATTTCTAGCATATGAATTTGATGACATCACGAAAGTAGTGGACAGCAAGCTTCCAGTCACCTCCCGCGAGGGGTTCCCCTGATACAAACGAACAGACGTAACTGTAGCCATGTGCGACCTAGTCAGACATGCCATCTGCTTGGTTACAGGTTGACAGCTACCGATATGTTATTGCCCAGTTCGGACGAGTCCCCACACTCCTGTGTTGAGTCTCCCGAGGTGAAGATGCCGAGGAACTTTGCGACTTCGTACGCACCATGTGATAGACGTGTGCCAGCTTAGCCGGCGGTCGGCGACGTCAGGGCCCTTTTTTTTTTCCCCGTCTCTTTCCTTTTTGTATTCTTTCTCCGCAAGCTCTTCCGATATGGGACCTACGTCTTAACATCGTGCAAACTCTGGCCGACGTCGCTTTCTCCTTCTCCTTTGGTGAGAAGTTCATGCTATCAGAATACTAACCCTGTTCTGACCCGCAGTTTGTCGAGTAGAGTTTTGCCGATGTCCTTTGCGTCATCGCCGCGTCCTGGTTGCCCGAAGCGCATGGGAGGTCTAGACTCTCTCGCTCTAGGAAAGGAAGTTGGGACGGCTTGTGATTGCTGCGGATGCGTGAGTGCGACTGGGCGGGTGAGGCGGACTCGCCATACGGTGGCGTTTGTCCGTAGCCATGACATACACGATGCGGGAAGGCGACGGGCACCTCCCCCTCTCCCAGCGGCCATGAATAGCAGTGATAGAGAAACGATGCGATCAGATGCCTACGAGGAGGACAAGAGAGGAGGCGGAGGAATCATGTGCTCCGTGGCGCGGAGACCCCCCCGCATTCTGACCTCGGCGGCCAGCGGAGGAGAAGCGGAGTCGGAGACGGTGGGTCTTTTGTGTTTCTTTTGGCAGGTTATAACTGCCGGGAGGCGGTAGTACGCGCAAGTGTGACATGCAAACGCAAGCGGCGACGGGGTCGGTGTCGAGGTTGGGGCCCGCAGACCGGGTCTGCGTTGGCTGCGCTGCCACTGCGGAAAGAGAAGAAGAAAAAGACTAACAAGGGGTGCGGCCGATCTGCCATTGGATCATGACGTCCCATGAGAGGGCTGCCAGCTTGATGGGTGTCGTCGGTTGGCATTGCCGTTTGAGAGGAGAAAAAGGGTTGCTGGATAGATAAGTCTGTAAGTGAGTAGGAAACCTTTTTTATAAAATGCAAGGATGCGCCCTTGTCGATGCGCCCAGACGGCGGTCACTGTTGGTATTTCGATGCACCCCGATTCCCCCGACCATTTGGGTTGTCAGAAGAAACACAAAAGTAAAGAGGATGGGTGGCGGCATGGATTTATCCTTTTGAGGGCATGAAGCAACCCGATGGCTTGGGTCCGTCGGGCACCCTTTGGGGGATTTTTTTTTATGGTCTTCCACGTTGTGTGGATGGCAACAGAAACAAGCTTTTTGATCAGTTGACAGTGGTTCGCTTCCGAATAAGTTTGTCTTGTCTTGTTTCCGAGTTTCCTCGCTCTTGGCTGCGACTGGATGACTGTCAATTTGGGGGTGGTTTTTTGTTTTTTGTTTTGGATGGAAGCAGGAACGTTGGAAGAAGCGGCGGCGGTGGTTCGGCAAGCTAGAACTGGGTTTGATTTCTCGACGCGGCTGTTTGATCAGCTGAAGAGTAATTACGGACATGCGTTTGGGTTAGCTTCGTTTCGGGTAACTTTTGTTTCTTATTACTATAGTTTCGGGTTGGTTCCTTTTTTTTTTTTTTTTTGAATCATTTTTCTTAAACCCAACAGAAGCCAGGGCCTGTTGTCGTTGTCTGTCAGACGCTGTACTTAGATGCCGAGTAGGAATGCCGACACGGGGATGCCTGGAAAGCTTGGTCTTCGTGCGCCATGGCAGACTTCAACGCCAAAGCTTATCCACAATGGCATGTCGTTGTTGAGCGACCCTTGTGATGCCTCATCCTGCTCAGATGCCGCGGCCTGCCTACCCGTGGCAAGGTGCTACTTGATCACGAGCAGAGCCAAATCCCCTCCTCACCGTGTAAGCTGTTCTTTTGGCCTGGCAGAAAGGGAACCGTACAACAGGGCACTCTGGGGATTTAAAACATTCTTGGAGGAGAGGAGAAGAACCGGGGGGCGTCTCTTCAGCTCGTCGACAATGCTGGAGCGAAGCATGGCCGGATTCGGTCAGAGGACGGGTGACCTGTTGCTGTATCACCCTTGTATAGTTGCACAGGCAGCACGAGTCAACATCTCATCGGTACACGGAACACTTGACTAGCCAACGTATCAAAGCCCGAGTCTGAGTCTAAGCAACTCACAGCACCTTCGTGCGACTGGGCGTGATGAATGTACTCGCTCCTCTGGTGGCATTCTGCAGGCCCATAACCTTATTGCGCAAACCGTGGGGTACAAGAGAAGGACAAATAGAAAACCCACTATTGAAGGAGCCATGATGTTCCACGAATCTCCTTCTCAAGCAGGCCCAGTTCCGGGCTAGCAACGGTGCCACGGCTGTCAGAGTTGGGGTTCAACTTAGTCGAGGTGTGTCATTGGCGCGCATCGGGAGCCGAGCTCGCAGCCGGTAGACGTGTGGACTCCATGATGCGCGCTGGTGGCGCCGGGGCTGTCACGGGTCTCAGCGGATAATATCGAGAAATGCAGCGTGGAGCGGGATGGCTCAGTAGCAATTGAACCGACAGCCGTTCTCCGAGGATCGTCGGTGTAAGATGGGCTTGTCGTGCAGGACACCCCTAGTCGGAGAGCACCCGTCAGCGATGACAAAGTCGGGCGGCATCCCAAGAGCAGTTCGACTCGGCATACGTGAAGGTTTTCATCATGGACACAGTGGTTGCTACAAAAAGAGGTTCTTGGACATGAATTGGATGCGGGTAATAAAGACGAATGATGTCTCCCCCGCGTTGGCGATGATCCAGCTACTTGATAGGCCAATACAAGAGGATGAGCAGTTCGCTAAAGCTGCGCGTTAGGGGAGGGATTGGTCGCAGGCGTTCAGGTCGTGGCTCCGACCCCAAGCTTATTTCAACATCCCCTGTCCTCCGGCCTAGCCGTGAACAAACGACACAAACAGCGCAACGAAGCAGTCATTTCAGTAAAAGGACCGCGCTTACGGCCTTGGGCCGTTTCGTTCTCAGAGCCGCTTCTCGGGAGCTGAAACATTGCCAGATAGCCCTGCCGACGACGTTGGACCTCCTTCTCGGATGCAGGTGCGAGCCAGCTCGGACTCTTCGGACCTTTTCCCCATCGACCCACACTCGGCGTTAACGACTTCAGGACGGCACTTGAATTAAAATGAGCAGGCTGGCTGCACGCCGAAAATGGTCTGGGAGGCCGAGTAGCTGAGGGCCTTTATGAGCCCGCAGAGCCTGCAGTGTCCGCAGAGGGAAGCTCGCTTGTTGGGGGTTCGGAGGGTGAACCAAGCAAGCCAGAGCCAGGGCACAACCGAAAAGGGGGTTAGGTTGCTTTGCAAAGGTTCACTAAGTTGATGGAAAAGGCATCAAAGTGTGGGGGAGCGCGGCCATCATTGGAGGGGTCATCAATTCTTCTCTGACCCAGGAGTTGCGCGATGAAACGTCAAGCTCCCCACACAGCCAACCGGAACCGACTCGCAGTGGAACGGCCACGGGCTTGCCTGGCAGCGTGGCCGCGTGGCAGCGTGGCAGCTTGCCTTTGGGCGGTATTTGGTAAGCAAACAAGCGGTTCGTCGCCTCTTTCTTTAATATGTCCGAGGCAAACCAATGCCTGTCAACTCCTCGATCTTGTTAGCCCGACGGGGTGGCTTGGCCGGGGGACAAGGAGGTCCCCTTTGTACGAGTTATACGAGTGACATTGAGTCTTGTCTGCTGACTGCTGGTGAGTGTTTGCTTTCGGTAGTATTTGAAAGCGGGGATCTCCAAGAGATGGATGGGTTCGTAGGATCCCGTCAATTAGAGGAAGGGACCGGACGGGTCTCGGGTCAGTTGATGCTGATGCCGATGCTACTGAAAGGGGGGAGACGGAGGTAAGTATATACCATTCTCTAGTCCAAGACTAGGCGGGAGAATAGAGAATCTTTGCTCGTTCTCTGCCTGTTTTTTATTGTATCTCGAGAGGGATCTTTCCCTTCTTTTCCCTTCCTTCCCCCTGAGCAACATCCGAAAAAGGCCAGCCTCATCGTTCGATCGATCGTCGTTGCCCAAAATGCTCCCCTCCGTCGCTTCCGTCTTCCTCCTCGCCCTCTCCACGGCCAACGCCGCCCTTACCTACAAGGGCGCCGACTGGTCCTCGGTGTCCATCGAGGAGAAGGCCGGTATCAAGTACAAGAGCAGCTCCGGCGCCTCGCAGTCCCTCGAGGTGATTCTCAAGAACGCTGGCGTCAACTCGGTCCGCCAGCGCGTCTGGGTCAACCCCTCCAACGGCGACTACAACCTCGACTACAACCTCGCCCTCGCGAAGCGCGCCAAGGCCCAGGGCCTGTCCGTCTACCTCACGCTGCACTTCAGCGACACCTGGGCGGACCCGACTAAGCAGGCAATCCCCTCGGGCTGGCCCTCGGACATTGAGAACCTCAGCTGGCGGCTGTACAACTACACGCTCGAGGTCAGCAACGCATTCCAGAAGGCCGGCGTCCCCCCCGCCATCATCTCCATCGGCAACGAGATCCGCGCCGGTCTGCTCTTCAACACGGGCAAGACGTCCAACTGGTACAATGTCGCCCGGCTGCTCAACTCGGCGGCCTACGGCATCAAGGACTCGTCCCTCAGCCCGAAGCCCAAGATCATGATCCACCTCGACAACGGCTGGGACTGGAACACGCAGAACACCTGGTACACCAACGTCCTCGCGCAGAACGCGCTCAAGGCGAGCGACTTTGACATGATGGGCGTCTCGTACTACCCCTTTTACGGCTCCGGCGCTACGCTGTCGGCGCTGAAGACGAGCCTGACCAACATGGCCAACAAGTGGGGGAAGGAGATTGTCGTCGCCGAGACCAACTGGCCGACGAGCTGCCCGAGCCCCGCGTACGCCTTCCCGAGCGACCTCAAGGACATCCCCTTCTCCGCCGCCGGACAGACGACCTTTGTAAAGAGGGTCGCCGACGTGGTTGCTGGCGTGAAGAACGGCAAGGGCCTTTACTACTGGGAGCCCGCCTGGGTCGACAACCAGGCCTTGGGCTCTAGCTGCCCATCCAACACGTTGTTCTCGTGGCCCGGTACTGCGTTGTCGAGCTTGGATGTCTTCAAGAGCATTTGAGCACGCAACGTTGGGCGTCGGTGTCGGGGACTCTCCGGGATGGAAACACCACCTTTGAAGGAGGACCCGAACGTAGATGACTTCACTTTGAGATGTATATAGTTTGAGCGTCGTTTGTACATATGTAGCCGAGCCTGGTAGCTCAAGCAAGCGCCCTGGCGGTATATAAGAAATCATTGCCAACTTAACATATTTGGCAGCCCCCTAATAAGCGACTCGGTTCGCCATGTCACTTCTACATGTCGTCGTTGGAACTGTTGTGACTATGTCGGCTAGATTGCCTACGTACATGTGCATAAATGGTACAACGGGATGTAGCCTTCTACGAAATTGCTCTAGAATGGTAACTAGACGCTCCGCTTTCTTCCAATAATGACTTTGATCATTCCATTTTTTATCGGGCGATGTGTACGGGCGCCACAGAAGGCGACGACTTGACTACAACCGAGGTCCTACATGTGTGTTCATCGTTTGGAGGTTCGCAGAGTGTCTGAGGGTAGTCTGTAATATTCTCATTTTTTTTGCTTACGGCAAAACAATCATCAAATCATGCAAACAAAGTCTGTGACATTGTGTATCGTCCACGCCGCCAATACCCGGACACCAAACACCCAGCCAAACCTGGTAGACCGTTGAAGGGGTGCCAGTGGATATACCGGTTGTGTCTTCCTTAGAAACCACTGCAGCTCACCTGCTCATAATGCAGACCGAGGATGTCTTTGGGAGCTTGTTCTACCAACGAGCTCCTTGGACAATCGAGGTGAGTATATCATTGTGTCATTGGGCTGAATGGATACCAACTAAAACCGTATGCTCGTAAATGCTGCTGAGCTGGTACCTCGTAAGCCCAGTCGGAACTTGTACCCTGCAACCGGCCTCTTGAAAGGCACGCCGTTGAGACCTTACTGCATCTTGAGGAACGGAGTTGGTGTAAGGATCTATCGTACTGCCGCCCAGGTGCCACAGGTAGACCAGCGTTAAGTGATCGACGGAACTGGTGGAATCGAAATGTTAATACGACACAGTTCGGTTTCACTCATCTCATCATCATGGTGGAGGCTAGCCCAAAAGGTGCCGCCAGCAAATCCACTGCAAATCCGATCTAATCAGAGCAGCTAGATACATCAGCGCTGGCAAGCCTGACCGCAACAACTTGAATTATGGCAGAGCTCTTCTCGATTCACAGCAATTCTGACCACCAAGAGCAGCTATACTGTTTTGTTATTTCAAGCGAGTCTCCAGTAACACAGCCACGGGCGTCTGCCCCGGCAAATGGCAGGCGGCTGGAAACTGTTCTGATGGTCGATGTTTTCTGTATATATCTCTCAAGCTTCTGGCAATCGCTGAGATCTGGCTGGTTGACCTGAAGAGATGAGCATCCATGACCAAGACTCATAGGTACATCAGACAACATACAAGATGCCACCGGTAACGATCGCCAGGTTCCGAAATTTCACGTATGCTATGGGCACAGAAGCTCTAGTCCGCAAAAGTGGCTCGAAGAATTAAAAGAACACTGTCGATGCCGCGGAGAAGCTGACCGAATAAGTGGAAAGTGGAGGCCGCCTCCCGCCGGGCGGCGCTTTCCACATCGGCGGCCATCATCAAAATCGTCGGCGGTGGTGGAGCAAAGCGTCCGGTGCATTTGGTGCATGGGCGGAAGAGAAGTAGGTAGAGACGGATGGTCCAAGCGCCAGACGCACCTCGCTTGGGAAGGTGCACAAAAGAATCACATGACCGCGGGGAGAGGGCAAGTCAACCCTACAAAAAAGTAAAGCGGGTCCGCTGAGCGCGCAGGAACAAGCGAAACCTCCAAGCGATCGCAGCCCCAGCACCCTCTCCAAAACTTCGACACCACCGGCAATTCAGCTTATTCGCCTTCGATAGACCGCATCGAAAGCGAATCTCCTGACGACTCACAACCGCAAAGATGGCTGACGACCCCGAATACGTACGTGCGACCCTGTTCCCCTCTCTCCTGAGCGATGGAAGGAAATAAAATCAATCCGGTGGACGCGAGGCCCTCATGGCGAGGGTCGACGGAGACGGAGGACTTTTGGTGGGCTGCACAGAACTGTTGGCTGACTGGAGACAATCGTACAGAACGCCGAGGAGGCTGCCGAGCTCAAGAAGAGAAGAGCGTTCCGCAAGTTTTCCTACCGCGGAATCGACCTTGATGCGTACGTTTAGCCCACTCCTGCATCGTCATTCCACCACTCGCACCCCACGATCGTCGACGAACTTGGATGATTTCATCATCTTCCCCCTCCATTCCCACGATTCGAAGAACCAGGATATCTGCCACGAAAAGAGAATGGTCCAGGCTAACATTGGTTCTCCTCCAACAGTCTCCTTGACCTCGACTCCGAGCAGCTCCGCGATGTCGTCCACGCCCGTGCCCGCCGGCGCATCAACCGTGGTCTCAAGCGCCGCCCCATGGGCTTGATCAAGAAGCTTCGCAAGGCCAAGCAGGAGGCCAAGCCCAACGAGAAGCCCGACCTCGTCAAGACCCACCTCCGTGACATGATTGTCGTCCCCGAGATGATCGGCTCCGTCATTGGCATCTACTCCGGCAAGGAGTTCAACCAGGTTGAGATCAAGCCCGAGATGGTTGGTCACTACCTCGCCGAGTTCTCTATCTCTTAGTACGTCCCCCAGCTTCACCCCGGCTCTCGACGGAGCAGACGCCCCCGGAACAGCGCTAACAACCCAACAGCAAGCCTGTCAAGCACGGTAGACCTGGTATCGGTGCCACGCACTCTTCTCGTTTCATTCCTCTGAAGTAAGAGGATGGTTGTGGGCTGTCTTGGGGAGGTTCTTGCATTCAAACGGGCATCAAGGCGAAACGGGAAATGGTTTTGGTAGCAAGGCAAGGCCGCTATCATGTTGTTTGGGCGATGATAGTTCAATACAACATCGTTGTCCGCTAAAAAGTTTGAGCCTCAAAATGGGAATGAATTCAACGAAGAGATACCAAAATTACATGCGCACTCTTCCACTTTTTGCGTTCGCCGTGACCAGGTGCCTATCGTATCAACCGGTAGTAAAGAGTTTGGCTGGCCTTTTGGACAAACCTCAATTTTCCATGTGCTGGACTGTCACTGACCGAACCCTGGGTGGCACCGGGCCCACAAGATCGGTATCCATTTGCAACTCACATCTGGCATGAGATTACAATAGGTTCCATGTACGACCATCGGCAACAGAGGCAATCAAACATTTGGGTATATCATAGTCTATGGTATCAGACATGCACACTCTCACAGTTCTTCCTTCCCAAGCACCTTCAACTGCGCCTTCTCGTGCGCCTCCAGCCGGTCGTATAGGTCTCGGCTCCAGTGGGTCTTGTCTCCCTTGTTCTTCTCCATGATGCTCTTCACAGCGACCTTCCAGTTCTCGTCGCTCACGCGGTCGGCGACCCTCTTGGACCTGTCGGTCTCGGACGCCTTGAAGAGGGGCCACACACCCAGCTCGGCGCCCATGTTCTCGTCGAGGAAATTGTCCAGCACAAACTGCCCGGCCTTGCGTTGTGCGGTCTCCCATCGGGCGTCCTGAGGGCCGAGGACCTCGAGGATGCGGTCCATGCCCTTGTTGGCGATGAAGTCATCCCGGATCGTCGGGCTCTTGATCAGGCCCTTGATCGCGGCGACCTGGGCCTTGGCCTTGTTCGCCGCGTGGGCAACGTCGTGGTTACTGTCCTCCGGCGCCGGCACGAAAGAGGCGTAGAACCCGTCGCGGAGCTTGAGCTCGGGCGCCTTGTGGGGCGAGCGGCATGTGGCGTCCATCAGCTGAGGCCAGACCTTGGTCACCTCCTCGAGGGCGGTAGGGTTGTTCTGCAGCGCACCGGAGATGATGGCGGCGGCCTGCTGGTCACGGGGCACGGCGCCCTCGGACGGGGCCGGCGTCTTGGGATCAACCATCAAGCACAAGAGGGACTTGACAGTGTCAAAGGTCTCGGTGATCTTCAGGCCGTAGTAGATGTCATGCGAGATGTCCTCGAGGAACTCAAGAACTTCGTCGATGGGGAGGTCGCTCCCGTGCGCGCCCTTCTTGACGAATTCGAGGTTGGTGTAGAACTCGCCCGACTCCTGTTGCGGCTGCTTGACTATGCCGACGGGTTCATACTTGGGCGCGTCTTTAGGGATCTCGGCCTCGGGGGCCTTGTCCGAGTCCACGACCACGATTGAGCGGTCTGCAGGGAGGCCCTCCAGGGCCGGGTTCTTCTCACTAGGGTCGTTGATCTTGGCTTCCTTTTGGCCCGTGTTGATGTTCATGCGTACATGAAGCCCGTGTGGTAGTTCTTGGTCATCGTGAACTGTTTGAAACTCCTCTGTTGGTTGGAAGATTTTAGGGTAACATTCTGCCGCGTTGTCTGTGTGGCAGATGAGTTCGACATCGGCTGATGGTGAAGGTGCGACTGGTGCTGCTGAGGCGGAAGCTGATGAAGCGAGGGAGACTAGGCCGAGGAATACCATGAAGATGGTGAAAGGGAGGAGGGATGCGCGAGTGGAGCTTCTCGACGCCATATTGGAAATCAATAGAGCGCCTGGAGTTTGGGGGTATCTTGTCAAATAAAAGAAGTTTGATGGGTTGAAGTCGGCTCGAGTGGTGTGTGTGATAAAGATATCAATCACCCCAGTCTAAACTCCAACTAGGTACGGCTCAATGTTAATCAGAATTGGTGGCTGCAGGCGAAAACCAATTGACTCTGAACAGTATCGTCGACGGCGATAATTTGGTGCAACGACTCGAGTTGTAGAGAACTTACACCTTTATAATCACCTTCAAATTTGAATATGAGTCAACCGTGAAAAAGGACAGTTTACCATCACGAAATAGAAATCTGTCGAAGTCGTCCGTCTGGCCAAGTTGTCTTGAAAAGCCCCAGTAAGAGGCGAATTCACTTATTTGAATTCGGCAGCGTGTGATTGGCGAGATCAGACGCCGTAACCGCGCCTCAGCGCGCTAGCGCTTATTCACGAAAAGTGACGCTCCTCCGGCACCTTGGGTTCAACCTCCACACCCCGAAGCTCCCTCCTTCAGTTCGACGCCGTGCCCCCTCCAGTAAACCGAATTACCATTGTCAATTGACACCGCCCAGCAACGTCATTCACGATGCAGGCCATTCGAACGCGGGCTGTCTGCATCGCGCGTCAGTCACGGCTGACTGGCCTGCGCCAATCGAGATCCTACGCCTCTGGAGGTGACCACGGCCACCACCACGCCCACGCCGTCGAGGAGCCCATCGGAGTACGTCCCACGCACAAACCCCTCCATGGTTGCGACCAATTGCCGTCCTTGTGTTGTTGTCGAATCGTGGCTGGAGTCAATTGACTAACCCATGTCGCTGTAGGGCTTCTTCTGGGCCGTCATCGCCGTTATCCCCTCCGCATACGTCGTCTACAAGATCACCGCCCCCGGCAAGGACGGCGAGCCGCCGTACCTGACCAAGAAGATCCAGGAGTACGCCCACTGGCAGGAGACGTGGAAAGAGAGAAACGCGCTGCACACCAAGGCCGTTGAGCAGGCCGGTTACGACAGGCTGCTCTTCTTCTCCACCCCTGCCAACCGCGATGTTGACCTCCGATTCCCCGAGTGAGTCGTTCCCCTTGCCGATGAAAGACAGAGATAGAGCGAAACAAGTTAGCAAATTCAGAAAGAAGGGAACCATCAAACTGACAAATCAACTCTTGTACAGGGCCCTCTCCAACCACGCCGCGCGCAACGTCGTTGCTGGTTCCCAGACCAACCTGGACCACGTGATCGCCCACTACAAGAAGCAGCATCTCGATGAGGAAGAGCGGAAAGTGCAGAAGCTTGCCGCGCAGAAGCAGGCATGAGTGGGAGGTGGTGTATGATACCGGTACATAGATCAAACCGAGGTTGAATCAAGCTTTCAGTTCATTTGTTGCCAATTGACCTCTCGTCAGAATGTCGAGGGAAACGCAGGGTTATCTCTTGTGTGCCCAAACTGATATAGGATAATGATCTAATTTCAGGAGCTCAGTTTCCTCTCGCAGCGCACGGAAATCGGGTGGGTATCCTTCTCTTTAGACTCCTCACGAAGCACATACAGGCACCCGACCCTGAACACGCCCTCGCACCTTGCTGCAGACTGTAGGAGCCAGCCTATTAGACGGAAACTATCCTAGCACACTGCCTTGCATCTTCAGCCAGGCTCGTTCTTAGTTCTAATGATGGTTTCCCCCTAATCTTGACCGGCGGACTATTCTCTTTATCCTTATTTGCACACAAACTGTGCCTTCTATATGATGAGTTATCACCACGGGAAGGGCAGCGCCGAAGACCTGGTTGCCAACTAATGAACAGTGGCTCTTTCTATCCCGCGCTGTCGTCTGTGTATCAGTGACCTACCTGTCGCAATGTGCCCTCATGGTTCTCGTTATCTTCACCACATAATGTCCCTGGTCATCTTCCTCCCAGAGCTTTAACCTCGCTTTCGAAGTACTCGCCAATTATGAGGTTTGTCTGTTTAATGGCATTCCATTCAATCGCTACCTACGCCTGTTGTGTGAGAACAGCCCCTTCGCGACGTCGCAGTAGGGTTAACCTAAGCATCTCACGAAAGACTCCTGGTGGGACTGGCACAAAGCAGCAAGATATCTGTTGAAGTTCAAGTGCCCAAGGAAAGACCACCCTACGGCAGAAACTCAGGCTATTATGCCCCAAAGCCCCAAAGACTTGGGGATGAAGAAGAAGACACTCATTCTCATACAGCACCACTAAGAGTCAGAAGTCGTGATAACCAAAACAAAGGGTAGCTGTCCGAGACGGACATTATAAATCAGCTACTCAGAGAACTAGCGAAATTACCATCCAAGTCGTTTCTATCCTCCCTGGACTACTGTAACCTTTAGAACGAGATGTAGAACTACAGAGCCTAGGGCGGGGAGAATGGGAGGGACAGTTACAGCAACAGGAAAACTTTGTTGTCACTATCGAAGAGAGCGGGAGTGACTGTGATCAGGTGATGAAGCTTTGGGTTCCAACGGCGGCTGGGACCAAATCAGACTCAGGTCTTGCACGTGATGCTCGACACGGAAGTTTCGGCAGTACCCCAATGACAGCATCGAAGCGCACTGCGTTGCTTTTGTCACTTGCGTCACCTTTTTTGCGACGACTGATCACCCGATGGCGACCGCGCAAGGAATATGTCGACAGACTGTTGCGGTTTGTGGAAGGCGATGGGCAGCAAAAATTATTGTCAACGAATTTATTATCAGGCGTACTGCTCATAAGTAGTAATCGTTCGTATCCCATGCTTGCTCATTTCTGGATCAATCCTGCTGTCACAAGGAAGAGCGAGGTACAACCAGAAAGGGCGCATATGATAAACAAGTCCTCAGAAAAAATCTCATCAAGACGTAAAAATCCCATTGCCAGTTTCCAGCACTACACACCATATGCAATCCGAGTCACCCCGGAGAGCCCCATCTCAGGCTAGAGGTTGTCGGATCGTGGTGTAAATCTCCCGCAGGCACCTTTAAGATCCTCTCGGTTTTCCCCATCCCCGCAATTTTTTTTTGGAATCGACCTTTCGGAGCAGTCCTTTATCCCAGTCTCGGAGCTAATCGGGTTTAACCCTCTTTACGAGTGTTTTGTGTGAGAAGCCGAAGAAAAATATGAGAAAAGTAGATGGAGCTGATCGGTAATCGTGTCGTCTTTCCCCAGGGGGTGGTGTCACCGGAATCCGGTCGGCTGCGAGGGGGAGACGGCGCCTCCTAGCAGTGACGGCTCGCTTAGAAGCCGTGGACTTTGACGAGCTGGAGAGAAAAACGAGTTAGCATTGTCTTGAGGCTTCTAGGCGTGGAATGTGGATGTGTCTTGGACAGGTTCTTGGGTGGGGTTCTCCCAGCGGGATAGAGGGTCGACGTACCTTGGAGTCCATCTCGAGACCCTCCTGCTTGTCGACGAGGAAGTCGTGAATGGCCTTGCGCTGGTCGCCTGTGTTACCAACGTTAGCATCCTTTTCTTCGTCTTGGATCGTTTGTCGCAAACGCACCCTGGAGCTGAATGACCTCGCCGAGGTCCGTGTCCTCCACGATAGTACCGTTGCAGGCAAACTTCTTCTTTATGACCTTGAGAATCTTCTTCTGGTCGAAGCGCTTGGGAAGGCCCTGGATAGTGGTGAGGGTCTTGCGGCCATTGCGCTGTTGGATACGGATGTGAATGTAGTCCTGGCCCTTCTTCTGGGCGTTGTTGGCATCGCCCTCGTCCGCGTCCGCGAAGGGGTCGATAGTCTTGAGGTTTTCGATGGTAGTCATGAGAAAGAGCTTTGTCGCGTGAGCGTGTGACTGGTTTTGTAGTGATGCGATTGGAGCGTTGATTTAAAGTCCTGTGCTTGTGATAGTAGCGGGCAAAGGGGCCTTGGAGTGGTTCGGGTTGCGCGTGTGGAAGGCGAGTTGTTCGGCTGGTGTATGTCAGGCTGAGAAAAGAAAGAAGTGAGTAAGAAGCGGAACGGGAGTTGGGTTGGTGGGATGGAGTAGGGACGAGGCGGGGTTGCAAGGTAAAGAGCAGGCCCGTGCACGGCAGTGATGTGCAGCGCTTTCGGTGAAGTTCCATCTGAACAAAAAAGCCCACTGGTGGCCTGCACCGCCACGATTTTCGACTTGTCGGTGAGCTTCTCCAGATTTACCCCTCGGGCATCTGATCTTCGATCTCGACTCCTGGCGGCACCGTACCTTGCATTAGCCACATTCGAGGGTGTGGCGCATGCAGAAGTAGTCCTCTCACCAACGATTTGGAATATCGGGATCAACTTCGAACTATAACCCAGTTTTTTTCTCCAGTGGTATCTCAAGTATAGCTCCTTTGGCATGGCTATAAACGACGGCATCGAAGTCCGCGGCACCAAAGGCGGCGCTAAGGGCGGCCGCTCCATCCATGCAACCCGCCGCTTCAAGCCCGGGGACGTCATCGCCCGCTTCGAAGACCCGGCCGTGGTGCTCCCGCCGGGCCACCGCGCGCTCGAGTACTGCAACCACTGCCTGAAGAAAGAGCAGCAGGCGGGTGGCGTAAAGCTCCGAGCCTGCACGGGGTGTAAAACGGTGGCCTACTGCGGCCCAACGTGCCAGCGAGCTAACTGGTCCCTGATACACAAGCTCGAATGCAAGGCCATCCAGAGACTGCACGAGATCAAACCGGCGCACGAGCCGAACTGGGTGCCGACGCCGATCCGCGCCGCAGCGCAGGTCATGCTCCGGCCGCAGGTGTTGGCACGGTTTGAGGAGCTAGAGGGGCATGTTGAGCAGTGGAGGAAGAAGGATGAGACGGATTTGCAGCTTCAGTCGCAGGGTGTTGTGAGGTGTCTTGGGTTGGACACAGGCACGTTTGAGGCGTTAGAGGGAGCCTTTCAGGTTCTGTGCAAGGTTGGTTATTGGTCCTTATTAGCAGGAGTCAGTTGCTTGCAGATGCTAACGAAGTTGATGTGTAGCTCCAGACGAATGCCTTTAGCAGGTCGGAGGAATACTTCGAAACGGGCGGTGTGTTCTTGGACACTACGTTGGCTATGATAAATCACTCATGCGTACCAAATGCGCTGGTTCAATTTGGTGGGAGAACGGCTACGCTCCGTGCCGCGTCATGCATTAACCCCGGCAATGAGATTGAAATCTCATACGTCGGTAAGACCTATACTCAGCCGTCTTGAATGGCAGTAATCTAGGATTAGGCTAACATCCCTAGACCAAACGCAACCGAAGAGTAAAAGACAACACGAACTCAACCTTTACCATTTCGAGTGTTCTTGTATCAAATGCCAGCACGACTTTGATGAGTATCAAGTCGCTATGGCGGATCCAACCATTGAGCTGAACACGCTCAGTGTCATGCCCAACATTGAAAGATTCAAGAACCCTCCCGGAGGCGGCAACTTTAACCCGTTACAGGGAATAGAGGGCTCGAAGCTCTATAAGCTCTTCCCCGCGCTCCCTCGCAATATGATGCCCGACGAGAAGCACAAGTGGTTGAGAAAAGCTTACAAGACAGCATCATGGTTTTCCAAGGTTGGAAGATACGCCATCGAGCCATTCGCACAGCTTGTGGATGAGGCGGCCTTCTACTTCGGCAAAGATCGTGACAACCACGAGTGCGCATTGGCAGTCGCATGCTTGTCGGCTTACGAGATCGAGCCGTACAAGCATGTTGTCCCGTTCCACCCCCAGAGACTCAAGGGGTTGTCCTCCATCGCAATTGCTCTGTCCAACACTGCACCCAACCCCACCAAGCTCACGAAGCTCGCCCGTGACATGGCTGCGATGAAGTCGTTTCCGGAAGCGGGAGTCAAGGTCCTAGAAAACCTGGACCAAGTCTCCTTGTGTCAGATGGTCCTTGCGATCATCGACGTCTACAGCCCCCAAGCGCCGTCAGCTGACTGGGAAGTCGTGGTCTTGGCCAAAGAGATGTTGACCGATATCGAAAGTCTCCCAGGGCGAGAAAAAGATAACGCCTTGATCAATGCCTGGAGAAACGATCCGAACGGAATGGAGGAGTTCTTCAGGTACGGGTTGGTGGAGCCGGTCAAAATGTTGTCCGAGCTCGGAAAAGTTGTATTAGAAGTAGACCTGGGCCAGGACCATGATCTGTCCGCCTCATGATATCCCCTGTGTAGTAAAACGGCTCAGCGTCCTTTATCAGGACTTTCGGTGTTTCCATCGGGGCTACTTCCAACCATCGCCGTTGGCAGGCTTGGAGGGCTTCGATTTTTTGACACTTCTGCGGTCGAGGGTACCTGTACTTGACCTAGTGAGTCGTGTGGCCTGAACGATCCCAGCCGGCTGTGGAAGACGCTCTGTAGGTGGCTTTCTTTTACGGCCTCGCGGCAATGAAGCAGGGGATGAAGGTGTTACAGTGTTACAAGGGATCCCAATCGGTTCTCCCTGATCTTGACCGCTGGATATCGCCTTGATGCTAGGCTTTCGGAAAGCAGTTTCGGGGGGATGACTAGTCTGTGGCATCGATGCCAATACTTGTTCTTCCTGTGTTTGTGCAGAATGCTCTGCATTGGACTCCGATCGCTGAATTCTGCTCTTGAAAAGATCGAACTCTATCTGCAGTGACTCGATCTGGCTCGCTCGAGTCCCAATTTTGGTGATGTTGGTTGCCAGAATGTCCAGTTCTCTAACATTAAGCTGTGGATTTGCCGGAACCAGTCTCTTTGAGCGGTATTGTTCCATGGCTTGCCTCAGTTGTGACAGCTCCGCCCCAGACTGGCCATCTCCTTGATGTTATTCTTCGACGTATTGAGACTGTCTTGGGAGGCTTTCTTCACGTAAGCAAGCTCTTGTCGTAAGTCTGACAGTGTTCCTTCTAATCGTGGCAGGTCTTTTCGAGTAGCTTGGGTCTCTGCTCGAAGCTCGTCCGTCTCACTCCTTGCATCTTTTGAGAGCTTCTGTATCTCGGGTACAGTAACGCTTATTGCTTGAACTTGGTTCCCCAACTGTATTATATTGGAGTCATTATGTATGTCGTCCCCTCTCTTCAGACTTTCTTTTCTAGCGGTGCTCAGGTCGGCCTTGTGATTATCGATGTTTGTTTGCAGTCCGCTTATAGTTGCATGGAGTCTCTTGGCCTCGCTTTCGATGCGCGAAATGGCGCTATCGAGCTGGGATGCTATCCGGTATCCTGCAGTATCGATCCTCTCAATGTCTTCTCGCTGGGTTTCGTGATCGGCCTGTATGCGAAAGAGGTTGATGGGCTCGGAGTCAAGGGGCGTGTGTCCACTGCTGAAGCGGGGAGCGTCCGAGTCGGACGACTTACGAAACCCATGATTTGGACGCGACTCTGTTCGTGGTCCATCACGTAGGTTCAGCTTGCGACGTATCTCCAGCTGTGCCGCTTTGCCGTTGTCTGTCAAGAAAACCACAGAAGTTTTTCTGAGTAGCACTTGGGAGCTAAAGTGGATTAGTCGGTGCCCGCGCAAGGGAGTGAGACTTACTCGTCAAGAACATGATTGACGGGGCTACTCAAGCACTTGAGGCCAACGACCTTGCTGCAATTGGCACATACGACATCTTCAAGTTCGCTGTTTGAAGCGCTATCAGTCCTACGAATCATCGCGTTCAAGTGGCGCAATTGCAGTCCCGTTCCCTACCATTCGGCAACAAGAGTCTGTGGTTCGCCGACTCTTGTAGGTTCTTTGGCGTCCATGTAAACATCGCCCGTGGCCTCGATCTTCGGACTGAAATAAGTTTTCCCAACTTGGACCCAGATATTGAAGAACTCTGCCAACACAGCGCGACAGCTTTTGCACCGGCAGTGAATGATCTCTATGTTTTCGCACTTCTTTAACAACCGATTATGATAGTGTCTCAACGACAGGAAGCTGGGTGGCATTGGAGTGTCGCGGCGAACACGGGATACATGAAATATTTCCCTGATCAGAAACGGGTTAGTTACGGAGGATTTGATAGAGGTTCGGTAATTGAAATAGATCGCATGCTTGAGGAGGAAAGCCACAGGTCGAGCTGTGTTACGACAGCAGCGTTGGGGTCGGCCAACACTCAGTGTAATTCCCTGACTGGGAAAGTGAGGCGTAGGAGCTATAGACCAGGACCCCTGGCCGGGGCCTTATCTTATCTAAACCCATGTCGATTGACGCGCCCCGCAAAGCCCGTAATTGACCATCGCATTTGCGCTCTTCAGTTCAAGGGACTTTTTTTTGCTGGGTTTCGAGTGCGAAAATTCACGAAGCTACAACCCCACCACTGTCCCAGACGCATTTCGATTCTTTCCACGTCCGAACCTCTGGCTGAGCATCGTAGATCACTGGAGGCCAACGAACATGGGGAAGAACCGCAGAAACCGCGAGGGCGGTGGCGAAGAGGCCGAAACAACTACTGCCGGCCTACCGCAACAATCGATAGTCGAGAGCAAGACATCAAATGGCGAATCCGACTCGCGCGAGAGCTCGTCGCAGACTCAAAGCAGTGGAAGCTTGAAAAGATCGGCCCCTGACGATGACGACGAGGGGTGGACCAAGGTCGAGCGATCCAACAAGAAGCGCAAGAAGGTTCCTCGCGAGGGTTCCAACAACTATCCTGCCATTACCTTCTCCTCAAGTGCGAAATTGTTCGCCAAGATCAACCTTGCTATGCTTCGCGACCTAGTTCTTTACCTCTTCGCCGACGGAACGGGTCCCAATTGGGTCTCCGTGTCGCACCGACCGAACTTCAGAAAGATTGTGGTATTGATGATACCTGGGTTGGAGGAGGCTATGTTTAACGAGGCTGTGAACTTCGACAAGTATACATCTGGCCCGGCTAGTAATCAGGACCGAACGGAGACGACACCCGACGACTACTACCCCCGAGCTCTCTCGGCTGAGCGTCTTCCGCTGGCACTCCAGGGATTCGCCAACATGTTCCCTCACCTATGGCCTGTCAAGGCACCTGGCGATGACAAGTACATGAAGCTCCACTCGCCCATGGGCACGTTTCTGACTGCACCTATGCCCAAGAACAAGGACGACAGAAAGGGCCCCAAACCGGCACGGGAGCCCAGTGGCTGGAAGAACGAGCGAACCCGTATCACCGAATTTTTGGCTTCACTTGAAGAACTGGAGACTGCTGGCCATCTCATTCATCCAGCTCTCATTGAGAACGAAGAGAGGAGGGCGGCATTCAAGGTTCCGGAGGGATGGGCCGTATCCAAGGTCGACAAGCTTGAAGATGGCGAAGTGCCCGAGGGAGAGGTCGAGCAGGGCAGCATGACAGCTGGCCGAGAATGCCTCGCATTGGACTGCGAGATGTGCATGACAGGCGAGAACGAGTATTCTCTCACGCGTATCAGTGTCATCTCATGGTCAGGAGACTTGATTATGGACGAGTTGGTGAAGCCAGAAAAGCCTATCATCAACTACGTCACTCAGTTCTCCGGTATCACAGAGGAGATGCTGAAGCCTGTCACGACCACTCTGAAGGATATTCAACAGAAGCTCCTCGACCTGATCACTCCGCGAACCATTCTCATCGGTCACTCGCTTGAGTCCGACTTGAAGGCTCTTCGCTTCTCTCACCCGTTTATCGTCGACACCTCCCTCATTTACCCCCACCCGAGAGGCCCGCCCCTCAAATCATCGCTCAAGTGGCTGAGTCAGAAGTATCTCAACCGCGAGATCCAGAAAGGCGGCGCCAACGGACACAACCCGATCGAGGACGCCCGCGCTTGCCTGGATCTTGTGAGACAAAAGTGCGAGAAGGGGAAAATGTGGGGCGCGTCCGACTCCCAGGGCGAGAACCTATTTCGCCGGCTAGCCAGGGCTGGAACTGCATACAAGGCGCAGGGCGGCGAGGCAGGTGGTTTAGTTACGGGCAAGACGAGCGCCGCTGTGGACTGGGGTGACCCGTCCAAGGGTCCTGGTGCTGGAGCGACCTACCAAATTGGCTGCAAGTCTGACGCGGATGTCGTCAACGGCGTCATCCGTGCTGTAAAGGGCGATGCAGACGGGTTGGAGATCCCAGGCGGTGGCGTTGACTTTGTTTGGGGTCGGATGCGAGAGCTTGAGGCGTTGCAAGGCTGGTGGAACAAGAACCGGGTTGAAAGCGCCAACAGTGATGGTGGCCCTCCCGAGTTTGATACAAAGCTTGACGAAAAGCTAGGCAAGTCACCTCTTGAGCAGTGCTTAGCACGTCTCTCAGTCTCTCTCCAAGCCATCCACGCCAGTCTCCCGCCATGCACGGCCTTCATCGTATACACAGGCTCCGGCGATCCTCGCGAGATGAGCAGGCTCCAAGCAATGCACTCGCAATGGAAGCGGGAGTATAACACCCCCGGAAAGAAGTGGGATCAACTATCTGTCAAATGGACAGACGAGGAGGAGCAAGCCCTCCGACGTGCGGTCAGAAAGGCGAGACAGAGCATCGGCTTCATCGGTGTAAAATAGCCTTTTAACCGGGCATTTTGAGGATGGGAGAGGTTTGGGGTCACTCAGAAGGGCCCATTGAGCGCCTTTGTTCTGTACATCAACCTCATTTAACACAACGTCAACACACGGGACCCTCAAAAGGAAGAAGATGCATCTCAGCGGCTGCTGGACTGGTCAGATTTTCATAGATGATACCCCTAGGTCACGGTATAGAGAGGATACCCGCTTTTGGGAGGAATCCGAAACCTCAGCTTCCAACAAAATGATTCCCATAGTAACGTGCCTCTATTCACATTTTGAAGCATAATATAGTATCCATCCCCCTTATGGAGTCGAGACGGTATAGTTTCTTCAGCTCTAACTACGCCGGCAAAATATGGATGCTCGGATGACACCCCGGAGTGTGAGCGGCAGTTGTTTCAGCTCATGGTGACAGTGACATATTCCGACTCGTACCCATGTGCAGCTCACATGCGCGCTTCGGAGTTCCAGGCTTGGGCCGCCGGGGTCAAACGCTCCCCCACTATCGGCTGTTCCCTAGACATGCTCTCTGATTGGCTAACCCCGCCTCCGGCAGCGGAGAAAGCAATCAACCGTTGCCGCGCCTAAGCCCCCCGCCGCCGGCCTGCCTCGGTATCTGCTCGGAGACGCAATTGCTCAACATAGCCCAAATTACAAACCAGTCCTTCTTGCCTACCAACTTGGCCTTCTCCAACCAACAACGCGTCTTCGCCTTCGCATTCACACATCTTGAAAACCAGATCAACACACTGTTGGCTACACAATCTGATCCGGAAATCGCGTGCAGTCCCACGATCTCACTTTCAGCCGACGCTTCCCGTGTGGCCCGCGACCGTTAAGATGTCGTTCCTCGGTGGCGCAGAATGCTCAACCTCTGGCAACCCCCTCAGCCAGTTTCAGAAACATGTCCAAGATGACAACAGCCTACAGAGGGACAGACTGGTGCAGCGTGGCCCTAATGCTCTTGCTGGCGGCTTCAGAAGCGCTGGCGCGAGCACCCCACAAGATGAGGTAGACATGATCCCCAGTATTGAAGTAAGATGATTGTAGACTAATTAACGATATCTTAGATGATGAACGGTTTCCTCAACAAGGCACCCGGCCTTCAACAAGAGCTGCCCATGCAGAACGGCGCTGTCCGGATAGACCCTGCCCACAGTGTGCACCTCCGCGCGAACTCGACATCACCAACATGGGCGAACGATTTCCAGAACCAAGCCGCGATGGAGTCGGCCTTTAACGCACCCCAAGGCACACAGTTCAGCCCTGAGGATTTCGCGCGCTTCAGACAGATGAACCAGCAGCCTTCGTCGGCGAGAGCAAGCCCGATGCCCGGTCAGATGGCCCAGCAACCGAGAATGGGGATGGGCATGGGGATGGGCATGGGATACAACAGCATGATGGGCCAGGGCATGTTCCAGCCTATGTATCAGCAGCCTATGCAACAGCAGCCTATGCAACAGCAACCGCAGCACGAGGATGTTAAGGGCAAGGGGAAGCTTGTGGAGCTTGACGACAACAAATGGGAAGAACAGTTTGCGCAGATGGAACTGCAGCAGAAGGAAGACGCCGAGGCCCAGGCGGCGGAGCCTGAACTGGAGGAAATGGACCGGGCAATGCAAAGTGAGACAGGCTTCGGCGATTTCGAGTCAATATGGAGAGGAATCCAGGCTGAAACTGCAGCAGCAAAAGGCATGGTCGACGACACGACGTTCGATAAGTTCGACAGCGAAGACTGGGGTCCAGACTTCACCGGCATGAACGGAGACTGGGGCAGACTCGGTGACCCTGTGATCGAAAATTACCTTTTCGAGGAGGACAACTTCTTCAGCGAGGAGAAGAACGCATTCGATGAGGGCGTACGCATCATGCGCGAGGGAGGAAACCTGTCCTTGGCAGCTCTCGCATTCGAGGCTGCTGTCCAGCAGAACCCAGAGCACACCGAGGCTTGGGTGTACCTTGGATCGGCACAGGCACAGAACGAGAAGGAGACTGCTGCAATCCGTGCGCTTGAGCAAGCTCTCAAGCAAGATCCTAACAACTTGGCTGCTCTCATGGGTTTGGCCGTCTCTTACACCAACGAAGGATACGATAGCACCGCCTACCGGACACTCGAGCGCTGGCTCTCGGTTAAATACCCAAACATCATCGCACCAACGGACTTGCACCCCATGGCCGAGATGGGATTCACCGACCGCCAACAGCTGCATGACAAGGTAACCGGTCTGTTCATCAAGGCTGCACAACTCAGCCCGGATGGCGAACATATGGATCCTGATGTTCAGGTCGGTCTCGGCGTCCTATTTTATGGTGCTGAAGAGTACGACAAGGCTGTCGACTGCTTCACGGCGGCTCTGCACTCTTCGGAACTTGGAACCTCAAACCAGCAAGAGCAGCTGCATCTTCTCTGGAATCGTCTCGGCGCTACCCTCGCTAACTCTGGCCGCTCTGAGGAGGCTATTGCTGCGTACGAGAAGGCATTGAGCATTCATCCCAACTTCGTGCGTGCCCGTTACAATCTTGGCGTCAGCTGCATCAACATTGGATGCCACGCTGAGGCTGCGTCGCACTTCCTCGCGGCGCTCAACATGCACAAGGCCATTGAGAAGAGCGGCCGCAACATGGCGTACGAGATTCTGGGCAGTGGCGAGAGCTCACGCGGCGGTACCAACACAGCTCAACTCGACGAGCAGATTGACCGTATGACGGCCCAGAACCGGAGCACAACGCTCTACGACACTTTGAGAAGGGTGTTCACGCAGATGGGACGCCGAGACCTGGCCGAGAAGACGGTTGCGGGTGTAGATCCCGAGATCTTCAGAGGCGAGTTCGACTTCTAGGTGTCGTCGTGGAGCGTGGAAGGAAGAGCGGACCTGGATTCGCCAAACATGTAGCTTTCACGTGGGTGGCTTGAAAAGAATGATGAGACGACGCCTATCACGAGCATCTTTACGTCCTGCAAACTCATTGTTGGGGACGTTCATTAACAGGCGCATTGAATAGGAACAAACAGCAGGCATAGTTTTGCCACCTTCACGCCTTTCAATGGGGTCCCGTACTGTTGAAATCGTATTGAAGTGATTTATTTATACCATTTGCAAGCATGTGGCAGAGTTGGCTTACGCCGAGAACAGCTTCACCAAGCCATCCACACCAATGTTCCCTCCACTAACGATAAGCCCCAGATCCCAACCTTTCTCGCCAGACTCTCGCTCGACCATGCTCCTGAAATCCTCATTATACAGCGCAACCGCCAGTGGGACCGCAGAACTTGGCTCAATCCACATCTTGAGTCTTTCGAGGATGAGCTTGGTGGCCTCCAAGATCTCCTCCTCAGACACGGCATACATGCCGCTCACTAGCCTCCTTTCATAGATCAGACTCCACGGCGTAGCACTAATAGTCCCGACCAAACCATCCGCCACCGTTCTCGTCTTGACCTCCGTGATCCTCGTGCCGGAGTAGTACCCCCTCCGCCCGTCATCGGCGCCCTCGAACTCGGGCTCGGCGCCAAAGACCTTGATCCCAGTGCCCTCGCAGCTCAGCGCGGTACCGGACAACAACCCACCGCCGCTACAGGGCGCGATGATTGCGTCGAACCTGGCGGGGGACCGCTCCTGCTCGGCGATTTGAGCCTGCATTTCGAGTCCAGCCGTGGCTTGGCCGAGGATCACGTCCGGGTGGTCGTGAGGCGGGACGAGGCGGCCGCCGGTGGAGGCGACGATTTGCGCGGCAACGGCTTCGCGGCCGGAGAAGTCGGGGCCGGAGACGACGACGTTGGCGCCGTAGCCTTTCGTTGCGGCGATCTTGTTGGGGCGGGTCGTGGTTGGCATGACAATGTGGGAGGAGATGCCGTTTTCTGCGGCAGCCAGGGCGAGAGCTTGGGCGTGGTTGCCTGGCGGTTACATCGTTAACGACCGAGACGAGGGGGAAGAGCCGTTTGGTCACGAGAATCTTACCTGCGCTGTATCCGACGACACCCTTCTCCCGTCCGCCGTTCTCGAGCCAGCCCGGTTCCTGCTTGAGTCGCTCTATGGCGTGGAATGCACCGCGAGCCTTGAAAGCGCCTGTTCGCTGCATGTTTTCGCACTTGAACCAAAGTCGGAGGACAGGCTTCGCAGGCCTGCGGCCGCCTATCGACGAGAGCTCTCGCGGGGTGGAGGCAATTTGGCTCAGGGTCTTGTTTGTGAGGAGAGGAGTGAGATGGATGTGAGAGGCGATGAGTTTGTGGGCTTGAACAACTGAGTCCCTGGTCAGGGGAGGACATGTTGAGAGGTTTGCCATTGCTGATACTGGATAGAAGAAGGGTTATGTCTGGGCTGCTGGCTTCGAAATCTATTCATATGCGTTCTGATTCGTTTTTCAAACCAAATCCCCATCGAGACAACTCGCGCAGATAATAATCACTGACTGAGCGAGTGTGTTCAACCAGGGCGATCGACGATTGGTTCCAACACCAAAGGTTCAGGGAACAAGTAATCAAGAAAGCTGCTGCCCTCAAAAACCGAATCACTGCGATAGGAAATCAGCATTTAAATAGACAAGCCAACATTGCATTTGCTGCTGAAATGTCCTACATCGACTGAGTGTCGTCGCGTGTCAGGGGACTGGCACTAACGGCGTGACTTGAAAAGATGCCGATAGTCACTCGGCGACAGCATCAGGACTCCGACGACAGGCTGGTTAACTTTGGAACAGGGAATTCTCGCCTATAGAGTACCCTATGGAAGGCTCAAGCAATTATAAGAGCATACTGTTGATGAGGACCGGTGTCGGGCTTTACCTCCAGGCTCCTTGGACCATAAATACGCACGTTGCCCTGGGAGCAACGCCGCGTAGAAACACCAGCAGCCAAACAGCACAGCATCACATTCTAGATACGCTCAGAGGTCCAGTAAAAACTGCACTCATTGTGCCAAACAACGGCGAGGCAGCCATCTTTCCTACGGGGACCGTCAAAGGCCTCGCAAATTACCCCCGCGGCCGTCTCGCCCCGGCAGCCGTCCACCGCACGCTCTACATCTCGGGGACGTCGTCCCGCCGTCCAGACGGCACCTTTTCAGGAGCTGGGACCGTCTCCAACAGCCCACCCGGCTCCTACGACGTTGAAACGCCGAGCGAGGGAAGCACCCTCCGGCTCGACGTGCGCGAGCAGACGGCCGCGATCCTGCGCAACATCGACGACGTAATCAAACAGGTAACGAACAACCGGGGCGGGCTGGAGAACATCATCGACGCGACTGTGTATTTGGTGGACATGAAGAGGGACTACGCAGCCATGAACGAGGTTTAGAACGGGTTCTGGCCGAGGTTCGAGGAGGCGCCGGCGAGGACGACGGTCGGCGTTAGGGAGTTGCCGGGCGAGGAGATGGTTGTGGAGGTCAAGTGTACCGCTGTTATCGAAGGAGAAGAGTGATGGAAACGCACGAGTCGAAACGTCGCTCACTTACCGCGGGATTGAATGCGTTGGAAAGTATAAATAGAACTTGTGACGATGACTTTGGCTCGTTCTTCGCTTGCGTGGTCAGAGCATTTCTTCTTTTCACTCTTCACTATTTGGCAGACTCAGAAACATGTGCCTCGATGATAAAAGCAAGCCTGGGTTAACAGGAGAATAACATAACAACAATCTTCAACGTCTCTTGCTTATTCTCTGGCCGTGACTCCCTGCCATGGTCGTCGGCACTCTTGCCTCAAAGTGGTTGCTAAACATGATCACGACAGTCTCTCCATTCTTGAACCACTCTCCATTGTGAATTTTCAACAAGCAAAGCTCAAGTCCATCAGGACAAGCGGCCGGTTGGCCCAATGGCAAGGCGTCTGACTACGATTCGTTCGTGCAATCAGGAGATTCTGGGTTCGACCCCCAGGCTGGTCAATATTCTTTTGCAATCTGTGCTGGATTCCGCCCAATTGTTTTTTTCTTTAAGTCGGTGGGCTAGGGTGAGAGACTAGCGAGGATCGTCCGTGGTGGGTGGGACTCGACGCGGCGGGCCTGACCAAAGCGCGGACCAACCACGTGCCCGGGCCACGACGAACGTGGAAAAGGGCGCTGGAAGGAGGGTGCCAGAAAGGGGCAGGTCGTTCGGCCGGGGGGCCGGGCGGGTGGAGTCGCCGACCCCACGCCAGAGGGGGGAGGGGAGGGGGCCCGAGGAGCCGGAAGAAGCAGTAAGCCAAAGGCCGCTACGGCGACACCGGCTTAGGGGACGCCTTCACATGCGCCGGGCCCTGCCTGTTCGCCCATCAACGAGAAACATTGCAACTGTGGGGAGGAGAGGAGAGGAGAGAAGAGGAGAGGAGGGGGGAAACAATAGCGGGAGCGGCTGTTCCAAAAAAGGAAGACGTCAAGACTGACTCGACGTCGGGCGGACGGACGGGGATCGCCGGGCGTGCAGAGAAAAAAGCTTTGCCCAGCACCGCGGGGTTGGACTGCATGGCCCGTGTGGATTATGCCGAAAGACAAGAAGGGGGAAAGGGGAGATAGGGAAAGAGGAGGGGGGGGAGGGAAGAGAGATAAGAGCCGGACGGGACGACGACCGGGGGTCGGGATTGACCAGCACCACTGAACCTCTGGCGGCAGGGCCGCCCCACATCTCAGGCCGGCCGCCGGTCGGTGCTTCGAAAGGCCGGGGTGCTGCTGGCTTGTCGATGGCTCCTCTTGTTCGCCGGGCTCCCCATGACGACACCCCAGAGCCGGCCTTCGTCCCGCTTGGAGCCGGGACAGGTTGCCCGGGGGGGACAACCGAGCCAAGGAAACGGACCAGGAACAGTGTGGCACCGGGAACGAACAGCGGGAAACATGGGCCTGTAAAGAAGAGATTATACATTTTTTCTTTCCATACATGAGGCCGTCATGTATGCAAAAAGCCGTCGTCGTGGCCCTTTCTTTCTACAAGTTTCATATTATACAAAGCCTCGTTCGGCACAGCCCCCTTTTTTTTTCTTCTCTGTCTCCGTCGCTCGCTTCGATGGAGCCATTGCAACAACCTCCGCTGTTTGTCGCCTTGCCATCGTTTCGCCTGTTCATGACACTTCGCGGTTAAGCCTTCCACCTCTGCTCCCCCCATCTCACCACGAGCTCGTCTGTGGCTTGCGCGGGAAATAAAGTAGTAAAGTAGAAAATACGACACGTCAGAAGTATCTTAAAAAAAAAAGAAGAGTCGCGTCCACTTTCTTCTCGTACACTGGACTGGAGTTCTCCTCTCTCCCGTCTTTGCAGACTCGCCAAACTTAGGCGTTCCAGTTCATGTCTTGCTTGCCAGCCTCGGGCTTCTGCTCCTTCTGCGCCTCCTCGGCCTGTTCGTGCTCCACCTCGACGCGCTCCTCAACCTCCTTCTGCGAATTGTTGTAGTCACGCGACCTGTTGTTGCCACGCTCGCGCTCACGGGGATTCCGGCCCTTGCGGTTCTGGCGGTCCTTCCGGCCCGTCTCCTTGGTCGCCGGCGCGAACGAGACCTTGAGGTCACGGCCGCGGATCTGGGCACCCTTGAGCGATTCAATGGCAACCGCAGCGGACTCGATGCTGGCAAAGTCGGCGTGCGCGAAGCCGCGCGGCCAGCCCGTCGCGCGGTCCACGGCGACACGCACGTCCGTGACGTCCTTGAGCGAGGCAAAGAGGTTGTTCAGGTCCGCATCCGACGCCTCGAAGGCGATGTTGCCAACGTACAGCGTGTTAGTCGGTGGGCCGTCGTAGGCCCGGTTGACGCGGGCGGGCCGGCCGTCTCCCCTGTCGCCGCTGTCCCTTCTGCCGCCCTGGGGACGCTCACCGGCCGGACGGGGCTTGGCGACGATGCGGCGGCCGTGCCAGAAGGTTCCGTCGACGTTCTCGGCGGCCGTGATGACAGACTCGGCGTCTTTGAAGTAGACGAAACAGAAACTGTGCGCGCAGAGAGGTTAGCCCCTGATCGATGTGATGGGAGAATTTTCAGCTGCGCCCCATCTTCTTCCGCGGGGAAAACTGGAACGCAAACACTGCATCTTGTACGCCAAGTACAACGGGGACAAACTTACGTTCTCTTGGGCGGCATCGAAACGCCAACAACCTCACCGTACTTGGAAAACGCCTCGCTCAGGTCATCGGGTTTGACGTCGAAGGAGTAGTTCTGGACGAAGAGGACGTGCTCGCTGGGGTCCTGACGCGGCTGTCTCTGCTCGCGAGGTGCCTGGGAGCCCTCCTCCTGCTGGTACTGCTGCTCGTCGCGGAACGCAACGGAACGGGAGAACGCCCTGGGGGCAGCGACGGAGAAGTATCTGGCAGAGATGGCGGCGGCGTTGAGGGCACGCAGAGCGGACGAGATGGTCTGTGACTTGGGCGCAACAGCGGCGGCGGAGACCGAGCTGGTCAAGGTGGCGCGGGTGGCCGCGCGACGGATGGAATGCCTGCCATTGGGGAAAGTCCTCGATTAGCTTCTTGTTTGTTCAACCAGCGCCATACCGATACAATTGCACGAGTACTCACATTTTTTGGTTGGAAAGACGGGAAATATGGGATGTGTTGATGAAGAGGAAAGGGCAAAAGGGTTGGCGGCGAAAGGTGCTGATGTAGTAGGTGAGGTCGCCTGGGCGAACGACGAACAGAAATTTTGGCATGACCGTGTCGAGGGTCCTGACGTTTGCCAGACGCTAGCCTCCATTTGGCCTTAGCTTCCCGTCGCCGGGGATCCACCCGGAGCCACAATCGCCTGTCCACCCCTGCCGACTGAGGCTTGAGCTCTGTCGGCGGGTTTCGTCAAGATTCAGGAGTGGTTCGCCATGGGATTCAGATTGGCGTGGAAAATTTTCTGATTTTTGCTGAATCTGAATATCTCGTCTAGGAGAAGATTATCGCCCGAAAGTCATACACTGCTCGCTGACAGGGAGAGGCCTAGGCTCGTCCCCGATAGAACAAACCCAATGTCGCCTGTTCACTCATTTTTAACCGTCTGTTCAGACAGACTGGATTTTAGTCATTGATTTCCTCCGTCAACCATTGAACCCGGTGTACGGATCCTCCCACGAGATTTCTGCTTCTTCCCAACGCAAAGCAATGGACCACATCAAGCGCACCAGGAGCCATCGACTCTTTCCCGTAGACCATCACGTGGGTATATACACCAGACACTCCAACCCTCGATCCCGCCATGGCCTTCTCGGTATTCCCGTGTCGAGCTTTGACTCCCCAAACACTAGAAAGAACTCGCGCCGTCCGACTTTTTTTATTTCCCCACTGACCAAGGACGAAAGTACAATGTTGTCCCGCCTTGTCAGACCAACCAAAAGTGTGAGCCGTTGGCGCACTGCTAGTATTGACACATTCAACCAAGAAAAAAAAAACATAAGAGACAAGCCGACAAAGGGCATCCCGGTGCGCAGTGCATTCCGGTGTAGGTACAGAACTGTAATAGAACACGCAGACCCGTGATCCGGGCCGCGGATATGGTGCAAAGGGTATTGGTAGGTCGACCATCCAGGCCAATCACTAATTTGTCGGATGTGTCCCGAGCCCTGGACGCAGAGGTCGCCATCGTGACAGGGAGACGAGAAAAGCTTGCGTCGTTCAGCAAGCCAGAACTTGGCGCCCCCCGAGGTATCATCTCATCCCGTAGTTCGCAAGACTCAGTACCTTTCGGGACGGTACCCATTGATCCTCGGGGCCTCGTATTGAACGCCGGTCATTGAATCCGGTCCGTTGGTAATGCTGCCGTTCAAGCCCCGAATAGGTGGCAACTCACGACGATTCGCGTAGGGATCTGTCTGGTAGGCCGCTGACGGCGGAGGCGGTGGGGCGGCCTGTGACTGAGCTGGCGCCTGGCCTGGCGGAGATTGTTGTAGCCGCATGTTGTGCAACTCGTTCTGCATACGCTGAATGTCGACGCGTAGGTTGTGGTTATCCTGCCGAAGGCCGTCATTTTCCTGAGCCAGCGTAGTGTTTTGCGACTGCACAATACGCATGACCTCAGCCATCCGTTGGTGTTCCGAGATTGCTGTGCTGTGTCAGCTTCACGTCATGAACCTCGACAGGTGGGGTGCACATACCTTTGGTAAGAATTTCCCACTTGGATGCCTTGGAGCCGCGCTCCTGCGGCATCAAGTCGCGCAGCTGGTCAAATAGCTCCTTCATTTCTGTCCTTCTCTTCCGCTCCGCCAGCTTATGGCTCTTGCGCAGCTCGGGTGTGCGGCTGTACGGCTGGGAACCGGTTCGCGAGGCGGCGTCATCGTCGCGCAGGTCTCCAATCTGCTTATGTTGCAACGAATGATGGTGAACGGGAGGGAACTCGGAAGACGTGCTCGACAGACGGTTGTTGAAGTCGGCAGGCTCGTCCAAGCGCCTCTGACCGGGTGGTAGTCTCGATTCCGTCGTGAATTGGCTGCTGGCTATTGACTCAGCAATGCTGCTTCGCCTGGAGTCGAGATAGGTGTCGTGAGGACCGATTCGCTGTATATCTTCCTCGGGGAACGCCCATGCCTGACCCTTTGTGGGCTCCGCAGCTCTCGCAATGTTGCTTGTCGCAGGACCGGTAATGGCCGGAGCAGTTCGGATGATCTTGGGGTTCTCGGGGTTTCGGTCATTACTGGGTTGATACCCGTTGGAGATGCGGTGTACGGAAAGGTTGTCCAGGCCATTACGGGGGTTGCGTTGTTGGTTAAGGGTGTTCTGTATCGAGGTTGTCGACTGGTTATGGCTTGCGTACGGGGAGTTCCCGCCCAATCTCATGTCGTGGAAACCCTGGTTTATCCTGCTGTCGACGCTCTCTCTGCGAGACCCGGGACCCATCATGTCGTGGGCTACACCAGAGTCCAATGACGTTGGACGCTCGAATCGACGCGGATCAGTGCCGCCAACCGTTGTTGGCGACACCATCGAAGCAACGCTCATATTACTCTGCGCAGGCGAAACCAGCGGTTGAGGGACCATGTTCGTGGTGACAGGTGAAGGCGTCTTGTCTGCTAGCGAAGACTGGTAGCCAGAGCCGGTGGGACTGAGGACATTGGTGCCCATGCCTGAAGCGGCGGAGTTGTCTGCACAGGTAAAGGGTCAATCACGGTCTTCAGCACGTTGTTGGCTCTTGATCAACATACGCTTGCTCGAGGCATCTGTACTGGAAAAATAAGCCGAGTCGCGGTTCTCGTCCGGGTTCAAAACCCCTGCCAATCCCGCAGGGAGCTTCTGAGAACCTGGTCGCTGTGTGTCCATGTTGTGCTTCGGCAGCTGTCTGGGAACAAATGCTGGAGAGTGAGGAACGGGTGCGAAGACGGCGTAAGAACCTTCTGGTCGTGATGCGTGATATGGCCGGGTGAAGACTCGAAACAAGGGCGCAACGAAGAAAAGGGGCCGGTTGGTTGGTTGGTTGGTTGGTTGGTAGAGCCGCCGCGAAGAAACAGATTGACTAGGGTCGAGTTGCGCTCAACATGCGAAAGCGACAGCAGCCTCTCGAAAGGCGTCTGAACGCGCAGGCTGCTCGAATCGTTGGGGATCGATAGTAAACGAGCGAGAAGTTGGCAAAAGGGGGGAAGAGATCGAGCAGGCGAAGGTGGGATGGGGAGGATTGTATAGGACGAAGTCGGGGGGCAAGGAGGAGAGGTCTAATGAACTCCAAGGCCGACGTGCTGTGAGGTAGAGAAAGGCGGGTGTGTGGAGGAAGACGGCTCGAGGCAGTCAGTTTCAAGATTGAGAAGACGGGAGCTGGGGTGGGAGGGGACAAGATGGAATTGAGCAGGCGGGAGCGCTAGGTGGGTGGAAGGGCGGGCGACTTGGCCTGAGCAGAAGCAGCAGTAGCAGGCTCAGATATGTACCTCTGTAGGAAGTACGGATGCTGGTGGTAAGGGTGGAGGGGGGGGAGCGTCAAGACGACGGTCTTCGTACCGGGGTTGGTTGGGGGGAGAGGACGTACAGGGCAGGCTAGGACAAGCCCAGGACAGGGCAAGACAAGACAGGGTTTCTGGGTACAGAACAGAGAAGGGGAGGGGGAGTGAAGCTAAACTCTCTCTCTCTCTCTCTCTCTCTCTCTCTCACTCTCAGACTCGCACACTGGTGGATGGCACTAAACTGCATCTGAGGTACTCTCTTCCTTGTCCCACGTCCCAACTCACGTCAAGGAGAACAGTCTACCTTGTTTATCCGCAAAAAATATGAAGAAAGAATAATTGCCAAAAGAATCAGGGGCAACAGCGAAGATGTGCTTGTGGACATTAATCGCACATCGGGGACAGCCAGAGAAGAATCGGGCAGGGCAAGAGATGGCAAACCAACGCATATGACGCGGAAGTAATTTTGGCAAGACTGACTTGATTCTGGCCTTCGTCATCAACAACCACCATTCTATCCTCCTTGTTGCACCTTCTTCTGCTTCTCCCCCCTTTCCCCCCCCGTCTTCCAGCCATCCAGCGCGCTTGAGGAATCCTCAAACCTGGAAATAAGGTAAGGTAAGGTAAGGTACTATAGCGCTACCGCAGACAGGCGGACTCCTTGAATAAAGTGTGGACGTAGCCCGATCGAGTGAATGTACCCGTGCCCTTTTGGGGTGTCGCTGCCGGCCCTCTCACTGGTGCCCGACGACTGTCCAGCGCCAGTCCACGCCTCCAAGAACAAGCAGCCAGGGCGCATGGGGGTCTACCGTCCGTGTTAAGCCAGGCGAGGCAGTACTTGGCGGTCAAGTATCCTCGACTCGGTCCTTACGCTGTGTGCCTAGGGTGTGTCACTCGATTTTTCTCTTTGTCCTACCCTGCAGACCAGCCGCCTCGTGGCCGACACGGCGGCAAAGCCGAACTCTGCTCTGGGGATTTTGTGCACGCATGGGCGCTGTTCACGTTTCTTGTTTCCCGGACTCGGCGGTAGCGAGTACCTAATTTGTTTGTCTCAGCCCACGATGACTATCCCTGTCCCTGCGCGGACATGACCTCCAGAAAGCCTGGTCTCGCGCATGTATCGATACGTACGCCCTCGTGGATGTACCACACCCCTTCTGGGAAGCTTGAGGGGAGGGGACGTCTCCGATGAAAGTGGGGCCGCCGCCCTCACATGCATCGAGCATCCCCCTCGCCGTGTGGCATCCTGGAGAAGGTTTTTGCTAACAGCCGCGTGTGGTGCGTGTGTGGTGTGCGTGTGCGTACTCTCGTGTTTTGTGGTGGAGGTGTATGTCAAGAGTATTCTCTGAACAAAGCCTCTATTCAGCTCTACGTTTGATGGCTCGGGGGCAACACACCTTCCTCGAGCAACTGTGCGCCATCCCCAATGCTGCTGCTCTTCTGGCTCCTCGTGTTGTGGTTCAGTCTCTGCTGGGGACCTCCATCGCATTGTCCTCCAGTCCTGGTATTCGTGTGAGCACAAGCCAGACGGGTTTCCCAACCGGATGGGTGAATGCTCGAGACAGCGAGACAGTTGCGTAATTACACCGGCGGCGGCTGCAGTGGGCAGCTGCAGACACACTCGAAATTTGTAACCCTTTTGGATGCGTCAAAAAGGCGACCGGCAATCGCCATGTTTCCTACCCATAGGTAGAACCGCAGCAAGCCCTGCCGAGCGACACCGGAGCCACAGGCACTGCACCATGCCACGCCGCCGATGCCATGCCTGACCAAATCAGGCCTGCACGTTGGTCAGGCCAGGTCGTTCCAAAGACGAGTCTCGCGGACGACGTCGAGAGGCGGCTAACAACAGAAGGAATGAAAAATGATGGCGGATTCTGATGACGGACCCGCTGTTTTCATGTTTCGTCTCACAGTGATCGAGACCAGATGCCACCCGGGCCCGGGGCTTGCGAACTGGAGGGGGCCATAAGCAAGTTGGGAAGCTCGGCGAGCCACGAATGCCAGACACGCCGACCCAAAGAGACAAGGAAGCCGGCCCGATCGTTTGTTTGGACACTTTGTTAGGTATTTGGAACAGCGTGTGTCAACGCCATCGCGGCCGTGTAGGCGTCACTCTCGTGGCTCGGACTCGAACGCCGATCTGGTCCCTGGATCAAATTTCGACGATGTGGTTGTTTGCAGCCGGAACAAGATCGCCAGTATCCGTCCCAGGACAGACATCTGCAAACTATGCCACGTCGTATCACGGTCTAGGCACCCTGTCGACTTTTTCGGAGCCAGCACAGCGGCCAAGGAGGGGGGAGGTCGGCCGAGAATTCCAGCGGTGGCAGGAGCAAAGGTCGAGGCCCAGATGCTGCCAAAACTGGCACACTTCCGGCCGTCTAGCATGTTTTTTTATGTGCTGCAGATATCGATTGATGGCAATGGGATTGCGTAGCGAAGTCCAGTTAGGACCCGAATCAAAACAAGGACAATCGACAACAAAGAAAGGGAGTCGATCGTCCATCCCCGAAACCTAAAGCCCTCGTGCCCCTTTCTCACGACTCGATCGAGTCCCCATCGGTGCTGCCTGGTCCGCTGCTGTGGTTTGGTACACTACAATGATCAAATCGGCGTAGGAAAGTCGTCTGTCATGGAGTTTGACGCGTTGTAATGTACTCTGCGCAACCACTTTGCCGAGTTGAGGGAGAAGACGGGTCGGGTGGTGCTGGTAGTCGATGCCGATGGGGTTGGGGTTGGAAAATCTGAAGCCTAGGATCCCTTCCTCTCAGAGTCCCTTTTCTCTTTTCTTCACCGAAGGAAGGAAGGGATCTGGGTGCCAGGACAGGGCTGTCAATCTAGGATGAGCCCCCGGTCCCGGGGACGAGACGGAAGAGGATGGTGTTTCTTGCATCCTGGTTGTAACCCGATAGATGGCAGGGTAGACGGCCAGAGCCAGCGTCGTCGGATCCACGAGCCACCACATCGGGTTGGCGATGCTGGGAGCATAAGAAAACGACCAAGTGGCAGGGGCTTGCTACCTGTACACTACACTACTCGAGCCTTGAGGTCGCTACCGTACGTACCCGCACTGCATGGTGGTAGGACAGGATTCTGTCTAGGTACTAATAATGGTGTACTATAGCAAATGCGCTATGGGTTGTGCCTCGCAGTAGGTAGGTGGTGATTGAGGTGGGCACCCCCAGCATAGTGTACAAGGCGGAGCATGGCATGGTAACCGCGTGCGGAGCTGGCAGCGGTCATAGCACCCTCGATTCCAGCCGGGGCCTTGCAGGTCGCGTTAGCTGTTTGCCTCGTGCGCACCGGGCTGGGAATAAGCTGGGAGCGGCACCGTTTGCGATGGGCGACGGGCGATGGGCGATGCGGGATGTGCACGTCCATTCGTGGGTGACGGATCCATCCCGCCATGTCAGTAGCAATCCAGGCGACTGGATTAGGCCGATCGGTCCCATGTGCATACCATGCGGCAAAGCGTCAGTGTCTGCGAGGATTTTGTACCACCACCATCGACAAAGAGCCCCAAAGTCCATCGTCATTCGCCCCCTCTCGAGCTAGGGACGTTAGCCTGAGCCGAGACGGGAGACGGGAGACGGGAGACGTAAGCAGGAAACACAACCGTGCGCGAAGGGAAACGCCCAGCCAAGCGGACAAGCCAATTCGTTTGGCCAGCACCAGGGCAATCCTCAACCCAGAGCACTGCGTCTAGATTAACGTACAGATACTCGCGGCTGTCTGTGGGGGGGGGAGGGGGAAGCTGCGAGTATTCAAGCGGACAAGCACGACGACAAGGGGAAGACCCGACAAACCCACAGTAGAAGAAGAAAAAAAATATGTCTCGGTTCTTTTGGGGGCTACTTTGCTTTTGGCTTTCAGTGAACCATGGCACTGCAAAGCAAGATGTGCCAGTGCGACAAGGTGATGGCCGGCGTTGGCTGACAGGTAATTACAGGTGCCCGCTGGTGGTGGTGGTGTTTGTTCGTGTCCACTGGCGGTGATGCAACGCTGTCCAACAAAGAGCCGCTGGCGTATCTACGTTTGTAGGTAGGCATCTGGGTGAGTGGGTGGACCGGTTGTGGTCTTATTATTGTTGTTTGTTGTTGCGATGGATGAAAACCCGCGCGGCTTGGCTAGATGTTGGCGCAGAGGAATGTTTCCGTCAAGAGAGACGGCTGAAGCACTGGTCGGGGACCGTTTTGGCTCGACAAGTGGCAGGTACAGCCCGGTTCCTCCTCGCGGATCTGGTCCTTTCTTCGCTTGCTCTCCCAATCCCAGGTATCAGACGGGCAATAAGATATGTCCTCCGGGTCACAGCACACGGGACGTACATGACCTCGAGGAAAAGATTCCATAATGGCACATGCAGGCAAAGCATCAGGGTGGTGCTTG